TGTATATTACTTATAGGATACTCTGGTAGGTTATTAGTATATTTAATTTTAAGAGTAGTAAGAGGTTTACCCTTGACTTAGGTAAGAGGGATAGGTATATATCATTCCTATACTAACTAGTTAATAAGTACTTTATAAGTAGTTAGGATTATATCTACTTCTTCCTCGATTACTTCATGGCTATTGTCCTGACTAAGATCAATAGTTGGTATATAAGGAGATTCCATCCTAAAGCGGTCGCGAAGCAGTTACTAATTATTTGACTTTAGTGGGAATAGAGAAAAATATGATGAGGAATAACAGTAATTTTTTAAAAAGTTGGCTCGTGTCGATATTGATTATTAATAATTTTAGCGTCACGTGTAGGGGGTGACACTCATGTGAGCTTTGCGGAAAGGTCGGATGGCCTGTGTACACCCGAGAAATAATCCTTTCTAATGGTTGCTATGAGATAGGTCTAGTTTATATAATATTAAATACTATTTTAAAAAGTGCTCATGAGTTAATATATAAAATAGTTAGAAATTATATAGTTCTGCTCCTTACTCTCTAACTATATTTTTTTAATATAGCGGATATCTAGGAGTAAGATCCTAAGAAAATACTTAGCAAGCTTAGCTTAGGTTTTATTATTAGTAATTACTAATCTGGTATTAGTTCTTTAAGAGCTTCTCTTAGTATTCTTTAGCAGTATTAAAATCTAATAATAGTTAGATTTTACTGGTATAAACTTAGATTTTAATAAAAAATAGAGATTTTCAAGGATCAGGTAAGAAAATAAAAAATCCTGATATCTAGAAGAAAGAGTTTACTATTATTATTTATAATTAGAAGGTATTAACTTAACCCTTCTATATAATATTCTTAATATTAGTAAATATAGTAGATTTACTGCTATATTTAATCTAGAGAATAGGATACTAATATAGTATATTTACTTAAAAGATAAATCTAACTATTATTAGATTTTCTCTAGAATCTAATATTATCTTAAGTAGCCTCCTAATCAAATAACTTCTATTATCTCAAGCAGTCTCCTGATTAAATAACTCCTGTTACCTTAAGCAGCCTCCTAATTAAATAACTCCTGTTACCTTAAGCAGCCTCTTAATTAAAGATATCTGTTATCTTAAGTAACCACCTGATTAAATAACTCCTGTTATCTTAAGCAGCCTCCTAATTAAAGATATCTATTACCTCAAGCAGCCTTCTAATTAAATAACTCCTATTACCTTAAGCAGCCTCCTGATTAAAGATATCTGTTGCCTTAAGCAGCTACCTGATTAAATAACTCCTATTACCTCAAGCAGCCTCCTGATTAAATACCTCCTGTTACTTTAACTAATCTTTTAATTAAGGATATTTATTACCTGAACTAGCTATTAAATTAAATCTCTTTTTCTATTATCTATTAAAGTAGCTATTTAAATAGATATTTTAATCTCTTAGAAATAAAAGTATAATTAAGTTAGGTTTTTTAATTTATCCTAATTTAAAAATTACTCTAGCTATATTTAGTATAGTATATTATTATAAAAGGTTAGTATTATTAATCTTCAGGTTTTCTGGGTTAAACCCGCAGAACCTACCCTAAACCTGCTGCGGATTGGGTTGAACTTTTTTATACCTAAACCTGCAGCGGGTTAGGGTGCATGAGGCCTCAACCCGGCCCAACCTGACCTGTATGCATGTCTAGAAGAGGATCTCTATAGCTATATAATCTATAAGATAATATTAGAGAAGATTATAGTATATCTAGATAAGACTTACTTCTAGAAAGATATAGGTAACCTGCTTAACTAAAAATATATTAATAAAAGCTTAGTAAGTCCTCTCTATTTAATATATAGGAAGGTTTAATTATAGTAAAGACCAGGCCTAGGGCTTTATTATAATTAAATCCTATTTTCTCCCTTTCTTTTCTTAGTTAATAAATAAATAAGATATTTCTAGAGATATTTACTAACTAATTTTCTCTATAGTAAGAAATATAGTATAAGTATATAATAGAGTATATAATATATATATTTTAGAATAAATCTAAGCACCAGTCTACCCTCTTTAAATTTAATTATAAAATTAAGACTTTAGTTAGGCTAACTCCTGAGATATCTATCTATTTTAAAAATACTTTTAATCTAAAGCTAGGCCTGTTAATCTTACTAATCTTAAAGTCTAAAAAGGGCTGGAAGCCTTAAAAAAATATAAAATCTTAAAAAGATAGTCTCTAGAATAACCAGGCTAGGAAGAAGACTAATCCTACTAAGAAGAAAACTAACCCTACTAATAAAAAGGCTGACCCTACTAAGAATAATAGTAATTATATTAAAAAGAATAACTATACTAGAAAAAAAATTATCTATATTAATAATCCTAAGTATAAGCCCCTGGTAAAGAATAAGAATTATAATAATATTATAAGTTCTTTTTTTTCTTTTTCTTTTTTCCTTTCTCCTAGTAGGCCTAGGATTTTAACTATAGTTAAGTATTAATTATTTAGTCTCTTTACTAACTTAGATTAGCCCTTCCCTCTAGAAATAATTTAATAATAATTTAGATCTAGAGCTATTAGATATATTCTTTAAACTAATAAACTTTCTATTAGTAGCTACTAGTAATATAAATCTCTAAAAAAACTAGAAGTATAAGAACTAGTTAATAGATATAGTAGACCTAAAGTAATAGTACTTAAATATCTATAATTAGTTATAGTTAGAGTTTTAGGTAGCTAGTTCTAGTAGAGAAGTATTAAGTAAAAATAAGATAGTATAGTTAAATTCTCTCTTTTCTCTTAATCTACTACTAGTTATAGTATTCTAAAAAGACTAACTTACTTTATTTTAATCTTAATTTTAATCTAATTAATTACTAATTTTTTTTTTATTTTAAATTAATATCTTTTTTTTATTTCTTTTCTTTTTTTTATTTTTATTTTTCTTTTTTTTTTTTAAATTCTATATACTAATAGTCTAGGGGCCTAGAGAGATTAATTCTATAAAAAAATTAGCTATTCTTTTATAGTTATTATCTTATATTTCTTATATCTCTTCTTATTTAATAATAGAGAAAACTAGATTAGAGAAACTAGTATTATAGAGATAAATAATATAATAAAAGAATTTAGCTAATACTAGTAGTAGAATAGATTATCTAGAATTAATCTTTAAATTAATTATTAAAATTAATCTATTTATTATATTAATATCCTCTAGTTACTAGCTTAATTAATTAGCCTGGCTAAAATAGACTAGTAAAAAAGATAATAAACTAGAAAGATAGAGAGTAATTATTAGAAAACTAATAGATTTACTATAATAAAGGAAGAGAAGAGAGAGAGAGAGAAAGAGAGAGAGAGAAAGAAGAAAATAAGATCTTAGCTTAATCTTAGCTTAATCTTTAACTAGATTACAGGTATATTACTCAGGTTTATTTTAATTTAAGGTCTTAGTATATAGATTAAGTTATAGGTAGGTAGTTATCTATTTATTATCTAACTTAGGCAGACTAGATTAGACTTAACTTAACTACTTAAGGATTTAATCTTTAAGTAGTACTATATTTTACTATAGTTAAGTAAGAGAGAGAGAAAGAATTAATTAAGATACTAAATATAATTAATTAGAGTAGATTTTATAATTTATACTTTACTATAGTTAAACTAGATAGCTTATTAAGATACTAGTATCTTTTTTTATTAATTATAATTTAATTAATTAAATTTTATTTTTAGGTCTGTCTATAAATCTTAATTAGTTTATATAAGCTAGAGAAAGATAGATAGATAAATAAATAAATAGAGATATAGATAAATAGATAAATATATATATATTAATTCTCTCTTAATTTAGATTTAGATTAATTAATTAATTATTAATAACTAGTCCTCCTGCCAGGTCTATAGCTAGATAGATTTATTATTATTCTCTTAATTAAGATTTATCTCTCTCTCTCTTATTAAATTATATATATAGGGTGGTTACTACCTGCTTTAGATAATAAAAACCTAGTTAAGAATTATAAAGAAGTTAAGTAATAGAAATAATAGTAATAAAATTAATTTTAATATTCTCTAACTATTTATAGTTCTACTAGGGCCTTAGCCTTAGACTTAAGTAAGTAAATTTATATAGTATATAGTTAGTCTCTACTACTAGCTATACTACTAGCTGGATAAGAAGAAGATATAGAATCTATAATTAAGAAATCTAGAGGCCACTATAAAGAATATAAATAATAGAACTAGATCTAGATAGAAAAAAGACTGTATAAAGAATTAATTCTAGAGAGAAAGATATTAAAAATTAAGATAAATAATTAGCAGGGAGAGAAGAATTAGAGAATACCTAAGTCTTAGTAAAAAGTATACTACCGGGATTCTCTGCACGGCCGGAATCTCAGGGGCGGCCAGCGAGCGCGGCGGCGATCTATATGATAGGACCTGCCAATCAGTGACGCCCCGTGCCGTTGGTCAAGCAGTGGTGTACTCGGCTATCGCAAACCAGAAGCGGCGTGTTGAGGCATACGGCAAAGAACAACAGGTGGAAAAGTGGGTAGAAGGCCGCTGGAACGGACGCATCATCATGACACTCGGAGACAAATATACAGAGTTGGAGGAGCCATTGGCAGATCTCGGGCCCTTCTAGTTCGGTCGTGAGAACTTTGATCTGGCTTCCCTGCAGCAGGCGGCCACAGACTTCCGTGAATCTGGTACGTCAGGCCTGTGAGCGACAGAGCTCTACGTTGTCTAGTCTTAGAATTGCACATACCTTTTGCCTCTGTTTGTTGTGGAAAGCAATAGATCGCTTGATTATTGTGATGGAGTGGCAGTTTACGTCTCGTGTGCCAGTATATATCGTTCAAGTATTACTGACTGATAGCTATCGTTATACAATAGGCTGCTTCTTGCCAACTACTGACCAAACGAGCTTCCATGTCGTTTCTTAATGATTGGCAAGAGTCCTTGTTCTCGTGTCTAAATCATTACAACGATACAGCAATCCTCATATCGGACCGGGAGGATCGTTTATGGGGTGATCGAACCCGATGAAAGGATAAGTAGGATCGAACAGGCCCATCAAGTCGACGCCAATAAATTGCAGGTGCTGCATATCCCCGTCAACGGACGGGAAAAAAAGCTGATCCTGAGTCGTAGTTACTGGTGTCATGTCACTCAAAGAGCTGGAAACCCCAGACCCTGCCCCCGCTGGTTGGTGCACCGGTGCCAGAGCCGCGGCAGGTGGGTATGATGCGCTCTTCGAGCAGACGTTGGTGTCTTCCCGGGCAGGCGATATGGGTAGTTCCTGCTGTCTATTTGCTGCAGACTCATAGAAGAATGACTGTGGTTGGGGCCCCTGGATGCGGCCGAACAAAGATGGGCCCAGATGCTCTCTGCCGGTGTGGTGCCGAATATCAGACACGTATTGCCGAGCAAGGTGGGCAAATTCAGAAATTAGCCCACCCGGGAGAGCTCCATCACTGGAGTACTCGATACGACTAAAGTGGCCGCTGGCAATGTCGAGCAAGGCCAGGTTGAGACTGGTTTCGCTGTGGTTGGGGTTGTCGATGACCAGGTCAAACAGGATCATGAGGGCACAGAGCGGTACCAGGGCTAGAATCCTATATCAACTCAGCGCGAGCTCTTTAAATATTAGAAGGATATTAGGAAGCTTACCACAGTGGGGTTGATGGTGAGACATCAATGTAGCTGGTAAGCTCAAGCACACTACGAGCAGTCTGCATCAGCTCTGTCTTGAGCCCGAGCTGCTGGGCCGGGTCGGCGCCATCATCGTTACAGTGCAGCAGGGTCCAGGTGAGGGTCAAATAGGCATAGTGATAGTAATAATGGGTCCGAAGGGCCATGGAGATGGCTCTATCCTCGGCCAGCACTCGTGATCGAAGGGGCTCCCCCGGGCGAAAGCGAAGAGGTATTGATTCCCGCCAGCTCTCCAGCTCGGACTGCAATGAATCGACCATTGAGTGGCAAACAGCTACGGATTTTGGCACCGAAGCAATCGTCAAGAGTTGGTTTTGTATTTTCGAGATCAGTCGTGAGTATCGCAGGAAGCTGAAGAACCAGTCGTAATCGCCGAACGCACCGACATCCATGGCCGGCAAGGGGCAGGTGATATGGGGATCTTGAAGTGTCTGAAGGGGCGATCACGATTAGAGACATTATGGACAGAGTCTGCACAGCAGGGCCATACCGGTACTTTCCCCGTCACGAAGCAGGATGTCTTTTCCATGTAGTAAAGGACCCAGAAGACTCGGGTCGATAGCTGATCCATCGCGGCCGTGGACCGGTTAATTCCAAGGTTCTGGGCCATCACGGCCGCCTCCGCGATCATGAAAGCCTCGAGGCCGAAGCCAGAAATTGGTTGACAGAAGATTGCCTAGACAGGGTCGTGTTAGCCGGGGACGGTCGGGTCGAGAGGCGTATGGCTCACCAAGCACATCAGGGCCTGAGCGTTCGCGTGATCGGTCAGTATTCAGGGAAGAAAGGCTTGCGACTGGCTGAGCGTACCTGAATGGACGTGAGCGAACCTCGGAGGAAGATGATATCTCGCAGTAAGGACTTGGATTGCTCAAAGTAGGCCCAGGAGGGCCCATTTCTCGGCTCATAGCTTCCACCACCAAGGTTCTGAGAGCCGACGGCGAGGACGGCATAATATAGACACGCCCAAGGCTTGTCCATAACAAGGCTCTGGGCAAGGTTGGGTGCAGAAGCCCGCTTCTCAAAGTCATCGCGGCATAGAAAGGGATAGAATGGATGGACTCGCTCCATGTATGCTAGACATTTATTAGCAGAGGGGGGTGTGAGAGAGAGCAACACATCGTCTCACTCTTTATACACTCTTGCGCTACATATCCGTCTGTCAAATCGGGTGCACGTTTAGCATCACACGTCGAGTCTTCATGGTCAGGATTGACGCCTATAGGCAGGTCGACGGATTTGAGCTTCAAGGCGATCACTGCGCGAATCGATTTCAGCAGCAGCTCCAGGCGATTGTGGCCGAGACGACTGTTGATCGCATGGACTCTTTTGGCCGGAAAGAAGGATATATTGGGGCTGGGTCCTGGGGATGACAATGAGGCCAATCCAAGGGGCGAACCGTGAGACAGAGACGTACCGAGAAGTGTATTCAACTAAGCACGTCAGTCCCGGAAATCGCGCAGAGACAGAGGAGAAAGACTCACCTGGTCGTTGTTGCTACTGGGCCGGCGTATTTCGCGGGAAGTGCTGCGTTCCAAAATATAATCAATGTACAGTTGCGGATGCTCGGCAACTCGTTCTGGCCCGGGGACTGGCAGCGGCGAGACGAGCGTGGAAGTTGTTGGAGAAACTTGGACTGAGACTACAGGCAGTACAGGCAGTACAGACAGTTAGACTTGGACCCGATTGCGTGAGGGCGAGGGCTTGCCCTACCGAGTTTGTCAGGATTCCGTCGGCGAGGGTACTTCCGATAGCTAAAGTGACACGACTGGTTGTGGGCCTCGGGGAAGGGTCAGCAGCGCATATCAATAGCATTATTGGCATGCTATCATTCCAGCAGACTGACCTGGCAGGCTTCGCAGGCAAGCTCGGCCACCGGCTCTGGGTGCCGTCTTACGTCAGTCGAGCGATGACGTGGAGCGGGATGGTGATATGGCGATACTCACTACATTTGATCTTGCGGGAGCGGCAGCGATCGCAGGCATGGTTCAGGAGACTCATCATGCGGCTGTTGTGGTGAAGCACCGTCAGGAACGAGGAAGCAGTATCGTCTCGTCTCCGGGGGAGCGTCGGGGGCTCGGAGTTTAATATATAACAGGAGGAGTCTGGGTGTTTAGGGCCCACTTCGGCGCCGAGGTGGGTCGCTGCTCGGAGCTTGAGTGGAACCGCTGCTCCGGTTATCTTCTCGGTTAGCCCTATAAAGACCGCACGGCGAGTGTCTGCTTGGTCGTGCTTGCAAGCGTTTGCTGCCTTTTTATCTTTTTAATTTGCTCACTTCTAACTTCCTGGTCCAGTATGCAGCTGGATGGACTCCCCACCAATCCGAAGGGACCGAGCTCCGCGGATTCAGGGCTCACTGTACAGGAAGACCGCCGCCCCCCGGATGCAGATATTGCCATCCATGACCAAGTAGAGATTGCAAACCTCGCCCGCAAAACCACCACAGTATCCGGCCACCCAGTCGCCAATCCGTTTATCGCCGCCGACGACCCTCGCGCTGACCCTCGATCGGACCAGTTCGACGCGGCGCACTGGGCAAGACTGGTCCTCCGATTGGCCTCGCAGGACCCCGAGAGATATCCCCGACGCAAAGCCGGGGTCGCCTTCCGGAACCTGAGTGTTTCCGGCAAGGGGAACCCGGTGGCTTACCAGAAGACCTTCGCCAACGTCTTCTTGCAGCTGATGGACCAGGTCCCGGGCCTCCTCAATCCCCACCACCAGCAACGGACGATCCGCATTTTGAAAGAACACGACGGGCTGGTGTGCAGTGGGGAGATGTTGCTCGTTCTTGGGAGCCCTGGCAGGTATGAGACGTGACTCCCTGGCTTATACAGTAGCTGCTAACGACCCGGTGCATAGCGGAGTGTCAACCCTGCTGAAAACCATCGCCGGTGAAACCAAGGGGCTGAAGCTCGATGAGGACTCAGAGTTCAATTACCAAGGTATGGGATGACGACAAAATATCCCCTGTTTCCACCGCTATCAAACTTATATTGGGACCAGGGATCCCTCAAAAGGCAATGCACCAGGAGTACCGTGGTGATGCCATATACCAGGCCGAGACGGAGGTGCATTTTCCACATTTGACTGTTGGGCAGACCCTCGAGTTTGCAGCATTGGCGAAAACGCCCCGGAATCGGTTTCCAGGAGTGTCTAGCCGCGCTTATGCCACTCACATTCGGGACGTGGTCATGGCCGTCTTTGGCATCTCCCATACCCTCAACACCAAGGTGGGCAATGACTTTGTCCGCGGCGTCAGTGGGGGAGAGCGCAAGCGAGTGAGCATTGCAGAAGTTGCTATTGCCCAGAGCCCCCTCCAATGCTGGGACAATAGTACCAGGGGGCTTGATAGCGCTACAGCCGTTGAGTTTGTGCGGACCATTCGACTCTCACTGGGCGTCCTCGAGTCCGCTGCGATCGTTTCCCTTTACCAGGCTCCTCAGCAGGCCTATGATGTCTGTTGTCTCATTTTCCCACTGGTACCTTGAGGCCTGCTGACCATCATTCAGTTGTTCGATAAAGTCACCGTCCTCTACGATGGCCGCCAGATCTACTTTGGACCCATTGACCAGGCCAAAGACTACTTCGTTGCACTTGGGTACCACTGCCCCAGTCGTCAAACCGTTCCGGACTTTCTCACATCAATAACAAGTCCAATCGAACGAACGGCGCGGCCGGGATTCGAAGATCGGGTCCCACGCACGGCAGACGAGTTTGCGGCTCGGTGGAAGGAGAGCCAGCTTCGAAAGGATCTCATGCAGAGCATTGCTTCCTTCGAGCAGCAATACCCGCTTGGTGGCACTTCCGCACAGGAGTTTCACACAGCGAGACAAGCTCAGAAATCATCCTTCATGTGAGCGTGGCCATTGGGCCCTGGGGCCCGCCGAACACCAGAGCTGATCATCATTTATAGGACCCGGAAATCGCCGTATACCATTTCTGTGCCCCAGCAGGTTGCGCTCTGCGTACAAAGGGGCTTTCAATTAATCCAGGGAGACAAGTCCTTTTTTATCGTCACAGTCTTTGGCAATCTCCTCATGTCTCTCATACTAGGCAGTGTGTTCTATGACTTGTCCGACGATTCAGCCAGCCTCAACTCGCGATGTATTTTGCTGTTCTTTGCTCTGTTGTTCAATGCCTTGAACAGCTCCCTGGAGGTCAGGATTTGCACACCCCAACCTTTGGCTGAGGGTTAGGTAGCTAACCGTGCACAGATTCTGTCCTTGTATGCGCAGCGGCCAATTGTCGAGAAGCACAGCACATACGCATTCTACCACCCGCTCTCTGAGGCACTTTGCTCGATGATATGTGATCTTCCAAGCAAAGTACTCAGCACCCTGGCCCTGAATATTCCTCTGTATTTTATGGCCAATCTGCATCAAGACGCGGGGCACTTTTTCATCTATCTCCTTTTCAGCTTCTCTTCAACGCTGGCCATGTCCTCCATCTTCCGCACTATCGGCCAGTCTACTCGCACTATTGCTCAAGCATTGACCCCAGCTGCATTGTTCGTCATTGGCCTCATTGTGTACACGGGCTTCGTTCTACCGGTGCGAGATATGCAGGTCTGGCTACGCTGGATCAACTACATTAACCCTCTGGCATATTCATACGAGTCCCTGGTTGCGAATGAGTTCCGCGGCCGCAGCTTTCCTTGCGCCAGTTTCATTCCTTCTGGTCCTGGGTACGAAGATATCAAACCCACTGAACGCACCTGCTCCATTCCTGGGGCTGTCGCAGGCATCGGGGTGGTGAGTGGCGACGCATACATTGCTGCTAGCTATGAGTACAGCTACTCCCATGTTTGGAGGTATTATACCTGGGTACACGACTATCTACCTTTCCCAGCCTGTGCTGACTTCTGCTATAGGAATTTTGGCATCTTGATCGCTTATATAGTTTTCTTCGCCTGCGTTTACGTTTTGTGCGCCGAGTACCTCACTGTAAACACCTCACAAGGGGAGGTCCTTCTTTTTCAGCGCAGCCAACAACGAGAAATGGACGGCAAACTACGCCTGGACGAAGAGACTTCTGTCGAGCTAGTGCCTCCCAGGGAGTGCCATGTCGCCGCAGGTCCAGCTTCCCATGCGGGGCCAGACAAGCCCATTAATATTAAGAAGCAGACAGGCGTTCTGCATTGGAAGGACTTATGCTATGAAGTGTCGATCAAGGGCGAGCCCAGAGTGATATCAGACCACATCGATGGATGGGTGCGACCAGGGACACTGACTGCGTTGATGGTTTTTTCCTCCCCCTTTCTATGCTGATGTAGTCCCACCTGGCTAACGAGGCACACAGGGAGCATCCGGAGCCGGGAAGACAACATTACTTGATGTATTGGCAAATCGGGTGACTTCGGGTGTTGTCACTGGTAATATCTGTGTTAGCGGACGCCCACGAGACTCGTCCTTCCAGCGGCAGGTTGGTTACGTTCAGCAGCAAGATGTACACTTGGAAACAGCTACTGTGCGGGAGGCTCTGCAGTTTAGCGCCCTGTTAAGACAACCAGCACATGTGCCCCGAGACGAAAAGTTGAGCTACGTTGAAGAGATCATTGCCCTGCTGGAGATGGAGCGTTATGCCGGTGCGATTGTGGGTGTGCCCGGAGAGGGTCTGAACGTGGAGCAAAGAAAACGGCTCACAATTGGCGTCGAACTGGCTGCGAAACCGGAGCTTCTGATCTTTCTTGACGAGCCAACTTCGGGCCTGGATAGCCAGACTGCCTGGTCGATATCAATATTGCTCCGTAAGCTCGCGGACCATGGACAGGCTATTCTCTGCACCATCCACCAGCCATCAGCCCTGCTCTTTCAGCAATTCGACCGCCTCCTCCTGCTTGCCAGGGGTGGCCAGACAGTCTATTTTGGTGATATTGGCGAAAACTCCAGGACTATGATCGACTACTTTGAACGGTACGGTGCACACCACTGTGCGAAGGACGAGAACCCTGCCGAGTGGATGCTGTCTGTTATTGGCGCTGCCCCGGGGAGCTTGGCCGTCCGCGACTGGGCCGAGACGTGGAAATCCAGCCGTGAATTCTCCCAAATTCATCAGGAACTCGAGCGACTAAAGGGTTTGAGTGTTAGTGTGACTAGAAATCCTGTTCCATCCCAGCCTCCACAAGAGTATGCTGCTCCATTCCACACGCAGCTGTGGTTGTGCACCAAGCGGGTGTTTGAACAATACTGGCGCACTCCCTCGTATCTATACAGCAAGTTGATTCTCTGTTTTGGCACGGTAGGTTTGACCTAGCACATGTGCAACATCCCTTGCCAAAACCTCGCTGACCCCCTTTCTAGGCATTGTTCATCGGACTCTCTTTTCTGCAGACGAAAATATCACTTCTGGGCCTTCAGCATCAGATGTTCGCCATTTTCATGTTGTTGGTCATATTTGCGTTCCTCGCCTACCAGACAATGCCCAACTACATCGTGCAGCGCAATCTATACGAAGCCCGAGAGCGACCCTCCAAGGTGTACTCCTGGACCGCCTTCATTATTGCTAATATCGTCGTTGAGCTGCCGTGGAACAGCCTCGCCGCTGTGATTATATACATTCCCTTCTATTACCTAATTGGTATGGACCACAACGCTGAAGTGACACAAACAGTCACCGAGCGAAGCTGGCTTATTGTACTGCTCATTTGGTCCTTTATGATTCATTGTGCGACCTTCACTAGCATGGTGGTGGCAAGTGCAGCTACTGCAGAGGTCGGGGCTATCATCGCCCTCATATTGTACTGCATGTGTCTTATCTTCTGTGGGTACGTGTCTTGTCCTCTCCAGCCCAAGCCTTGCAAAAATAAATAAATAAATAAAATTAAGCGATCGTGGCTAACAATTGTACTGCAGCGTGATGGCCTCCCCCGCCGCACTTCCCGGATTCTGGATCTTCATGTACCGGGTCTCCCCCTTGACATACCTAATCAGTGGTATGCTCTCAGCGGGACTTGCAAGAACACCGGTGAGGTGCGCCGACGTGGAGATTACGCTCATTCAGCCCCCTAGTGGGAAGGCCTGCGGGGAGTATCTCGCCGCGTTTATGCAGGTTGCCGGTGGAGAGGTGTACAACCCTAACGCGACGGCAAACTGCCAGTTCTGCTCTATGTCTTCGTCCGATATCTTCCTTACCTCAGTATCGTCGGACTACAGTGACCGATGGAGGAATTTTGGCCTAATGTGGGTTTATATCGGCTTTAATGTGGCCGCCGCTTTGGCTCTCTACTGGCTTGTCCGTGTTCCCAAGAACTGGGAGGGGTTCCGTGCTCTCCGTTTCCCGTCGCTAGCCTCGCTGAAGGGGTAATAATTGCGCGAAGAGTCGTAGGTTCCATTGTATGTCTCCGTCGTTATCTCCTTCATGTACCTATTACACCTGTCTTCTGTTACCGATTCACTGGTTCTCAACTTAATTCCATCTTACATACAAGTATACTCTATTGTCTACTATTCCAAACACTGCCCGTCTCCACGGACCCAGTTCAGATTGATACGGTCGCCACTATTGACCCCTTATTGGGCATTAGATAATTTTCCGTCATTTATTGGGCCGACCCGGACCGTTTTAGTGTCTCATTTCAGCATTACAAACCGTGGGACTGCGACTGAATGCCATTATTGTTATATAGATATGTTTCTATCGAGTTGTTTAGAGTGAATCAAGAGTCCAATTACAATGCGTATCCTTGTAGGAGTTGATGCCGATTTCACCTAGAGTGGATGAAGACAAACGTTGGTTTGCGTGGTGCAACAATTAAATATATATATCGCAGAACACCAAAAGCTACATGAACTTCTATAGATCCGCAGTCATTCAGCGGGTACACCAAGAGTCATCCCTCCGTCAACTGAAAGCACCTGCCCAGTAATCCACTGAGACTCCGGCAGACAGAAAAACAGAATAGCCTGCGCAATGTCTTGCGGAACACCCAGTCGTGGCCACGGAGTAGCACCCTTCATGCCCTTTACAATATCCTGATTCTCCAGGTTTCCACGCGCCATGCCGGTCGCCACTACGCCCGGTGCTACGCAGTTGATGTTGATATGATCCCGAGCGTGGTCAATTGCCCCTGCTCGAGTCATATGGTTTATTGACGCTTTGGTTGCAGAGTAGGCCACTTCGCCTGCATACGCGATGTTCGCGGCGCAGGACGAAACATTGACAATCCGACCACGGCTCCCCCAATGCTCGTCAACATCCTGTTTGAGGAATTGGCGTAATGCGAGGCGCGACATCTTTGATGTGCCCGCTGTATTGATCTCCAGCATCCTCCACCAAAGCTCATCGTCTTCGTCGACGAACTTCCGAAATGGTGCCCACAAGCCCGCGCAGTTGATAAGAATGTCCACGCCTCCGAACGTCTGTCAAATGCCGCGATGGTATTAGCTATGGGACTTTGCATGAAGAGAGAGTACTGGAGCAACCATTTACCTCTGCAGTGTGCTCAAATGCCGCTTCCGCTTCCTCGAAATTGGAGATGTCGATTTTGTGGAATATTGCAGTGCCGCCGTTCTCGATTATCACTTCTACCGTAGTTTTGGAAATATCATCTTCGTAGCCCTTGGGATTCGGCTCTGGTTTGAGATCGCAACAGACCAGGATTGCTCCCTCGCGTGCGAGTGCGAGCGCGGTTGCCCTGCCCATCCCCGATGATGCGCCTGTCACAAGCGCCACTTTCCCTTGCAGACGTTCGTAAGACATGATAGGGTGGCTACAATTCGTTAGCAATAGTGTAGTGAAATAAGCAAGAGAAAAAGGTACTACCCTTCGTGTTGGATTATATACATGGCTTTTGTTCGAGTTCGGCAATCATTCGCTTGGTAATGAAGTCCCTACCGGCGATTGTCTGCCTCGGGTTAACTTGGGAACAGTCAGTAGTGTATTAGCGTCACAATCATGTACGGCTTGATCTTCGGTGGCCGGTCCAGTGTTGCGCTGGGGGAACTTCTTGAGATAGCCCGATGATAGTCCGGACCGGAGGAATTGGTGACTAGGATGGGACGTACCAGAGAGCGATACTAGATATATTGGATTCTCTTCTGGTGCCTCATGGAAAAGTTCTCAACGGATACGTTCTTCCATTTGAAAATAGTCCATACAGGGGCCGCTTCTTTGTACAACCATGGAAACTCTTCCAGCCTTCCTGCAGTCAGCGGGCAAGCCATATCCCACATGGGCTGCTGTATTTGCTATCGTGGGGTTCGCACTCTATCGTCTCCTTCAAATCGGACGGCGAGACCCTCGTATGCCAAAGGGGCCGCCTACTGTCCCTATCCTGGGCAACTTTCATCAAATCCCATCAAGTGGGCTGTACGCAAAGTAAGTGCTAAATGACCAGCCACGAAGATCTGTGAACATCACTAGAGCTCACATTCCCAGATTCCGTGACTGGGCTGCCGAGTACGGTTCAGTGTTCTCGCTGAAATTCGGACCGACCAATATTATCGTCCTCTGCGATCGCAAGGCCGTCCACGCGCTACTTGATAAGAAGGGAGCCATCTACTCCGACCGGCCGCCGAGCTATGTCGGTGGTCTCTTGACACAGGGCGACCACATTGCGCTGGAGCAGATGGATCCCATTTGGCGTGAAAAGCGCAAAGTCATTTCGCATAATTTCTCCCCGAAGAACCTGGACGAGAAAGTGTTTCTCGTCCAGGAAGCCGAGTATGTGGACTTCGCTTGCACACCTCCTGACATACTGATCACCGGTGTATAGAGCAACGGTTCTTCTGAACGACCTCCTGAGCAACCCCGGGGGCTTCTTCAACCATGTGCGGCGCTACACTGCTTCCTCCGCTTCCGTCCTGGCTTTTGGCCACCGCGGCCCTACCTTTGATTCATTCTGGGGTCACGTACGTAGCTCTATGAGCCAACCTTGACACCAATCATCAAGCTAACATTCGATCAGGTTGTCTACGATGTAATGGATAGATGGACCGAAGCAATGGAGGCGGGCGCCAATCCACCCGTAGATGAGTACCCCATTCTGAGGCTGATTCCGAAGCGCTTTGCCTATTGGAAAAGGCGTGCAATTGCAGCTGGCAAAGTGTTCGATAAAATGTGGGGGAAAGCACGCCGGATTGTAGACGAGCGCCGCGCGAGGGGCGTCCGCAGGGAATGCATCATTGATAGCCTGCTGGACGAGTACGACAAGAAGGGCTGGCCAATGTCGCAACATGCATTCAACAACCTGGTGGGCGAGGTTGTGGAAGGTGCGGCTGATACAACGGCCGCTCAGATCCTGACGTTGATCTTGGCTTTTGCCAAATATCCCAACGTCCAGGAGAAAGCCCGTAGAGAAATTGATAAGATCTGTGATGCGGGCCGGGTACCCACCTTCAGTGACTTCAAGAGCATTCCGTATATCAACCAAGTCGTCAAAGAAGGGATGAGATGGCGCCCGGTGTAAGTGCTTGTTGTCCCACCTTCCCGGGTCAGCTGGTGAAATAACCTTCATCATAGAGCCGTCACAGGTTTACCTCACCGAGTTCGAGAGGGTTGGTGTCTATCGGAGCTCCTAAATTCGTCCTCATGTTGCTAACTATGGCTTTAGACGACTGGTATGAGGGCATGTTCATCCCCAAAAACTCGACGCTCTTTGTGGCCACCTGGGCGATCCACCATACAGAAGGACTCTTCCCCGACCATGACGCGTTTGATCCTGAGCGTTACGCGAACCATCCAAAACTCGCAAATGACTACGCCGGAAGCCCAGAATGGACCAACCGAGATGAGTGTACCAGCAGTTACCCTGTTTGTCTGGCCTCTAACTAACCTGTTTCTTGTCTATCCACATCACTATGGCTATGGTGCAGGTCGCCGCCTCTGCCCTGGTGTACATTTTGCCGAGCGCAATATGTGGCGTATCGCAGCGAAGTTACTGTGGGCGTACGAATTCTCAGAGCCCGTTGACCCGACCACTGGAGAGGTTGTCCCGATTGACGTGAATGCATACAACCCGGGGATTTTGCAAGCACCGCTCCCTTTTAATGTGCATATTAAGCCGCGAAGCGAGCAGCATGCAGCGACGATAAAGAAAGAGTTGGGTGGAGCGTTGGAATTTCTGAAGCAGTGGGAGTAAATTAGGGGGCGTAAGTCAAACGCCAATGGAATTAAATTCCAGTTATGCTGCGCATTCGGGGTTCCACGTCCGAATGAACTAGTACATATGAAGGTCTGATTCATTGGATCTCGCAGCCTGCTGCACCAAATAACTAGTGACAGGAGTAATAGGATTAATAAGCTAAAGAAAAATATGACAGGGTTAATTTCGGCGCAATTCAGCATCTCGCATATTCCGGCCCGGTCGGATAAGGAGGCCCGACAATGCGGGGTTAGACCCAGTGCGCGGGTGTCCTAACCCTAAGTAAGCCCGTAATAATACGGGGTCGCCTGGTCCAAGTCTGGGGAAGACATTCGATTTACCACTTGGAAATGTGGTCCAAGGCAGGCTCCGAACGAGACCGCCGGCGGGAGGGGGACATTGCGTGCTATTCGTGCCGCCGGTATGTTGCGAGGCCACGCTGTTGGAGAATCCGACGTTAACAAACAGCGACCTGTAGGCGCAAGGTCAAATGGTACGCGAGACCGTCAGCAGCTCATTTCTGCAAGGCTAATGCAACACTCCAGCGACCGCCAACGGCCTCAGTGCCTAGTTTGCCTTGAAACTTCTCAGGATTGCTGCTATCCTGAGCGCTCTTTGAAACCGGGGCCCAAACTAGGTAAGCCACAAGTCTCAGTGACCGAGTCCCATATGCGCTCATCAGCCTCGAGGGTCCTCGAAGCGGCCTCGCAAACGAACACTCCAACAATCAGACAACGATGGATCGGAAACATCGCCGAAATCAAACGCTCCCAGAGAGAGCCTTGAGACCAGCTCTAAAACTCCTGGAATTCCTCCTGCCCTTAAGACCACACTCGATGCTGGAGCCGGCACTTTGGGTGAGAAGGGCGTGAGCAGCATGAAAACTGCGTCAGATCCACGTTCTAATATTCACGATCTCTCCTTCATCTTACACCCTGCCCATGAAGCTGCGTCTCCCGAGAATAAAGAGCCGACTCCACCAGAAACCACCTCCAGGGAGTTGCATTGCATGAAATTTGAAGATGCTTGTGCTGCTCTAGGGGTTACTGTAACTAGTATGGCTACTATGTATAATATTCTCTTCCTAACCATCCCCTTGATGGTTCTACTGACGCAGTTTTAGAGTCAACATCTACTTCAACAACATGGTTGCGATAAGCCTTTTCCAGGAGCCGAAATTCGCCCAGCAGGTGCATGATGAAGTTCCAACCACCCACATCAGCGCCCTGTTTGCTGCGATTGCAGCCTACGCTGCCCGGCTATGCCCAGAAGAGGTTATGGAACAGTGCGTCACCTTACCTGATGAAAACATTTCACCCGCAGAGTATTTTCTGGCACTCGCGTTCTCCCTTACTGATACAGCATTGGCCGAGTGCGGCGACAAACCACCCTCCTTGCGGATCATACAAGCGTTAACCATCGCAACACATCTTCAGCTCACAAAAGGTGTTCGAGGGAGGGCGTGGAGATCTCTCGGTACGTGTATTAGATTGGCCTATGAGCTGAACCTACACCTAGTCGATGCCACCCCAGACGGCTTTGACAACCTCGAGGTACAGCAGTGGACCTCGAAGGAGGAGATGAGGCGACTATGGTGGGCAATTTGGGAAATGGACGTCTTCGCCAGTACTATTCGACGTACGCCTCCCGCAATCGATTGGTCTCAAATTGAGACCCTGCTCCCTGTGTCGGACGAGCATTGGTTCAATGGCCAGCCCCAGGCTAGCTGCTTCATGGAGCGAGATCCAATCCGTCGATGGAAGGCGCTGCAGGAAAGTGGTAATCATTCGCCCAAAGCCTGGTTCTTGGTGGTGAATTCCTTTATGAAGCAGGCCCAGGCAATTTCGAGTCCCCGAAGCATTCCACCTCGTGCTCCTCCTTATCATCAAACAGACGTCGAGAAGGATTCAGGCTCCAGAGTTGCTGCAAGTCCGGACATAGTGGCCGACATCGCAACCCAGAAGTTGGGTACTCTGGCAAACTGCCTGCAGTGCTTCACGTCAGTCCTGCCGGAGACACTTCGATATCGCAACCAGTATCTCAGCTTCGAGGCCCGCGCTCCTGGTCAGCTCACTTCCACACGGCAACAGCACTGCGCTGTTTATAACATCTACGTCATGGTGCAGCTGGCTAAACTCATGATACATCGATACGATGTTTTTCGGTGTCTTGACTCGGTAGCCAAGCCACACCACGAGTACGGCAATGCAGAAGCAGAAAAGTCGAATTCCACCCTTGACCAAGGGGCGTCCGAAGCGGATAACCTGGCCCTGGCCCAGTACTTCGAGGCAGCCGACAATATCCTTTCAATCGTCACCCGAAGCTGTGATGACCACGTTCGATTTATCAATCCCTTTTTATCAAGCACAATCTGGCTTGCGGCCGCAGTCCAGGTATTTCGACAAGAGTTCGATCAGGGTGAAACGCAGCGCGCCTTCTTGAGATCCAAGTTTGAAGTGTTGTATATGGTGTACACAAAATGTGTCTCCTGGTGGAAAACCCATACAGCTATGGAGCAAAATCTGGAATTCCTAGCAACGCAGCTTGAACGGTATCGCGGGGCCAAAGACTCTTGCAACAGCCCCCTGGACAGGCTTTCGGGTGCGTCAGGCGCAGCCCAATCTAAACAGGTGCCACCTCACCGAAACCATTCTCCCCAAAGTGACACTCCTACTCCGTTGACAAGCATCAGAAAGCTCACTGGATTTGGCAATTGTAAAGGACTTTCTGGGGGTGTAATGCTCGGCAGTGACATCTCCAGTGTCCACAATACGGTCCCAGTTGACATGTTGGCTGCTCATCCTTCACCGATAGGTATGGCTAACTCTGGGCTCGGTGCTTACTGCACTGAATCCGATGTCTCAGCTTCAGACGGGATATCTCCTGCTTTGCCATTCACCCAGGGCCCATTCAGCATGAACGATCTTTGGGCACTGGATGGCGTGCCGCCTCAATATTCTGATACCACAGAGTTCAGAAGAGATAATCATTCCCACGCTCAAGGAGATCCATCTGCCGAGTATTTAGATTCTCTGCTCTCTACCAGACCAAACCAAGAAGCCTCATTCGCACGATTCTTGGCTGGCGACCTAAACTTTGGCAACGACCTGTCTCTCGAGCTCTCCACTAACATTCACGGCTTGTTATCGGGGCACTCTATGTATTGATAGTATTAAATCGCAGATGCATCCTTATGTATGTTATCTTTCGTTGTCTATGGATCATATGTATTTGCCCGGTGGTGACTCCAATTTAAGGGACCGGCTTTGTCCAGCTATAGTGCTGTCATGGCTAAACTTAATTCTCGCTTCTAGCCAAGCTCAAGCCAGCTCTGTAGCCAAAGGTCATACCTGGTCCTATGCTCGACCCGCCACCAGGATAGGCCCCGTTAAAGACCGAGTTCTGGTCACAGCCCACAGCGTACAGACCGGGAATAGCATTGCCAGTCTCATCTAACACTTGAGCATCTGTATTTGTTGCAAGCCCAAGCAGCGTGCTGACATTACCGGGATATACTGGAAGCGCATAGAACGGCCCTCTCTGACATGGGCCCAGGTTCGGGTTGGGCTTCACCGAGCTGTCCCCGTAAAACTGGTCGTAGGCATTTTCCCCGCGTGAGTATTCGATGTCCTTTCCAGTTACTGCAAAAGAATTGAACTGCTGGACGGTCCTATCTAAGCTCTCTCGGGGCACCCCAATCTTGTCGGCGAGCGCCGATATAGTAGGAGCTTTCTTCAAGTATCCCTTTCTTAGGAGCTGCCAGATCGGATATGGCCATGGAAGTGCCATTCCCATTCCATATTTTCGGAGATGATTGAAATCCCCTATATAGAACGCTTTCTTGATTCCCTTCAGATGCATCGTCGACACAAACTCCTGGTATGGAGCCGACTCATTCTCAAAGCGTTTTCCATCTGGGCTAACGATGAGCGACCCCGGCTTAGACCGGTCAATTGCAAAGTGAGGATAGCGTCGAACAGGCTGGCCAGGAACCCTGAGCAGAGATATAGGTGCAAATATTCCATTCATGGGGTTCTTCGGAGGAATTTTTCCACCACTCTGCAGCCCAATACGCTTTCCATCTCCGGTGCTGCCTGATGCCGATGCATTCCACTCATGGGGGAGGTACTCTTGTGCTTCCGCTGATCTTCCAAAGCCTCCACTGGCGAGTACAACGCCCTTTGTGGCTTGCAGAGATATTGTATGGCCATCCTGGAGCACCTTCAGGCCTGTAACCCGACCATGTTCCAGAATAGCCTCCACAGCGGCGTGCTTGTTCCACAGCTGAACTCCTTCTCTCTGAAGTGATACAAGTAGTCGGCCTACCAGTGCATTGCCATTCGCCATGGCCGTCCCTTTCCCAAATGTTATAAGGTCAAGAAGATATCTCGAAAAAACTTTGACCGCGTATCGCAGATTGCTGATGCTTCCGAATGGATTCGTGAGGATTGGTAGCGCTGCGGGATCGACTTGCATTGTCCCAAACGCCGAGAGTCCCTGAAGGGGGTACCGAACATTCTTGATCAGTTTACCCAGCGCGCGCCCATCAAACTCTTTTGTCAGTAGTGTTCGTCCAATCGAAGCCCCGTCCTTTGATACGTGATAGTCTGGCAGTGGCACCGGCTTAAAAGCGACTTCGGAATTAGCCTCCATCCACTCCACCATTTCACGGCCTGATTTTAGAAAGGCTGCAACGCGATCATGAGTATAGAGGGAGCCAAGAGCGTTTCGAAGGTATCTATCTGCTTTGGCCGTGTTGTCCTGAACCTGAATGCATGGCTGATGCTTGTTCGCTGGAATCCAAGCTCCGCCGCCGGAGAACGCTGTCGTCCCACCAAACCAGCGAGTTTTTTCCAACACAATGACGCACAGCCCATGCTTCGCTGCGACATAGGCTGCCGTCAGTCCGGAGCACCCTGATCCCACAACGATGACATCGAATTTCCGGGCCTCGTTCCCTGCCTGGAAGACCTGGTTAGAGGAAGCGAACATTTGGTTCCGCGACACATAAAACGCACGTGCAGTCTCCTGAGGCGGCACAAGGACCTGTAAAGGGAGCTTTGAGTATGGCCGTTTTGCAGAGGGCTCATGTGGAAAATCTTTGGTCTGGTGAAGAGCATCATTCGGATGTTGGCTTCAAACGCCGTAGTTGTCAATTGAGCCCGCGAGGAATGAAAACACGCCCACATCGCAAACCATATGCATGCACTCCAACTTATGGACTTCACCCCGTGTTTTGAACTAGTTTGCTTACTGAGCACCTCCATCCCGTAGCCGAAAAGACGGCCCTGCCTTTTGCTGGCTCCTCATCTCGGGCCATCTTCGGGGTATTCGTCCCTACCTAGAGTCACAACGTCACCGCTACTGGCATCTGAGTTGTCAGAGGGTTATATATGCCACGCAGTACCGCTTTGATGCTCACATTTCCAGCCCGTCTTACTTTCCCAGGAGCAGCTAGCAGCTATCGAAATGGAATTTCCCAAATTCTTCGTCATCGCACGGGTTGTTGGACGTAACGGGACGTTGCCACTGGTATGTGAAACTATTCTTTGTATGCAATCTCAAGGCTAACTTCATTAGTGGAAGGAGCGTCTCGTTCACCTGTGTAATGTCTCCGCCACTGAGCGTTTAGGCGACTCCTATTATTGGGGACAAGATCTCGATGGCGAACCTGACACCCTTTGGGGACTGGAAGGATACACTCATCCTGTCGGCTTTTTTATTGGACATGTGTCGACAGATATCTTCAAAAGGGAGATGGCTCATGTTGATGCTGACAGACTCCTGCGAACAGAACAAGGGTTGGCAAGCCCTGATTACGACCTGCACCACTATGACTGGGTCGGTGGTTGGCTCAAGCGGGCAGATGATCCTGCACGGGACGCAAAAACTAGTTTGGTCGCCGTTATTCACTTCTGGGCTAGCAATGAAGCTACAAGGGCAGACCTGATCGCCACACTTTTGGCCGCTGCGAACGACTTTAACCACTGGGTGCAGAGCTTCGGCATTCTCAAAGAAGTGAGAGATGAGAGAATGGTTACGCTGTGGCTCCGGTTAGTACATTACGCGTAATCCGTATACCTGCAGCAGCTTACCAGCCCTAGGTCGAAATCCCCTGAGGACTACGAACGCTTGGAGTCCTCAAGCAAGTTTCGTGGTTTAATGACTAGGGCAAGCGTAATATCAACCAAGACTGAGGTCCACCTCTCAAGAGCCTTCGACGGACACCTTGATTTGTCTTCGGGCTGTGCCTGAGCGACCGAAATATTATCAAGCAGAGAATGACAGTTGCCAGTGTGCAGAGATCCATACATAGAGAAGTAAATTGTTATTTGAAAGTCGTTCTTTGTCGCCACGGGTGAGAGTCTGAATTGACATAGAACTTTCACTATAATATGTACACTGTCCATACGATCTATCACTACGCACATGTTTACCAAGATCCAACGTTGTTCCAGTAGTTCAATATCCCTTCACCACACGTCCTCCTGATTGAACTGTTAGTCAGAACGCTCTGAGAACAGATTCTAGGAAATCGGGGTACCTGATAGCGCCCAGTAGCCTTGAGCTTATGTACAAATGCCTCTCCTGATTCTGCGCTTGTGCTGTCGTCTTCGAGGATTCGGCATAAAACGGCTTGGACCTGCCGTGCCATTCTCGCATCGCCGCAGATGTAGACATAGCCTCCGTTCTCAACCAAGAGAGAGCGGACAGTTGACGCGTATTGCGTCAATTTGTCCTGGACATATACTTTTTTCTTACTCCGTTGAGAAAATGCAGTGTGCATTGTGAAAAGCGGGCCTAGTTTCCACTGGCACTCCTAGCATAACTGGTCAGCGGAACTGTTCTACATAGCCCAATAACCTGCTTCCGGGATTGTGACATACCTTCCATTCATCCGCGTAGACAAAATCTTCGGACTGGGTGCGACAGCCGTAGAATAGGACCATCTTTCCAGGTGACAGACCGGCACTGGCCTGCGCCACCCGTTCATGGATAAAGGCTCGGAATGGAGCAACCCCAGTGCCAGGACCCACCATAACTACAGGCCGTGAGATATCCGCTGGAAGCCTGAAGTGCGACTGGCGAATGTGGGCAGCAACACTGAGCTCATACTTGCCGCGAGGCCCAGAAAGAGCATAGGCAACACTCCCTGCTTCTGGCGTTTCGCCGCATTTCTGGTGCTTAAGTCCCAGAAGGTAGTTAGTTGCCACGCCCTTGAACCATCGTCCGTCAAGTTTGGTCGACTCAACCACTGCGGTGATCGCGACGCGGTCTTTATCGACCAGTGAAGATGATGAGATTGAGTAGTAGCGTGGCTGGACAGCACGCAGACCTTCAATGAGAACGGCAAATGGGACAGAGCATGCAGGATTATCTGGGCTGACTGTCTCTATCAGCTGTGCTATATTTAACATTCGAGAGCTGACAAGTTCTGCAAAGTAATCCTTATTGTTACCAACCTTGGCAAGGACCTCCTTTTGCTGCTGGTCCGCAGCGAATCCAGCACAAGTTTGAAGGAACTGCCGGGAGACGGGGCCTGCTATCTCAAGGTAATACCGTGCAGCAGCGTCATAGGTTGTTGGTGTAGGAATTGGCAACTGGGAAACGCCATCGACCGCCGATATACCAATGGTCTCGTGTCTTTTGTCTATCAGGCCAAACACCCGCAAGAAACGATCAACTTCTGCATTCGAATTCATGGGCCATATTGCGACATGGTCCCCGGTCTCGTATGCCAGATCAGAATCCGAAATATCCAGCTCAAGGTGAAGGCAATTGCGCTCTGCCGACCGGAAGAGTTCATAACAGTGCTTGACCGGAACAACGCAGGGGTCGCGACGGTTGCTGGGCATGGTTTTAATTGCATTAAGCTCGTCTACGCTGCGTTCACCGAGAAACACACGCTGGGTTTGCGCATTGGCCTCTGAGACGGCAAACGATGGCTCGAACTGAGCATCTTGCTCTTGAAGATCCATGGTGCTCGATAACGCCTGCCACACCTCGTCTTTCCAACTAAGAAAATCGTCTTCTGTTGATCCCTTCGCATCATCACCTTGGCCAAGAACGCCCAATCGCTTCGCACCACGCAGTGACAAGGCAGCGTCCACCTTTCGTGCGACAAGATTGTAATGTTCGTAAGTACTATTGCCCAGTCCAAACATTGCATATCGCATATTGCCAAGCGGATGTTCGTTCTCTTCGGAGGTGATGAATTCAACGAACTGTATCGCATTGTCCGTAGGCTCGCCTTCGCCATAAGAAGAAAGCAAGAAGACGGCAGCCTTATGCGGGGGAAAGTCGACCAGCGTCTCATAATCGTAGTCTTCCAAGTCCGCCACCATCGTTTGTAGCCCGAACCGTGAATGGCCCTCCTTCGCTAGTCGCTCAGCCAGGTCTTGCGCGTTCCCTGTTTGTGAACCGAAGAGTACAACCAGGTCTTTCTTTGTGGCGTCCATGCGCTGCACAATGCACCTGTCATTTGCCTGCTTCGAGCTATTCGCTCCTGAGCCGATCCCGCGATCTCTCCCTATGTTGAATATTCGGCATTTTGACAACGCTCTACGCAGATAAGCAGTGAGAATGATGACAGTCAGGGCAGTGAGACAGCCGGTTGCGAGCATAGAGTCAGGAGGCTTGGGCAGAACTGGTTAGTTGATACGAACAAAGACCGGATGGCTTGGCTGCGCATACCTGAACTCTACCCCGTATCTGGTTGACTCCCGATGCCGAATAGACCTCAGCTGAGGATTGACTGGCTGTCGGAGCAGAGGGATCGAGGTCTCTCATACTGGGTGTTTATGATGAGTCGCGACGGTCAACAAGGCTAATACCTTTAATCGGATCGCACGATCGTAATTCTGTGCAGAAAATGTGTTGCTTCCCGCCGGGACATGCAGATACTGTCGAGCTTGTCAGGGGGGGGGGATCCAATGCGAGTTATTGCAGTAGGCTACTGCTCGCTCATTTGTCGTCATTGCGCCGAGATGGACTTCTAGCCCAGCTTTCTATGGCAGTTTGATTCCCTATGTAGCCACCAATCGGGTCTCGGACGATCATCCTGTTACACAGGAGCCAAGTCACCCTTGTTGCGGCAGGATCTCGCCTCAACTTCGGACTCATTCATGCCTTTGGCCGCGAGCTTCCGCACCACAGGGTGGAGCAAGGTAAGCAGAATAGGCTGCAGGCATGTTCTGCCTGATAGCCACGGCATAACCAGGTATTCGGTGTGATGTATGGGACTCGCTTTCGTGATTCCCCCGATAAGTTGGTGAGCGAGCCTACATTTGAGTAGTCCAGATGCAAGGAATTTCGCCATTGCATACTCTTGCAAGGCATAAAGTCATATGTGTGAAATCATTGGAATAGACTGTGTTCATAGAGAACGGGATATATTGAGAGGCTATCTGAGGCATATACGATAATACTGTAATACTGAAAGTCACCATGAGCGTTGCCGCATAAGTCACTGCATGAAGGTCGGAGGAAGGTCAGGTCCTAGGTTCTATTAGAATTTCTAATTGGCATCCTCATGGTACGGCCGACTTACCCCAGACATGCAAATTGCCCGGTTGGGCAAGCTCTCTCTCTGTGGGATTGGCGTCATTGAGCAAGTCCCCGTCAACATAATGCTCCAAGATGAAGTTCGAGGTGTCGAACCTATGACAAGAGGTTAACGGGGATGCATAAATAACCTATTGTAGTAAGAGCATACCAATAATCGAAGATTTGGCTGCCCATGATATGCCGTCCTACACCCCAGCAGTTTTGATAGCCCTTGTGGCGGAGCCAGTCATGGCCCAGAACCTGTGTGTCAAAATCGTGCGTTTCGAAGGAGGAGTGGTGAACATGCCACTCAGGGCCCTCAAAGAAAAAAAAGCAGTGGTGATCAACAAACTCCGATCCTCGGTCCAGATGGAGGAAAGCGGTTATGTCCTTCCCATTGCCATCATGAACAAGCTATCCCGACTCAGTAAAACCATCAATAGAAGAGACACCTTGACACAACTTACATTGCTGGCTTTGAAATTGAAGTGGGTGGTGTAGAACTGGTATGCCTTCGCAAAATCAGTCACGCACACTCCAAAGTGCCCAAGCTTGTGAACTGGCGCAGGCCCTGCATCGTTGTTAGAAACAAGCAATTGTTGCATGCGAGATTCGTCAGACTTGCGCACCTTTCTCAAATCGTTGAGTTTTATTGCCAGGGCGATGCTTTTCCTCGGGCTGCACATGGGAACGCATCAGCCAGTAGTCAGGAGAAAGGGAGAGGCCACGCTGGAACTGACAAAGTTGAAGTCCAAGGGGGTGCGTGTTTCCACATGGTCCCTGAGTGTCTGGCCGTGGACAAGGTGCATAGGAAACTTGTCTACGGGATCATAAAACGTTACACATTTCCCCCCTCCCGGGGCCTCAGTTAGCGGATAGATGTCGGAGGCTCCTGGCAACGATCTGGCGATTTCAAGATCGGCTTCGGACTCGACGACAAAAGCGGCACCACCGAATGCGCCTTGTTTGCCCTTGCTGGCGCAGTAGACGAATGGTTCTGAACCAGTGCCGCGGAAGTAGAAGTTGTCTCCGACACGCTTCGTTTCTGGCATTCCAAAATCTTCAAGAAAGTCACGGGCACTGTCGATGTCCTCATGAGTATAAAGCACATGGGCAATGCGCACGAGTTGAATCTTAGGAGCCATGACCTTAGTTGCAATACCAATCTTTCGGGTAGAAAACTTGGGATTCTGCGCTGATAGAGAGTGTGGGCTGATGGAAGGAAGCTACTCGGGCCTCTCGACGCCGGAAGGCTCAGCGCTGCTTAAACAATCAATTACCCCTATATCCGCATATCTGGGGCCCTGGAACACGCCAGCTTTCGGGCTATCTTCAGAGCATGACTGTGTGATCTGCAAACAGGGTGGACCTAGTCGTACGATGGACAGCTTGCCCGGGCTGTCTTCGGGAGATTTCCTGACCTCATAACAATGATTGGAGAGCAGGCTTGCTCTACAAACACCAGAACAGCATCTATACCTGGCTGCCTTTGCTTAAAGGACAGCATAATGGCGGCGAGAAATCATCTTCTGGAAGCCAGTATTGCCATGCAAAGGCAGTGCTTCATATCTCGGTCGACCATCCGCTACCTCCACACGAACTGTTCATCTTTCACAAGGCCTCCACGCCCATCAGGCACAACCCGTATCATGGCTCCCATCGCAACCATCGGGGTTAATGGAGCGAGTAGCGCGATTGGTGCTCTCCATGAGCAAACGAGGCGAGCCTCGACTGGACAAGTGCCTGGAGAAGTCGACACCGACTTCTTCATCGTCGGAGCGGGGCCTGCAGGAGCCTCTCTTGCCGGCTTTTTGGCGAGCTACGGTAGCCGATTATTCCCAGCACTCCCTTGCGTTACTTGTTTAACTGACCATTCAAAGGTCTTAAGGGGTTGATGATAAGTGCTGCTCCAGCGACAGCCAATACGCCACGGGCCCATATTACCAACATGGCTGCCTTGGGTCTGCTACGCCTCCTCTCGCTCCATATAGCCATCTCCATGCTAACTCTGACGCAGAGTGTTTGCGCGACATTGGGCTTGACAAGGAACTCCATGAACTTTCTTCCAAGGGCCACTGCATGATACACACGCGATGGTGCCATAGTATGGCGGGTGAAGAGTACGCTCGGATTCATTCCTGGGGCCATGCACCAGACCGTAAGGCAGGTTGGCCATTGATCTATACTGACATCGAGAAACATGTAAACTAACTTCCCGTCAGGGTGATTACGAGAAAGCTAGTCCCTGCTCTCCGGTTGATCTGCCTCAAACACTGCTGGAACCAGTTCTAGTGCGACACGCAGCGCAACGTGGATTTTCCACGCGGTTCAACACAGAGCTGTTGTCATTCGAGAACGGTCCAGACGGCATTATCACCGCCACCGTTTATGACAAGCTTTCATCGCTCCAGTACAAGATACGGACCAAGTACCTTTTCGGCGCTGATGGTGCGAGGAGTCAGGTTGTCAACCAGCTAGGCCTGCCTCTTTCAATCAAACCAAGTCAGGGACTAGCAATCAACGTTCTGGTCAAGGCTGATCTCTCGCATCTTGTCGATACTCGCCGCGGAAATCTGCACTGGGTAATGCAACCTGATAAAGAACACCCACTATTCGGCTGGCAGGGGATCGTCCGCATGGTGAAGCCATGGAACGAATGGATGTTTATTCTCCTCCCTACCAGAGACTGTGATATCAATATTGAGCCCTCCAAGGAGGAGTATCTGCAGCGCGTCGGAGAATTCATTGGCGACGAGACACCCGCGGAGATATTGGACATTTCCAAATGGTTCATTAACGAGATCGTGGCCGAGAAATATTCTCAGGGAAATATGTGAGTAGTCTCTAGCCATATCGGAATGGTTTGGCGAGAACTGACACTGTCCCGCAGCTTTTGCCTGGGAGACGCTGTTCACAGGCACCCACCCATGAATGGTCTTGGCTCGAATACGTGTATCCAGGATGCATTCAATTTGGCGTGGAAGGTTGCGTATGTCCACAAGGGCCTGGCCCCGTCCTCTCTGTTGGATACATATAGCATTGAGCGGCAGCCAGTCGGGAGCTCCATCATCACCCGTGCCAACCAGGCGTTCCGTGACCATTCTGATATATGGGAGGCCTTGGGGACCCTACCAAATGAAGTTCAAGCTCGTCAAAAAGTTTTATCCGAACTAATCGAGTCCTCTGCCAAAGGGCGTGCCCGTCGTGTTGCTTTCCAGAAAGCGATTACTCAGAGCTCGCGGGAATTCCATGGGCTCGGCATCGAGATGGGTCAGGTCTACAATGGCCCAGCTATCTACGCGAGTGAGGAAGGTGTGCCATACAAACGCTTTGGACGTGCCGCCGAAGACAAGGTGTTGTACTACGAGCCAACCACGTACCCTGGATGCCGGCTACCGCATGTGTGGCTTAACAAGGCGGTGCCAACTGAGCCAGTATCGACGATTGATCTTTCAGGACACGGCGCGTTTACATTGTTCACTGGTATTGGTGGGGATCCCTGGAGGAGTGCAGCCGAAGAGGTTTCGGCGGAGCTGGGGGTCCCAATCAATGTATACTCCATTGGATTCCGGCAGGAATGGGAGGATAGTTACTTCGACTGGGAGCGACTACGCGGTGTTGAGGAGGATGGGGCAGTCCTCGTCAGGCCAGACCGAGTGGTTGGCTGGCGCGCACAGTCGGTGTCGAGGAGCTCTGACAGCCCCTGTGCGATGAGACTGTGAAAGGCCCTGAAAGCCATTCTCGGGAGATGACTGTAGCGAATTACTTTATCTTCTAGCACACATTATGTGTCTTTTCCCTTTCAATGTTAACCAGCGTTGCAACTCGCATGTCACTTCCTTGGTAGCAGCTTGGCCCGGATGTGATACCAGTCCGTCGGCCGTGTTCCAAGCTTGCCAGGTCCGAAACTCGTCTCAAAATCTTTAGATGATAAGTACCATCTTTCCTGTCATTCTGTTGGTTGTTTAAATGTTAAAAAGTTTTTACTTGTACCATATTTACAATTGAGATCTGAAATCCAAAAGTGATATGCAGTTGTGTACCCTTAATAACATAAGCATGGCAATTATATCCATGTTATACAGATAGACCGTATATGTCGATGCACGTTGTTATCAACCTAGGACCTTAATTCGCTACAGGTAGGCTGGTAGTCGGCTATGGTATTACAGCAACTGAAAAAGAGCGTAATCTTAAGGCCGATATAATGAATCTTAATCAACTATGCAAGACTATCCGGCCCGGCGTTACAGCCAAGCTAAAGAGAGTTGACTACCAACATCCGCGGTTAGAAATGAAACGCCGCTTTCGGATCAATTGACGATGTGAAATCTGCCTCCTTGGTGGCCATATTCACTGGGAACGAGACATGCTCATGGACCCACTGCCATCTTCCATTCTTCTTACTCAAAAGGCCGGTAACACGGTAGATCATCTGGAAGGCTTTGCCGTCTTTCGACTTTCCACGGAGCCGCTGGACCATTGTCGAATACCCCGAGGTTTTTGATGTCGCAAACAGCTCGAGATCCTTGAAATCGACCGTCGCATTGGAGAAGTATGGGAAGGTCTTCTCAAAGTGCTCTTTGAAGTCTCCGCGGCCGGTGAATCCAAACAGGTCGAAGGTGACGACCTGGTCAATCTCGTAGAACGGCTTGCCGCTCTCAGAATCATTGTTGAACTCTTGGTTCAGACATCTTGCCCAGCCCTTGTAGAACTCGAGAATCTCTTCTTCCTCCTTCAAGAGCTCGGGTGCATGATCCTGGGGGATTCAGTGCTGTTAGAATGGACCACCAGGTGGGATATATGTGATTGATGGCAATTACCTCGCTCTTCGGGTAGCTGAGATTGTCCCACAATGCCTGCACTGTAGTGAGGGTGTTCTGACAAAGATATGAGTTAGCTCGTTGACTAACCAATGCCTTTCAGGGGGCGTACTTCGTTGAAAAACTTGTCGTCAGACATCGCGTATTGATTGTGGTTGTGCAGTAGCTTGGGCTAAGGGCTGAGTGAAAGTAGTTGACTCTAGCTACCTAGGAAGAGGCCGACCCAACTCTATTAAAACATCATTACAGGTCCTCGCCCCCGGTGACAATAACCCGACCGGGGGATACACGTTCGCGGGGGTTATGCGTCCGAAGATACTGCGGCCGAAAATGACGCGGGGAATGATAGTTCGGCGGAATATACGTCAATTGCTTCACGATGATGCGTGAGCCCGCTGATAGTACAGAGGCTATACCCCTTGACGTGGTTTAAAGGCGCCGCGAGACGGCATTAACGAAGAGGCACGGGAATTAAACATCCAATACGTATAATGGCGCTTTCAATCTATCTTGCACTTTACAGTGCCATTGCATATGGCCTCTTTCGCGTGCTTCGCATGGGCAGAAGAGATGCCAAGATGCCACCTGGGCCTCCAACACTTCCGATACTGGGCAACCTGCATCAGATCCCAGTAACAGGACTCTACAAGCAGTGAGTGGAACCAAACCGGGCTACTGAGGCTCTTCTAACCATCCTGTTTAGAATTCGGGACTGGGGCAACCAGTACGGAGGGGTCTTCTCCCTAAAGTTTGGGTCGAACAATGTCATCGTGCTATGCGATAAAAGAGCGGTGCATGAACTTGTTGATAAAAAGGGCCTCCTGTATGCGGACCGACCGCATAGTTATATTGGCGAGCTTTTGACCCTTGGTGATCATATGGTTGTCTCGTCAGGAGATCCCCTGACGCGACTGAAGAGGAAAGTGGCCACACACAACCTGTCCGTACGTGTACCCTTCTCGTTTCTGGTTAATAGTGTGTTAATTTTCGATATCCCTTATCAGCCCCGTGTGATTGATGTGAAGCTTGCGCCAATTCAAGAGAGCGAGTACGTACAGCCAACCCCTTCTCCGAGCTCGGGCACGGATCTAATGCGGTGTGGTCTAGGATAACGCAGCTCGTTTACGACTTTATGAATACCCCGGACGACTTTTACAGACACTTACGGCGGGTCACCGCTTCAATCGCTTGTACGTTTATCTATGGACAAAGGGGTTCCACCTACGATTCGTTCTGGGGTCATGTAAGTCTCACCACTAGGAACAAGCCAGAACCACCCAAGGGACTATCTCAGGCTAATAGCGATATTAGTGTGTCTACACTGCATTAGCAAAGGTACTAGTACCCCACGACTTCGCGATTTCAATCATGACTGATTTACCTGTCACATAGTTTGGCGAAGCACTTGAGCCAGGCGCAAACCCCCCCGTTGATGAGTTTCCGCTCCTCAAGTACTGGCCCACGCGATTTAGCTACTGGAAGAAGCGCGCGTTGGCTTCCAGAGAGGCAATGGATGCGATATGGGGCGACGCCCGGGCGTTTGTTGAAGACAGACGCAAGCGAGGCATCAAGCGCGACTGCATTGCGGATAAACTGCTTGACGAATACGAGGCTAAAGGGTCCCCTTTCACTCAGCATGCCTTTGACATGCTCCTTGGAGAATTGGTTGAGGGAGGAGCCGAAACTACCTCTTCGTCATTGCTAACTGTGGTTCTTGCACTCGCGAGAAACCCAGCCATCCAGGACAGGGCGAGGAAGGAGATTGACCCCATCTGTGGGACGGACAGGTAAGTGAGGATAGGATCTGGGCGTCGAACTCAAGCTAATATTTTCTTGTTCTGAGATCACCGACGTGGACAGACTTCGATACCATGCCCTATATTAATTGTATAGTGAAGGAAGGGATGAGATTCCGCCCAGTGTGAGTCAAGTATAAACCATCGCCAAACGCGTTCTTGATCGGCTTACAAAACAAAGGATATCAACCGGGCTGCCCCACCGGAATGCAGAAGAGGACGAATATGAGGGCATGTTGATCCCCAAGGGGTCAATGATCCTGATTCCTCTCTGGGCAATCCACCACTCGGAGCGGCTTGGGTATACTGACCCCGAGACCTTCAATCCCGATCGGTTCCTTAAGCATCCCAAGCTTGCCAATGATTATGCAGGGAGTCCAGATTACAACGACCGAGATAAGTATTGCTTTCCCTCCGCGCAGTCCTATGCTGACATTCCGCCCAATTACATCATTACGGATACGGTGCTGGCCGACGAATGTGCCCTGGAATTCATCTAGCGGAGCGAAATCAATGGCGCATGGTTGCTAAATTGCTCTGGGCATTTGATATCTCCGAGCCAATTGACCCGCAAACAGGGAAAATAATACCACTCGATCCGGATGCCTACGAGATGGGCCTTCTTCATGCGCCGCTTCCCTTCAAGGCTAGCATCAAAGTCAGAAGCAGCGCTCATGCAGCTACTATCCGCAGGGAAATGGAAGAAGCGAAGAAGGCATTCGCACAATGGGAGTAGTCTATATTGTTAAATATTATTGCTCTTGACCTATAGAAGACCACTTCCACTCGTTACCACATGGCCATTGGGCTACCAATGAACATAAGTCGCCTGGTATTTCTAGCCCTCCTAGTTTAGTAGAATTAGCCTAGAATTATTCCACCAGTTTTTTTATTTTATTTTATTTTTTTTCAACACCACTCTTCATTTGGGCATGCACAATCAGCCTCCTGGTCGATATACGAAGTCGACTACTTGTTCAGTCGCGGATGGACAAAGGCTCTATCTTGTGGAAATTGTTCTATTCATATATGAAGATACGGATGTGACACACATTCGGCAGAGGCTCAGTACCATCGCTGTTTCTTTCCAACCAACTAACTCAGTCTCTCAGTGGATCGTATATCCCCCGTCGACCTATTCCGTTAGAATATGGGCCTAATACCCTGGGGGAGAAATAGGTAACATACTATCATCGTTGCCCCAGTCATATAACTGGACCTGGAGCTGGCGAGAAATACAACTGCATCAGCAATCTCTTCTGGGAGAGCAAGGCGACGCATTGGGGTTTTGTCAATATTGGGCTTCAACTAATCAGAACTTAGTACAAGCTGGAATTTTGCCAATAACGAAGGTTGGCTCTAGACATACGAAGTCTCGAATATCAGGCGTCATCAGTGGGGTATCAACAAAACTAACGGTCGTCAGTTAGCATTAGATATTAGCAACTAAAAAGAAGGATCATACCCCGGGCATACAGAGTTGACTCTGACCCCGAGTTTGGCGTAATCAAGGGCATCCGTCTTCGTCAAACCGAGAATGGCTGCATCGTGTCATTAGGCAGATCACATAGGAACTTGAATGGATGCCAACCGTGCTTGGAAACGGTATAGAGACTGTTCTCAGGCATAGCTACGACGCCCAAGATTGAATTTACGTTGATGATGGAACCTCTCGAATCTCTTGCTCGTAGACTTGAATATGCTCGATTAGCAATGCATAACGAGGTAAAGCCAGATATGCAACGAACCGGAAGTCTTTCGCTTGGGAAGGAGGCGGATCCTGCTTCTCCATCAACCTCACCTCAGCACGTTCGCAGAGCCATATCCCTTTCACATTAACGGCAAGAACCTTGTCCAAATCTGCCAGAGTATTCTCAGCAGTTGGTCGGAACGGGCCTGGTACCGCTGCATTGTTCACCGCATAGTCAATGCGCCCGAAGACTCTGAGGACCTTCTCGAACGCTTCGTCAACTTCCCTCTCAACTCCCAGGTCCACCTGCAACGGCAGAAACTGTGCGTTCGGAAACTCCTTGAGTAAGAGCGACTCTGTGGTCTTCAGGCATTCGAGGGATAGGTCTAAGCCAACCAAGCGTTGAACACCTTCGCGCGCAAATTGGAGTATACAGGCCTGGCCAATACTACCGCCAGCACCTGTTACAAACGCAACCCTAGTTACACACGGGCTTAATCCATATTCGGGGCTTTGTTCGGCTGGACCAGCTTACCCGGAAAGATTCAGGTGCATTTTCGACGTCTTTGTAGACTTGAAAGAGATGAAATGTTTCTACCACGGATAATTGTCTAGGAGATTCTCGGATACAAGCCGCGGGGCGATAGCTTATACGAGCTCACTGCGTACATCAATTCCATGATGAAGCGGGCCATTCTCGGTATAATTCTACGTGGCCCAGAATATCATACCTTCCATATAACACATCTGATGTAGCATGGTATTAAGCTGAACATTTTAGCTAGCTCTTTCACGGTCTTTTTTCGGTTCAACCTGTAACTGAGCCCTTATGACTTAGAGGTTTAAAAAAAAAAAAGGAAAATGTCTGGGGGAGGTGAAATCTGCGCAGGGTAGTTGATTAAGACTAAATCGGGGTGACTTTGGGGGCAGCGGAAGTCGATTTGTGCAAGATTTATGAAAGTTTTGTCATGGACAAACTCCGACAATCCAGTCCGCTGGTTCGGCGCCGGGAATGGAGTCTCCTTCGGGGCCGAAGTGGGTCCATTTAGGGTTAATCAGGTTGATTATTGATTGGCTAACCGGCGCCGGAGTGGAGATCTGACGGATAACGACAGCCGTTTTGCCCGAGATCTTGTGAATGCCTCTGTTGCTCTTCCTCGTACCAAGTCTGTGCGACAATAAGGAAGAAGCAGGTGGAGTGAGGCATCTTGTTTGAAAATAACTCGCTCACCTAAGTTCTCATTTTGCTGCTCGATATCAACCCAAAGCCTCCGCCTACGGATCCGTTAAAATCCCTACTGCCCATCTAGATTATATATTGTGGCAGACCCCGTTATATGTTATCGTTCACCACCACATCACAACGCAGTTAAGGTACTGAATACATGTTGTTATTGCGAGGCCCAAGATTTCGTAAGGAGAATTATAATTCCGGGCTGAAATTAGAGACTTGCGACGGTGTCAGAGCATGTTGGCGTGATTTTCGGAGGCGCTGCTTGTAAAAGGAATCTAGGAAGGCTTCTATTAGGTTAGGTAATCATGGAAACGGCCTTGTCGGAACTTGATCTGAGTGATCTCGACAGCGGCCCACTCAAGCTGCCGCACGAGAGACTCGTGCGTTGTTGCAAGGGATTCACAGCCCCACAGAGACTGGAGGGAGTTCCTCCCCCGCATTTTTGTCTTTACAACCTCCATCTCAGCAATTATGACCACTCCGCGAGTACGAGCCTCTCTGGCATGTCAAAGCTGTCGCCGTCGCAAGGTGAAGGTAAACTAGCTCTAAAGTCGAAGCATGAGGAGCGTTGACTAATGATCTCTACATCGCTAGTGCGACGCTCAGACAACCCAGGTCGCGAGCCAATGCACCCCTTGCCGACATTTGGGCGTTCCTTGCGTCGTGGATCGCAACAGTGACCGCCGAAGACTGACTGCGCGTAAAAAAGTCGAAGTTCTAGAACAGCGCGTCCGAGGCCTCGAGGGACTGCTTCGTCAGTCTGCACAAAATAACTCCCCCAATGAGAACCCATGCATACGAGACGAGGGCCTGCTTGCCTCTCCGTCCGCGGTTGTGGCGCAGGATATTTCCTGGAGCCTATTTCCGGAGTAGGGAGAATTTGAAAGCACTTGGCTGAAGCATTTGCTAATAGCCACGCAGATTCCAGACCACCTTGCCTGCTTTGGACTTCGCTGGTGCTGATTACCTGCTGCCATTCAATAACCAGAATAACGATATTCCCAACAGCGTGTGCCAACTGGAGCCGACTATCAATCCTCGGACACCACAATCCAGTGATTCGGATACCTATGTCGACCAAGGGAGCACGACACATGGCCCAGGGGCGCTCGGCCCAACCTCTCAATCGCATTTGCGGCTGCTGAGTGCAAGGACAAAGGCGGGTTCCACGCATCTAGATGAGTTCGCGGATTTGGGAATAGTAGTCGACATCAACTCTGCACATCTCAAGAACCTTCTACTGGACGCTTTTTTCCGATACCAGCCTCTATGGGTTAGTGTGGTTGACGAGGATATTTTTCGGACCCACCAGAGTGCACAAGAACCATCTATGTGGTATTCACCTTTTCTAGAAACCGTGATGCTGGCCTGCGCCGCTCGTTTAAGCACATCTAGTGCGGTTCAGCTGCTGGCCGAAGAATATTCCGCCCAGGCTAAACTGCTTATCCCACAGGCCCTTAAGAACCCCTCGGCCGCGGCCATGCAAGGATTTTTACTTTTGAGTGAGTACGAAGCCACCCAGGGGCGCGAACGCGTTGGATGGCAGCTCTGTGGTACGTACAATCAACCGCTGCTCACCTAAATCCGTCACATACTAATGATTGTTCGTGGTTTGTACAGGCATGGCTTGTCGTCTGCTTTCGGATCTGGGTTTACATCTGTTGCTGGACCCCCGCAATGACCAGGAAAACGTTTCGATTCGGCGATCTCGACTCCACCTGTTAGGGGCATGTATTGCATTTGAGGGTTCCTTCTGCATGTACCTTGGCCGCCCAAGCTCAATTCCGCGGTTCATCATCCGGAAAGCAGCATTGAGCTGTGCGAAATACCAGGAGCTCGCAACGCCGACATTATCTGCTTGGCTGGGCCTTTGTTACCCAATGGCCGAGGCGTGTGATATTCTGAACAGCTCCATGCTGCTTGACGAAGATGATATATACCAACTGCGGCGGCTGGATACTCGTCTTCAAAGGTGGCGCCAGGCTTTACCTCCTGGCTTTCAGTGGGACGATCATAACGCTGCAAATCTAGACCCAACGGCATACGGTGTACATATGCAGTACTGCAATGTACAGATTCTCATCCAGCAAGCACTCTTGAAAGTACAAGACCAGGAACCACTTGGACACAGCAGTACGGCGGTGCGGACCACCCACCAACGCATTTACGATTCCGCGATCGATATAATTCGTCTTCTCCTCACATTTCGCCATGTGCATGGTGCCGAGAAGGTCCCCGCTATTATGCTGGACAACAGTAACCTTGCTTTGGGAACCCTTATCAACCACTACCTCCGCCACACCGACCCAAGCGGACACCGAGACCGGGATGTTCAGTGGCTGAGACTAGCAATCGCAAGCATGGCCCACATCAGGTCACAATTTCCGATCGTCGGCCGCATGTTAGACTCATGGAGAGAAGTTGTCAAATACTCGGCACTCGTATCGCTATTTCCAACAATGGAAGGCAACGCTGACGGAGCCTCGATCCAGTCTGAGCAGGCGATAGTGCATTCAGGGGAAAGGGATCAAACGGGAGAAGCTTCCTCGTTTGAATCCACCGGCTGCCCACCACGATGTGAGGATAATGGCCTAGGACCGGTGTCTAGTAATCTTCCTGTTGAGTCGACGGCGGTTCTATCGCCGCGAAAGTACTCGGATGATCTGACGTCCATTTTGTGCTGGCTAAGCCCGCAGGCGACAGTAGCCGACCCTCTTTAACACCCGGTGCACTCCCTGGTGCATCTTGTGTGCCTTTGATATCTGTTCTCTCGGTAAAAGCCTGCTACCATAAGGCACAAATCCGGTGCAAATTTGCTGAGTGCGTGGTAAGGATATGCACGTGGCTTGTACTCCATTCAGTGAACAAGCCGGCTCTTGACAGGCTCAGACAGGCTCAATATAGTTTGTCACAACTTACCAAAACGGTGTCGTCCCGTTCATCATGGTCGCTGGGCCTACTCGCTATCACGCGTGTCGATTCGGTAACTTCGACGAAGAACCACCCTCGACGAGGAATGCCTAATCCATGCGAACTCTAGGACAAGAGCGTTAAATGTCTATAAGGGCTCATGTAAGACTTTACGGCTTTATTCCCTGCACGTCGTGTACTTTCCTAGCAATCCAAGATGTACAATAAGCCTTTACATACATATATTTATAAAGGAATGCCCACTGTAAACCCTCCATCTACGGCGATATTCTGCCCTGTCATCCACTGGGCGTCGTCCGAGCAAAGAAAAAGAACCACTCTGGCAATATCCCTAGGATCTCCAAGCCGCGGCCACGGGGTACTCTTTCTCATCTCCGTAATAATGCCCTTGTCATTGAAGTTTGTGCTAGACAAGGCAGTGCGCACGACACCCGGGCAAACCGCATTGACATTGATGGAATCTTTGGCATGATCAAGTGCAGCATTCCGGGTTAGCATTGATAGTGCCGCTTTGCTGGCTGCGTATGCTGTTTCGCCTGCTATAGCTGTTATTCCGGCGGAGGAGGAGATGTTCACGATGCGCCCGCGGGATCCAGAATCTGTTACAGGCTGTTGCACGAACTGCTTGATGGCTTCGCGCATCGCTGTCGCCGGGCCGCGAGTATTGATGTTTAGCATCGACTGCCAGATTTCGTCCGTTTCTTCCACGAATGGACGAAGCGGAATCCACAGACCGGCGTTGTTTACGAGGATGTCTAGTTTGCCGTATGTCTAGCCTCGCCCGATTGTATTAGACACAAGACACTGGTTTTCGGTAAATCTTCAGTTATGATAGTCAGGCTTACCTCGACTGCGACCTGAACGAGACGAACAATCTCCTCCGCTTTCCCTAGGTCGCATTTCTGGAACACCGCTCGTCCGCCATTGCGGGAGATCAAGTCATGGGTCGGGGTATGCTTGTCGACTTCGTAGCCCTTCAGCGAGGCTTCTTGCTGGAGATCAGCGCAGACTATTGAAGCACCTTCTTCAGCCAAGGCGAGTGCGATTGCTCGGCCCATGCCGGACGAAGACCCTGTGATGATCGCAACGCGGCCGCTAAGCTTCCCTAATTCATCTTGCGACCTGTTGGCAGACATTGTGGTACCGTATTGTGAACTCAAATAGGAAATGAAATGATATTGATAATCTAGAATGCTGGGTGCGGTTTGGCTTGATTATATTTGAGCCAATGCTCTACCTGACCGCAATTCCGCCGGGAGAACTGAATGGATTATACCGAAAATACACCGGGTCGACTATATCTGACAGGGCACGTCTCCCATGTGTCTTCAATGAACATTCGAGCTTCGTATTATTGGCACTTTGAGCAAGGATGAGCGACAGACCCGTGGTGCAGATAGTCATTGTCCCGCATCGTCCGGTCCACGATGAGGCGGAACTCGACAACGAGCTCAACCAAGCTTTCACGCTGGTATTAAGGTATCTCTTGGTAATAATAATCCTAAAACCACGCGGCTTACATTGTGTTCCAGATCTCAAGGACTACTTGGCGCGTATCAGGGACATAAATTCGAGGAGCGGTACACAAGAGTCTACTTACTCCTCTGGGAAAGCCTCAGCGCCAGCCATCATTTCCTCACCTCAGAGGCCTACGACAAGTTTAACACGCTTGCACAGCCGAGTCTCAGAGGCCGTACCATCACATGGACACAGCATGCCGCCATTCAGGCTTCAGGGCTTGCCAGTGTGGACCGCTTCAACCGTTTGTTAACAGCTCCCGCCATTGAAGTTGCCTGGACGAACGTTAAAGAAGGAAAGGTAAACGGGTATCTCAAACAGTTTGACGAGGTGGTTCGAGATATCTTGGACGCTGAACCGGGCTGCGATGGCTTTTTCATAAGTCCGCACCTTGAAAACCCTCATAATCAGATTCTACTCATCAACTGGAAAAGCGTCGACGTACGTGTCCCTTGTTTATTAGAATCAGACGCTAGCTAAATATTGCAATAGGCCCACCATGTCGAGTTTGAAAACAAGGCAACGTTCAAGGCGTGTATTGATGCCCTCTACGATTACTACCGGGAGTTTGTGGTCCCCTGGCATATCGTGGGACTCCGAAAACTAGCTTAGTAGAGACGGCAAATTGATCGCGACCTTCTCGGTTTTTGTCGAGAAATGGTTGACTGCGGCCTTATTTCGCCTCGATACAGCATAAAGGATGCCGGAAATAGCCCGTAGGCTTGGCCAAGACAACATTGACCTATGATAAATAAATAGTTATAAAGCATGAGACGTTTCGCTTGTTGTGCCATCTACCCCTACGAGGATATACGATATATAGGGAAAACTCCATCGAGCTACGATGTCTGGTAGAAGCGCATCCACGAAAAGACTGACACCTGAGGAAGTCAGGCGTCATGCGTCGGCGAAAGATTTATTTGTCATAGTGCATGATTGCGTCTACGACATCACGAATTTTGTGGAGGAACATCCGTGAGCGAATCTCGCTTCTTGCTCCCACTTACTGGTCGCTAACAGCAACAGCGGCGGAACAGACGTGCTCCTGGAGTTTGGGGGACAGGACGCGACAGAAGCATTTGAGGAGGTTGATCACAGCGCCGATGCACGGGAACTTCTAAAAGGCCTTCAAGTAGGCGTACTGCACAGCCATGTACGTTGCTACGCACCTTTTGAAATCGTTGCCCGCCTCGCCCCGCATTAACGAGTTATCACTATATAGGAGAAGGGAAACAACCGGTCCAGTCCTGGTGGTAGTTCGGCCGCTGGGCTATCAGACAGATCACGCGGCTGTGGTAAAACGAGTGGCTATTCTTACATTGTTTTTCTCATTATCCTGCTTGGGGTTGGTGCTGGGGCTGGCTTTATTACTAGGTACTAAACACTGACTGGAATCCAGAACATGGGTTTGCGTCCCAATAAAAGCAATCAGTCTCCCATGCAAACATAAATAACTGGTAGATACGCTCATACCTGGATCAGAAGGTTTATTGGTAAGATGGACGGGGGCTCATACCAAAATCACCGCGGTCCATAATACTATTCCACTCACCATTATACATTTTGTCGTAAGGCTGAGGATATTCGAAGCTGGTCTCTAGACGGGCACTCCCCAGAGGTATACGGCCCGATTCCGGGACGACTCTCAGTTGCAAAACTACGCCTACCGAGCAGGACGAAATTACGCCGAATACCCCCGCATCATAACCTGGTGTATGATATTCCCGCACGCTCCCTTGCCTTACCCCAGTCCATCCGCCCAGCCCTGCATGAAGAATTTGCAAAAATGCCCCGCCGTGAGCGCTCAGAAAGCCATAACGACAGCGAGCCACAGAAACAGTCTCGCTTGTCTTGTAACTCTTGTCGAAGGCAAGTCTCGCGTGAGGCTGTTGTAGAACGGTGTACTGATACAAATGTTCGTCTGCAGAAGAAAAACAAAATGGTCCATATTCAACTACACTGCGTGTAGGAAGCCCTTGCTAAGGTCTCTCTAGTGACCGTATACTCCCATCTTGTCAGTCTTGTGAGGGTTTGCGCCATCGCTGCGTCTATCCCACAGTACGCCTTAAACCAGGGCCCAAAAGTAATCAGGATTACAAGATTCCCACAAAGACCACTTTGCAAAGGGACTAATATAGCTTGCAGACAGACCAGAGCAGGATAAGTCGCAGAGAATGCCTCAAGCCACCTCTGCAGAGAATTGTCCTCCCCGAGAGGATAATGATCGCTCCAAGAATACTGTGGACGTCGCGGCCGTATATGAGCCAGGGCACCTTGAAGTGGAACGGAACTTTGTGAAAGCAATTAGTCTCTCGTCTGTCATCCATCCAAACCATGAGGTCTGTCCCATCGATAGAGCGCCAAGACAAGGCCCGCAAGCGCGCGCGTCGCTGTTGAGTTTGGCAAGAGCCCACGATATCCTGCACGAGGTGTGCAGCCAGCTACAACTGTCAATAGACAGACTGCAGAGCTTGTAAGCGCGATAGTCTCACCTAGCTGGCGCAGGCTAACCCTTTAGGACGGACCTATATTTCGACCGCATGACCGACCTTTCGCTATTCCATCGGCCCTCCTTTGGACAGAAGATCCAGAATATCCAGAACCCAGCTATTGCTGTAGCACTTTTTGCAGCCATGTTTGCTCACTCTGTCCGCTTCGAGGGCAGATCGTTGGATTTTACGCCGCCTACAACCGCCGCTCCACCAACTTATGATATCGAAACTTATACACACTTTCAAAATTTGGCGTACAAGTTAGTGCAGCAGTCGCTTGACGAATCAAGCGAAGCACTCAGCCAGGCTGCAAAGCTTAGCCTGCTTCAGGGTATAGCACTTATTACCTTGAATGACTTCCTCAGGGGCGCGCATACGCGGCCATCAAGTCTGCTGGGAACGAGTATCCAACTGGCGTACGAGCTTCATCTACACCTCGTTGACTTCCAGGCTCCTGGACAATCTCACAGCATTGGGCCGAATCTTTCACGCTGGGCTGCAGATGAAGAAAGGCGGCGTTGCTGGTGGGCATTGTGGAAGATAGACAACTTTTCCAGTATGATTCGACGATGCCCGACCGCCATCAACGCGAGGCTGGTCGAGACTTATCTGCCTGTTCCGGATGTAGTTTGGTTCAATAACCACTTCCAAGCAAGCTGCATGCTAGAAAGCTTACCGCAGAAACGTGCGAAAGCTTTGAAGGACTCCGGCAATGAAAGCCCTGACGCGTGGCAGATTGTTATAAGTTCAATAGTCAGAGACGCCCAGACTCTTCCCAGGGGCAATATTCACGGCGTGCTGCTTAATGTGGATCTGACGAATGCAACCACCGACCAGCTTTGCCAGTACTTTCGAAACTCCTTCCGCAAGAGGCAGACGCAAGAAGACCCGGCGCAAGTAGAAACACTGGTTGACTCGCTGCAGACCATCACCGAAGCAATTCCAGCGCACTTGACCTACAATGGCGAGTATCTCGATTTTGGCTTCGATGCCTTAACGGTCAGTCGAGAGTCGGAGGTTCGATGCCTGCATGCGGCCCAGTATGAAACATACTTTGGCCTGCAGCTTGCTCAGTTCATGATATACCACAACCATGCATTTGATGAGATTGTCTCGGGAGCCATATTTGCCAGCAACACGGCACGCGCTGGAACTTGCAGTTCAGAATCGGCCCACCTACCGCAGGGCCTAGGGCACTGTCTACAGGCGGCAGACAATATATGCGCTATTATCTCCCAGTGTCCAGCCGACCATGTCGCGTATGTAAGTCCATATCTCGCAAGCACAGTCTGGCTGGCTGCTTCTCTGCAAATACTGAGAGATCTCTTGGTGGTGGTGACGGACTGTGGTGAAACACACTCTAAATACGCACTCCTCCGTGCGGTCTTTGAGCAATACTCGGCGTTCTGGGGTACATCACCCGCACTGCTCGAGAACCTCGACTCTCTAGATGCCCGGATTCGCGGGTACTGCCGGGCTACAGCCACCACAACAACCTCCTCCCCGGGAAGCTCTGTGAGAACAGCTCATCCTCTGCAACAGGGGCGATACATTGCGCAGGATAACTCCTTCGACGAACTTTCCAGCGGTTTGGCTTCTACTCCGGAGGATGCAGAGCAATTCTCGAGGGATGGCTGCAGTTCAAGGACCCCTGCTGTTTCGACCTCAGCTTCTCGCACAAGGGCTCAGCTTGATGTGATTTATGACGATCACTTGCCAAATCTTTTGAACTTTGGCTGGGATACCAGCGTGCCTGGTGATGTACATCCTGGCGAGGAGCTTTTCAGGTGTCTTCTCAGTGTACTTTGATTGCTTTCCATGCGGATATCTTGTAGTAGTTTTTGTATGTTTGTGTCTTCAAGACAATTGCTTCTTACTACCACATCCATCGCTTGAATCCATGACTCATGGAGGAAAAGAGATCATATGTACTATTGATCTAGATACGCGCTTCACTGGAGCTTGAATCCCTTGCTTGGCTCCAAAGAGGCCGTAAAATCACCCTTCTGGGTTTTCATATCCACGGGGAAGGACAGATGCTCATGAATCCAGCGCCACTTTCCGTCCTGCGGCGATCGGTGTGCAATTCCAGTCCGACGAAATGCAGTATCAAAGGCAGTCCCCCCCGCTGTGCCCCAAGTGTGTTGGATCATCGTTGAATACGCAAAATTGCGCGACACCGCCGTGATTTCGAGATCCTTGAACTCCATTTGCCCGTCGTTCCAATACGGGAAAATTGACTCGAAATGCTCCTTGAAACTTCCCCTAATTGTATTTCCGAACATGTCGTAGCTGAGCATTTCTGGGAAGTCATAGAACCGCCGTGCACCCTTCATCCCATTGTGGAAATCCTCGCGCGACTCATGGTTCCAATAGTGCAGCCAGCCTAGATACAGCTCGTCCAGAACTTCCTGCTCGGCCGTTGCAAGGTCCGGATTGTGGTACTGTGCCAGAGCGAGTGGTTAGTGCTGAATGTCCTTGACAACTAGGGAGCGTGGCTGAACCTTGCTTTTTGGCATGCGAAGAAAGTGATATTGTTTTGCAATGGAGGTGTATGATTCCTATCTTCTCCTTTAGTATGCCATAGGCTATATGGTCCTTAACACGGATCTTGGAGACGTACATCACTTCGCACAAACCCGTTCACGTCCATCGCGATGGTTTATCAGGGGATTTATGTTGTGGTCTGGATATTTTATTGGTTTGGGCAGGATCTGCTAGAAGGTACTATCGTTCATGGCCGAGGACAGCACTGGCTCTTATACTTAACTGCAACTCTAGTTTCATTCGTAAGGGGCATTCGGACTCATGGCTTCGTCTGTACTTACAGAGTCCCCGCTAACGAGAGAATTAATCCGACCGATGTTTGTCGGAGCAATCGCCCCGACGAGAACTTAGCAGGCAGGGCCCAGTCCAACACAAATCTTCCGGAAGGATGTATCGCAAAATCAGACCTTGAAAGCTTACCGGACGGATTAATGCGAACTCGTGGTCAATGGTAGCCTCATTCCTTTCCCGATACAATCAAGTCAACACAATGGAAGATATATAAACTGACTTGCCTTTCCACAGTATATCTAGGGCCATAACCAAACCCAAGAGTACATTTACCCATCGCAAACATGTCGGCAGTACAAGAGCAACCCGAGTACGACATCATTGTCGTTGGAAGTGGTTTCGGAGGCCTCTACCTACTGCACGAACTACGCAAACGGAACTTCAAGTGTCTTGTTATTGACGAAGCTGCCGATATCGGCGGCGTCTGGCACTGGAGTCGCTATCCCGGCGCTCGAGTTGACACCAAGGTACCGCTGTACGAGTACTCCAATGAGAATGTCTGGAAGGACTGGGTCTGGAGTCAGAAATATCCTGGGGTTGAAGAGCTCCGCCGGTACTTTGCCCATGTCGAGTCGAAGTTGGATCTGAAGAAGGATATCCAGTTTAATGCCCGTGTTGCTGCAGCAAACTACGACAACATCCACAAGGCGTGGACTGTCAGAGCGCAGGACGGAAGGGAATGGACTGCGCGGTATTTCATCCTCGCCACCGGATTTGCTGCGAGGCCGTTCACACCGAATTTCAAAAACCTCTCGGCCTTTGCAGGACCTTGTTTCCATACATCGAGATGGCCGCAGGACCTCGAGACCAATCATTGCCGGGGTCTCCGGGTAGGGGTTGTCGGAAATGGATCCAGTGGGTTGCAGGTTATCCAAGAAATTGCCCCCCTGGTAAAAGAGATGGTCGTCTTCCAGCGCAGCCCGACGTATGCGCTACCCATGCGACAACGGCCATTGACTGATTCAGAGCAAGACAAGAGCCGCTATCCATCGCTGTACGAGCTGCGAAAGCATACCTTTGCCGGTCTCGATACCGAATTCAATATGGAGGCAGCTTCCAAGCTGACACCCCAGGAGCGACGGACATTTTTCGAAAAGGTCTGGGCGGATGGCGGGCTGTCATTCTGGCTCGGAACCTACCGCGATGTCATCATGGATAAGGAGATCAACCGCGAGGCATATGACTTCTGGCGCAGTAAGGTCTTGCCGCGTGTCAAAGATCCCAAGAAGGCAGAACTGCTGGCCCCCGCGACACCACCCTACTATTTCGGTACCAAGCGAGCAACTCTAGAGCAGCGGTACTACGAAGTCTACAACCAGGACAACGTAACGCTGATCGACGCTAGAAACAACCCTATAGCTGAGGTCAAACCGAATGGAGTACTTACCGAAGACGGCCGGTTCCACGAGCTTGACATGCTTGTTCTCGCTACTGGGTTCGACTCTGTGACAGGTGGCATCTTGAGCATCGATATCCGTGGTCGTGACGGTGCGTCTTTGCAGGACAAATGGAGCAATGGCTCCCGAACATATCAAGGGCTGATGACGTCTGGATTCCCCAACATGTTCTTCCTCTACGGGCCACAGGGCCCGACCTCTTTCTGCAACGGGCCAACCTGTGCAGAAGTCCAGGGCAACTGGATTGTGCAGACGCTGACATATTTGCGGGCAAACGACCGTGAGGAGATAGAGCCCAAGGTAGAGGCAGAAGCTTTCTGGACAGCGCTGGTCAACCAGATCGGAGACGCCACTTTACTTCCAGAAACGCAGTCTGAGTATATGGGTACCAACATCCCTGGCAAACCCAAGGAGATGCTTAATTATCTGGGAGGCCTGACAGACTATATCAAGCGGATTACTAGCGCTGTAACTCTTGGGTACCCTGACCACTATGTTAGTTAGTCGTTTTGTTTTTGTTTTTGTTTTTTTTTTGTTTTTTTTCCCTCCAGCTAGCTTAAGAACTCGTTGCTCTACAACTACCATAAGCAATCGACACATCCATGAAGTAAGATTGAGCCTGACGCTTGCAAGCCTCGCAGGATCACGGCTAGCATACCCGTGTCTTAGATGCCTGGGCCCCGTAAATCCAAGTGGGATAGTCCGTCCGTCGGACGAGCTCGGTAATGTGAGCAGTAGCTACGATGAAGGGAGCGGAGATCTGACTTTCCGGCTATCATCCTCACATCATATAATATAGAGGAATGTCATACTCGGGACAACGTCGGCCAAATTAATTTTACTGATAAGTAACCTCAGAATTGACCCCGCGCGAGGATACCAGCCAACGCCCATTGGAACAGATAACACGAGGAGCTGCCTACCACTTTCCTTTTCTTTCTGAAATGCTTTCCTCTATCGCCGGTCGGGTTTATATGATCACGGGGGCAGCGTCCGGGATTGGGCGAGAGACTGCAATTACCCTCGCAAAGCTGGGAGCCGCTGGGCTTGCAATCAGTGATGTGAATACAAAAGGCCTGCAGGAGACAAAAGAAGAATGTAATATTTCCTGTTGGCATGCTTCATGTTTTTCAGAGTCCCAGGCGAATTCCTCCGCTGTCCTTAAATACTGCCAACGTATTTTGACCCGAGCATGAGCTAACAAGGGGCCATAGGCGCAAAGTACAAATCCAGCATCGTTGAGACCCATGTTAACGTGAGCCAAAATGACCAGGTCACCAGCTGGACTCATGACACCCTACGACACTTCGGGCGCTTGGACGGTGCAGCAAACGTGGCCGGGATAGCCATGGGCGAAGGGACAACTACTTGCGAAACTATGGTATATCATATCTCAACTTGACAATTCAAGACTGGTCGTGGGTTAACTAGACCGATAGACCGTTGACAGCTGGGATCGGATGATGGATGTGAACCTCAAAGGCGTAATGTTGTGCATGCGGGCTCAGCTACCTCATCTCCCTCGCCCTGGAGGCGCAATTGTCAACGTCTCGAGCACCTCTGGGCTCCGGGGCTTGCCGCACAATGCGGCATACTCGGCAAGCAAGTTTGGGGTAATCAGTTTAAGCGAGTCCGCCGCTGGGGAATTTGGCCCACTCGGTGTACGCATCAACTCTCTGCTCCCGTAAGTTTGGCTACTACTAGTCTGTGTTGAGTGAGCCCTTGATATCCTAACCATTCAGTGGGCCTATTGATACGGCAATCTTCCGTGATGGAGAGGCTCGCGGCCTTTTTGACTCCAATGCTTTGAGTAAGGACACATGTCTCCGCCGGATGGGTCAGGCACAGGAAGTCGCCAAAGTTCTGTGCTTCTTACTTTCTGATGATGCCTCCTATGTAACCGGAGGTACGTGTCTCCTCCCTTTTCCGATAATTACTTCTTTACGAGTGCCTAACTATCATAATAGCCCATTGGACAGTGGATGGTGGGTATAGTGCATGTTAAACAAGGGAATATGGCCTGGAACACGAATACTGTTTATAGAGGTAATATCTGTGGTTTGCTATACCTAAGAGGTTGTTAATCTGAGATTATGAAGATTAAACTTGCTACTGTAAGAAGTTGGCAGTCGAATGGAAGCAATGTTATGGCAGTATGCGTCGCTTTAGTGTCTCTGGCTGGAATGGGAAAGGTACTTGTTAACAATACATGTATTTTGTGATTTAAGAAAGTTGAGATATCAAAAGCACTACATTCATCTACGACCGTTCGCTTGATAATTTGAGTCCTGCCCTGTCCTGGTTGCGGCTTGCGGCTTGCGAGGCTCTAGGGAGAGTGAGGAGACCGAATGATGTTGTTACGGCAGGAAGCAAAATGTGATTTCGCGCTTAATATGAGTGTATATAATAGAATCTACTATGGAGCGTAGGAATAGGGGACTGGAGGTTAGGAATACGTGAAGTTTAACATAAGAGTGGTGTATATTGGTCTTATGAGACAGCATTCCTCCAATATTTTAAGCATTCCTTGTGGGATGTATTCGTCTTCCGCTGGATGCCTGGTCCTTGTGGCTGGCTGAACCATCTCGTCTTCCATGCTAATTTAAAATTATGTACTTAGGGTTTTGTACTCTTGTTCTGCTGCCCCTTGTTTGACTGATGATATCAGCTAGCCCACAAATGCCTGACTGGCTTTTCTGACACATGCCAAATTGAGCCTGCCGAATTGAATGTTGGCAAACGTCATTCGCATCTGGGCCACAACCGTCGCCGCTGTAGGGTTGCCAGTCTGCCACAAGGGTAGTTAATATAATAAAAAAAATAGAATAAAAATCTAATCTAGATGAAATCTTTATTAGATCTAACTTAACTATTTAAATTAATTAGAAAGAATAGATTACCATAAAGAGATCTAGCTATAGATTTAAATATAACTAGTCTCTAGTATAATAGAGATAAATAAAATATATAACAGTTATGCAAACATGTAACAAGAAAAAATATATAATAAGAGAGAAATAGATAACTATATTGTATATTAGATTCAGTACAAGAATACAGTGCATACACATTAGAGTGGTTACCCTCTTAAATCCATGTTGTTACCTTAATGCTTCAACTGTATAACCGGTTTTCCAATTTCATGGTTGGAAAACCTCTCATACGCGCGGGGTACCTCCTCCAGACTACAAACAATCTCATCAATAATAAAGCTCGGCTTCGCCTTACCACTCTCAATCAGCCTCTGGAGCATAGGCTGCAGTCTCTGTATCTCAGCCACACCGCCCCGCATCGACAGACCCTTAAACCAGAAAAGCCCGATAAGAACAGGAAACTCCCCCTGCTTCTCAGTAGCCAGAGGCGTTCCTGGCGTTTTGGCCGGAGAGGGAGGGTATACACCACAGAGGCCAATCCCGCCGGTTGCTTCCGTAACCTTGACACAGTTGTTCAAGACGAGGTTCTCTTCCGGCTTAAGCTTGCTGTTCACACACTCGAAGCCGACAGCGTCGATACTACGGCGCACACCGCGCGGCTCGTGCTTGAGGATTTGTTCTACGGGGTCTGCCTTGGTGAAATTGATGGGGATAGCGCCAATCGAGGCTGCTTTCTCCAATCGAGATGGGACATGGTCAACGACATAGACCTTGGTTGCTCCGCGCAGTATAGCCGAATAGGCAGATAACAGGCCGACGGGCCCGGCACCGAAGACTGCAACTGAGTCTCCGGCCTCGAACCCGCTGGCGTCAACTGCGTCCCAGGCTGTGGGGAAAATGTCAGTGAGGATGATATAGTCAAGGTCATGTTCAGTTGTCGCCGGAAGTGGGAGACAGCTTGAATCTGCAAATGGGACACGAATATACTCCGCTGTGGCAATTTGTAAGCACAGAGTTCTGCCTGTCCAGGGTTGGATGCATACCTTGAGCACCGCCCAAATGCGGCCCAATATCTTCTCCAAACCCCGGAAAATCGAAGATGGTAGACGGATTGAATGTGAGGCAGTATGTCAAATAGCCGCGGTGGCAATTCTCGCAGTAACCGCAGTAAATGGCGCCGGGTGCCAGCACACGGTCTCCGACCATGAGGGATTTCACCCCGTCTCCTGCCTCGATGATAGTGCCGAGGCCTTCATGGCCCAGGATCCAGGAGGGTATTTTACTGCCAAACACACCATGATACATGTGAAGATCTGATCCGCAGATTGCCGATGTTGTGATGCGAATCACAATGTCATTTGGGTCTTTGATATGCGGGATAGGTTGGCTCTTCAGGGCCACGTGGAAGGGTTTGCCTTCCCACATAATTGCCTTCATGGTCTTCTGTTGAGCATCTGACATTTTACAAAGTGAGGTTTTGTAACTGTATAGCAAAGGGTGTGGTTAATTGCCTAAGACCAGGTTTGCTCCATGTGTTCCTACAGAGCCTTTATACGTTCACCGTGGAGACTTTATTCAGTGTTGGATGGTATTTGTATCCGCAAACAGCAAGATTCCACTAGATGGACGACATCAGTCCCATTGAAAAATATCCCTTCTTGGACATATAGCCGCCTCAAAAGAGTGGTGATGTAGAGATATGTAGCTTGGGCCATCCTGTGTAACACTCGTATATATCTTTCAGCTTTGGGATAGTTCTCTGACGCGATAAGCCGACAAATCGGCCATATGCAGAAAGCATGGCATTCACCAACCATGGTACGAGCGAAGCTAAAGTCGGCAACTAAGCTTTGTCCCACGACACAATTAAATATGTTGTTAGAGCCTAGAATAAAGCATTGCCATTCCACGCCCTTAGATTGGTATGAAACTCTACGGACCATGGATACCACGGGTGACCGGTGACCGGTGACTCGGTGATAGCATAATGCCCATATCAACCCACCCTGCCGGCTATCCGGCTTCATTAATCTAGTTAGGGTGTATGTTGAACCACGAAACACCCTTCGGATGAGCACTACCCACCCCTCCGCTGAGGACCAGCTGACAAGCCCATCCTGTGCCTTGGGATCTTCCTCATGCACCCTTGTCTTGCGCCCTGTATCATCGAAAATCTTGAAACCTCGAACGGGGAGCAAGTTACAGACTCAACCTCTGCCTACCTTCCGCGATATATAAGAGTGATGTTTATGATTTGAAGGTTGGCGACCGTGTGTTTCCATTGGGAAGTGCAGGTGCATGGCAAGAACTGATTCTCGACGACAAAAAGGAGAAAATTAAGCATCAAGCTCTATGTAATTTATATTGGCACAGGCAAATCTCTAAGTTATTCACAGCTTCGATCCACCGTTCCTCTGCTCATGCCCATAAACACCCAGAGCCAGCTTCTCCACACGCTTCCTCGCATTTTCCGCTCCCTCGCCCATTATGATCTCCTCTGTACTAAAATCTGGGTTAAACGTATCCAAATTAAGCGGATTCTCCAGATGCGCCTTTTTCCACAGGGCATTATACACATCACCGTCTTGGCGGCCAAGGGCACTGTCAAGCAGGTAATCCGGGATGGACCAGGCGTCAACGAGGCTGACGGCGTGCGGACGGATCTTCTTCATGAGCTCGAGAATGGTGGACGTGAGGGGCTGGAGTTGCTGCACTGAGATGGACCCGGACAAAATGAACTCGGTGCTGCGCGAGTCGATTATACTCAGGCCGAAGAGGCGGAAGAGGTCTCTCAGTACTGTGAGGGTAGAGCTGTCGAGAGAGAGGCCAGTGCAGCCGGCAAAGACCGCGTTGTAGAAGTTTTCGACGAGAATGGATTCAGCGTGCACAATGGCGAGACGATGGAGTTCGACCATGAGGTCTGTCCACGACTGCTTCTGGACGATGCGACGCTCGTAGGCCTTGTATGCTAGATATGAGACCCGGTTCTTGAAAGATAGCAGGATGTCTTCATCGTTGCGGTAGATGTCGTACACGCAGTCATTGTTGCGAGTTGTCAGATAGGCAGTGAATTGGCCATCGATGGGCTCTGAGCTTCGTCCTGCAACAGCTTCGGTCATGTGCTTGATGAGATAGGCAGCTGTCTGCTGCGATATCATCCAGCTGTCCCCTTCAACAGTGGGCTTGTCGAGGTGATCAGTGTTGAGTGGAACCATACCGCTTCCACCACCAAAGCCATGGCCACCCAATGCACGACGGCAGGTTTCGCTTCCATCAGCAGTGATTAACGTACAAGCCGCCTTGAGACCAGAAGATGTTGCATGGAGCTCCGCAAGCCGAGACATATCACCCTTTCGCTCAATGTCGGCACGAGTCTCCCAGTATAGATTGAACATTGCTTCTCCCGTGTAGTGCAGAGCATACGCTGCCGCGACCAGAGGGAGGATCCGGACCTGTACTGAGGGATAATCCAGCACAGATCGCTCCGGCCCAGCTGGATCATCGCGGTCAGCAAATTGTCGCCGGATGGATAAGTATCGCACCGCGATGGTGCACGCTCTTGCAAGGACAAGTCGGCTCTCCATGATGATGCTGGCACGGACAAAGGTCATGCTGCCATAGACAATGGCCTGCTTCTCCGGCTTGATGTAGTTTCCATCGCGGCTCACACCCGTGTATTTGGAAAGCAGTGCCTTGTGAGGTACCCTGAAGTTGTTGAACAGCATGTATCCGTTGTCCATGCCCGCATAACCAAACTTGGTACCAATGTCACCAATCACGATGCCGTCGAGGGGCTTGTTCATCGTCATGTCTCTGATTTGTGAGATGAATTGATGCGGGCCATACGACTTGAGCTTGCCATTGGTGTCAGGCAGCAGGAGCTGAGCAACAATGATGGCATGGTTGGCAGTGCGGCCCAACGATCCATTCCACCACTTTGCGGCGGTCAATGTCGGGCTGTGGATGGTGAAATCCTTGGTGTCCGGATTCCATCTCGCGTAGGTTTCTATGCCTCTCACGTTGCTGCCGTGGCCTAGTTCCGTCTGCCCATAGCATCCTATGATCTCCCAGCGTTCAGTCCGCGGCATCCACTCCGTGATCTGCTCCTCGCTGCCCTGCTCGCGGATCGAAGTCGCAAACATGAGAGGGTGGAGTGAATACGGAGCAACTTCGCCTACAAGGTATGTCGCAACCCGGTAATCTTGGGCGTCCCAGCCATACTGCAGTGCAAGCCGGCGAAGCTCCTTTGATCGAGCCAGCGACAGATGATACCTATGTGGCCGTGCAAGATTAAGCTGATTCTTCTTCGAGAAATATGGTCTGTTCTCAATGATCTTTAAGATCTTCTTTTGGCGCTCGAGCAAGCCATCGCGCTGGAACAAATGTTGCGCAAGCTGGCTGACATTAATGTTGGACCCTCCGCGCTCTCGAGCAAGGATATCTGGGCCTTGGGGATCTGCCGGACACAGGTCAGCGGAGAAATCAGACATTTCGTAAATTTGTAATGCTACTGAAAACAAAACAATGTTAGGCTGCTCCTGCAGGTGCTATATGTATACATAATGTGCCGACGGGCTACTTGTTATGTGGGGTCAAGCCGAGGTCCGTCCCTCTTTTGCCGACGCTACTTGTCTGAATGCTCTCATAGTACCAGGTCCAGCTAGCTGGCCTTCTGTCATTTGTTATTCCTCTGTTACCTATCCCTTCTCCAGCTATTCCATCTTGTACATATGAAACAGAATAAACCTATGGCATTTCCCAACAAATATATATATTACACCACAGGTTTTCCTGGCGGAGGACCAGTTACCAGCGATTAGTTCTATTGAATAGACACACCTACCTTCCAACCACGCGTATCACGTCTCTATAACCCCTTCAGAGCCGCTATCTTAGTATTACGGGCTCACATCCTAGCACTATCAACTTAACCTGCAGTAGGTTAAAAGAAGCTAACTCGGACCCAGACCTATATAGATTTCGGGCGGATCAGGTTCAGGATTTCAGGGTGGGTTGTGCATGTCTAGTGATGAACATGGACGGAGCGACTGTACTAGGGGAAAGTGCAGAAGGTTTAGAGCTTTGATGCGTTGACAAATAGCGTACCTAGGCACGCAGAGAGCTCGTATACAGAATTAATGACACTTGTTCTCAAGCCTTCCAGTGATCAACTGCTGAGTACGAGACGCCCCCCCTCAACCTTTCCATTCGACAAGGTGGCATTTCCGTCAAATTTACTTCAAAAGGGCAATTCTTCTTTTCTCTCTTTTTCTGCAGTAGAAACGCAAAAGGTTCTTCACTCCTAGCTCTTCAGGTCGCTCATCCATACTTATTTAGCCAGCACCGCCGTAAAGGAACGAATTTCTCTCGGCTCCATGACCAACCGATTCTTCGATCGTACAAAGTCCAAACAGGACTCAATCAATATCCTTGCTGGCGGTATAGCCTTCTTCATTATCGGCGGAGAACTACTCCGTTGGTGGTACTCCAGTTTTACCAACTACTGCGCCAACGCGAATGATCCCCACGGCGACAGGCAATACTACCCTTCAGCATGCTATGAAAGTAACAAGCTCTTGTTCGTCGCTGCGATGATATGCTTCGTGATTGGTGGTCTTGACGTACTCCAGGGCTGGATTTATCTTTTCTACTATTATACTAAATCTCTTACCAAATCGCTTTCTTATATTTTTCTACTGCTCTTATTCCTGCCTTTGCTTTGTCTGTTGCTCTTGGACTATTTTGCATGGCTTTCTTTATGTATCTTGTTATTATATGGCTTTTACCCATTGGTTTGGCAACTATTTTGGGCGGCCTTTGCTTGTGCTTTTGTTATTTGGACCTGGAGATGAATATTGGGTAGTGTAGCTAATAAAACCTGGAAAACAGGTCAAGGAATCAAAGTTTCGTGGATGCTGGCCGGGGTGCTACTCCGCCACCCTCAGACGACTCCCTGTGGCCAGTTATTTCCCAGCCCATTCCTCTGTATCTTGCTGGCCAAATGCCACTCCGGCCTGGTGCTAGGATTCCGTTTGGATCCAGGCAGTCCTTTAGCTTCTCGTTGAATTTCATGAGTGCATTATCATTCCACGAGTAAGTCGCCGCGACCTGGTCACTCAGTAGTAAGTGAGTACGATACTCACCATATCCTTTCACTGCGGCTTCCTGAATAAGGGTCCGCATTACCTCCAATGCAGTGGAACGTTGGGTTGGATCATCGCGATTATACACACACTCCACAATCAAATGGAGCTCGCGAAGGCCAACCACGAAGTCGAGGAAAAAGTCTAGGCCAGAGGCAATCCAGTGCTTCTTGGCCATGTTCCACAAGCGCAGCGCGTCTGCGCCACGAGTAGGGGCCACGGGACTGAAAGCAATATGTCCACCATTCGGCCACCAGTTGATCCACGCCAGCTCTTCCAGGTCCGGTTCGCCGCTGGCAATTTTATCGCGAGACCAGAAGTAGTCGCTAGGTGGTAAGCCTCCTGGTTCGATCCGTCGTGCACCGGGTACCTTCATAAATTCGCGGTGGATAATGTCGAGCTTGAGTTGGCGTGTTTCCTGCGGACCGTAACATGTACCAAAATATAACCAGGTACATTCGCCATAGGGATGGTCTCTCAGGTACTCAGCCATCTTTTCGGTAGGAAAAGGCCCATCTCCTTTGTAAAAAGCAGTTCGGGGCTTCCCAGACAATGCCAGAATCTGTAAAGCATGTCGGATGTTTGCTGCATTGTCCAGGATCATAGCAATTCGAAGAGGCCGTACTATCTCGACGAGCTGCTCCAAGTCTTCCTCGTTCTTGAAGGCATAAAGCTGGAGAAGATTAATTAATATCAAACTACCAGAAGGGCTCTTGGGGAACCAACAAAGCTCTCATGGCCACCCGGATCCGGCATCAGGCCAAAACCCATCTTAGTGACGATGCCGTAGTTTGATTGGGAAAATATACCACTGGGGGGAGTGTATCAGCAAAAACATCCAGCATACTTTCGGGGCCAGACGTACTCGATGAAAGGACCGAACCCGTAGGGAAATACCTGCCACGTATTGTTCCCTGGCAATGCACCCATACCAGTCCGAACCAGCTCCCCAGTGGGCGTCACAACTTCAAGGCCAGAATGCACGGCCCAATGATCCCCGTAGGGTGTATAACCCACTCCATGCTCAAGGGCATTGCCCAGCACTGATCCACCTCCCAGATCAGGAACATCAATCCAGAGGTGCTTGTACCCGCGCTTTTGTACCTCCTCATATAGTGCGTAGTACGAAACTCCCGGTTCGACCAGGCAGGTACAGTCCTCTGGGTTAATATCGAGGATCCGATTCATGCGTTTTCCAAGGTCAATCACGACAGCCCCCCGAACCCGCGGTGCAGCTCCGCCATAGCCGACTATGGAAACAGCCAGTTAGAAACCACTATTTTGGTAGTTTTGAATGTACACATACAATTCCGGCCCATTGAAATAGGGTGGAGGGGGATGAGATATTTATTTGCCCAATGAACAATCTTCTGTACCTCTTCCGTACTGCCCGGATAGACAACGGCAGAAGCAACTAGTTCTTCCTCATGTGTAACAGCCATCCCATCATGTGTGTTTGGATCTGATTTCGAAGGTGGAAGTTAGAAGATAGTTGCCATATTGAGAGTAATGGCCACTCACGCTCCATATACCTATTTGCAAGATTAGTCTTCCGGCTATCAACTGTTTTGTGAATCAAATGATCCTCACCAGCCATCATGAAGCGGTTTATCATTAACTTCAACGTTTTCGCCACCGAGTTGATCTGTGAGCTCCTCTATTGCCACAAAAAACCGTGATCTCTGGATTCCTTGTGGTATCACGGGCAACCGTTGCCGAGGCCGGAGGGGCTTGGTTGCAATATCTTGGATGAGAGCTTTGGCGCGACGCGCCTTATGGATTAACCGCACTGGCACCCCATTGTGCTTTTGTTCCAGTGTTGAAATGGAATCAGGCGTATCAGGATGCATGATGGCCGTCGTTGCACCCTGGATGGCTCAGCGAGGTATGGAACAGAGTAGGCCTTTTATATGCAAGGCACAGGTGAATGAAATCGAAGCGGTCGACACTCATGGCCACTCCTCCAGAGAACTCACTTATGATACAAATATTGCATATCCTGCAAGATCACCCCACGCAGCTGCGGGTGATGCCAGAATTGCCGGGGCACTGATGTGGGGGATGTCCTCATGCGCCAGATCACCCCACATCCGCCATTTAATTGTATCAAGCTGGGTTCCCGCAATATCCAGTTTGGAAGGATTGCATCTGAACTGCTTTTTCTTTTTTTGAAAAAAATGTCCCAACCAGTTGCAGTGATAACAGGTGCGGCATCGGGCATCGGGCTCGCTGTGACGAAACATCTGGTTGCGAAGGGATGGCGAGTCGCCATGGCCGATATCAATGGGGATTCGGGACAAAAGATTGCTACTGAACTTGGAGACCAGGTGGTGTTTTGCCTCACGGATGTCTCTTCATACTCTCAACAAGCATCGTTATTCGAAAAGGCTTTTTCGTGGGGAGATGGCAGGCTCGATCTTTTTGCCGCCAATGCCGGGATTGCCGACACGCAATTCCTCCACGAAAACGATTACCAGTACGCCAACGATGGCCAGCCGCTGCCTTTCGAACTCAAAGGCCTGGATGTGAATCTCACAGCCGTCATCCAAGGGCTATGGCTGTTTAAACACTATGCGCGGCGGAACAAACTCGCAGGCGGTAAGGTTGTCATTACCTCGTCTTCTGCAGGGCTCTATGCCATGGAAACCAACCCCATATACACAGCCTCCAAGCATGCCCTCGTCGGGCTTACCAGAGCTCTCGGGCCGGTTCTGCAACGGCAGAATATTCAACTGAACGCCATTTGCCCAGCCTTTGTACCGACCGGTCTATGCCCCGAAGGGATGCTGGATCGCTTTCCAAAGGAACATATCACTCCAATGTCAACGGTCATCAAAGCATATGATACCTTCCTTGAAGATGATAGACTGTGTGGGCAGATTGTGGAACTTAGTCTGGACAAGCTATATTTTCGTACCCAGCCCGACTACCCGAATGAGAGTCAACGCTGGTTGGGGGAAGAGTCGGCCAGCTTTTGGGAGGAGGCTTATAAGGCACCTGTAGGCTCGTGATATTCAGGAGATATGAATATAGCGAGTATCTCTCTTCCATGGAACCAAGCCGAGCCGCGCCGCAAGTATATATTTTTCTAAGTTCAGTCAAGATTGCAGAGTAGATAGCGCTGAGTCTCGACTACGCATCCTAGAGATCAGAGTATTGTCGGCGTTACGGTCCTTTACGTTTATACCTCGAAAGGCTATAGAATGGTCTCCCGAGACGCAGGATTCAAAACAGCAAGCCCCCTGCATGTGGGGTGACCAAATCCTTATATGGAACCTACAGCCACAGCAGGCCGAACGAATCACGCCTGATTCCAAACCATGCTGCTTTTCACGATTGGAATTGTGGTTGCTGCAGCCGCGCCCCTGATCTACCACCTTCTTACTGCTACGCCTTCGACAAGGCGATCACCAAAGGGGCAGCGAGATATCCCTGACGCTGGGAGTGCATCCGAGTTGGACTTTCAGCCGCAGCGACAGCTCCAAAGATGGGCCATTGAGCACGGTGAGCTGTTCAGAGTGCGCTTAGGTAGAGAGCAATGGATCTATTTCAACAGCCCAGCGGCCGTCAAGGAGATTTTCGATAAGCAGTCGCTGTACTCATCCTCTCGTGCGCCGAGTCCTGTTGTGTCAGATATGCTCTCGGGTGGACTGCGGTGCGAACAGCCATACCCTTTGGGGTTCTATTATGTGAGACCTTTCTGACGTGGAGATAGATTCCTACTGATGCCATACTCGCCTCACTGGAGGAAGCTTCGAGCAATTGTTCACAAGCTTCTATCCCCAAAATCATCCAGCACCTTCATGCCATCCCAGGAGTTTGAAGCAAGGCAGTTGCTCTGGGATATCCTGACCGACAATGACAACCAGGAGAATTTCTACATGCATATTCGTAGATATACAACATCGGGTCAGTAAATCCCCAAGTCCACTTTCGATAGAGCCACTAACACGGAATCGCTCCCAGTGGTGATGACCTCAACATACGGGCGGCGAGTCCCTGTTTGGGTACCTATGCTTTTCTCTTCCCATCGCAGACTTCATTGACAGAGTTTACAGGACTGTGAAGACATCCGCGAAATATACGGCCTAATGGACGAGTTCAGCAAAGCTGCAACGCCAGGCAAGTACATGGCCGAAACCCTACCTGTGCTGGCTAAGCTTCCGGCATGGATGCAGTGGTGGAGGAAAGAAGCCGTGCAGTCCTTCAATCGACAGGCAACTATTTGGATGAAGTACTGGTCCAGCCTCAGGATCCAGATGGACCGGGGTCAGGCGCCCGAGTGTTTTGTGAAACGGTTCATCGAAACCGACTACAAGAAGAGTAACATCAGCGAGCTGCAAGCGAGCTTTGTTGCGGGAAGTATGCATCGACTTTGTCCTCCACCAAGTCTCTTTCTGACGGCCTGCACCTAGCCATGATTGAAGCCGGGTCCGAGACAACATCATCCGCCCTCAACAGCTGCGCCAAGTATTTTGCAGCCTATCCCGAGGCTCAGGCAAAGGCTTTCGCGGAGATTCTACGAGTGGTTGGCGAGGATCGCATCCCCAACTTCGGTGATGAACCAGACCTGCCGTACATCAGAGCGTGTGTCAAGGAAGTTTTGCGAATCCGTCCAGTAACCAAGTGGGACCGTTTACTGCCCGTATATATATATATTTATACTGACTCGACCATCAGCATCGGATCTCCACACTACACGACAGCAGACATAGTGTACAAGGACTACTTCATCCCAGCAAACACAGTAGTGTCTATCAATCAGTACGCACTGCACTTCGATCTGAATCGCTACGAGAACCCAGATGACTTCGTCCCAGACCGATATCTCAACCACACGCTCAAGGCAGGGGTGTATGCGGTGCATCCCGACCCCTATACGCGGGACCACTTCGACTTTGGTGCCGGGCGGCGAATCTGCCCGGGGATGCACCTGGCAGAAAATAGTCTTTTTATTACCATCGCTTGTCTTATTTGGGCGTTTGAGATCCTGCCGCCGGTGGAGAAGGGCAAGGTGGGCACTGTTGATGTGTCTGATGCAGCCTACGAGGACGGGGCGAACACACTTCCGAAGCCTAGTAAGCTGCGGTTTGTCTGTCGGAGCCCAGCAACAGAAAGAACTTTGACGAGGGAATGGGCAAGGGCAAAGGACTCGGGATATATGCTTGGCCACGTCAAAGTGACCGCGGAGGGTGTCGTTGTCGTTGCCGAATGACAGTCACGGTGGTCGCCTATATAGCCTTCCATGTAACATCCTTGAAAAAGAAGCATCGCCCACTGCCAGACATATTCAAGTATGGACACACCTCTTGTGTATATATGGCGAGGCTAGACCCAAAGTATAAATATACAGGTAACAGGCGTGCTGTCGCCAACACCCAGTCCGCGCACGACGTGGCCTGCCTCTCCAGGCCAACGGCCTGACCCGTTAAAGACCGAAGGGGGGTATATTGGACACTGCCATTGGTCCTATCTGACATCTGGGGTGAGTTCCTACTCGACGAACTGCAAATCCGGGGCACCCCTCGGCGGCGATCCGCGATGTGGGGTGAATTTAGGGAACTCTCCTCGCAGCTAGAATCATATATGATCCTGGGAGCAGTACACTCGTATGACAGCACGCCATTTAGTTATTGTGGAACCATCCCCTCTGCCCTCTGCCTGTTGACGACCTGACATCTCCTACAAGCACACCATTTCACCATGGGAATGGGTGTACTCGACGATCGGTCTGGGTTGACCCGGGTCCCTGGCACAGTTGTCCTCGCGGATATCGATCTCCTGCACACCGGGGCAGACAGCACTGCAGGACTCAAACGAGGTACTGGCAAGGACAAGGATGTCATTCTCGCCCCGCAACCGTCCAATGATCCGAATGACCCTCTTAATTGGCCATTCCGAAAGAAAGTTGTGATCGTCTTGGTTATGGTTCTGGGAGCGTGCCTTAATGCGTCTACAGTTGGCCCTTTGCTCAGTGCCAGTATCGTGGTACTTGCAGGGGAATTCAATAGGCCTATAACTGACATCACCCTCCTCACAGGATACAATATGGTTGTTGCAGGCGCCTCGTGCCCGCTGGCCTCGGCCCTGGCCACAAAGTACGGCAAGCGGCCGGTCTTTTTCGGCTCCTCCGTCGCGTGCCTCGTGGGAAGTATCGTCGGCTCTGCCAGTCAAGCTTATGACAGCCTTCTCGCTGCTCGAATCATCCAGGGCCTGGGGTTTGCAGCATACGAGTCACTGGCATTCAGTGTGGTTGGTGACCTGTTTTTTGTCCATCAGCGTGGTGCCTGGGTGAATGTCATCTCCTTTACTTTATCCGCTGTATCCAACCTCAGCTCGGTCATTGCAGGGCCCATAACATACAAGCTTGGCTGGCATTACCTTTTCCATATTCTGGTCGCCGCCTCTGGTCTGCAAACAGTCCTCTGTTTCCTTTTCGTGCCCGAAACGAGCTACATACGACATGCCGGCCTCAAACAACATCCGGCCGTGGGAGACGAGAAGACCGATGTGGAAGCGGATGCAGGTGCAGAGCATATCGAGACTGCTGAAGGGGGCGAATCATCGAACGGCCCACGGTCCCCGGCTAAGACATTCTGGCAAGAGCTAGCCCTCTATACTGCGGTGTACAGCGAAGAGAGCCTGTTGAGGTTGATATTCGGTCCCTTTGTGTGTCTCACCAATGTAGTTGCATTGTGGACGGTCGTGGTCACAGCTGTGATCACATCAACCTACGTTGCGATATCCTACGTGGTGGCACAGATCTTTTCACCGCCGCCATACTTGCTATCAAGCGCGCAGGTTGGGTATCTGTCCGCAGGGCCCTTCATCGGCGGCGTTATCGGCACTGCCCTCGTAGCAAAGACGACGGACCGTCTCGTGGTGTGGATGGCGACGCGTAATAATGGGGTCGACGAGCCTGAATTCAGGCTCCCGCTTGTTGCATTCGCGTTCCTCTGTACTGGCGGCCTCTGCGGCTTTGGTGCCTTAGCTCAAGAGCAGGGAAACCTGTACTTGATCGACTTCATGTGGGGGCTCACACTGGCTGGGATCTGTTTTTGTGTTGGCCCGTGTTCGAGCTACGCAATCGACGCCTTCCGCGAAATGAGTAACGAGATTTTCGTGGCGAACGTCATGGTGAAGAATTTCCTCTTCTATGGCTATAGCTACTTTATCAACGACTGGATTACGTCTGATAGTACCGCGACTCCCTTCTATGTCTTTGGGGGCGTTAGTGCTGCGCTGGTTATTTCTACGTTTCCGGTCTATGTGTTGGGGAAACGCTATAGAAGCTTCTGGCATACCCACAACATCATGGTGAAGCTGGGAATTCAGGGCCATGCCGAGATATAGGTGAATATGCCCTGTTACGTGGAGCCTCGACGGTACTGTGAAAGGAGGGGGGTGTAGTGCAGGATGGGAGCTATAGTTTAGCCTATAAATGAATAGCTTCAGTTTATGGTAATCCAGCTTTGTTACTGTACAAGTACAGGGACGATATAACTTCCACCCCAATTAATGTACTATATACGGCATTGAGCTTACTGCTCGTCACTCCCCCACATGGACTGTCCCATCCCCAGTTGGCCAGAAAGAGAACTGATCCACATGAGCAATAAGCATTATTAAGGCCGTTTGAACTTAGGCAGATGACGCCCAGATACAGTGTCACGAAGGTTAAACAGCTTCACTTTATTCCTCCCGCGTTGACAGCCACGAGTTTCATGATGAAGGCAAGTTTACAGGTTTATGCTTCGTGTGCGTGTTAAATTTATTTACGAATCGACAATACAGGTTATAGTTGTCGGCGCAGGGCCTTGTGGCCTCCTACTTGCAGTCCTTCTCTCAAAGCAAGGGGTACAGGTCCAAGTGCTAGAAGCCTCGAGCGAACTCGACGACCAGCCGCGAGCTTGCCACTACAGCGCCCCCGCCAAGTTCGAGCTGCAGCGAGCGGGCGTGTTGGAAAAAATCAGCGCGGAAGGATTCTTCCCGCGCAGTGTATGCTGGAGGAAGAAGGATGGGACCCGTATTGTCGGACTAAACAACGAAACCGAGCCGGAGAGCAGCCTGCATAGGATGGTCGCCCTCGAGCTTGGTCGTGTGGTCCAGATCTTATACGATGCCGCGATTGAGCAGGAGAGTACCGAAGTTCTGATGGGCCACAGAGTCACCAGCATTGGCCAGGATGACCTCTCAGCTTGGGTGGAGGTGACCCTGTCGTCTGGCCAATCTGCCCATTTCAACGCGGATTATATCATCGGATGCGATGGTGCGAACAGCCAGATTAGACGGTCACTCTTTGGAGACTTGGAATTCCCCGGCTGGACGTGGGATCATCAGATTATTGCAACAAACGTAAGTCCACACACAGGCAAGTCTTGAGGGCAGTGTGAAGCGCAAGACCTCTGACACGCGCCAGGTGTACTACGACTTTGCTCAATTTGGCTACGAGGACTCAAACTTCATCGTGCATCCGCAGGACTGGTACATGGCAGCAAAGATCTCTAAGGACAACCTCTGGAGGGTCACATACGGGGACGTGCCTGGGCTAACCAAGGAACAATACGCCGAATGGCTTCCAGCTCGCTACGAGAAGATATTACCAGGGAACCCAAGGCCGTCTGCGTACAAGGTGACCAACATCGGCCCTTATAAGATGCACCAAAGGCTGGCCAAGTCTTTGCGAGTAGGAAGGTTTCTGCTCGCTGGCGACGCCGCTCATCTTTGTAACCCTTTGTATGTGACCATCGAGACCGAATCGCCAACCTACTAACTGTTCTCTAACCAGCGGCGGCCTCGGGTTGACCGGCGGTATAGCGGATGTCGGGGCCCTGTACGAAGCTCTCATCGGTATTCACAGGGGCGTGGCGGACGACGAAATCCTCACAGAGTACAGCGAGGCGCGGTCTGCCAAGTATCGCGAATTCGTGGACCCGCTGTCCACCGCGAACTTTCGACGCCTGTGGGACAAAGACCCGGAAACGACAATCGTTGAGGATGAGTTTTTCCAAATGGCGAGGGAGGCAGAGGCGGATCCGGACGTGGCAAAGAGCATGCTCGAGGTGGGTAAATGTCATGATTCAAATGGCTATGAGACAAATGGGCTGACTTGAATTAGGGATTCATGCAGTTGAGATCAGATCTTACTCGGTCATATAAAGGGCAAGAGCATTAGTCGCTGTGTTGTTAGCTAGCTATATCCCTGACGGAGTATAGAGAGGTTGATGGTGACGTCTTCTGCCCGAATTAAGGCACTGTACCTCATTCCTCTGCTTATTAACTGCCATACGCAGTCAGCTTTGACATCCTAGGCCCAGGCACAAGGGGGGAATCGCCCCCAGATTCTACAGGGATTCTTTAGCTGCAATTGGGACCGAATCTGCTTGCGTCACACGTAAATTTTGTATCTACCACACGCTATAGTTGTCTATGCTCTTAACCAGAATACCGTTAGCGTCGAGTAATTCAGTATTTGTGCTGGTTTAAACCGCTTTCCAGAAGGAAAAGATATATATTGAGTTGCTACGGCTGGTTTCCATGAAATACACCAGACTACGTTGTGTTGGCGACAGCAACGAGTGCCACAACTTGGATAAACTAACTATGCATACAATAACGACAAAATGGTTGGATTTTTTGTATAGGGCTATTATTGTGAGGCTGGTTGGTGCTATATACACACCCCACACAGTCAAGACACGTTGTATATTTCCATCTGCCCCCACATGCACCTCCTTAAAGCACTGAGCATTGCAGCAGCACAGAGGGAAGATTTCTTGCACAGTACCGAGTCGATAGACAAACACCATGACGTCCTCCCTGCCTTCCAAGACCTACGCCGATCCGGATTACGAGGCAGCTCATCGAGAAACGTTTGCCGCCCCCAAGACTAAGATCCCAGACGTTCTCCCGATCGGTGTCACCAAGGCCACCTTTGATGCCGCCATCAAGGACCTCGTTTCCGCCGTCGGCCTCGCATCCGTCTTTGTTGGGGAGGCTCTAGCTCATTATGTTGACCCCTATGATGTCTATGAAGATGATGAGTCGCGGCGCAGGGTTCCAAGTGCGGCCGTGACGTGAGTTCAGTCCCCCCATGGTGTCCGCTTCCTGGTGTTGACTTGTTATAGCCCAGGGTCCTTGGACGAACTGCGGCAGGTCCTCAAGATAGCCAACAAGCACGAAATTCCGCTGTGGACGTTCTCCAGGGGAAAGAATCTGGGGTGCGTATCGCAGTCTTTCTAGGATAGTCGAAACTCAGTGTTATTGACGATAATGACAGTTACGGTGGGCCTGCTCCCGTCGTGCGCGGATCTATTGCCTTGGATCTGCACCGGATGAACCGCATTCTCGAAGTCAACGACGATATGCACTACGCAGTCGTGGAACCCGGTGTAACGTGGACAGACCTCTACAATTACTGCGTGGAGAACAAGAAGAAGGTCTGGCCAAGTACGCCCTCGCTAGGATGGGGCAGTGTCATCGGAAACGTAAGTCGCGATGCGAACAAAGTATTCAGTACAACAGCTGATACCACACAGACTGTCGATCGTGGAACAGGGTTTGGGTCAAATTCGAACCATCATCAATGCGTTGCAGGATGCGAGGTGATGCTTGCCGATGGCGACCTGGTTCGAACTGGGCAGTTTGGCATTTCCAATTCCCCTTCAGCATTCCTGTCCAAATTTACATTCGGGCCATCAATTGAAGGGCTTTTCTGGCAAAGCAATCTAGGTATCGTGACGAAAATGAGTATCTGGCTAACCCCACAGCCGTCCGCCTTCATGTCCTGTGTCTTTAACATGCCAAAGTTTGATGATCTGGAGATTATGGTTGATACCCTCGGTCTCATGCGCCGTAACGGCGTGATTCCAAACGTTATATGGATTGGTAATATTGTCGAAGCCCTCTGTATCCGAGGCCGGCGTCGGGACTATTGGAACGGAGAAGGTCCGATTCCCGATTGGCGAGTCAAGCAGCTTCAAGAGGAGTTGAAGTTGGGCTGTTGGACTGCGCGGTTCGGACTCTACGGCCCTCGGCGCATTGTCCAGGCACACTTTGATGAAATAAGTGAAATCCTCAAGGACAAGGCCCCGACAGGCGAGCTTATCGGAAAGTTGTTTACTGGAGATAACGGTGGGCTTCTTGACGCGGCATCTGTTCCCTTCGAGGATGGAAATGTACTGGTCGGAGTCCCAAGTCTCATAAGCATCCCCTTAATGAAGTGGCCTTTGAAGGACGACAATGTCGGAAAGGCTGCACATGGGGATTACGCGCCGATCATCCCGTCATCTGGGAAGAGGCTCCTGGATTGGATGCGGCGGGCCAAAACCGTCTTCGAAGCCTCGGGGCTCGAGTTGATGACGGACTTCTTCATGCACGAGCGACATGTTGTTGTAACAGGGATGTATAGCTTTGACCAGCACAGCCCGGTGGAGAGAGAGGCAGTGCATAGGCTGTTCCATGCCTTACACGAGGAGGCCAAGGATAAAGGATACGGCATGTACCGTGGACATATCCAGCACATGGGTCAGTTTATGATTTCTGAATACGGTTGATCTCTACAGAGGAGCCAGCGTACTCATTGGATGATAGACTTGATTGCGGACCTGAACGACTTCAACGACCATGCCTATACCAGGTTTGTGGAGACCCTAAAGGTACGTATCATCTTACGCCCGCACGCCGACTGGATCTGACTCCGCATATAGGATGCAATTGATCCAAATGGAATCCTAGCACCCGGGAAGCAAGGTATATGGCCGTATAAATACCGTCACCTACGAGGAAAGACGGGCAGCGCTGCTCCCAAAGAAAAGCTATAGCTTCTGGTGGTGGAAAAGTTGTTTTGGTCTCTAGCGTACAAGTGTATTGCAGTCCACTGAAAAGACAGAAATACGGACAGTGGGGAACCATAGATGGTGAAAGCTTTTGAAAAGGACGACTACTCTCGCGGGGGGTGCCTGTGCTGGAACTAGTGTCCAAGATAGTTTTCTGTATCACTTTGGCAGAATAAACTGGACGGCGTAGTTTACTTATTCCCGTCGTTTTTTGATCCATTAATGGCGGAAACGTACAGTTATCGCAGGTACTGTAACATACTCTAAGGATAGTATAGTACTATATTACTTCTATTCTATCCAGCTTTCACTTTGCGGGAGAGAAATTTACTTGCCACGCGCAGATGGGAGGCATCCCGTACGAAACGTGATCTGGAAAAGACAACGTTAGGGCTGTTCATTTATCTTCCATGGCCCATATATCGCAAGCACAGGAAACCTGCTGCCAGGCTACTGTCGTGGATGCTCAGAGTCATGAAGCACCACCGGTGACTGAGAATCGACCACACTTTATCAGTAAACTTTGTTGTTTCGCAAGGTATTTGGCATTTGCTCGTTTAGAAGGCGCAATCCTAGGCTAAATGCCCCATGACAACGCGCCTGGTCCCATCGCCTCAGCTTCCGACTACCTACTCCATGGACATACCTCGTCACGGATGCCCGTTGAATCGTATATCCTACTAGCTACATCGCAGCCCTATGGCATAACTGATAGGTCAGACCATGGCCGGATTCTGCGCAGCATCCTCCATAGTAATCTTGGTTTCCCCGTCGTATATGCGGAGCGATTCCCGCGCCTCGGCCGCTTCGTCGAGCAGGAGCTGGCGTATTTTCTCGGATCGGGGTATAAAGCGAGCCGGGAATGGCTGCGGCCGTTGATTTTCACTTTCCGTGTAAGCGAAAATGTCCAGTCTGACTTGTTCACCCTATGGACAATTAGCCAAGCTCTTTCCGGGAACAGGGGATGCTGGCAATCAACCTTCTCGTCGAGACCCGGTTGCACATTGAACGCCCAAATCAACCGCCCGAGTGAAAACAAAGGTCCCTGCTCAGCTAATGGCTGTCCGCTGCATTGCCTTCGGCCCCAGCCGAACGGATTGCTCCCGCGGGCGTTGGGGTATGGGGTTTCCAGCCCTCCAAGGAATCTCTCCGGCCGAACTGTATCAGGGTCTGGGAAATCACGAGGGTTTCGGTGGATAGCCCACATATTACCAGTGAAGTTGGTCCCAGCGGGGAAATAATAGCCCTTGTATTCAATGTCCGTGGTGTTTGCGTGAGGAATTCCAGCTAAGACCGTCACCGTCCGCCAACGCAGGACCTCTTTAACAAGTGCTGTTAGATAAGGGAGAGCGCCCTGGTCAATATCTTCCCAGGTAGGCGAACGATCATGGCCTACAGCTCTATCTATCTCCTCCTGCGCCTTGCGCTGCACCTGGGGAAAGCATGCCAGCGCAAGGATGCAGCTTAGCATAGTGCTTGAAGTTGTGTCAACACCTCCTCCTATCAAGTTAGCCATCAAACCGGCGACCTCAACATCACTCATCTCGAATTTTTCCTTGGCCTGGAGCATGTATTTCGCAAAGCTTTGCTGTTCCGATCGGGCGCCCTCATCTGTCAGCATCAGGAAATACCGTGCCCCGATTGCGGCCCCCATGCGCAGGGCACTAGGAAGGCTGTACAACCATGCGGGAAGGTGAAGCATGGCGGGAACAGCTTCCATTAGGAAAAGGCCCGGAATGACAAAGTTGACGGATTCCATGATTTTGAGAGCCTGCTGGGCGACATAGTCATTCTTGCGGTCAACCCGCCGACCCCAGCCAGTAATCGAAGTGACGGAGATTGTATATCGCTCAATGGATAGTTCAAAGTCATCAGGCTCCTCAAGGAGGTCCCTCATGAGGACCTTTGCCTCGTCGCCTTGGAAACTGCGATAGTTTCGCACCGCCTGCGAGCCGACAGCTGCATGCTGCGCGAGACAATTAGACAAGTTGGCAAAACCCGGAATCCTGCTAGATGATATGCCTACCATGAGCTTTCTATGCAACCTCCACCTATCTCCGTAAGGCAGAGTTGTCTGGTTGGTGGTAGTACAGTTGATGGCATCACCCATAACGATAAGGCGCGGCCGAGATGAGAGGACATCAGCCTTCTTCTCGAGCAGATCCGAGGCCACCCACGCATCGTTGATAAGTATTCGAGGATACCGGCCAATCCAAAGTGTGAGAATTGGTGAACTGTAGTATTCCCCCCATTTTTCCCATGCAATCCAAGGCCGGACGGATGGGGTCTGGAAGTGGTTGCCCACTACCGGTAGTGGCCATGGCCCTGGTGGAAGCTTGCGCCGCAGCAGAAGCATCCGCCCATAGTCTAGGAGCAGCCACGCTATACCAGCAAGGAAGGTACCGAAGAGGGCATGCTGCGCAGCTGCGTGCATGTCGAGTGTTCCTAGAAGTCCCATCGCGACTGTAGAAGGTCCTAGCGGCGCATCTTTGCCAGATGGGTTGGTCGACTTGATGACGGGCTTTATCAGAGACAGCATCTGTATCCACATACAACGGTGAAACCTGTGAATGTGGGTATCACAGCATAAGAAGGCAGATTGGGCAAGAGAGCCTCGCTCTGTGTGGGGGGACTGTGTGGACAGTGAAGCAGGACGCCGTACCTAAGACGCCTCCACATCAGTGGCAGGATCTCTATGCGAAGCTAATTCCACTATCAGTGCGTTCATCGTAAGGAAAGAGATGGTTACGCCGCAGTCACTGGTTTTCAACATATAGTAAATCGTAATGATGATGCCATTGGTTTGAGGAAGGCCCAGGTAGGTGGGCATTTCTTCTAGTCCTTTGTCTATGCCTGTGAGCTCCACAGAACCCTCAGTGTGTTGTGAAACTACGTTTGCTATATGTAATTACGTTGCCCAATGCGTACAACAAGAACCCGCGTCTTATTCAATACACGACAGCACGATTCGCCTCATTGTAGGGTCTGCTAGAACCTCTACCTGTGGCGTAATCGTACTCGGCACTTGATGTCTAACTGCTTGACAAACCACACGTTCTGCGTCTTTGCCTCAGCCTCCGCGTCAAGGAGCTCAAAATCAAAGCGTCTGATGAGCTGTGGGATCAGCTTGCCTATCTCCATCAGGCTGATATTCTTCCCTATACACGTCCGCGCCCCACCGCCAAACTGTTCCAAATAACCGTGATTAGCTACGCGGTATGCATATTTCGGACAGTGAGCACTTACAGCCAAGAAGCTACGGTCCATTTCGGAGAGCCGGGTGGGATTCTCTATCCACCTTTCTGGCCGATAAGCGTCTGCATCGCTCCCGAACACAGCTTGATTCCGGTGGGCAACCCACGCGTTAACACCGACAATCTCCTAGAATGGTCCGGATTTTTAGGGTCTGCAGATACAAGCCATAGAAGACGGGCAGGGCTTGCGGAACACTCACGCCTTCAGGAAAAAATGTGCCGGACAGCGTCGCACCGCCCTTGGGGACAACGCGAGCGAGAGGTAGGCCAGTGGCCGGATGTAAGCGCAGAGCTTCCTTGATGCACGCTTGAAGATAGGGTAGTGTTTGGGACTGTTGGAAGGTGATCTCTGGCGACGAAAGCCTCCCTTCGGCCTCGGCTAGGCGGATCTCTTCCCGGAGCTGGATGATTCAAAGTTAGTGACATACATTGTTGAGTCGCTAGGTGGGTTAGATACACACCTTGTGGTAGACGTTTGGATGTTTACAGAGATTGTACAGGATGGCTGTCAGAGAAACCGACGTCGTGTCGGAACCTGCTCCAACATTGGTAACGCAAGTCGTGAAAATGTCCGCGTCGCTGATTTTGCCAGGGCTCTTTGCCTGCATATCCAGCAGTTTCTTCAAGAAAGGATCAGAAGAGCCGCTGCTGGCCTTCTCTGTCAACGTCTTGCGGGCGGCGGAAATCTGCTGCAATGTAAAGGCCACCAGGTGGGCAATGCCCCCAGTGGGGAGTAAACCAAGTAGCTTCGACAACAGCGGGTGTACTCCATGGTAGATACCGACGTGGGAGGCATAGACAAGGTACGAGTGGAGAGAAGAAATGAGCGAGTCCTGGTCCTTCCCACTATCCAAAAACCCAAATCGTTTGTTGACCTGTCACACCATATTAATACCAAGTGCTGTCGTCTCTCGAGACACTGTCATGATGCATACCGTAATCAGGCCAATGACATCAAAGGCGTAGAACTGCATCCAATGCTGCAAGTTGAATGACTGCCCTGACTCTGCGAATTCCGTCAAACGGTCGATTAAAGCGGCCTTGCACTCGGCAACGCACGGCTCCATCTGGACCAGACTCGTCATACTATAGAGGGATGCCACTCTTCGTCGATTCGCGGCGTGGCGCCGAGGGTCAACATCCGTGAACAAGTCGTGTGACTCGGGACTGGGATTCGAACTGGCCAAATACCATGGTGCCTATTCTACAAGTGAGCATTCGATTCCATGGCGCCTAGAAGCTGGCTTTCTCCATGATAGAGCGTACCTTGACAAAGGCGGAGGAATGCGAATACAGTGTGCGAATTGCCTCAGGGTCATCCAATGAATACTGCCCGGGGGCTATACGAACGACCGGTCCTGCACAGTACTTCAGCTACCATCCCGTGGTCGTGAGTGTGAATGGGGCTGGGGACTGGCACACCATGAGTCCTGTGAAGTTGGATATTCTTCATCTCAAAGTTTCCCTTGTTCACCGCACGCAAATACCATAGTCGGGTGAATCGAGCCAAAACTGGACCAGGAATATCCCGTAGAGGGTGTAGAAGTGCTCGAACAACGCACACCAGACTATAAACTGTAGCGGCAGTTACCAAAATCAACCATGACTGCAGGAGGAATGGGGCTCGTTCAGTGGTGTTCTCCATCATAAAAGCATCTGTATGTGACCCTGTATAGGTGGGCTGTTGCACCTCCGGGGATGCTAGGCGGGTTGCTAAGGGTTTTACGCGATGTCTGAGCCAGGTATAGCCGGCGTGGTCGCAGACCAAGTGGGGTGCCAAATCATTATAGTCTAATTAGCGGCACATCACGAGCAGCCGGTTATGTCATGTGCTTTATGGGCAATATGCTTTCGCGAGGAACGTGGAGGACATTTCCTGCTGGGGTTTTCTCACCCCACATACTCTTTTGGTTCTTATGGCGACGCCCGCAGCGCGCACCAGCATCACCAGCCCAGGACCCTTCATGCCGGCACTCAACAGCTTATACACCATGTCCGAGACCAGCAACCGCCACAGTCAGCTCGTGGGCGTTATCGGGCCCACTGGATTCGGAGGGTCATACCTGACAGCTGAACTGATCCGCCGGGGGCATACCGTCGTCGGTATATCGCGCAGTCCCCAGTCTTTCGGCGCCCATGAACAATACAGACCACGTCCGCTGGACATTGAAGCATCCACGGTTATTCAGTTGGCAGATGCCTTCAGCGATCTTGATACTCTGGTCAGCGAATACGGACCCCACACGCAGGGTGCGGACGCACTACAGTACAGTACGCAAGCTACCCCACCACCCAGTTATCTCTCCCTTGATTGCTGTCGTGCCCTGACAAATATTCGTTGCAGTGCCCTATATTGAAGTTGTCCGCAAACTGATTATCGCGGTCAAACTCGCGTCCGTCAAGTACTTTGTATTTGTAGGCGGCGCCGGTAGCCTGGTGGTGCCCGGAACCCACGAGTCATTGGCTGATTACCCAGGCTTCTTCTCAGCGTATCGCAAACAGATTGCCGAAAGCGATGCACATGTCTGCTATATGGAGGAGCGTTTAGGCCCGCTCGGGGCGCCTCTACGATCCTACCGCAATGCACGTCTAGCAGAGAAGTCCGGCACCGCCACGGCGGCTGATATCGACACGATAAGGACGTACGAGGAGACCATTCGGAAGAGTGACCGGGCCTCGGATTATATCAAAGCTGGGAGGGCGAGTCTTTTGTTCTTTGAGGGGAATACATCCTTTACATGGACGTTTGTCTCGCCTAGTCCGCTGTACAGGCCTGGCCCACGGACTGGACGATATGAGGTTACGCTAGATTATCTTCCTCTGAAGGGCGAGCAAAAAGGACAGGAGTTTTTAGATGGCCGCTTGACGGGAATTTCGGCAGCAGATTTGGGTATCGCTATTGCTGACGAGATTGAGAATCGCCAGCTAATCCATAAGCATTGGACTGCCTCCGGGGACTTGTCGGACGACACGCTTTACCCCAGCTACGTAACTGCAAGAGATATATAAATAGAATATCCGAATGTTGAAGTTTATTTCATGAGAGTCGTTACAGAAAGGGACTATATAATTAGGACACTTTTCCGGCCTCTATGTGGGATACAACTTCATACCCCACAGGCGATTGGCATGACGCTGCTTTTACACTGCCACGTAAAGAAGCCCCCTCAGCAGCTTTCAGTATTGCTTGTCGATATACTAGTTTATTCTCGATGTCATGGCCCTGCAAAATAACTCTACCTCTTGCTTTCTGAAGCACCCGAACGGTCAACTAACACACGTCGTTGTCGACGACTATACAGATCCCTGGACGGAGCCGGAGACGATCCTAATACAGGGCGGCTTTGCCAGACATTCTGCGTTTTGGTATCATTGGATTCCGTTCCTTGCCCGGTACTATCGAGTTGTCCGGCGGGATACCCGAGGACACGGTAAATCGTCTGCCCCGGGACCAGAAGATAATTATACGTACACTCTCGACACTCTGCTCAACGAAATTATCGACACGCTTCACCAGCTGAATGTTTCCAAGGTTCATTTCATTGGAGAGAGCACCTCGGGCATGCTTGGTGAGGCATTGGCCGCCAGGTTTCCCTCTCGCCTACACAGTTTGACTATTATCTCCAGCCCGACCCATCTCCCAGCAGCAGCGCTCGAGCTCTTCGCGTTTGGATACCCGAGCTGGCCTGAAGCCTGTCGTCAACTAGGCTCGAAGGGGTGGGGTGAGCATCTCGCCCGGATCCCAGGAACCCTGTCAGCATCAGATCGCGACTACGAAGCCTGGTGGCTGTCCCAGATTGCAGTCAGCTCGGGCGAGGGCCTTGCAGGCTACGCTGAGTTTCTCTCGTCCTTTGACGCTCGGTCATATCTCGCGGACATCTCGGTGCCCATGCTGATTCTAGCGCCGGCTAAGAGCGCTGCGACCAGTTTGGAGGAGCAGTTGGATATTGCAAGACAGGTAAAGGATTCAAAACTCGTTGTCATACATGGGCAGGGGCACGAGATATACGGGGACAAGGCTGCAGACTGTTTAAACGCAGTCCGTGGATTTTTACTCGAGGTTCAGCACCGCTCTTCCCTAAACGTGGAGTGAGGCGCTATCTAGTATTACTTGCATTCTGTCATGCTGGAGGACAGATTCTTGTAGATAGCGGTTGAATCTACTAAAACGGTTCCTGTCGCCTAAGCGAATCCCGAATAACGTCATGAAATTTATCATCCAGCAACGACAGCAAGACTGCATTCTTGCCTTGTTCCATCCAGATAGCATCGTGAGCCAGTGCAACATGCACCCCAAGTACATTCTCCATCACCCGTATACGCGACAGTGTATCGCGAGCAGCGGCAACGTCTGTATGGAGACAGAATGTACTTCCATCGGACATCTCAAATGTGCCGAATTCTTTCAAGCCATCGAGGATCGCTCTTGGGCCTCACATTAGCCTCAGTTGTTAACTTGAAGAAAATTCCATGATCTTAGCAATCGTACCGTGAATGGCAGCAATCAGAACCCAGTAGAACCCACTCCCCCGACTCCAGTCTCGCACATGCACAGAGGTTCCCCGGCATATGACCCGGTGCCTGGATAACCCAGAAGGAGTCGTCCCCAAAGAAGTCCATTGCGCGGTCGAATGGGCCGAACGGGACCCATGGGCCTTCTAGTGTCTTCCACCGCTCCGTTGCCTGATCTGGGTCGAAATACCGCCCATCCCAGATAGATGATGGGTCTGAGAGGTGGCCTGGTGAGCAATACTCTGCCGTGCCGGGGCCGAAGAAGACAGTTGCCTCAGGGAAAGTTTTTCGTGCCGGTCGGCAGTGGTCGAAGTGTGCGTGGCTATATGACTCAACCAAATGCTCCTTGGGCTCAAACGGCTGAAGACTGTTCCTACCTGAGAATAATCGTGTCAAGTTGGTCAGCAGCAACGCCACTGCGACGTGCTATTTGCGCTTCCAGAGGCTCGCAGGGAGATTGGACGGCTGCCTCTCGTATTGGCCCGTTTGCAATGACCGGTGGGAAATCGTGGGGATCCTAAGGAAGACCCAGTTGTTAGCAGCATTCGGTGTCTTTGCGGGAAGCGACAGACTGAAGACATTCCCAGATCCCATAGGACGTCGCGATGTTGCTTTCTGTGGCGGATGAGGAAGCTCCAGTTGTACATGCGGAATTCGGTCGCTGGCTCCCCCGCGTGGAGCTTGTGGTATTCGGCGGTCATACTGCCTCCATTGAGGAGCAGCAGCTCGACATGTGCCTTTGTAGTCGGCAGCTCGATAGCGTGGCTGGCCATGATACGGATTGCAATTTATTTGTAGGAAGCGAGGGGCTACGCTGGAAGATTCGGAGAAATCACTTGTTTATAGCCACACAGCGGGGCATCACCCCACTAGGTTTATTCTTGATAGACAATGCATAATAATTGATCTACTAACAGTCCTTACATCCACAATAGAGAAGTTATCCACTTGTCTAGTCTAGAGCCTACTCTGCAGGCTCTTTGGAAGGGCTTGTAAGATGAAGATAAACCGACGATCCATCCCGGTCCTGTGCAGTCAGTACATGATAATTCCAGAGACAGTACGACTTACAATGCATTGTGGATCGACCGCGGCCTTTTCGTACACGCGAAGAGCTGCCTCTGCGACAGTAGGATGGATGCCGGTTGCATAGCCAGCCTGCACACTCAACGACAAATCCTTGATCATCATCTGCGTCTTGAATCCCAGTCTGTAGTTGTTACTGCTGGGCGCATGTGGCACAACCCCGGGAACTGGCTGAACATTGTCTGCCATGAATGTCTGCCCGGTCGAATTGTGGATAATCTCATGCAAGAGCTTCGGGTCAACGCCAGAGCGGACGCCAATAGCCATGGCCTCGGCCACTGCTAGAAGGATTGAGCACGAAAGATAATTGTTACTGATCTTGGCCGCCAGTCCTGCACCGATCGCATTACAATAGAACAGCTTTTGCGGATCGCCCATCATCGATACTACTGCCTCCAGCCGTTGCGCGACAGGGTCTGTACTTGACGGTTTACTGTGGCCGATGAGGAACGACAGTGTTCCTTGGTTTGCTGCCGGAACTCCGCCCTAGAAGTTTTGTTACAGTGTTTAGCTGAATGTGTTTAATGCGCGGGGACTGTTAACACACCGAAACAGGGGTGTCAATGTACGTCCCCGCCCCTGCCAGCTGCAACTGCTCAGCGACATCGCGACTCCCCTGCGAATCGATGGTGCTGCACTCAAGAATGAGCCGGCTGGGGTTCCTCCCAGCAGTAATGATTCCTGTCTCTGCATCAAGATACACCTGCCGCACTTCCTTTACTCCTGGGACAATGGAAATCACGGTGTGTGATGCCTCTGCCGCCTCCCGAGGCGAATTGACAGCGACCGAGTGCCCGATACCTCGCAGCTCCATACAGAAACGCTCGCAGACACTCTTCGACACGTCGTAGATGTACAGCGTTGCTGTTGGCGGCATTCGCTTGCGGATGTTCCTGGCCATCCCGTACCCCATGGCACCCAGCCCTGTCAATATCAAGGATTAGCTTCTATAAGGTAAACACGGGCAAATTTAGATGACGCCATTTACCTATGAAGGCAATATTTTCCATTGTCTGAGACATGGTATATGGTATAGATGGCGCTGTCTCTGTTGATTGTCTGTCCTTGTTAGGACAGCCCCGCCACTATATATCAAGCACACCCCACATGGCCACTTGTGTAATTTTCATAACTCAGGGCAATTTAGTCTTTTCCTGTTTTATTCGGATGGCCTAAAAATGCCATCAATTTAAACTATTTATGCAAACAAAGCGACTGGACAGTTATAGAGTAACTGGATCGATCATATCGAGGCAAGAATTCCTGCACGTCCAGACATTCTCCCTTCTGCCTATAAGCCAGCCATAAAGGCACCCCAAGCTCGAGCCAAGTCATCTGCTGGAATAGCAGCCATGAGGCCCAGAATCGTGTCCGCTCGCTCCGTACGCGGCTCCGGTCCTGGCACAGTCACCACAGTCCCCGGGGTGCCAGCCTCTCGCCCACCGTAGACACGCGAATTGAGGTCCCCAGTCTCCCACTTGAACACCGCCCAAGGTGCGTGTCCATTAGCAAACGCAATCACATCCCTTGCGAACTGAACAGCAACTCGGCGCTGAGGATCCTGAAAATGCTCGTTGTAGTTCTGGAAGAGACAGGCAACGTCTAGGATATGATTAACATGGCCCTTCCACAGGCCATCCCACGGGTTAGGCTCGTTAAACTGGTAGATAAAAGCTTGCCCTGACCAGCAGTGTCCGTAGTTCAGAACGGGGACGAAAAAGGCAATGTCATTTGCGAACCTGAGGATCGCGTTGAAGGCCTGGTCGTCTGGAATGTCTTCTGCAATGGAATACGCCGACAGGACCTGGGCAGCTTTTGCTGCTGAGCTGAGGGAGCGCATCAAGGACTCTCTGAACGAAGTGGCAATTTTCTCCCTGCTGCGATTGATCATCATACTGAAGATACTCGCCTGTAGCCCAAGGTTAGCAACGAAAGTGAAGATTCTGTATGCGCCCGCGGCGTACGTACGTCGAACTGGCAATCGCCAATCATTATTTGCTGGCACCAGCTTCGACCGGGGAGATCCAGTGGACCAGCCAATCCTTTGTAAATCTCAGCGTACGTATGCGGTTTGACGTTGAGAGCCCCGCCCATGGAGGGCAGCAGGGCGTCTCCCGGTTGAACCGCAGATAGGACGGTGTCAGAGTCCATTTGAACCAGTGTTTTCACCCGATCAGAGGGCGACAGTGTGCCCAAGCCAAGTCTCTCGACGACCGTCTTGTAAGTTGATTCTGTCACTTGGGCGGGAAGCGGCGACATGAGGAGATTCGTCCCGCTCATACTGACCATGCGTTTGAAGAGAGGAGCCTCGGATTGAAGGTGGTGCGTCACCGACACTATAAAGCAACAAGATTAGCTGGTGAAGGCGTGGATTTGACGACAGAGAGTCAGACCCCCTCCGGCACTTTGGCCAACGACTGTAATCTGTTCGGGGTCGCCACCGAAGCCACCAATGTTCTTCCTGATCCAGAGTAGAGCTGTGTACTGGTCATGCAGCCCGTTGTTTGCCTGGTATCCGTGGGCCTCGAGCTCCTGGGAGGTCAAGAATCCGAAAGCCCCGAGGCGATAGCTATAGATATTTGTTAATTCGTAGGCTATTAAAGGGCGCGACGGAGTCCTTCGCATACTTGATGTTCACTCCAATGACAGGCTGCTTCTCAGCCATTGACAGAGCGACAATCCGTTTGAAGTCGTACTGTGGCCATGCGTTGGACCCAATCGCGTACCCACCCCCGTGCAGAAATACTATCACGGGGAGATTGGATTGGGGCGTCACGTTTGCTGGAGTAGTGATGTTCAAGTTGAGACATTCTGTCTCCGACTGCTGGAGCTCAGGTATCGGTAGCTTCCTTTGAATTTGCCCAAATTCGATTTCGACGCCGTGAGGGGACGAGATGGCCGTTGGGCTTGGATGTCAGCTTAGTCCCTGATGGATTCAAGGTACCTTACCCGAACTTGGTGGCATCAACAGGGCCAGCTACTGCGTCTGAGAGTGTCGGAGGGTCCCATTTCCCTGCTAGGGTAGCATACCGGATGCCCAGAAATTGGTTGGTGGACGACAAGGTCAAGCCTCGTACGACACCCAGTGAGGGGTGGGAGTATTCAATAACGGTAGTCATGCTGAGTTTGGCTGAGTTTGCAGCGGTGCAGCAGAGTATACCAGAAACGGCCAAGTCATGGTGGCAAGCTATATGTATTTGGCTTGCTGCGCATCCCACCTGGTGTATGTGGGGTATTGGGAGCAGTACAGGAGACTCATAAGGACAGAGCCTGCCCACTACCCTTGTGCCCGTGAGAAAGTCATTGCCAATCCCGTTCTAAACCATGTCCTCGACAAGGAATCAGGCGTCTAGTCCTGGCGCTCGCCTCTGCGGCGTGCCCGGGACATCATCGTTCAAAGATCCGCCGCGGTGGAGGGAGATCCTGGAGCACAGCCAGAAGCTCCCACTGCGTGTCGACATTTGAATATCAAAAGATAGAGTTGGTTCTGTAGGGCACTGCCGGATAGACCGGACTACTGCCGGCCAATTAATAGCTTCTTCCCCACATTTTCCCCATCAGCCCCATTATCCCAACTGGAATACCCATGCATCTCGGTTCCCCTCTTCACCTGGTTTTCTAACTTGCATCCCACCATGCGAAACCACGATGTCGCCGCCAGGAAATGTGCCAACTGCCACCGCGTCTTCTCCAAGGTCGAACACTTGAGACGACACCAACGAGCTCGTAAGGCTCAACAACAGGTCCGAGACGAAGTGACTAACCCCTGGCAGACACAGGAGAGCGCCCGTTCAAATGCAAGCATTGTGGAAGGAAATACGCAAGAAGGTCAGTACCGGTGGTCCTCTAGTGTGCTGCATTCTTAGGCTCCTCAGTGATGTCTTGAACCGTCATGTCCGTCACCATCATGCGGACTCGACGGATCGCAACGAGGCCAGCCAGTCGCCGGTTGAGTCGCAGGATGTCCGGCAGGCAAACAAAACCTCCCGGTTGAATTTTAATTATGACGACGCCGATTCAGGGAGCCGATCGCCTTCTAATGACTCTCCTACGGCACACGACACGTCGACAGCAGAAGAGCCGAATTCCGCCACGTTGCCCATCCAACATCTGAACAACCGTGAGTGGGACGATGTGCGATCGGAGGTTCTGCAGGACATGAATTCGTCTTACTCAGGAAATCTTGATGGGATGATTCATGCCGGTCATGACCTCCCAGGGATCGATATAGGGCACATCCCTGAATCAACCAGTCTGTCAAACCCTCACCTGGAATTTAATCCCAACGAAACAGTTCTGGACATGCCTCTGCTAGCACCTACAGCACCCGCAGCACCCGCTAATTACAACATGGGCGATCTCTTCCATACCAACGTTGACATGGAGTTTGGATCCCTGTTGGACGGTCTCCAGTTAACTCCACCCCGATCTGGGGACCAGGAGCCCAGAGATCCGCCAAAGACCAATATATCAAACGAGCAGTTTGAACAAGTCCGCCGGCTCTGGCCCACTCGGCGGCGAGCCGCTACGCTGTCACCAACCCCCGTTTGCTGGGACGATGTTTTGCTACATCCCGAGGACAATGTCTTCTCCCCAACCTCCTTAACGGCGCTTGCAACTCTAGACTCGTCCTCTCAGCCAGAGTCGAGTTGGGGCTTTACAGGTGCGTGTCGTGCACGGTTAGCTGAAAGCCTCTACCGAAATTACCTCCCTCATACCGAACATCCAATGCAGTCAGTGCCCCCTTCCCCGTCTGACGGTCTTCGGGAGGACGGTCTACCTCCAACTTATATCATCGATCTGTGTCTGGATCTCTATTTCCATCGGTTCATGGTGCATTTGCCTTTTGTACATCCTGCAACGTTCAACGCCTCCACAACTCCAAGTCTTCTCCTTTTCCCCATGTGCGTCGTGGGCATGATGGTCCTCAACAGAGGGATGGCTCACAAAGTAATAGCGCAGCATCTGCCAGTGAGTCTTTCGCCCCCTGTACTGAACGTGCACTGACTGCTACCAGGGTGCTGTCCAGAACTGCAGGGCTGAGCTCGCCACCACGGCACTGCGCCATTGCCCTGCTCCTGCCCTGCTCACTGTGCTCGCAAGCGCCTGCTTGCTTTTGTTCATTGCTGCCTCTACCCCTGTAAGTCCCAGCTTGTTCTGTCGCACCGAACGTTTCGTTTCTAACAGAATCCCAGGAAATGGCATTTGAGGAACAGCGACAGGCCCTCTACGAGGAAACGCTGTCGGTTAGAGTCCCAAGTGGGTTATGATGGCACCTGAAGCTTACGCAAAATTCTAGTTGGCTCGAGATAGAGGCCTGTTCAGGCGACCGACATACAATTCAGCCGTCATTGAAGCCGTCCACGATAGGGATGTAACATGGAAGGCATGGGCCCGGATCCAATCAGCCCAACGGTCAGTATCGCGATGCCCTATGGACGCAATCCGTACCTGATGGCATGGTTAGCCTGGCGGGCTGCCTCATTCTAGCAGACGTGTATTCCTCCCAGATGCTCAACGTGGTGCCCATGCTCTCGCCCAGAGAACTTGAAATACCACTGTTAGGCGATGACAGTCTCTTCACCCTGCCTAACGTTGAGAGATGGACTTTGCTTATCGGGCCAGATTCTCCATGGAGCAGCATTCCGTCCGCTCCTGCTCGCCTCGACTACCCCCCAGCCCTTACTGGATTTGGGGTCCAGATCGTACTTGCTGTGACATGGATCCGCATTCTTAAATGTCAACGCAGTCCGGGTAGTTCAGCCCAGGCCATGTGCGAGCCATGGACCTCCAATCCTAGCTTGCCCAGTCGATTATCAGACACAGACCATCTATCGTCCATCAGCCCCTCTCTCACCTTGATACTCAAGGCATATGGGGCGGTGCTCAAGAGTGGGAATAGCAACTCACTGATCCTCTGGCACTACCTTGGACTATCTCTCACTACGGACTTGTCAGTCATTGAGGATGCAGCCGGTCGAAATGGGCCAGACGCAGCAAAGGCAGCCGTTGATACTCTAAGGCTCTGGGCTAAAGGCCCTGCTGCACGCCGCGCGTGTCTGCACGCTATGCAAGCACTGCTTGCGATTTCGGACCATCGACAAGGGGATGGTATAATGCTGCATACTGAAATGACCATATTCAACGCAGCTCTCGTTCTGGGGTTCTATTTGCTGACCGCCCCGAGCTTTGATCAAGATAATAGCGCTCCACACTACGATCTTTTTGACCCTGTAGATTGGGGTCAGGTCGCAAACCTGGGGCTTACAATGCCGAACGATCTTCCTGCTCAGGCAGATTCCCTCAGCCCGTCCCCTTCGGCTGCTTCTTCAGCGGCCGTTAGTTTCATTCGGGACGGGGGCCCTGTCTCGTTCCGCGGCGCGGCATACCGCAATCCTTATGGAGCCGCACGGAGGACATTCATGAACTTTGCAGCACATCTCGAGGAGGTAGGCAAATGGAACGTACGGGAGTATTGCAAAGTCCTACATATCATCAGTGACACACTATTTGAGATTGACACCGCAAATATCAACGGGTAACTACGAATAGATGGTCGAATACCGGTGGCAGTGTCTCTATCATAGACAGGGTGAGTCGATAGCTATGGCGCAACACCGGCCTCCCTAGGCCAGTTGCGGGGGTTTCTATAGGATAAAGAGTGTATGGGCGAGTAATAACAGTCTTTGTATTTTCTATCTGACTAAACGGTGAAATATGTCTAAATGAGCAGTCTCCCGATGATTAGAAAAGGAAAGTAGGTAAAAAGATGGTAAAGACGAGGAAGCTGGGGAAGAAGAGAATCTAAGAGAATGAGGGTAGCAGATATGCAGAGGGAGACGAGAAAGAAAGAAAGAGAGAACCCCTATCAGTAGAACGATATAGAGTCAAGGGTTAAAACAGTAATCCTGTAGTAGTAGGCCGAGTCCTGATCAAGCAGTCTTCTTTTTCTGCTTCTTCAGCCCCGTCTTCGGGACTCTGGCCAGCCAATAAATGCCAATGGCCGCGACGATATTGAAGGCGATAAACGCCCAGAGCAGGCCGAAGTTGCGCCACGCGTCGCTCCAATAGCTCAGCACCGCTGCAAGGAAATCGTCCGTCTTCGCCATTGCGCAGTATGCGCAGTCACTCGTGGCGTTGGGGTTCTGGAGCGCGCCGCCTGCTGCTTCGACGAAGGGGTTCAGGTACTCGTAGCAGGTCATTCCCGAAGGCGGGTCCATGTTTAGCGTTTCGATGGTGTCGCAGACGACGTCTGTCCCGCTTATCGCTGTCGAAAGCATCCCTGAGACCAAGTAGGTGAAGGGGGAGACGCGGTACATGAAGATCCAGAAGCCGGGCATGTTGTCGGGTGTTGCAACCACACTTGGAAAGGTTAGCTGTTGGCATATACGAAGTATGGATATAGGAACTCACCCGCAGAACAAGAGCAGAAGGGCAAAGACCAAGTTCGCGATATTCCCGCCGGTCTCCGCGCTGTCCACACCGGCAATCACCATGTGCGCAAAAGTCGAAGTAAACCACAGAAAGGTCACCAGGAACAGGAACATGAGAGCACCCCTCTCATGCACGGCATCGGTAGGCTCTGCATTCCTGTAAAGGCCAATAGGATAATACCAGCAGAAGAACATGAGGACCGCAACAAGGAAGTTCCACGGCAATTCCACAAGGATGTTGCTGGCCATGAACACGCGCCAGGAGTACATTTTCGATGGCCGTTCGCGCACCTCATAGAGTGCGCGCTGGGTCACAAAGTTGGGCATGATCTGCTGCACCAGGTTACCAAAGATGGTCATAAGCATGAAAATACTAAACATCTGGTTTTGAAGACCCTGCTGAGTATTCTTTGCCTGGAAAAAGGAGAAGCCGTTGTACAGGGCTGTCAGAATAGAAAGGACAATCTTCGAATAGATGTAGGACGGAGTCCGCCAGTACTGTGTGAACACCCGGATAAGGGCCTCTCTGAGTTGCACCGATGTCGGGACTGCAAATTCCTGGTATTCGGCTGGAGATGCCTCTTCCTTCGGCTTGCTGGATAGGGTTGATTTTAATTCGGCCAGGTGGTCAAGTACACCCTGTTTCTCAGGGCTGCTGTTCCATACCGCAGGCCAGTCAATATCACTATGCGAGCCTGGGGCAGCACCGATCACGTCCAACATCCATTCAGCAGGGTTTTCGCCGTCTGTAATAGCATGGCCTCCGTTGCGTTCGAAATACTTGGTTAGAATGGAAGAGTTTTCCCCAACCTCACCAAAGTAGACGGTGCGCCCTCCTTTGGCAAGGAAGAGCAAGCGGTCGAAGCGCTGGAACAGCATGGCAGAGGGCTGATGGATTGTACATAGGATTGCCTGGCCGTGGTTCGTGAGGGTTTCAATGAGGTCCAAGATCGACCATGAAGTCTGCGAGTCCAGTCCAGACGTCGGTTCATCCAAGAAGAGGAGCAACTGGGGTCGTGCGACCAGCTCCACTCCAATGGTCAGCCGCTTGCGTTGTTCGACATTGAGACCTGTTTGCACGGTTAGCCGCATTCTCTTCCTCCTGTTCATAACAGACAGAAATGGTATGGGCTACTTACCAACTCCAGGGACGCCAACGACAGCATCGGCGTACGATTGCATACCAAGCAAGACCAGAACTTCCTCCACATAATCCAAGCGCTCTTGTCGAGTGAAGTGTGCAGGCTGTCTAAGAAGCGCGCTGAACTGCAGTGCCTCCCTAACAGTCGACGTTGGCAGGTGGACATCCTGTTGCTGAACATAGCCAGTTTTCCTTTGGAACGAATCGTCCCGGGGGAGACCATCGACGAGGACCTCGCCAGTGACAACACCCATTGTGACACGGGTAGCTAGGACGTCGAGAAGGGTGGTCTTTCCAGCTCCAGATACACCCTTTTCTCAAATTAGTTGAGGCCTTCAGCATGCAGGACCTTTACATACCATCAGAGCAGTAGCTGTGCCTGGTTTGACCCAGCCACAGACGTGATCCAGAATGCGACGAGGTTCCCCTTTGATGGTGATATCATAGCACAGATCCTGCCACTGGAATATGGCTGTCTGGCGTTGAATCTCAACGGCGGTGCTCTCCGGGTTGGTATCGTCGTGCGCGGGAGTGGTACCGCTGGCTTCGTCATCGTTGGTGATCTTTGGCGTATGGCCACGTCGAAAGACGAGAACTTCGCCCTTGGAGACAGCTTCGCTGATGAATTCAGTAGCAGTCAAGTACACAAACATGAAAAAGACCATGAAGGCGATAATAATGCCCAGGTTCCGCCACAGGTGAGAATGGTAGTACTCATAAGCAGAAGCCAGGTATGCGTCGCCATTGATGCTATCTGCCCCCGGCGTTGCTGAGACGGCGCTGCAAATTCGGTTCTGTGGGCTGATATCCTCGTACCCTTCACCAGACGGAATATATGACATGCACGTAAATTGGCGGTCGTGGAACTCGTTCACCATGAGGGCTTCAAACCCGTAGGCTATAGGATTGATATAGTTCATCCATCGAGACCACCCCAGCATGTCGCGAGTCGGGATCGTAAAACCAGTATAGATGACCAGGCCCAGGATGAGCAGGGCTGCCGGCACCAGGGCCTCGGACAGTGAGCGCGATGCCGCACCAAACGTGCGGAAGACCATGGACATGGTCAGCGTGATGGCAAGGGAAAAGATCCAGTATGTGAAGAATGCTCCGGGCTCTCTCCGCAGATGAGACAGAAAGTAGATGGGCAGATTGAATGTAAATGAGTTGATGAGCTTATATGGCATGTCCGTCAACATGGACGCAATGGCCTCTGCGAAGGGGTGATAGAAGGCGTATCGAGACTGCTTTTCGACAATCGGCCGTTGGGCATAGAGAGTGAGAATCTAAGCATCGTCAGTATTCACGTACCTTGGGACTATCTAAAGGACTTTGCGACGGTATGGTCATACTTCGAGAGCACTGCTGAAAGCACTGAGCAAAACAGCATAGAACAACAAGACACCGCGCCCGAAAAAGCTGCTAGTGTCCTGTGGAAGGTCATAGAACACACTGCCAATGATCAGCGACATGAAGAAATTGCCAATCAGTGCAGTGGTCGTCAAGCTGGCGTCTCCGCGAAGGCGTTGGAAGCCGCGAACCAGACACAGGGTAACCTGCTGGTAAACCGAAAGTGTATAGGGAGATCCCGCTCGCCTGCAAGAATGTCAGAATGGGACCCCTTCAAGATATCGCCAGGGTAGGAATGACTAACTGCTGCTTTGACTGCATCAAGCGACGGGCCTCGCCGAACCTCTGGAACGATTCACCTCCGATCGGATACTCCTGGTCAAAGGCTTCAATTTCCTGCAGGAGCCTAGCGCAGTCAGGGCTGTTTCGCCATCTCTGGGCGAATTCTGTAGGTGTTCGAGGTACTTTATCCTCATAACCAGGGCGCACCCGCCGCTCGCTCGGGCTGGTGAGCGAGGTCAGGAAGTCCGCCGTGGTCTGTCGTGGAGGGCAGAGGAAGCCCATGTCCTCGAAGAATTTCTGTGCTTCGTCGGTGCGGCCAAAATAAATCTGATGGCCCTCGTAGAGCACGGTCACTTTGTCAAACACCTGGATCTGTTAGTCGTCGCCAGAACCGGCCAGAGGAATGCACATACATTGTACGCATTTTGAGATGCCTGGTAGATGGCCACACAGGCAGACGTTCCAGCGTATTTACTCATAAGGGACAGGTTTTTGCAGAACTCCAAGGCGTTGGCACTATCCAAACCTCGCGTACTGTTGTCCCAGCATTGCAATGGCGCACCACTCAGGATAGCCTCTGCAATGCTGACTCGCTTGCGCTCTCCTCCACTGACGCCTCGCACGTAGTCGTTTCCCACCCTTGTATTGAAGGTGTGGCGCAGTCCAAGCATGGTCATTACCACGTCACGAAGATGGGCTGCATAGTCCTGGCGGCTGAGGCCCGGGAAGCGTGTTTGGGGAGCGCGTGCTCGCGCAGCGAAGGTCAGGGTGTCTCCGACTGACAGTTGGGGGAAGTGAACATCAGTTTCAGCATTGTAGATGGCCTCTCCTCGAAAGCGTTTCTGCATGTCGTGGGCGGATATTCCTGACTTCGTGGTTAACGATTGGAACTCTTCTAGCCAGGTCAGGCAGCTCACCCTGGTAGTTCATATATGCATCGTCAGACATGTAAATACCATTCATCTCGCCAGAGATCGTCTTAAGAAGCGTCGTGCAGCCACTATGGAACCGTATTAGGAACACGCCGCGATATAGAGGCCGCACAGCTCTCACCTTCCAGGCCGACCAAGAACCACCAGCATCTCGCCACTGCGAACTAATCCGTGGAAGTCGTGCAGGATCTGCACCTTTTGCAAACCCGTCTTGGTCAGGCTCCTCAGCAGCCCAGACACACTCAACAGGGCATTTAAAACGTCTTTCTGGTAGTCGGTAGGACTGCCAAAGCCGTGCACGCTCAAGTTCTTGAAGACTACGCCAGCACTGCGTTGGCGGAAGCGTTCCGGATCACCGGCCTGGGCGGCGAGTAAAGATCGAATCCAATCCTTGACCTTGAACGAGGGACTGTCTGGGTGCAGATTTGACTCCTTGTTGTCTTCGAAGAAGGGGTTTGTTGCGTCGGTAGTCGAGAAATGCGTAGACCGACGGGTCAATTGGCGTGCCATGGCCTCGATCTCCTCCTCCATCTCGCTCCCTGATAGCTCGCCATTTTGAGCCTCTGTCCTGGTGACACTGGACGCAGCAGTGTCGGATTCAGGAAGCCGGGAGGGCTGGTCCTTCTCATCGAGAGGAGGGATACCCCCGAAGACCGACATATTCGCGCAGCTGTCAACGAACAGCCCCAGTTACAGCCGAATTCTGGCGGTAAAACTAAAAAGTCGGGACAAGTGCGATCAGCTCGTGCTAAATAGCAAGCTTTGGGCCATCGGCCCCTCGGAGGCTGTAGATCCCATGGAGGAACCCATCAACAGCACTCGCATGGCCAGCTCCGAGCAGAGTGGATACAAGGCAAACACATGGCGGGCGTGGGCGTCTCTCATGGCAGCAAAATTACGATAAGAGTTCGGGGAAGTAATACAGCTCGGATGGGCCTGGATCCGGCGTATTTCAAGCGGAGCCTGTGGGCCCTGGAAGGCTGCCAGCTGCTTCCGATTCGCATGCCTTGTCTGACGCTGCAGCGGTGGATTTTACTAATCCTCTTCAACTGCAATGTCGGGTCTAACTACAATACAACCGGATACCCAGGGTCCGGCGCGTATCCAGGATGCCAATATCAGCAACACTCCCCCCCCCCCCCCCCCCCCCCCCCCCCCCCCCAAGTCAACCCCGAGGTTTCATCTTCGGCCCTTTACATCATGGCCACTCGGATTCGGAAGACTCGGGCCAGCACTAAGGTTCGATCTGCCCAGACGCCTGGGAAGCCTTCGCTAATTTCACTAGGCCTGTCACTCCTGTCGACGGCGCAAAGTGCGATGCCAGTTCGATAGTGGGATGCCCAAATGTCGGGCTTGCTATCGACGATCGTCTTTGTGCATCCCGAGCATGGTCGCCCTTCCCCAGCTTGAGGCCGAACCCACCGCGTTCGACCCGTTTGCCGATGTGTTGTTAGGGCTGCCCTCGCTGGCAGAGACCGCGCATCTCGACACCGCATTGTCTCCTCTCGCTCATCAATTGAGCTCTGCCTTCGATCCGCCGCCTGACACGGACCCTTTTTCTCTTTTGTCCTGCTTCGCGCTCCCTCGCTCCCTCGTCAGTCATCACGGTACGTCTCCCTCGACTTGAGGTTGATCTTAAATCTGCTTACTTTATGCCCAGACTCAACTCCCCTATCCATCTTCTCGCGCGAGGGTAAAGAATGGTTGGCAGCAGCTGCGGGCACCGACGTCCTCGACTCGCATGGTCTCTCTGCTGCGGCGTTCGGAGCCGACACGATCTTTGGCAGCCCATCGCCCCTGGCAAAGCAGTTCGTCGCTCTTCCGCCAAAGGACATTGCTCGCTCCTTGCTGCAAACTTACTTTGCGGTGTACAATTCGTTCTGTCCCACTTTCCAGGAGGAGGAGTTTATGCTGTGGTTCGAGCTAGAGTATCCTATCGGACCCGAATCGTCCGCAGCATGGGCATGCCTCAACGCGACGTTCGCTTTGGCCTCCCTTCTTGACGAACAGTCGCAAGCCAACTCGTGGCTGTTTTGGAAAAATGCCACGCTTTCCTGGGAATCATTCGTGACCCAGGCCCCCAGCTTATGCTCCGCTCAGGCTCTTCTGACCATGGTAACTCCCAATGCCCTTTGTATACCGGCCACCATCCACTCACCATCGTCAGACGCTCTACCTGCTGGGGACCTTTCACAGTAACCCCTCCAGCACCATGATTTCCATGGCAGTGCGCATGCTCAGCGGAATATCATCACCCCAAGCCAGCCTGTCGCAACAATTCCAGCTCGTCAGGATGGTCACACAATCTTTAGACTTGGAGTACGTCTCGTCAACACTATCTCATCTCCCCGGTCTGACCTCTTCTCTAGCCACGCTCTCCAAGTGGGAGTGCCGCCTACCGAACTCGGAGCAGTTCAGGATATAGCTATTCCTGACTATCTTCCAGACCCCAATCTCCAGTTCGACTGCTACCCTTCATTTTGTCGACTATTGGGGCTCAAAGAGCAGGTCTATCGCCAACTATATTCCATTACTGCACAAGATAAGGATGAGTACGAGGCCATCGCCGCCGTAGGCCAACTAGACTCGCAGCTCGAGCAGTGGAAAAGCGACATTCCTGAAAAATACCGGCCCGGCCATCCCAAGGCCAGAGATACAATCGAACATGGGCCCTCACCAACAATCCTTCACCTTCATCTCAGCTACTATTACTGTGTCTTGGTTATCCATCGCCGGTTGACGTTTTACAGATCCAATTCAAAGGCGTTCACACCATTCGCTACAAGCCACATCGCACATCGCTCTCCCAATCCTCGCGCTCTCATATCAACACGGCTTTGTGCGGACGCTGCCCGGGCCTCATTAAGGATGGTCAAGTGTATTCCGAAAGAGAATCCCCTGGTTCGTGGGTGAGTCTGGCGCTTGCCCAGCAGAATACTCCTCTTTTTGTTAACGTTAGCGTAGGCTTATGCTGTATTATGTTGTCTTCGCACTCAAGCTCCTCGTCACCCATACGATCCAAGACCCAAGCAGTCCACGCGCGCGCGCCGATGTCTTACTCATGCGAAATCTGGAAGATGTGCTTTCGACTATCCCTGTCGCCCAGGACGAACGAAGCACCCGAAATTTGATTGACTACTGCACCCATCACCGAGATGCCGCTGAGCAGGCGATAAATGATGCTCTAGCACGGCGCAGGCCAAAAGACTATGATGGACCACGAGAGGGCCATGTCTCATCGCATGTTTCCTGAATATCGCCATTAGACGACAGAATCGCAGGCTCGATCTTTTGTAAGCTAACAATCCTTTATAAATAGATAGTTTACCCTGTCGGGGCGCCATAGATAGCACATAGAAATGTTTGATGACCCATGTACTTATCTCTTTCCTGACCAGTTCACTTGCCTATGCAAACAGCTGTCAAATTCCTCAATATTGATACTGTGACGTCTAACTGAACAGAACAAAATAATACGTCTCGTTTGTTTTAAATATTATATCATAATATTGATTCTAGTCTCAACAGTCAGTGCATTATTGCTCTGCGATAGTTAAAGTATGAATAGCCAGGAGCCTGTCAAGGCCTCACCTACTGTATAAATTGGAGGCATGAGCTCCTCCGGGCTGCATTAATTAATCTACGAGGCGGAATTCCATTGGGCAAGGATCGTGCGCCCAGCAGGTCCATGATGGCCAGGGTCCCCCTCCACTGCCACTCAGAGCTCAGACCTGTAGCCTGCTGTTACACCCATTTCACCCTGACGGTCTTCTCATCACCCGGGGTGGAGACCAGAGGCTTGAGCCCGCGGAGTTCTGCTTCACAAGGAAGTACAAGGCTGCAGTAAGCCTGGGACCGTCCCAGCCCCTGTCAAGCCTCGTCAGGTCTCCCAGGCCGACTCTACTCTTTCGCCCAACCTTCCTTCTGCAAACTCTTGTTCGAGATGGGTGATTATAGCAGCCCGCCTGCTGGCTATGTCCTTCGGAGAAATGGCACCTGTACTGAGACCGAGCAGACTTGCGACCATCCCTGGGCTTCTTGGTATAACTGCTGCCCCGAGGGCTCTTATTGCTCGGATGACAGGATGATCTGTTGCCAGACCAAGTCCGGGTGCGCAGCGCTCGTCAAGGAGGACCCTCACTGCGCAAACAATGCGACCTGGGACCTATACTACAACGGCGGTTCTTACTTTTGTTGCCTGCACGGGAAGCAGGGCTTTGTGGAAACATTCCCCGGGAATGGCGGAGCAGGCATTGGGTGTGCAGACGGGGAACTGGATAATGCCTCCCAAAGCTTGCTGCAGGTTATTGCAACAGGTGAGCTCCTCCTGGAAACAAGATTCACTGCTGTGTTCAGGGTACAAGGATGGAGGGCTAACAGAAATACCCCCGTTACCAAGGCACTGGATCCGCATCACCGTCGCCGTCCGTGTCCGCGACACCAACCCAGACAAGCACAGACTCGCCGTTACCATCAATATCCGAGCCGGACTCCTCCTCTTCCGGCAACGCTGGGACTATCGCTGGGAGTGTTGTTGGGGGCTGCGCGGGACTTGCGCTCATAATGGCACTGCTTTGGTTTCTAATACGGCGTCGGCGGAAACAGGTCGTGGCAACCTCCAATCTAAACACGCCAGCTGAGGATTATAAAGGTCTATATAGAGCAGAGCTTGCTAATAACCCAGTCAGATCAGAGCTATCTGGCAGTACTAATAATATGGCCCATGAGCTACCTGTAAATACAAGCTAATAGTGAATCTATTATGCACTTGTACACTCCTTCCGGAAACTTGACGATATCTCTATCCTTGCTCGCTCTGTAGAGTATGCCATTGGGCGTGGCCCCTCTCTTTTGCTGTTGCCATATAACGCAATAGAAAGACGGCCTAAGACCGCTCGTGGTTGTTTATGCTCCAATGGGGGCATGCTGCAATTTCCATAATAAGCTACCCACGACGCCTTGAATAATATGTTACCGCTTCTACATGTTCCAATATTTGAGGAACACCCGGAATAGCGGGCATGTCAAACAACGAGAAAAGGTCATCTCGAGGATGATCTGGCGCCGGCACCTGGTCGAATACTGGGGGTAGCTGTGAAGTGGAGGCATTCCCGTGCATCGCCCCTGGAGAGGCTCCTGCAGAGCTAGCTGCACTGTAATTTGCAGCACTGCCAATTTTCAGGCTGGGTCTCCTGGAGAAGCGGTTCTCCCACATCTGGGGCTTCCTCCGAAGGCTCATGCTAATAGAATGCTAAGCATAAGGCTGAGAAGCATTGTAGTACGAGTAACACTTCGTCGCAAAGTACCCTAGCCCTGAGCAGAGCCAGGTAATTCGTAGTATTGCCTGACTAGTCTATCCTGACTATTTAACGTGCCATTATCCTGTTACTTCTTTACTCCATCGTGCCTTTCCGGAATGCCAGATCTCGTTTATTTGCCACTCGGCCCGTATATAACGTGGTCTCTGATCCCTGACCTAGTCTCCGGGTATAATGGCTACGACGAAGGTGCCTTGGCATAAAGCTTAAGCTGTCTCCTCGGCAGTAACAGGCGTTTTTAATTAAGCATTCTCCGAATGGTCCATTCGGGACTTTCACACCGACCCTACTGGTCGTTCATAGGTGATCTGAGCTCCTAGGAGCCCCATTGAGCCTGCGATTCGGTCCAGCCACGTAAATGACGGAGGGTCCTCCCCCTCTGCACGCCCGCCTAGCTCGTAGCTGAAAGGGAATTTCAAGGGCGCGCAGGCAGACTCTGGACTGTTGGCACTTTCTGGAGTAGGCAGGTATGATGGCGATCCAGGGTGAGAGGAAGGCGATGGTTCCTTGGTTTGTGTAGATAACCAGGCGAAGAGTTGCTGCAGTATGTCCGTCGCATTGTCCGCAGCATTGAGCAGAAGCGATGGACTTGTTTCCGGGAAAGCACTTGGCTCTGGCCCGACAAAGCAGTGGAATATAATCCCGTCCTTCCGTTGGTTATAGGCCGCAAGCAGGGTTCGTAGCTGGTTGCTCAATACGCGCAGCCGCTCGCAACTCTCCCAAACTCGTTGTGCCAGTAGTCCGGTCTCGCCTTGTGTCAGAGACGTAATATCGCGGGCCTGTTTGATGTACCCTGGACATTTAACAAGTTCCATGAAGATCGTCTCATACACAGTGATGTATATCGCCCACTCGCTCTTCTTCTGCGAGTCTTGGGCTCGGAGTACGCTTGCGATCGTCTGCCAATAGTCTTCACTCAGGAAGCATTCCTCGCCTTCATAAAGAGCCATGGCCACAAGAAACGGTCTGTATGCAAAGTGACAGATGCGCCCAACTCCCAACAGATAGAATTCCATCGGACGGTTCATCATCAGTCGTCTGATCGCTCGCGAATGGTAGATCCAGGCCTCTCGCGTCGTTTGTGTGTTCATTTCAAAGAAGGCAAGCAGAATGACCGCAAGCAGTAGACTATCCGACGACGCCTCGTCCGAGTCCAAGGCCTTCCTGACCTCGCCTAATGCGCGTGCATACTTCTGCCGGCTGAACTGGCGGATTCTGGCGTCCCCGGTAAGATGGGCCAGATATTCAGCGGAGATGCACGAAACACAGGCATCGAAATACAGCTTCGAGCCAAAATGCTTCACCACCCAGTCTGGGAAGGTGAAGCCGTGGCCAAAGCGGAATTGATTGTGGAAGAACATGGTGGGGAAGGCAGCGCAGATGGAGTCCTTGAACACCTGCGGCTGCTGGTTAATGAAAGACTGATGGATCATCGCTGGATGAACACGCTCGTCCATTGACGCTTTAAAGACTCTGGCTACACGACGTTCCTGGGCGTCGCTCTTGTTGTCGGCAGCTTGGGTCTTCTTCCCACCACGGGGAACTGGCCGCTTCTTTTGATAGGATTGCTGGATGCGCGGGCCCTCATCGTGGAACTGCATGGGACGCATGTATCCAGGGCAAGACACGCCATATTTGCTACATTGCAAGCATTGTGGGCGGGTCTGGTCACACTATTGCGACGTCAGTGCACAGATCGGTAGATGAGAACGAAGAAGCCCACCCCAACTCGTCGCTCTCGACACAGAAGACAGGCCTTGCTACGCGGAACGCCGACCATTATCTTTCGTTTTGGTAGCCTTGCCAGCTGGCTGTCATGGCTCTTCTGTGGCTGAATCCAGGCTGAATCCAGACTTCTCCCCCTGGCCGGTGCCCGCAAGACCGCCCCGCCACGTGACAGATGGAGCCGGCCGTTGTGAATAAAAAGCTCCTATTGGCCCGCTAGACGAGAGGCGGTCGGGCCCCTCGTATTCGGGGATTTGACAGCGGAATCCATTGTATTCATTCAGACTTGCATTATATATGTGCGTTGAATAAATCCTATACAAGCACCTAGATATCGTTTTTAGCTGGGCCCTCAGTTCAGCATCAGAAGAGGCCAGCATCTCAGGTGCCATCCGAACTCAATCAACGGGCTTGAATCAGGAAGGCTCAAACAGATTGGGAATCGCAGAGGGGTAGAGTGCGGCTGCTCCTATGCAGTTTACTTCCCTCGAGCTCGCTATAGAGATTATATCTAATGCAGATGCCTTGATTCTGCGGCAGTGGAGTAAGGCCGCAAGGCACCCGCAAGACGGCAAGTTTCAGAAACTGTGGGTCGTTTATCTCTCGCAGCCGGCACTTGCCAGTGTCCTTCCCTTCCGATGTCGACAGCAAGTGCAGGCCATGCGCGAGCCACCGGTGCCACTCTCGGTGGCTTGCTCCTGCTTGTGGCTGAGCCACTGGAGCCTTGAGAGCGCATAACGAGCAGGTCTCCTTTGCAGCGAAAAGGCGGCTTCTGCTGATTCAGCGGAATTGAGCTTCCGTGGTCTAAACTATTCACAGTCAGATCTGCACAATTGTATCAAACTGGCCCAGAAATCATGCACCGGACACTCTCCACGCATCAACACTCCGGCCCAATTGTCGCTGTTTTATTCGCAATCCTACACCCTATCTCGCCTATGCAATGTCTCCTTTCTGCTACCAACTAGACGCGCAATGCCCTGGAGTGGTGGGTATGTCCGCCGGCACCAGACTCTTTGTAGTTCCGAAACAGCACTATATCAACTTGTGGAGTTGGTTAATCGAAAAAAAAAAAAGAAAAAAAAAAGAAGAAGTAGTAGTAGTAGTAGTAGTAGTATTTTATCCACAAACTTAAAAGTGATGACGACTTCCACAGTGGGACTTGATACTCCTCGGAATCGCTGGTCGGAATTGGGTATTGGAGCAATATATATATAGCTCGCCCTCTAACCATGCAACCATTTTCTTCATTACAACCCAATTACTGCTGGCCTTGATATCTCACAATGTACCTTTCAAAAGTTTTAATCGCTGCCATGGCTGGCATCACAGCACTGGCTCATCCAGGCCCCCACAAGCCCATTTCTCACGCGCAACTCGCACGCCGTGACCAAATGGCCAAGCGTTGTGGGAATCATGTCGCAAGCTTTAACGAACGGCGAATGGCGAAACGAGGAATGGCCAAGCGCTGGGAGGGTCACAATTCAACATTTGAGATCACTGCAGAGGCGCCGTATTACGACAAGATCCAGAATGATACCTGCGTGCTGACCCCTGAAGTCACAGAGGGACCCTACGTCTGGCCGCAATCGCAGACTCTCCGACAGGACATGACTGAGAACCAACCGGGGGTTCCGCTATGGCTGGATGTTGGTGTTCTGGACATGGCAACGTGTGAACCGCTTCCAAATGTGCTGCTTGACTTCTGGCACTGCAACGCCACTGGCTCATATTCCTCATTCACTGGCCTCTCGCCAAACACGCCGTTTGCTCAGCTACTGGAGGAGATGAATGTCACGGACATGGCCACCGCTGATCTCCATACAGACAGCACCACCTGGCTGAGAGGCATGTGGCCAACTAATGAGAATGGAATGATGGAGATGAAAACTATCGTCCCTGGTAAGTGACACAACGCGCCTTGACGAGAACTACACTAATCGCTCTATCTACAGGCTTCTATGTCGAACGCGCAATCCACATCCATGTGCAAGCCCACACGGACTGGTCTCTACGGGCGAACGGTACTTTGACCGCGGGCAACACCGTCAGCACTGGCCAGCTATACCTTGATGAGGAAATATCAAAAGAGATCATGAGCCTCGAGCCCTACGCATCTCACACCGAGATTGAGAGGACCACGAATGATGTTGATTCCGTCTTTGAGGGCGACACCAAGGGGGGCTATAATCCCGTCCTCTCAGTTATCCCTGCGGATGGAAAGGATGTCAGAAATGGCTTGATTGGGTATATAACTATCGGCATCGACACGACTGCAGTTGAAAACTGACCGATGATATTATACTGGGGAGAAACAACAACTGAAAAGGGGAATGAGGCATGCGGTTATATTCCAGAGTATGTATGATTATAATCAGGAAGAACCACTCATGCTTCAATTATACACTTCTGTAGCGGAAAGTAAATCAGCCAGCTGTAATTCCTGGTAATGAAGATTCCTTCATAAAGCACTTCCAGCGGCCTAACTTTTAAGGCAACTCTGACCGGCCCTGAGTTTGTTCCCTTCACCACACAGTGGAAGGAACAATGAAGGAAACCCACCTGGAAAGGAAATTGTCTTAGCAAAGACGTTGCCTGGTGCCTGTTAGTGGCCTTACAGTGAGTCACTGGTGTGGCTGGTGCTTATTGTGAATGTCTGCTTATATTGACATCCTTTCATCTTGCAACAGTCAGAGCCCCAGCATACAAGGCCCGTCACAACCTATATTATACTATTATTGTCAATAAAGACTATGAGCATAAAGGAGCTCAAAAGAGATATCTATTATTAGAACATTACTATGTTCTCGCTTCCCCCGAACTCGATACGCCTTCTGACTGATTCAGTCTCCTGCCGTGAGAAGTGGATGTACAAGTGGATTTAAAATTCCAGCTTTTCAGCGTTAGCCCGCAGCACCGTTTGCTATGGCCAAGATCAAGGCACACTCAACACCGTCTCGACGACAAAAGCCCCTGGTTGCGACTCCCCGCGGGAAGACACACACGCATACAGTGATTCTGCTCCACGACGCCGGTGCCAAAGGCCGCGACTCCGGCAGAGAGTTCCTCAGAGCAACCAACATTCAATCCCATTTTCCAACTGTTCGATTCGTTTTCCCCTGCGCTTTCAAGGCACCACCGGCTGTCAAGAATGGACCTGCTGGTGCCACACAATGGTTCAATAACCCTTCCTCGCCGAGCCCACCCTGGGCCGGTGACACAGGGACACTGCCAGAAACCGCAGTCTTCCTTCAGCGCTTGATTCACAGCGAGGCAAGGATATTACGAGATACAGGAGGCTATGGTCTGCACGCTGCTTACGGCCGTATTGTCCTCGGCGGCATGAGTCACGGTGGCGCAGCAGCTCTGCTATACCTTCTAGGTAGTCATCGCCCGCTGGGTGGGCTCCTTGGTATCGGTGCCATGTTGCCCTGGAAGTACCAACTCGAGCTTCTTCTCGAAATGTATGTGGATCAGTTCGGCCGACGGAAGGCTATAGTGGGAAGCAACTACGTTAGAGATCTGCTCCAGTTCGAGCGCTTGGCCATTGGGAATGAGGGTTATCGACCTAAGAACCTCTCAGATACAGAGATGGATATCCGGAAATCCCGCATTCCAGCATGGCAGTATCCCCTGATACACCTCAAGACCCCAGTTTTCCTGGGCCATGGATCGCAGCCTGAGAAGGAGAATAGTATGGGCCGGTGTCTCGACGGCATATTTGGGATGGACGTTGTCGAAGTGGACTATAGGAAGTACGGCAAGGATTGGCATACTGATCCAGAAGCGTTCGAGCATGTTCTCAGCTTTCTCGAAGAGAAGGTTGGTATGCCCAGGGTGTCCATCATGGCCGAGTAGCCCCCACTAGAGTAAAAGTAATCTAGAGAGCTTTTCTGTTGCAATAATACAACTGGCATAACTACGAATTATCTTGCATTTGAGGTATACTGAGAGTAGTTGCCCATTTATCTGTCTTTGAATACTGTCAATAATTTGATTAAACCCGTATCTTGCTGATTCTCTTCAGCCGCCGTAGCCCTCCCCAGGTGATGAGGCCAACGCCGACCAGACTGCCCACAACAATCACGCCAAACGCCGTGCTGCTCTCCTCGCTGCCATTGACAACATTCATGCCATACCACCCTGCAATCAAGGTACCCCCTGCCAGAGCCAGCATCAGGATCTCAATCCGGGCCTCAAGAACCATGATCTGGTTGCGGCGGACGCTCAGTGCGGCACGGATGGTTTCTTCGGTGCGTGTGATGTTGCCCATCATCCGTTTGGTCTCCTGCACAATAGTGTCGGAGGCTTTGAAGTAGGCCTCGAAGAGGTACTCGACCTCTTGATGGTCAGAGGAAAGATGCGGTCTCCCCCGAGCTTTGTCGGTGAGATACATGTTTGCCATATCTTCGTCTTCGGCCAGGACTTCGGAAGTCAGCGTGCGGACCTGTCGAGCAGACTGGTCAATGCTAGCCAAGTGCCGCGACAGTCGCAGGAGAGTGTGAATAAGCGATTCGTATTCCTTTTCCTTGTCTGATATGAATGGCGCGTCCTGGTGCGTCTGGCGCAGGACTTGGGAGACTTCCTCTGCAGTGAGGCTGTACTCTGCCTCCAGGACAGATGTTGCAGAGGCCATCGCTGCTTCGAGAACCCGCAGCTCATACGGCTGGACATGGCCATTACTCCCTAGGAGCTTTCGCTCGAGGTTGTGGCTGAAGACTTGCGATACACTGCTATCGGTACCAGTTGTACTCCCATCGCTATCACTGTCACTGTTTGGCCTCGGGGCAGCAGCCTCCACTGGTTTATCAGCGACATGGAAAAGCAGGACATGGTCGCACTCGACCAGGAGCCGTAGATCAAATAGGTGGACTAGAATGGCGCGTTCCCTGACCAGGATGTGCGGGAATCCCGGGGAGGGCAGATCGAAGACGCGAAGATCGCGAGTGGTCAGGCCGTATTGCTCTGCGATGGCCAGTTTTGTTTGACTCTGGACCTGCGATGCGCTCTCTCTGCCACTGGAGTCGGCGCTGTCGCTGAACCGCGTGTACTGCATGGAGGCGTTGCCATTCATGGGCCGCTGGGAGAGTTGGACAGACAGCTCATGGACTCGCTGCGACCGGTCTGCAAGGGCTTCATTCAGGATAGGACTGCCATAGCTTCCAACGCCCGTGGTGGCATATGTTTGGTTTCGCAAAAGGTCCCAGGGACGATACGCGACTCCTGGCTGTCGGAAGCAGACGGTCGCCCGGGACAAGCATGGCCGGGATAGGCTTCCTGATAGGCTTGTCAGGGCCTTCACAGGCGAATAGAAGCTCATCGGGCAGACCACCACAAACCAAACCGATACATCAAGGGTATATAGACTGATGGAGCAGTTGGCGTCGCTGGCGATTATGTTACCTTCCGGCCCTTCCGGATTCGGAAGAAACGCTCGCTGCTTTTGCTGACTAAGTCTCCTGCACCGCATTACTATATACTATAGATAAAATAATATGAATATCGAGTCTTGCAGAAAGGTCACTAGCACTAGTGGGACATGTTTGTATTTTTTCTAAATTCCATCTTGAGCGAAAGCATCTTGGTGGCTCAATTATGGGTGATCTACACACAGAGATTCATACAATGTGCCAGTGAAGAGATCTACATTCATGGGCTCAGAGAGAGCCACATCAACAATCAACATTGTATATATGCACCTTGGACTCACTGCTACCTCCCTACTTGCAAGCCCCTGGAACATCGAAAATGCAGGACCCCAGACGTCCAGTGCATTCTAGAAACCACCCCAGTCCCAAGGCTTGCGTGGCCCGGGGGGTTCATTGTTGCTAAGATCCCAGAGCTCTACAGGCTTGGCGATAGTTCCATCGTCGGCGAGTGGAAAATACCACTGGGTTGACTTGTTTCGCACGACCATGTGAGAAGTTGTTCGGTGAATTTCTTCGTCGGCGCCTAGGGTTCGCAAGGCGGTTGGTAGCATGGACGTTGGATGGCTTCTCACAAGGGCTTCTCCCAGGAGCCGCAGCGAGAGTTGAGGATCAGACCTGCAAGTACATCCAGATGAGACGGGGCTCATGCCGTAGCTTGTCAGTGTCGTAGAGAGGCTGTTCGGGGTAACCATCGACGGTGGTAAGTCTCCTGTTCAGCTCGACTACGACGATATATTCGCCGAGTTCAAGGAGGAATGACAGTCTGGAGGGGTAGAGATGCTTCTGTTCCTTCCATTTGTTTTCTTTTGGTAGATAATATTCCCCATCGTGTTTTCACGATGGTCTGTTGCATCGTCTCACATTATCAAAGCTGGCAGTGTACGGATCAGACGAGACGTCCAGCGTCCGGAATCCTTCTGTGACCAGATAGCTGGCAGCGACTGGATAGCAGCAGCGACATTTTGGAATCCCGTCTTGCGAAATACTGCCTCCATCCGGCTGGCAAAGAACTGTCGGTGCTCTGACGTCGTGCTGTCGGCAGCTCCAATGAAACACACCCAGACAAGGGCGTGAGACCCCTGCTGCTCCGGATGGATGCGCGATACAAGTTGTTTCAACTCCTCCAGGTGTAGCCATTGGTCTTCGTCGTGGGTAGCCCGGCCGATATATATTTGTGACGCTTTAACAAAAGCCTCGCGCATAATCCCAAGAGACTGCGCATATGTTGAATCCGGTGGGAGATCGTAGTACGTCCAATCGAGAAAGAGATCCGGTGGGAGCTGCAGCATATCCAGGCCCTGACTCTCGCCGAGAAAGGGCTGTCCGAGAAATTGAAACCTGAATATATCAGCAAGTGTTCCATTTGATGGCAAAATGGTACTTACATGTGCGTTTGCTGGGTGAGAAATTGGTTGACGGAATTCACGGTCATGTCCGGCGTATTCCCCGCCATGCAAAACAGCATTTGCAGCAAATGGGCATACTCAGGGCTCGCAGTAATAGTCTCGCCAACCAGTAAAATAATCAGAGTAGCCCAGGTTGATGCGTTGAAGAGTCGTTCGGTTGGCTCTTGGAAAGCATCACGCCGAAGTCGTGATATAATAGCGGCGCGACCTGACTCTGCAAAGCGCCTGAAGCTAGGTTGTCTAAGAGCCAGATGCTGCGCGGCTACTGCACAAATGGACTGCTGTAATAATTCGTCTTGACACGCTAGAGGCAGGAGAACCTCCCGATAGCCATTGGAGATGTTGTCCAGGACGACCATTATCGGGGCAACCTCGTCGGCAACTAAACTGTCAGCGGTGGTCAACCAGATACAGCGAAGATGTACATACAGTGAGAAAAAAACATTCGAGTTCGAGAATTGAGTGGTGGAATCCATGGCGATACGGATCTTGGGGTATGCAGTTGAATGGCTTTACTGCTAGAGACAACCTCTTCGACAGCGTCATCGTCGGCTTCACTGCCGGGAGTTTCGTACCACTCATCGAGAATTGAACTGGTTAAAGAGATATCAGAGGCAGGGCTAGAGACTTTATCCTCAGCGCCTGCTGTAGAGCGCCGGTCTCCGCCAACTGTCGTGCTTTGGTCATGCTGGGAGATTCGAGAGCTTGCATCAGCCGTTTTCGCTGTGGATCGCACTGATTGTTTCCGTTTTGTTCGTACTGACGGCCGATCTGACTGCCATCGAATATTTAGGGGCGCCTGTTTGCCGCTGCAGCTGCTCTGTGGCTGTGGCAATGGACCTGGTGCCGTTACAGGAACAGCACCCCCTTGTGATAATCCACGAATCGACGCCCCCTGGTAGAAACGAAATCGCCCAAGCCCTGAGCATTCGATTCCCTTCTTCCGGCATTTGTGACAGGTGGGTTCACCTCCATCGCAAACTATGCGCCGCTTGGAGCATTGGAAGCAGCCTGTCGGTGATGAGCAGCGGGCAGTTCAAGAGCATCTGAGGCCAACATACCTCGAGCACCCCGACGCGGCGGGTTGCTCGCAGACATCGTGAGTATCCTACCCCGGTATTCCGTCAGGGGGGCAATGCTTGATATAAGGATGATCGCGATGTCCAAATGCCTCGGCCGGTCAAGTCACGGGGTTCCCCTCAAAGCTGATGACTCAGCGGTGGCAGTCATGGTTATATAATCATTGTTTACCTTCCTGTTTGGGACATTACCTGCACAGCCTGTTGAACAAGAGAACAAGCAGCAATCTACAGTACGAGTATGTTCCTGCAAGCGAGGAGCTCTCTGATATCGCAAGTGTCAATGCTACTCAAGAACGTCTGCCGTGTCTACAAGATACGTGAGGACATTGCTACGCCGGATTGGCATTGGGTCCCGCGTTGGGGGTAGCCTTGACTTGGAATATGATTGTATCTTTGCATCATATTATCTATAAAGGTAGATGTCAAACAACAGCGGGATAGGCTTATATACACCCACTTCCTGGTATATGATACCATGCTATACCAGGACATTACAGACGGCCGCGAACTGCAGGGCGTGGACGCAGCTCCTCGACAACTGCCATCGCTGCTCGAGTCCCTTCTTCAATCGCACCATCAATGAAGCTCCGCCATCCAACTGCCCAGTCCGAGTTGGCAAACACCACGTTTCCATGACGAGAACGCAACGCATCCAGCGACGTTGAAAGCATCTGAGGAGGAGAGAAGAACCAAGCGCCCTTGGCAAACTCATCCTTGCACCAGTTGTGGAAGACTAGTCTCTTGATATCCATGTTGCCCGGAGAGAGGCTGTCCACTGCCGCCTTGGTCTGGTTGATATCTTCTTCCGGCTGCAGGTGGTTGTGTGCACCGCCGAAGCAAACAATATGAGTGTTGCCAGCGGGCGTTGTTCCGTCACCGATTGCATAGCTCAGTTTGTTGAAAGGGTATGACATCCCCGTCCACGACCTCATGTCACGACTCGCGATCTCCGCGTGAACTTTGGCGCACTGGTTCACATGGCCGGTGTTTGCTGCCGCGGTGCGCTGTGTGCTGAGCGGTGGTGAGATAGCCACGGTGTTGAGCACGTTCAACGGAATCGTAGAGATGAGACGAGCCCCAGCATGGCGTTGACCTTGGCGAGTGGTGACAACCACTTTAGCGCCCTGGTCATCAATAGATTGGATGGGGCTGTTGAATGCGTAGGACAAATTGCCAGTAGAGAGAGCCTCTTTGAAGAACCGAATGGCAAAGCTCGACTGCCCTCGCTTGAATTTATACGAAATCAAAGCATCCAGACAGCCTCTGTATGAGTAGCCACACAGCGCCCACCAGTGCAGGAACTCGAAGAAGCTGGTGGTCGCCAGAGTGCCACAGCTGCAGAGCAAGACGAAGCTCTCCAGGGCAGCTCTTTCACGAGGCGTCATGATTTCGGCAACCTGATTCAAGCGATCCTGCGCAGACATCTGGTCGTATCGTCGAGCCTCAGGGACGTGGAATGAATCATGGGGAAAGGGAACGACTCGGCGTCCAAGATCTCCGTCCACATCCACGAACTTGTGTAGAGCCCCTTCCAACAATGCATCCTATATACCTGTTAGCATCAGCCCACCACAAGAGCAGGCCTACTCACTTCTTCCTCGTGGCTTAGTTTGACCGAGCCCTGGTTGGTACGCAATTCAAAGTGGTTGACGCCACGTGAAAAGTCAAACGAGCCCTCCAGTTCATTTCGCATCTGGTATCGCGAGATCTCGCGCCAGACGTGAGGCTGTCCCCAGTGAACCCAGGTGCCCCCCATTTCGAAGGGATATCCCCCGATATCAGAGGACCACGACCGGCCGCCAATGCGGTCGCGGGCCTCGAGCAGAAGCACCTTCAGGCCTGGTCCTGTCAGCAGTGCCATTGATCAGTTGATAGCTGACGTACCTGCCAGGCATGCATCCCGAGTCGCAGTAAGGCCTGAATAGCCTGCGCCCACGACAATAACATCAAACTGGCCTGGTTCCGATGTGATATTTGTGGGTGGAGAGATGACTCCGATCGAGGGCACGCCCTGGACCAGGCCTGTCTCTGGTGTCCATTGAAAACCGTCGCGACTTGTCATGGTGAAGGTGTTATCGTTCAGACTGATTTAACCCGTCGGCAGACCGGCAGTTATATACGTTCCCATATCGAGGGCTATTCATTCCGCGACAAGCCCTTGCATAGACAGAGAGGATACAGCGGCCCACTTGCTACATTGAGAGAAAAAAGAGAGAGCTTTCCGGCAGTAAGCGATCCACTGTTTAACGTCTTCGCCCTCGGATGCGGGGATACTCTGTGGGTCGTTGGTTTGTTGTTGGTTGTGGTGGCGATACCACAATTACCCGATTAGGAGAAAATAGGGAGAAACCAGAAACCTCGCGATATCGCAACGCGTCTTGTGTACTTTAGGGGGTGTTATACATGTTTCATACTAAATATACGTAATTATTACTATTAAGAATTATAATTGCTGATTGTGAAGGGGTAGTATAGTGGTCATTCATATATTCATTCAATATATATATATTGCATTACATATCTTATTCCTCCTCAATCCCTCGCAAATACGGACAATGATACGTCTCCCTAGCATAAAACACCCAATTCAGAGCAGCTACAATGGCCATTACTCCCAGCACTGCGGACGAATAGTCTAGTCCAGTTCAGCATCACATCGAGGCAGAGTAACGAAAGGAGACTCACTCATATTGCTTCCAGTCACAGGCATCACAGTAGGGAAGTTGTAAAAGATCAACACCACAACCGCAAAACAAACTGTAGTCAGGTTCATCGTCCATCCGACCGGGCCTGGCAGCCGGAATTTGCGTGATGCAGGGAGCCAGCTACTCGCTCGACCGCGATACATGAGCAGCAGGGCAGGGAACGCATACGAAACATGCTGCAGAATCAGGCCTGTCCCAATGAAGGCATTAAATGCCGATGAAGAGCCCAGGTAGATACACCCAATAATAAAGACGACACTGGCATTAAAGATAATCGCCCACACAGGGACGTCGAGTCTGCCGTGGATCCTCCCCATCCACTTGCTGCCCAGTAGTGCTTCATCGCGGGCAAGAGACCAGGTCAGACGGGATGCAGTCTCTTGGGCTCCAATAAGTGCGAACGTCGCGGCGCAACAGACAAGTACAACGAAGACCGTTGCGGCGGCGGGTGACTGTGTAGCCTGGCGCCAGATTTCGAATATCGGGATACTTCCATGAATTAGCTATTGCTGTCATTCACTTAAACTGAATACTCACCCCGTACTCGTTTCCACCACGGCCTGTAAATCATGAGTGCAATAGAGCATGGCAATCATAAAAGCAAAGGTGGTAGCGAACCCGATGGTCAGAGTGCTGACCAGAGCCCAGGGCACTGCTGTCGCGGCATTCGTGCAGTCCTCCGCCAGATGCAGCGCACCATCAATACCAGCATACATATAATTCGGAGAGACGAGCCCAGTGAGGAATGCAACACCACCGGAGCTCCATCCGCTGTCGTTGAGGAAGGTCTCCCATACGTTTGATGATGGTTCGTAATTGCCAGAGGATCGAGCAAGACAGGCGACTGTGATGGCGAGAAACGAAGCTAGAGTAATCACGACTGCAGGTTATCAGATAAGTGCTAGGATTATAGCATAAGATATACGAATGTATGATACTCACAAGCGGCATCGTGGATCCAGAGTGACCGTTTCAGGAGCCCAACGTTGTACAGCATCACCAGCGCGTTGAGGGCCTGGTAGATCAGGAAGTAATGCCATGGCTGGGCAACATAATCGGGATAATAAAAAATGACGATCCCCAGAATGAGCTGGGCGGGGATAATGGCAATCCCAGTGCAGATGGCAATCCAGGCGAACATATTCGCCGTTCCACAGGCATAACTCTGCTGTCGTCAGTGCACAGCCCTCACGATAGGGGATAGATAAGCCATACCAACACTCGTCGGGCACGCTTGGGAGCTAGAATCGAAGTCCAGTGATACTGCCCACCAGCAGTTGGATATACACTGGCCAGCTCTCCAAGTGTAAGCGTGCAGGCCCCAACCAGCACGAACATGGCAATGAGACCGTAGGTCAGAGTAACAGGCCCGCCTTGGACAATGGCCAGAGCCACAGTGGCAGCAACACCGGCCCAGCTGTCACAGATAATCCAGCTGGCGGCGATGGTCTGTAACGGTTTCAAACGGCGACTGCCCTCTGTTCGGAGGGTCACTCCCTCGATGCGGGACTGCTCAACAGGACTGCCATCCTCCAGCCATTCCTCTACTAGGCATTGTGAGACAAGGTGAGGCAATATTGGAGAGTCGACTCACCATTCTTAATGTCCGGACTGGATTCCATTGTGGACTACGTTCAGAGATGATATTGGTGGTAACTGAATTCTATCGATCATGGAGGGAGATCGAATAGATTATTATAGCATTTTGCATACTCATCGACCACCCAGCAGGGGTCATATAGTCGTCAGGACAGATCATGCAGGACAGAGATAAGCCCAAAATATGGAACGCGGGGAGAACTAGAGGAATTACCAGAAAGAGAAAAAAAGGAGAGAATGGATTCCGCAGGCTGACTCGATCCTTCCTGGTGTCTTGGTAGGCGCTTGGCCGGTAGATCCCCCGCCATGGGGATCGGTTCTAGCCACTGCCGGCATGGCCAGCACGGATATCATTCTTCATGCCAAACCGCGGGGTTTATTCCGCCTCCCCCGCGAAATACCCTCTTCACGTCATATCTGCCGTTGTTGTGCCGAGGAAAGACACAGCTGGTGGCGTTGGAGATGTCTGAGTTGCCTAAAGCGGAAATAATGCGAGAAAGCTTCCTGCCTCCAATTTATGGACACTCCACGGATTTGCAGTAATTTATATGTTTGCTCTCCCAAAGCCGATCTCTATGTGAATTACCAAAATTAAACGATGAGCCAAGGCTAGTTCATTACATCATGATACATAAGTCATCCCAGTTGCCGAGTATATACCGTCAACATGGATTGAGAAGCGTGTCTACTTCCCGATTAAAGTGAACAGGTGTCAGTCCACCCAGCAGCTGGGGGTCTGTATTCCCCATTCCGAGGGAATCTGTATTGAAGATATCGGAGCCCAGAGCCCAGGACGACGGCGAGGGCATGTTCGAAAGAAGCGAGCCTGAGAAACCGGGGCTGTCGCTGATTCGGGAGCCAACCAGGCCATAATCCAGCATTGTCCAAAGGGCGTCCACAGAGGAAGTGTCCATGTCGTCGGTTATGCAGGCGGGATCCAGGAGCGAGGAAAATATATGGCCTTGGGCGTGGAATTCGCGAAGTCGAACAACCTAAACAAGGGTTAGTATAATGGTACTACAATCAAGGTATCCAGAGTTGGCATACCATGTTTGCAGCGTGCCCCCATGTCCCTGATAGGCGCTCGAGCATGCTGAGACTTCGGTGGAAGTAGTCCAAACTATCTGAGGAGTGTGGGTCATTCTTGGATGCTTCGTAGTGAAACGCAAGGGACTGTATCCCCGCTACGACTACGACGCAGTATGGGTAGAAGGATGACTGCAGGGGAAATCCTGCCTCGCTGGCATCGCGTAGAAGGTCCATCAGCTGGTTGGCGTGTTCGATCGCCGTCTGGAGGACGCGTAGGGCAAAGCTAGTGGGAGCTTTTGATCCGAATGGCTTGAGACGCAGCCGTAAGAGGAAAGGGTGGTTCAGTAGACAATGGCACAGATGGAACAGGCTATGGGCGAAGACGACTTGCTCTTCTTCTGATTGATGCGGGGAGTGCTTGTGTCGCAGTGTGTCAACGACGGAGAGCCGCCTGTTTGTGGAATAGGACTCCAGCAGCAGCAAGGACGAGTTGATCTTGGAAAACTCCGAGTTGGTGTCCCAGGGTGGCGTTTTGTCGGGATTACACTCTCTGTGCACGTACCGCGTGCATCGGCCAAAGATGGAGGCCATGAGAATGACCAGACCAAACGGACTGGGAGGCTGTTCGTGATCGATCTCCGAGTCCCAGCAAAGCAGCTCGTGCAGGGTATGCGTGGTCTGCACCTGTCCAGTGCGAAGGGTCTCCTCGTCGCATGGCAGGCGCACATGGCAGTCGTCGTCGTGGAAGCAGAGAGGCCGTGACCTTCCGCATGAAATGAGCCTGTCGAGTAGATATCCTGACCAGAACGTGCGCCGGCGCTCCTCTTGCTCTGGGAATGGGAGTGCATTGGAGGGCTCTATCATCAGACGCAGGTCCTGGGATATGCGCGCCGCGAGGCCAACCTTCAACCAGGCAGAGCTGACATGGCCAGCTGGGAGAGTTAGACTGGAATAGACATGACTACACATTATGAAGATCCACAGCTTACCTGTATAGTTGACGATGGCAAGCAGGTTCACGGTCTGCACCACCTCCACCGTCAGATTGTCAACCACCGTGAGATGCTCGGTGAGGACCGACATCCACGAGCCTTTTGCATACACCTCGATGGCCTCTTGCTTCCTGCCTGCATAATATTCGTGCGTGGAAAAGCGCACTGCGGCTGCCAGGACGGCGAGCAGCAGGCAGTTTGGCACGATTCCCAGTTCTAGTTTCCGCCGGAACGAAGCCTCTTGGATATACGAGTAGGGGCGGTTCTGGACGCGAGCGAAGAAGGTGTCGATGGTGTTTTGGAGGATGGAGGGAGGAGGGAGAGAGCTGTCGGGCTGTCAGTTCTGCTGTTGAGTACTGGGTAGAAGACTCACCACTGTTCGCTGTTAAAGCGCTGCGGAGGCGAGGCAGACGGAAGAAACCCGTTCTGAGTTGGTGATCCCCTAAAGAGCATCAGTATTTGCATTTGCATCTGCATTTGGAGAGAATGGAGCGCGTACAGGGGCTGGGGCGCTGCGCGGTCACTGAGCTCGGCCAGACGCGACTCGAGCATGTTAATCCGCTGCAGAATTGCACTCTACAAGAGGTCAGCATCACCGCACTGAGTAGATATATAGAGATATAGATATGGACGACCGACATTATCCTGGGTAGTAGGTGGCGGCGGGGGAGGGACACTGGCGTCGCTGACGGTGGACGAGTACGGTTCATACACGCAGCGCTGGCGACTGCGGCGACAATGGAAGCATACTGGACGCTCTCCAGAGCACTTGGTCTTGCGCCGTCTGGATCGCAGCTCGAGGTCAGCGAGAGAACGAATGCAGGGCCACCGGCAGTGCACGGTCGCATGTGGTCGGACTTACCGGCAACTGGCACACGCTTGGCGGATTCGCTTGGAAATGCCGGCATTCAGCCGGTCTGAATCGTCCATTATGACTGAGAAAAGGCAGAGAACAGACAGAGAACAGACAGAGAGGCAGAAAACAGCAGGCCCGTACGGAACAAGTCGATGAGGGGGCGAGCTGGGAGAAGAGCAAAGGACAGTGACGAAGCGATTCCGGGGAGAGAGCCACTGATAGATGAGAGACTAAGCTGTTTCGAGCAGTTCCAAGCAGGTTAGTCTGCAGATATTCGAATACAGAGAATATAATTGGCCAATATCAGATCCACGCTGTGGTCCATGGAACCTGGGGTCGGCTATCCAAAGCCCGCGGATGTACGCGCTATGTCTTGAAACAGATATGAATAGTCTACAGCTTTGATCTATTTACACGCAGTGTGTATGCATCCCAGTCCACCGGTCGTTTCGCCTGGAACTCTGCCACCCCGTATGCTCCTTCTGCGTCCGACCGCATCATGTTGTCAAACAGAGCTCTGATCCCTCTCGCCTGCTCTTCCTTTCCTCCGTGGGCCCACGCTAGTCGGACCAATTCTTTGGACATGCGAGATGCTTCTGGAGAAGCGATCTTAAACCGGGTGAGTGCTTCGTCGAGGAGCTGTGGGAGCGACTGGGCGCTCTCTGCCAGGCCGATCACCAGCCCGCGTGCCTTTAATTCGGCTGCTGTCACCGGTCGCGCAGACAGCATGGCCTCTCGGGCGAATGCAACGCCCCATTCGCGGATCACATACTTGGAGATGGTGGCGGCGCAGAGTCCCAGCTTGACTTCGCTGAGCGTCACGCTGGCCGTTTTGACTGCATACCGGAGATCGCACGCAAAGGCCAGCCCAACGCCGCCGCCAAATGCAGACCCATTCAGGCAGGCAATCGTCACCTTTGGGGACTGATCGATCGCTTCAAAGAGGTTGGTGAGTCGGTCGAACTGCGCGTCGCTGCTCGAGCCTCCCTTGCCGACCGGCGTGCTCCCCTTGCCCAGATCCATCCCTGTGCAGAAGAACTTGCCACTGCCAGTCAGGATAATGCGCGAGATGGTCGAGTCTGTCCCGGCATCTGTCACTGCTTTAGTAATGTCGTGCATCATTGCGACCGTGAGGGCATTCCCATTCTTCGGTCTGTTCAGGTTGATCTTCAGGTTGACGCCCGACCGAAACAGCTGCAGTCCCTCTGTTTCCTGGATGAGTTTCCAATCGAGCGATACGGCAGGCTTCGTTTCTTTGCGACCAGCCTGTGCTCGCTTTGCCGATAGGGCTGCTCCTGCGCGACTGCTGTTTGGCAAGGCCAGCTTCCTGGAGATCCAGTCGCCAGTCTCGACCAGCCTCGACAGATCAGCCCCGGTGCGAACCCCCGATCGCTCGAACATGTAGACCAAATCCTCGCTTGCTACGTTTCCCTTGGCCCCTGGTGCAAATGGACATCCTCCCAGTCCGGCAACGCTGCTGTCAAACACTCTGAGGCCGCATTTGTACGCCTCCCACACGTTTGCGACCGCGCCGCCGTATGTATCGTGAAAGTGGCCTGCCAGCTTCTCAAGAGGGACGCCATTGTCGCTGAGATATGTGATCAGTTTCCGCACCTCTGCAGGAGTGCCGATTCCCAGAGTGTCGCCGAGACTGACTTCGTAGCAGCCTGCATCGAGTAGGGCCTTTGCACAGCGTAGCACAGACGCGGGCTCGGTCGGGCCATCGTAGGGGTCTGCGAAAATACACGAGACGTAGCTGCAACTGTTAGAACGTAATTATATAATAGAGAAGACTTGCATACCCTCGTACCCAAAGCCCGGCGCTGGCTGCCTTGGACGCCACCTGCCGAGCTCTCTCCAGCCCTTCGTCAACGGTGCAGTTGATGTTCGCTCGACTAAACCCCTCGGTCGCACTGATAAATACAGCGACCTCTTTGACGTTATTCTGCAGGGCTTTATCTAGTCCCTTGAGATTGGGCACAAGCACCGGCAGACGTAGAGCAGGGTTCTTGAGCAGGGCTTGAATGTCCGGGGATTGCACCACCGTCTGTGCGTCGGCAAGCTGGGGAATTGCGCGGGGAGAAACAAACGATGTCAGCTCGATAGTCTGCAGTCCAGTATCGCGAAGTCGCCGGATCAGTTCCAGTTTTGTAGCGCTGTTGATGGACTGTCGGATGTTCTGGAGGCCATCGCGCGGACCAACCTCCACGATTCGCACTGATGGGGGAGTCTGCATCGTGTCTGATTGCCAGGCTGATCTCCGGGACAGCTCAAGCGGGTCTTAATGTCCTTATCATGCCTCGGTCCGGGGTAGCTTTGAGCTGGAGAGTGGGAATGCAGCCATCCGGGCTATCCGAGTCGGACCGATGCACTGCCTGTACTCTGGACACACTCTGGCCACAATACAGTATACTCTGGATACATACTCTGGATAATATACTCTGGATGCAGTAAAGTATACTCTGGCTACAATTGAATAATATTCTCTATAGACGCGCTCGCGGCTTCAGCTGTGCCACCAGGCGGTTGCCCGTGTCTCTCAGCAGATGCTTCTGGTGCTTCCCACTGCCAGTCTTGGGGAAGTCGTCGCCCACTGCAGCATCGCCAATCCAGAAGATGTGCTGCGGTGCTTTGTGCCTGCCCAGAGTGCTCTCAACCCACAGCTGGATCTCTCTGTCGAGCACTCGCTGGCAGCCCGGTGTGGCCTTCAAGAAGCAGCCCACCACCTCGCCGTATCTCTCGTTCTTGATGCCCACCACGCTGGACTCGCTGATCGAGGCGTGTGCAACCAGTCGGTCCTCAATCTCCCTGGGGAAGATGTTCTCTCCTCCTGTAAAAGTCAGCTCTAGCCTGTGTTGGTTTGGTATGTAGTGTCTTACCCCGGATAATAAGATCCTTGATACGCCCGGTGACGTGTCCGTATCCCTGTTCGTCGATCATCATCTCGTCGCCTGTATACATCCAGAGGACGCCATCTGCATCGCGCTTCATGACCTCTCGCGTCTTCTCCTCGTTCTTCCAGTACCCCTTCTGCAGGCAATACCCACCGACACACAACTCCCCCCTCTCACCCCTCGCAACAATGTTCCCCTTCTTGTCAATCACCTTGGCCATAGTATGCGGCATGACGCGCCCAACCGTAGAAATCCGCTTGTCCTCAGGGTCGTCCAACGACGTAATGAAATTCACCGGACTCGTCTCGGTCATCCCGTACGCAATAAGCATCTTCTCCGCGCCCATGCGCGCCCGGATCTCATTCATCAGCGTCTGAGACACGGCGGACCCAGAGGCCAGCCCCGTGCGCAGCCGCCGCGGCTTCTGGCCGGTCTTTGCCAGAATCTCCAGCTCAGCTATGAACATGGTCGGAACACCCAGGAGGACGGTCGGATCCTCGGCCATGAGGGCATCGACAACGGCGTTAGCACGGAAGTGATCAGACGGAAAAACAATGGATGCGCCGTAGCAGAATGAAGCCAGGAATCCCATTACAAGACCGAAGCAGTGGAACAGTGGTGGACCGCAGCAGACCACGTCCTCGGGGGTAAGGCGCATGGCGTTTCCGACGAAACGGGCATTGTTGAGGATGTTTCTGCAGAGCATTAGCTGTGAGCATTTACAACGTCTACAGAGAGAGAGAGAGAGACGTACACGTTTGTCAACATTGCTGCCTTTGGCGAGCCGGTGGTTCCTTTACTGGTCAGTTTATTCTCAATACCAAGCGGAAGAGTAGTACCTGATGTGAACTGTAGGTTGAGAACGTCCTCAGGGGCAAGTCCTGCCTCTGCCTGGGCCAGTTCGCCGACAGATACTGCGTGCTGCCTCTGCAAGAAGTTGCTGTATGTGTCCAGCGTGTTGTTGGCCGAGGGTAGATCAGTCCTGAACAGAATGACCTGCTGCAGCTCTGACAATCCAGGTTTCTGGGTGTTTCGTCCCTGGAGATTCTCAACATGGCCTGCCAGGCTGCGCGATCCAATGTTTGGGGCCATAAACACGATCTTGCATGCTGCTTGTGGATCAGTAGTCGGACATTGTAATATTCGGATAGAACGTACAGCTACGATAGACTGCATTCCTCAGCTCATCCGGGGAATAGGTGTTATTCAGGACAACAACAGGACACCCAATTCGAGCAGCACCGAGAAAGACTTCGATATACTCGTAGCTGTTGCCGTCCATGATCCCGATGCAGTCGCCATGGCGCAGTCCGGCCCCAAACAGCGCCTTTGCAACCACCCGGCTGCGGTCAGCGAGCTGGCGATAAGTGAGACGCGTAGACTCCCATGGCACGATTAAAGCTGTGCGATCGGGGAATGAGGATTCCTGCTGGTTGATGACGGCGCAGAGCGTCTTGTCGACCCAGAGGGCGGGCTCTGTAGGCCCGTGGACGAGAGAAAGCTGAGACATTTTGATATGCTTGTACAATGAATCTGCGAAACAGGACAGAACATGTAGCGGTCTTCGCCAACCCCTGTAATCCAGCCTCATTTATTTGACTGGCATATACTCTGGAGAAGGACGTGGAGACCCTGGGCCGATCCCCCGGATGCCTCCCGGCCATCGGACCGACACGATCAGCAACTACAATTAATTCACCATCACCACTGCTGAACTGGACGCTACTCTTTGGACATACGGCAAAATGACTACAGAATCAGTATTCCCCGTTGTTCGCTCGCGCCTCGACCTGCGCGCGAAGCATCTACAGCAAAACAGAGCCGACTGGGACAGCATCCTCACCCGGTTCGAGGAGGCGTTAAAACGCGTCGCCGCCGAGGGAAATGAGGTGTCCTTGAATCGTCATCAATCTAGGGGGCAGTTATTGCGTGGGTGATTATAATTTCCGAGCAAAGACTCTCAGCTAACGGAAACGCAGCAAGGGATCGAGTGGCGCTTCTGCTGGACCAGGACTCGCCCTTCCTGGAACTCGGCGCATTTGCTGGGTTCGAGAACCCAGACTCAACTCCAAGCGCGAATCTCATTGCAGGAATTGGCAATGTTAGGTTTGTCTGCCTGCCCTTTCAGATATGCAGCATGCTGATGGAGCAGTGGCCGGCCGTGTCTTCTCATGTCGCACATTCCGACGCAGAGCGGAGGCGCGTGGAATGAGATGACAGGTACGTGATGGACATTCCATATGATGTATCAGCTTCTAATGCTCTCACAGTGCTGAAAGTAAACCGCATGATGGAGGTGGCGTTCGAGAATGACCTGCCTCTAATCTCCCTCGTGCAATCGGTATTTTCAACCAAAAAACCACCATAGATATCGTAAATCGTACTAACATGCACAGGCCGGAGTGTTTCTCCCCCAGCAGTTCCGCGTCTTCCACAAAGGAGGCCAGCTCTTTCGAGACCTGGCGGTGCGCACGCAGCATGGGAAGCCATCTTGTGCCATCGTCTTTGGGTCATCCACTGCAGGAGGTGCATACCATCCTGCACTCTCAGACTACACCATCTTCGTAGAGAACCAGGCCCAGGCCTTCTTAGGGGGTCCGCCTCTCGTTAAGATGGCAACAGGAGAAGTCATCGGTGCTGAAGAGCTGGGAGGCGCCAATGTCCACGCGACGATCACTGGACTTGCCGACCAGATGGCTGTTGACGAGTGTGTATTTCCTTGAAGCAACTAGGATATATGCTAATTTGTACAGGTTTGACGCCATCATCAAAGCCCGCGAGTGGGTTGCCTCTCTGCGAGAGCGAGCACAGCCTATCCATGGCCTACTGTCTCCCCGAGAGCCACGATATCCAGTAGAGGACCTCCTATCTTTGGTCAATCCTGATATCCGGAAGCCATTCGACATGCTCGAGGTGCTGCTGCGGATTGTCGACGACTCGCGGCTGTCGGTGTTTAAGCCCAAGTACGGCACAAACATGATCACAGCATGGGCTCACATCCAATGTACTTTATAACCACTATATAATTAAATCTAGCTAACATTAATTCAGGCTTCCCCGTCGGAATTGTTGCCAACCAGATCTCGGTGATCAATCCCAACGAAGCTGCAAAGACAGCACAGTTCATTCGGGCGTGTAACCAGGAGTAAGTCTCTTCCCTACTTGCACCGTTCTATACTGATCAACAGAAACACTCCCATCATCTTCCTGCACAATGTCACTGGCTTCATGGTCGGTGCCAAAGCCGAACACGCCGGCATCATCAAGATGGGCGCCCAACTCGTCTCGGCCGTCAGCTGCTCGACCGTCCCCCATATCTCGATCATCATGGGCGCATCCTACGGGGCTGGTAACTACGCCATGTGCGGACGGTCATACAAGCCCCGTTTCATCTTTACCTGGCCCACCGGTCGGTGCAGCGTCATGGGCCCAGACCAGCTCTCGGGCGTTATGGAGACAGTGCAGGTACAGAGCGCCAAGTCCAAGGGACAGATCCTTGAGCCGGAGAAATTGAAGAAGCAGGTGGAGAGGTTCCGCCAGGATGCTTCGAGAGATAGCGAGAGCTATGCGACGAGTTCGATGCTCATTGACGACGGCATTATCGACCCAAGAGACACCAGGGACGTGCTGGGGATGTGTCTCGAGGTCGTGAATTTGAATGGCGTCAAGGGGACAGAGACGCATAAACTGCTAGCTAGAATTTAGTATTAGTCTCTTTACATATTATCTCTGTTACTGTTCTTAAATCTCTTTACTACTGTATTCTATGACTATGCCTACACGAACAATCCATTTCATTAGGAATCCATTCATTCCACTTCCAACAGTAGAACCACAACTGCCGACAAACCCCGGATCGACAGGCAAATGCTTCCCCGGCCAAGAAGATTTTCCCCGGATCGATTCCATCCGCCGTACCGCATCGTGGAGTGTGGCTGGACGGTCCGACAGCTGCGGTCCGATATCCGAGACCGCACCCACGCACGAGGAGATCGGATACTGCGCAATAAAATAGGTATTGCCGGTTAACTTCAGCTGTAAAACCGCATTAGATGCTATTTCACTCCAATAGATGAACATGGCAGCTCCCTCGCAGAACGGAGCGACCGTCCACGCGGCACCTCTGCGGCCACCCCTCTACGTCGCGCCTTCACCATTGCGCAGCGATGGGAGACCCATTATCCAGAAGGTCCTGATTGCGAATCGCGGCGAAATCGCTTGTCGCATTATCCAGACCTGTCGCAAACTCAGTATCACGACTGTTGCCGTATACGTTGACGAGTATGTCTTCCGGCCCCCTTTGTGCAGTAACAAGTCTAACAACAGCAGAGACGCGTCATCGCTCCATATCAGAGATGCAGACGAGGCAATCAACATCGGAAGCATTGATCGCAGTGCGCGCAATCCCTTCCTGGATGTCGATCTGCTCATCCGCACGGCTCTGTCTGTAAACGCCGACGCCATCCATCCTGGATACGGCTATCTCAGTGAGAATGCCGACTTTGCCCGCTCCATCCGCGACGCTGGCATGATCTTCATCGGCCCCAGCGACACCGCGATGTCTACTCTGGGTGACAAGCGCGCGGCCAAGGACTATCTTACCAAACACGCCCCAGACGTCCCCCTAATCCCCGGTTACGCCGGATCAAGTCAAGACGCAGCCGAACTCGGTAGAATGGCCGCGGAAATTGGCTTCCCCGTTATGCTCAAGGCCTCTGCTGGCGGCGGGGGAAAGGGAATGCGAATCATCCGTGAACCTGGTCAGTTGCAGCATGAGTTGGAGCGCGCACAGTCCGAGGCCCAGCGCTCGTTCGGGTCGGCGGACTGCATCCTGGAGAAGTATGTCGAGAGCAGCAAACACGTTGAGATCCAGATCGTCGGCGATGCTCATGGCGAGGTTGTCTCATTCTTCGAACGCGACTGTTCAGTGCAGCGACGACATCAAAAGGTCATCGAGGAGACGCCCTGTACGTTCTTGACAGACAAGATGAGACAGGATATGAGTGCCACGGCAGTGCGTGTTGCCAAACTCATCAACTACGAGAACGCGGGCACTGTCGAGTTCGTCGTCGATGCTGTGACCGGCAAGTTCTACTTCCTGGAAGTCAATGCACGCCTGCAAGTCGAGCATCCCATCACCGAAGAGGTGACGGGGGTCGATTTGGTATCGCTGCAGCTCTACGCCGCTGCTGGGGGCAGTCTGGGTGCACTGGATGCGCTCCAGGGGCTCACTCAACGCGGCCATGCCATCGAGTGTCGTCTCTGTGCAGAAGACCCCCGCAAGAACTTCTTCCCCGAGCATGGCAAGATCCATCTGTGGCTGCCTGCATCGGGCGTGTTGGCAGCAGGCCGCGACGTGCGATACGAGGCTGCAGTGCAGTCCGGGTCCTCTGTCTCAATCTACTTCGACTCCATGATTGCAAAGCTCGTCGTTTGGGCACCGACAAGGGCCCTTGCGATAGAGAAGATGGTCAAAGTGCTCGCCAACACCGTCTGCGCTGGTGTCCAAACAAACTCGCTTCTGATGCAGCGGGCCCTCTTGCACAAGGCCTTCCATGACCCGGCATACACCACATCCTTCCTCGCACTACACCTCGACGAACTCATTGGAGAGCCGGCTGGCCCTCTGGCAGAGATCCGAAAGTCTCTCTCGATTCTCCCGGCAATTGCGCTGCGGAATTTGGCAGACTCGCCCTCGTCCCAGAAACGTCCTTTCCAGAATGTGCGCCGGCGCTTCCGAAATCAACACCACGACCCGGCAAATCTACAGTACGATGTAGTTACCATGGTAGACTGGCCGTATAACATCAAGGAAGACCCGACGATACCAATAATGTGCGTCTGGACACCAGAGCAGGCCGGGTCATCGACCCACGAGGCACATCTCCTCCCCCTCCCTGAGAGTGATATCCCGCAAGATGATAAACGCTCTGCCACCAGTTCACGATATGGCCAGATCAGCCAAGCCCTGCGGAATGGACGAGTAACCAGCGCCGGATCCCGCTACACAGTGAGCGTCGATTCATGGAAACCTGCCGAGGGAGACCCTGCACTGAAGGAGTCCTGGCTATCAACGACGCTCGAGGCCAGTCTGAACGGCACAAAGGTCCTTGCGCATATGGCCGTCGTCACCGACCGACCTGAAGCCCTTGCTGGGTGTCTCAACCGAACACAGACCGTCTTCTGCCACGTCCCGGCCATTGGAGCGCCCGTTGAGTTCAAACGAGATACCTCGCTGTCCTTCATTGAGAGCACGCGTGCTTCAGCCGGTGGTGGAAGCGATGAGGAGCAGAGGACCGTGACGGCGCCAATGCCGTGCAAGGTACTGTCGACGCTGAAGAAGAACGGGGAGGAGGTCAAATCCGGAGACACCGTGATGGTTATCGAGAGCATGAAGATGGAGGTCACCATCAGTGTCTCGGCCGATGGCAAATTCGAGACGAACTGGAAGGAGGGCGATGCTGTGGAAGAGGGCAAGACTTTGTGTACTGTTAGTTAATATAACTGAATGATACAATTTCAAGAATTCTCAATATACGGTTATTATACATCAGTATATACTAGTTATTGTACAGCAGGACACATCTACTAATGTTAATCAATTGTCCTTTAGTATACATCTACTTGATATTCATCACGATATGGCTATTGTACACGACTTAAGCCATTCTCCATGGACACAGCGCAGCACAGTAGATAATACCGTAAACTCCATTATTCATGTACAGTGGTTAACTAGTATTTACACTTGTACTATTTACAGCTTGCTGAGCTTTTTCATCGCCCTGATCTCTTGGTTCACAGCCAGGTCTGACAGAATCTCCTCGCTGCCACCTCCTACAACCATAACCCGAACGTCTCTACTAATCTGCTCGATTCTCGCGCCGCGGCCATTCTTGGAATATCCGAGACCTCCCAGAACCTGCTGAGCCTCTCTATTCACCATCTCCAAAGTCCGTCCTGCAAGCACCTTGAGGTTGGCGAACAAGCCACCCATTGCCATATCAGTGCCATTCGCCTTGGCTGTCTCCGCCATGTACACCAGCTGCTCCATCCAGGCATATGTCGAGTCAAGGCTACGGCCCATTGCTGAGAATTTGGACCGGATGACCTGGTTCTCGATGAGCTTCTTGCCAAAGGTCTCGCGGGTAATGGCATGCTGGTAAGCATCTTCGGCACACACTCGGGCCATCCGTAGTGAAGTACAAGCAAGCCAGAGACGCTCATGGTTGAAGTCTATGCATGTTAGATAATTGTCTTGTATAGGAGCTGGAGCGCATACTGTTCATGATAATGGGAAAGCCTTTGTTCTCTTCTCCAAGCAGATTGGCCACCGGGACCTCCACGTCGTCAAATTCGATATATGTGGATCCTGCAGACGGTTAGTTTCATACAAGTCTTCCGCATATGTTCAGGTCGTACCACTGGCAAGAACACCCGAGTTGTCAATCTTCTTGCACGTCACGCCGGGTGCTTTGAGTGGGATGATTAGAGCTGACACCCCAGACACACCCTCTCCCCCGGTCCGCACAGCAGCAGTGCAGTAGTCCGCGAAGATACCGTTGGTAATCCATTTCTTTGCTCCATTGACAATATACTTGTCACCTTTTCGTTCCGCGATTGTGGTGATACCCGCGACGTCAGATCCAGCTATACCAGTCAGTCAACCGCAACAAATAACAAAGAGAACAGAACCCACCATCCGGCTCAGTGACACCCAGACAAAATCGGATCTTGCCACTTAACATATCAGGCAGAAACCGGTCCTTCTGCTCTTTATTTCCAAAGTTAATAACGGGCGGTCCACCGATCGAGTTGCCGCATCCCAGCGCCCAGATCACACCGAGATAGCCGCATCGCGCAATCTCGTCAATGAGAACCAAATCATGGAAGCCGTCCCATTCTTGCGCGTTAATTCCAGCAGGAAGCTTCTGGCCCTTGAGATAGCCCGCAGCTAGTGGGAATGGTGTCGCAGCGGTATAGCCGAGCGCTGCGTGTCGTTGATGCACCTGTGCGTGTTCAGCATGTGCACATTATTTTACACAGTTTAATTTCATACCTCGGCGGGAACAGAGCCGTTCTTTTCCCATTCCTCGCAATAAGGAGCAATGTGGGTGTCAATGTACGAGCGGACTTCTTTTTGCAGACGTCGGTGGGAGTCCTTATAGTAAGGGCTGTGTCCGCGATTGAGCCAGAGAGGGTCAGCGAAGGGGAGGGTTGATGATGACATTTTTGGCTAATAATATGTATATTTCCAAGTCCAAAAGCAACGAGGTCATTATTCCAATTATAAACCGTGTATGTGCACTCCTCCACGCTGTCGGTCCGTGGAGTCCGAACGTCGGGCCGCACGTCGGGGACGGACTGCATCGTCATGGCAGATTTACGTGCGGACCGCGGGCTGTACGGAGTGATAGGGCGAGCACTAAAGAGCGCGAGTTCCCGATCGGCCTAATCCAAATCAATCATTCACGCATCATGAGCAAGAAGCAGTTATCCCCGTGGAACAGCGTGGTGTCGGGCACGACGGCTGCTGTCCTGGCCGGCGTCCTCGTATACCCCCTGGACTTGTATGGCCCCTTTCTCTAAAACACTATCAGTTGCTAACAGCTTAAAGAGCAAAAACCCGCTTGCAAGTGCAGGTGCAGCGCCAAAAGGACAGTCCAGATAATGACACAGCGACTGACCCTAATTCTCGCGATGTCCAGTATAACAACGCCCTGGACACAATCCTCCACATCGTCGAGGAGGAGGGCATCGCCGGGTTATATGGGGGTCTAGGAAGCTCAATCACTGGCACCGCATCCATGAATTTCGCATATTTCTACTGGTCTGCTGCAGCCCGGACCCTCCATCAGTCTATGGTCCAATCCTTTGGCCTTTCAGATTCGAATAGTATTATCAAGGAGTTTGGCCTTGGAGCCGTGGGCGGAGCAATGGCCCAGCTGTGCACAAATCCAATTGCTGTCGTTTCGACGCGGCAACAGACTCGCAAATCTCATGAAGAGAAGTTGGGTTTTTGGGAAACAGTCAAACAGATAGTACACAGCGACGATGGATGGACTGGATTATGGAGAGGGTTCAAGGTCAACCTCATCCTGGTGGTGAACCCAATGATCACATATGGCTTCTACCAGTGGTTAAGGGGGAGACTGTTCGCATTGAGGAAGGACATTGGGGCGCTTGAAGCGTTTCGTAAGTCCTCCAGCCATACTGTTGATCTCCTACTAACAGTCTACAGTACTCGGGGCGTGTTCCAAGGTGCTGGCCACACTCGTCACTCACCCTCTCATCGTCGCCAAAACGATGCTTCAATCCGATCCCCCCGAGAGTCGGAAAGGGAAGCCGTTCACTGGGTTTACCGAAGTCCTGCGATATATCATCACTAACGAGGGGATATTACGTCTGTACAAGGGACTTTCGCCGCAGATCATCAAAGGCTTCTTAGTCCAGGGCTTGATGATGCTGCTAAAGGAGAGGTATGCCACCGAACACTCTTCACGCAGAGCCATACTAACTATAACAGAACCGAGATACTCCTCATGATGGCTATTTCCATGCACAGGAGGCGGTTAGCGCGACAGTCGACGAAATGAATATCTAGTTGGATCTTGATACCAGTTATGTAATTAAATGCAATGGCTTAGTCTAATGCAAAGTCGCTCTATATATACAATAGTGATCTATAATAAAACGCTGAATCGCTAAACTGCAGCATTTGTTTCTCCGACAGCCTTTGAGTCCGTCGTATCCTCTGCGGTCACTTGGATTTCGTGACTGTGCTCTAACTCGGAAATAACAATCCATGTCGGAATAACACTGAGGAGGGTGATGCCAAAGTTGATACCAATGCTGACAAAGTGGTTGGCATTGCCTTCTGATTGCATTCTGTTAAAGTTAGCATGCGTCGATATTTTGAAAGAGTGTTGGAACTTACGCCCAAGCAACGGTCTGTCCGAGGGCCTCGAACCCTCGGAGGATGCCGCAATGGTGGGAAAGAGAGGACAGATCGGTGGTGTACTGGCCCACAAGCCAGTAGAGGAATTGCTGGAATGCCTGGCCGCCAAAGGTCCAGAAGAAGACCAATGCGTAAGACTTGCCGAAACCGCCCTTGAACCAGTCAAAGACGGGGGACTCGGCGCTGCTGTAGAACTGGTCCTGGAGGATGCTGGCCCAGATCCAGGTACCGGTAAGGACGATGACGATTGCAGCGAAGGCAATGCGTGCTCGGGTCTTGATGTGCACTTTCTGGTTATCGAGCAGGGTGGCGATTAAAAATGACGAGATGATACCAGCGAAGTTGGTGAAGAAGGACGAGAATGCGCGGGCTCGCACGGTGAAGTAGGTGGTCAACCAGGTGCTCTGGAAGCCGTTGTAGAAGTAGCTGATAAAGAACGATGGCAGAAGCAGGACAATGCGGCGGGTGGCAAGCAGCTTAAAGACGGCCTTGAATTCAGCCCACCATGAAGACTCGGTATTCACGATAACCAGCGTCTTATCCTTGCGCTGCACCTTGTGAGCTGGACTCAGGCACAGCCCAATTGGGAGACCAAGGCACATGATGACGATGAAGACGATGTATGTGCTTGCGCTGACAGATCCCTGCCCTGAAGTCTGCGCATTGAGACCGAGGTTGATGGCACCGCCGACGATAGGCCCAGCAGCCTTTGCAGTCTGCCAGATGGCGAGGTAAAAGGCGCGGTCCTTGGGGCTGGGGTACCCGATGATGATGGCCGCCTCGGCAGCCCAGAAGAAACCGGCAGAGATACCGCACAGGGCACTACCGAACAGCATGAACCAAGTCGTCGGCGAGTAGTTGTTGGTGTAAAGACCAGCGCCGTAGATGGGATAGCCTATTGCGCCAAGGGCCAGCCCATAGCGAAGGCCGATACGGTTGTTGATGGCTCCAGCGGCCACACACACGACGGCAAACAGGCCGTACAGCAGGGCATTTGCTGCCGAGACAGCATACGGCTCTGCAGCACCTCCGGCTCCCAGGTTGTTCAGGGCATCCCACATGCCCGGAGCCGTGAAGGAGACGCCACTGGCGATGGCGATCTGGAAGGGAATGGACCGGAAGACCGACACCAGGCGCCGCGTTGGGGCAACCTGCGAATAGGCCGGGGGTGCGTCAGTCGAGGCCATGGCGAATTCCTTCCACGTGGGATCAAGCTTGGGAAGAGAAAAAGAAAGACTGGAAAGACTGGAAATCGAAGCTGTAGCAGAAAAATGTAAAATCTCCCGGCAAGTGGGGCGCCCCCGATTGCGTGCTCAACGCAATTTGGGACTAATACACGCCATCAACAATGTCCAGAATATGAATGCACTGTCTTTAAAGGGGGGAATATTATTCCAGAGCTACTCCGTAGTGCTAAATGATCCTGATTACCAGTCCTAGCATTGCATACTGGCTAGTCCCCTCATAGCTCGTGCATAAGCTGAACTGGCGGAAGCTTGGCGCTGGGCAGCTTCCCAATTCAGCCTCCTGTCACCCATTTTAGCGCAGTGGCAGCACCAGAATCTGATAACTGATAAGTGATAATTCTGCATTTGCCACGCGACATCGGGGAGCAGCACGTGACTGCGGAACACAACATCACGTGAGCGGCACTCTTCCGGGCGGGACTCCACGGACTGTCACCAATCACAGCATCAGCCGGCAGCACCACGTGACCGGTCCGATGCCGCTGCTCAGTTTGGATGCGTACACAAGACACTGCCGAGTTAGAGTGCTATAGATTCCAGACGCATATACAGGGAATCCAATATTCACCTAAATGAGGATCTTGTTAAATATCGAGTTCTCTAATACATTGTTGTGGGCTCTTAGCCAGGTGCATGTTGAATATAGACTCCGAAATATATATTTATATATTCGGCACTACCACACTAAGTATAAACAACAGATGTGTCTAGATATACCCGGTTTCAGAGGCAATGAACACATAGTATGGCAGTTAACCTTTGTTAAACTCCTTTGTTTAGGCAGAATTGACGACCCCGCAAAGTTGGAGTATAACAGGAATGCAGGCGGGAAACGGCGAATATACTTCCGCGAGTCAGAGCAAAGATGTACCTCCAAACCCTCAGCTATATGTTCATAGCCCGAGTTCACTTACTGCACACCAAGCAGGATGAACTACCTAAATTGTCTGGTATGGGCACTACTTGGGACTACTGGGGTCTCTGCCCTCAGCCCGGCCCAACGGCGCGACATCGTCAGGTCCTTCAACCCGCACCGCAACGCCAACTCGCCCACGACGCCTCTCCAAGTTGGAAATGGCGATTTCGCTTTCGGTGCCGACATCACCGGCCTGCAGACCTTTTCTCCATTTGCCATCCAGAGCTCTTGGGCATGGCACAATTTCAGCCTGCCAACCACGCCTGGACAGATGTCAACTACCGGTATGTCCTACCCTTCACCATAGTATCGAGGCTGACTATGTTTACAGATTTCACCGGTGTCGACTGGTGGACGCACGGGCGACTGGTGAATTATGGCATACCTAATCCGGCGGAGGAAGACATTTCGAACTGGCTGATCCAGAACCCGCAAAGAGTTAATATGGGAAACATTGGCCTATATTTCGGTGGGCGCAACGTTACTGAACAGCAACTCATCGACAAATCCCAGGAGCTCGACCTCTGGAGTGGCACTATCCTATCAAATTTCCGGTTTAATGGATCCAGCGTATCCGTTCAAGTGACAAGCCATCCGGCGGACCCTGTTGTAGGGATCGAGATCAAGTCAGACCTCCTGGTGTCTGGAGGCCTGGGTGTCTTCTTCGACTTTCCATACTCTGATACGAACAAGTTCGACGCCCCATATGTTGGAGTGTGGAACGAGACTAGAATTAATACAGTAAAAGCCCATTCAACTGCCCATTCAGTGTCTTTCAGACATATCGCGGATGACAATGTGCAATATACTCGCGCAAACTGGAGCACAAATGGGGCTATATCCGGCCCTTTGCCCAGTTCAAACAGGTTTATTCTCACACCATCTGGCTGTGATACTCTACACCTAGTGGTTGCATTTTCGCCGACAGATAGGGTCAAGATGCCCAGTTCCAACGAGATTTCGACAGAGTCTCGAGAATGGTGGGCCAATTACTGGACTTCAGGTGCATTCATTGACCTCTCAGCCAGTAATAATGATAATGCAACTGAGCTGCAACGACGAATAATCTTGTCGCAGTATCTAGTTGCTGTAAATTCAGCGTCCCATAATCCCCCTCAAGGCATGTACTGCCACTGCCAATGTCTGATATACTGATATACTGATATTTCCAGAGTCTGGTACGATATACGAGCTACCCTACCATATTGAACTAACGGTATATTAGGCCTTGTGAATAATGGTTGGTATGGTAAATTTCATGTGAGTTCCAATATCACCCGACGAGAGTGCGACTAATCAAGTATAATAGCTAGAAATGGTCTTGTGGCACTGCCTGCAGTTCGCCCGCTGGGGTCACCATGACCTTCTCTCGCGGACAGTCCCCAGCACGTACCAGCGCTTCCTCCAGTCCAGCATCGAGAGAGCTGCTTCACAAGGGTACGTAGGCGCGCGCTGGGGCAAGATGACAGACCCAACCGGGAGGAGCGCGCCGGGGGAGATCAACGTCTTGCTCATCTGGCAGCAACCGCATGTGATGCATTTTGCTGAATATGTTTACCGAGCTTTCCCCAACAGTAACACCTTGCGAGAATGGGATGAGATTGTTACAGCGACGGCTGATTTCATGGCGTCATATGCTTGGTGGAATACAACCACCCAGGTTTACGATCTTGGGCCCCCGATGTACCCGGTCAGCGAGAATACCAATCCTAATGCAACGGTGAATCCCACATTTGAGCTGGCATACTGGCGATTCGGGCTGGATATCGCAATCCAATGGAAAGAGCGCCAGGGAGTGTCAGTGCCCAGAGACTGGGTTGCGGTGCGGGATAACCTCGCGCCACTTCCAGTTATTAACGACTCTTATGCTGTCTACGAGGGTATCCCAGACATGTGGAAGGAAGGGACAACAACAGTGCAGGACCACCCGGCGATGATTGGTATATACGGTCTGCTTCCACCCTCATCAACAGGGCCTCCGCTCAATTTGACCGTGATGCGCAATACCGCCAAACTCATTCAGAAACTGTGGGAACTGGAAGACGTGTATGGCTGGGACTTCAGCATGCTAGCCATGAATAGCCTCCGCTTAGGCGATGTAGAGCAGGCTGTTGCCTATCTCCTGCATCCCTACTACGCCTTCGACGACGCCGGGTACCCAGTGGGAGGGGAGAGGGTGCCCACACCGTATTTCCCCAACGCTGGAGGTCTGCTACTTGCGACTGCCATGATGGCTGGAGGGTGGGATGGAGATGAGGGCCCGCATTTTCCTGCAGGCTGGAATGTGACTGTGGAGGGATTCACACCGAGCTTGTGATCGAGCTGAGCTTCTCCTGGATTTCACGGTTGTTGCAGACGCGACGCATTTCCATGATGACGATTACGGCGTTCTTACATGGGGCAGACAGAGCCCATCTTGCGGGGGATGTGCTGGCAGGCTGGTTTGCCATAGTGCATTTTACCTACGTATGGGCCTGTTCTAAGCGAGAATACTAGGGATTGGCGGATTGGGAGATGTTGAGAGCAATTTTTGGAGGTCTGATGTCAGTAACCTGTGCGCAGGGAGTTTTGTTAACAGGCTAGATGTCATAACAACTCGTCTAACTGGCAATGGCGTACCCCGTATCTTTTCTAGAACATCAGTGGAGCCGCGATCTCCAGATTTGGGCCACATTAGCTCGCCCCACAACACAAATTGATTTATTATTGGAAGATATCCAGATGCCCTAAGCTGCATGGAGTAGCGCTTGCGAGCATGGTTGATATTTCCCCAACAGAATCAGGAGGGGTATCCAGACACCACACAATATGGCTTGGTGAAGATGTTGCAGCCAATTCATAGTGGTAGAATATGGCCCAGTTGTGTCTTCACATGGTGAAACTTAGCCGACGGGCCGAGTGTTGGGTCTTAAATACCAACGACGCAACCCAGATTGATATACAGACAACAACGAAAGCACACAACCGCCACAATGGGCCTGGCTACTAACGTTAACCAGCATTCCATGACCTCAGACTGGCCGCTCAAGGACCGGGCAACATGGAATAGCTACCAGCGCTTCATCGATCTCATCAACATCTATCCTGTCTTTCCAAACAAGCCACTGCCTGTCCATCCGAAGACCGATAAGCTCCCATACATGTCGCAACTATCGCAGCACCTCTTTATCATCTTCTTCGCCGCCGTGCCCCTGCTACTACACCAAGCGTGGGTCACCCTGACTGGGCACGGCCTCGGAAAGCTCGCCACATTTCTCTCCTACAATGGCGTATACACATTGGTGGCGATCCATGAAGTTCGCATGCTGCGTCGTCTATCATACGAACATGGCTGCTTAGATGGAGATGTTCACAAGCGAGACGATATTCCTAACACCGGCGCGGGGAAGATAATAGGCTCGATGCACAAGACCGCAGCCTTCCGCATGGCGATGGCTGTCCTTGTCACCTACAACCCCGGTGTGTCTCCCCTGGATGCGATTAGGGACACAACCTCGTGGGCTCCTTTCCTTGCAAAGCTCAGCCTGTACGGTGTCGTTCTCGACTTCTGGTTCTACAGCTACCACCGGGCCTGCCACGAGGTGCCCTCTCTTTGGAAATACCACCGCACACACCATTTAACCAAGCACCCCACTGCCGTTTTCTCCGCGTTTGCCGATGACGAGCAGGAAATCATTGAAATGGTTATCGTGCCGTTCCTGACTTTTGCCACGTTATGGGTAATCGGCCTCCCACTGGGCTTCTATGAGTGGTGGGTCTGCTACGAGTATGTCACTTACGCCGAAGTCATGGGCCACAGTGGCGTCCGTGTCCATACTATCGTGCCTTCGCCAATTACATGGCTGCTGAAGCTCTGTGATGCCGAATTGGCATTGGAAGACCACGACATGCATCATCGCAAGGGATGGAGGAAGAGTTTCAACTATGGAAAGCAGACCAGGGTATGGGACCGACTGTTCAACAGCTGCCTGGATAGAGTGGAGGCAGAGGCATCGAATATCGACTATGGGAATGTGGTGTTGATGCCTATTTTCTAGACCTACTATCAAATACATAACTAGTTAAAGTACACTCTTCCACTTCTTTCTATATTCTTCACTTCGCCCTGGCTCATCTCTGACCGATATTGCTGCTTTGAAGCCCTTTTCTTGTGCCAGTTGCTGAAACTGTATACCTTCTGGCGAGTTTCTCGTGATGCCATCAAAGACGGTCGCTAGCCTTTGTGATCCTGAAATCGTCCCCTCAATCGTACTATTGATAACCTGCTTCTGCATCCAAAGCTGATTGATAGACACAGACTTGATCCGGTCCGTAAGAAGCCTGACCGTCTCCTCCAGCTGTGTAGATGGAACAGCCTTGAGAACAAGACCCATAGATTCAGCTTCAGCGCCACTGACAAGATCCCCAGTAAAAAGCATCCTCTTCGCCTTCTCCGGCCCAATGCGATACGCCCACATTGCTGTGGTCGGACATCCCCAGACCCGACTCGGTGGATATCCAATTCTCGCGTCGTCGGCCATGACAACCATGTCACAACACAGCGCAATATCACTCCCCCCCGCGACAGCCGCCCCGTGGACTTGCGCGATCGTAGGCTTGTGGCTGCGAAACAGCTCCGAATAGCAGTCTGTGCATTCCTTCATGGTCAGATAGTCCTGGAATGGCTCATACCCGCGAGAGAGGTCCTGACTGCCCTCAGTCTCTCCACGCTGGGCGTTTGCAGCGTAAATATCGAGGTCGTAGCCACCGCAGAACCCGCGACCGTTGCCTTTTAGTACAATGCAGTGCACGTCAGGGTCAGCATTGGCAGTCTGCACAGCGGTGCGTATCTCGAGGGGCATGTGCTGGTCGATCGCATTGTGCTGGTTCGGACGGTTTAAGGTGATGTAGGCGACCTTTCCATCGCCAGACTTGCTGTAAAGTAAAGACTTGAATGACATTTTGACGTCGTTAAACGAGTTAAACTGCGGGAGTGTACGTATATATAGCAATGTGTTCTTGTAATCATTGACCTCGGCTATCTGTTATCCTCGGTGTATCCATCCAATCACACGCACATCTTACATCGAATACCAGGGGTTCTATTTACGTATCTATCACTGTATATCATGTTCCTTGCTTATTACATGCTTCTTCGGCACTTTATCGCTGCCGAGTGGAAGAGGATCTGATGTCACTTCAAGTCGATTGCTGCACTTCTCTTACCTCCTTTGGATTCTTAGAACCGCAGAGGAATGCAATGAGCGCTCCGATGCCGGAAATGACCAGAATGTACCCTAAGAATTGCATAGTCAGTTTCAAGCACACCAACTGGCCAGTGAAAGTTGAGTGGGTGTCATACTGATGCTGGTTTGTATAGCATCCAGGAACGACTGCAGCACCGACAGACTCAGCCAGCCGGGGAGTGTGTCAATGTAGTCAAAGCTTTCAAGGCATTTCCTCACCAGCTGCCGGGATGGTTAACGGATCTGGATGCGATCGCAATGGCATTATAAAACAGACCTTGTCTATGTCATCTGGAAAATCATGATCGAGGCTGGATCGAATGTTGCGAGCAATTAGGCTTTGGAGCATCCAAATGATCATGGATTGCGCCAGTAGGTTCCCAATGGCGATAACCAGATGGTAGATGCCATACAAGATGCATCGGTCTATTGACACTGTTAGGTCATTCTCATCCGGGTGGGATTCTGCCTCACCTTTGTTTATTCCCTTGCCCTCTGTGTACCGCATGATCATGGTCATCGAGGTACCGTTGGCAAGGGCGGAGCTCAAGCCTGCCAGAATTAAACCCACCAGCTTCGCCCAGTCTGGCAAGATATGTCAACACTCAAAGAGTTCCGGGCAGGCAATACCACGGCGTACCTTTATTGATCCAAAGGATTCCAAGACTCAAACATGATAGCGTCCGGGAAGCGATGAAAACATACCGGTCCCGTTGGATCAACGAGCATAAGCAGTGACCCAATATCTCGGCCACGGGGAATGTCATGTTTAGCCAGCCGATAACGACTATGGAACCAATGTGCGACGCCTGCACGTAGTATGGAATAAGACTTAATACCTGGAAGGGAGGAGTCAGCTATACTGGGCTGTTTGGTCCCAGTGGGAATTGCACTTACAGACATGTCAACAAAGGCTGTTATGGACGCAATGCAAATAACATATTTCATGGGACCATCCTGTAGCCTCTCCCAAGGGATCAGGGCAACGGTGGCGTGTCCTTCAAGCCAGCCGAATACAGAAGCAGCAGCGATGCATAGAGCTAGGGGCACCCAGAATACTACAAAGTCGTTGTCGAGGCAAACAACCAAGCATACCAGACTGAATGCCAGTACGAAGGCTGCTCTAATATTACACTGGGCGGGCAGATCTTCGAGCGCGGTAGAGGGCAGGAACCAGCATAGAATAGCAAAGGACAGGAGAGCCCATATAAACTCGCACCGAAAGACCCTGGCAGAAAGCTTCAGTTAGACTGGAAAGCTGGAAGATGACAAGGGACATACATCTGCCAACTGTACTTGTCCGTAATATATCCTCCACCAATTCCACCCAGAAAATGACCACCCCAAAGCTGACCAGCGACGACACCGCCGTGCAGCGCAGATCTGTATGCTTCGCTGCATATATCTATCCAAGGCTCAGCACACTCGAAGTGACACCAACCGGAAACCACTCTACTTACCGTTCAAGATGGTATTGAGCATGAGCGGCATACCGCCGGTTCCCAAACCTGTGAAGAATCGTGCTGCGACAATATACCAGAAGCTCGGCGCCTGCCTGATAGAAAGATCAGCGTAAGAGTAGAATCAAAGGCCATGGAGAAACCAACCAGGCACAAAAGGTGCCGACGATGAACAGGAAATGAGCGACGAGCATGATTTGCTTGCGCCCATATCGGTCGGAAAGGCGACTGTACTGTGGCGAGTAGGCATCGTTAGCTGCGCGGCATGTTCATCTGGCGCGTCTTCAGAGGCAGAGGAATACAAACAATCGATTGTCCGATTATCACACCAACCTGATAGGTCATCATCAACCAGGCAGCGTCATCCAGGTGACCAAACTGTGAGCCTGCAACGCAGCCGTTAGTTCCCTTGGAGAGTGTATCGCAGCATTGGTTAACTACTCAGCGTTGAGAACGACGCGAGCAGATAGGCGCTATCGGCGGACGTCAAAAGCAGCCTATATTCCAGGTCAGTCATTTGGATCGTCCAGTGCATCCCGACACTGTTGGCCTACATCGGGAAGCCTGCGAGTACCACTGCTTTGATTTCGGAGTTGATCGCGCGTTCTGTGCGTGGCCCAATTAAGGGCGTGTCTTCCCCAGCCGCCATAGTAGGTAATGATGACGAGACGGGTTTATGGAAGGCTGAACTGTGCCATGCAGCGGTTCCAGGACACAGGCAGGGTGCTCGCGGCTAGATGGCGGTATTTATAAGAGCTGATACTGGGGCGCATGTTCAAGGCAGACTGCCGCCCAGCTCGTTGCTCCGGCCACGAAGTGCAAGCTGGTTGGGCGCCTCATCGGTGCCACACGCAGGGGAGGCGAGCCTGAAACACGGAATATGGTTTACTTTATTTTGTATTTTGATTGATCTTTTTTTTTACAGCGGGGGCGTTAATGCCTGAGTCCTGGGCCGGCGGCCAACCACACAAGCAATGTCTCACATTCTCATATACTAGTAGCGGAAGTAACAAAATTCAAATTAAATAAAGACATTGCTTGAAGCTGAACTCCTGACGCCGACGCCCAGCAGCTGCTGTATGCCGTATATCTCGAAACTAACCTGGGACGTCGCGAGGGGGAGCCATCCAGGCGGTATCCGAGATAGGGCCGCCCTGAAGAACCCAGAAATCCCTTGTTCGTTTCCATTTGAGTTGATGGCGCTGGAGGAGTTCTGCTGCCGCGGTCTGGTTATAGGACTTTAAGTATCGGAGGGCTTCCTCTGCAACTTCTAACTGATGGCCTGGTTCAGGCTCTCCGGCCAGCTCATCTGCCAACGACAGTGGCGTGACTAGATCAGCGAAAAGCATCAAGGCGTCGTCGCCTTCTCCATGACACCGGAGGACATCGGCGAGGGTGATCCGAATCCACAGGAGCTCTCTATTATGGAGACCCTGGCGGCCATCACCGGCCTGTTCTAGGCAACGACGCAGGCGCTTCTTACCGTCACTGTATCGACCGTTGTCGAAGTCGATCAGAGCTCGAAGATGATCGACCTGGCACGACCGCTCGAAGTCCCCTGGGAAGATGCCGGAATGTACTACTTCGGCCAGGATGTCGGTTGCTCTTGCGTTGTCGTCCAAGTCCCGCAATAGTATGGCCAGTTGAATACCAGAATCCACAGTGACGTTATTGTCCACCGTGAACAGGTGCTTCCTCTCTGTCCAGGAATGAGAAAGCAAGTCCTGGGCAGTATCCAAGTGGCCCTGCTTTCTGTAGCATGACCCCTGGGCTGTTTGTATCATCAGGCTGATTCCGTTGGCCCTACCGCCAACTCCCGTCCATTTGTTCCATATCTCCTCGTAGAGAGCTGCGGCCATACTCAATCGACCTTCTGCCTCCAGTGCATATCCAATAAAAAGCTCTGCCTGGATTGCCTTGGAGTTGACGTCTCCAAGAAGCCGCTTTAGGCCATCCGCAGATGTCTTCAATGTTTGTCGGGCATCCTTGAACATAGTAAGATGGAATTCCACAGCGCCCAAATAGAAAAGAGTGATATAATAGTCCGGAAGCTCTGTTCCTACAGCCTCAAGCTGCAGCCTTGCGACCTCATACAGCCCTTCCCTAGCTTCGTCCATTCTCATCTTCCAGAGATACTCCTGGTACAGGCTCGTTCTGGCATTGAGGGTGAAGCGATTGCGTTTGCCTAAAGTGGCTTCGTAGCCAGAAACTACCTCTTCCTTGAATCTATATCCAAGCTCCCACTCCTCAACCGTCTCTCCTCCTACGTTGTAGAATTCGCCGAGGCGGGCCAAAGGGAGGACGGGCAATACTGCGCTGTGTGCCTGTTCGGCAAGCTCGTCCCTCAATGCGAGATGCGCCTCTAAGAAGTAGCTATCCAAGGGAACTTTCGGCCTCAACCGGGGCTCCAGGCTTTGTGAGTGCCACTGTTGAAGCGCCGCTCGCACAGAAACCTGAGCAGAAGGGGCACTCAAATTTGCCAGATCAACCATCGCCTCGGACCAAGCGACGAACGCATTTTGCTGGAGGAACTTGCGGAATAAATCCAGGATAATCTGGTCCGGGTTTGCCAACATGATTAGATGATCCTGCCAGTGGCGGCAAGAGTAATTGTAAAAGTCATTTTGCTGGCTCATGGCCGGTTTCGCCAGTTCTGTACTCACGTCTTCCCCGGGCAACAGATGCTGTTGGAGGAGCCTGGCGGAATGCTGCCAGGTTTGATACAGGCTCTGAGTTAAGGCCGCCAATGTCCTGCGTGCCAGCAACCGATGGCAATCTTGCAAGGAAAAGTGCAAGGCATACTTGCTCGTCCGCCACGGCGAAGACCGGCCCTGCTCCGCGAGAAAGAACTCTTTGACTGTGCTGTGGATGAATTGGATACGTCGGTCAGGAGTAAGCTCGACAAAAGGTCGACACACCCTCGCAATTCTGGTCTCGGCGTTAATCAGTTTTAGTTCATCGTCCAGCTCATGGGTGTCTGGAGAGAAGGCCATGGCCGTCGAGATTTCGGCCGCCGTCATGCTCTCATATGCCCCAACAAGGAGGCGTAGAACATTGTAGCGCAGGTCATGGTCTTCCCGGCTCAAGGACTCTGCAGTTCTTCTCAGAGACGTGTCGAACATCTGGAATAACCCCGGGGGTAACTGGTCCAGGGACTCCCGACACTTTTTCAGATTGGAGGCGTCTCTAACGTGCTTCATCATGAGAACGACCCATAGAAACATACCCCTGCTTTCCTCTAAGCCTTTCTGTAAGATCTTGTCTCGCAGGTCCCCGAGGCCAGCCCTGTCAATTTCACTCTCCAGGAAGAGGCGAATGTCGCCGGCGATAGCTTTCTCGTCCATTGCGATTGCGCGGTCAGTACCAGATACTTTTGCCAGGACGAAATGATGGTTAGTGGAGAGCAGAATAACCCGGCGGTTCTTGCATGAGCCAGAACGACGCAGAAAGCTCGAAAGAGGGTCGTCGCCAGGTGGTTCAATATCTCGGCACTCATCCAATGCATCAACAAGTATAGTGACTCCCGGGAGCAGATCCAAAAGCTGATCCAGAATAGCCAACAGCTGCTGCAGCGTGCATTTACTGGATGGGATCGCCATTAATGCATTTGTATTAGCGAGCACCTGGGCAGCCCCGGGCGCTTCAACAACCTCAGGGATATCCAGGGCTTTGGCGATCAGGGACAAGGCAAAGTTTGACGCCAGCCGAAACCGGAAATCTCCATGGCTACGGAAGAAATGGGCGAAGATGAATTGGTCCTTCATTGTCGAAGCTAGATATTTTGCCATGGTGGACTTTCCACATCCTATACAGGAGGAATATGGCTTGCTTAACCCTGAAGGCTATGTATACTAGTGGGAGTGAGCCTTACCGGGTTTGCCGTGAATCCACAAGCAACCTTCTCCAGGATGCTGTGTCCACTGCTGAAATGCTTCATGTTGGAAGATCCAAGTGCAAGTCCCATCTCGCCGGTCGGAGTTGTTCTGAGCTGTGGCCTGGGGTACATCGAGCCAACGGTGGATTTTATCAACCTCGTATTCTTTCATGAAAAGAAGGAAAGGGGGGAAATCAGCTATGCGACGATGAAGCAGTGGTCGCAGCACTCATACCTATTTTCCTGGCACGCTCCATTGCTGGAATATACGGGTGAGCCTTTACAACATCGCGTTGAGGGGTGGCCGGACTCACCTGCCTGGCTCTCCCGCACGCCTGAAGACGTGTCAGCGTTGGTGGTGGGAGGTGGAAGGATTACCTACGATCAGACTCCAGCCGCTTGACTGCACTTACAGATTAGCCGTCTCGTCATTCGCTGCATTGCGAAAGTGTGGCAGGCATGTGCTGCTGGGTTGGGGCAGACTAACCATTTTCTGCTGCAACACGAAAAATGCGATCCCGGATTTGTTCCCATCGTCGGATGGACAGCTGGACTTTCTCTAGTTCTGACCTGAATGCGCCTAGGGCAGCCTTGAAAAAACGGCGAGTGCGCCGTGATTCGAGATAGGCCCGGACGCGCAGAATCAGCTCGAACACACAGGCATATATCTGTGTGGTTGCCTCGCGCAGCTCCTCGGGGAACAGGCTGAGAGATTTGTGGTAATTTTCGATTTGATGGCCGATAAAGTCAAAAGCCTCGTTTATTTCGTCGGAAGTTTGTTGTTGGGCAACGAGGATCTCAGCCAGCGAGTCAGCAATCGACAGAGAGAATACGGGCTGTAATGCCACGCACCTGGATAATGACCCGGATAGACCCCCAAACCAAGGCGATATTATGCGGGTCATGTTGGACAAAAGCATCTATGGTGGTGCAATACGGTGAAATCAGTCCCGCAAAGTGTTGCAGCCTCGCCCAAAGCCCACCAGAGGCTGTTCTGGCGGTCAGATGTAGGTGACGCTTAACCTCCATCACCAGACTTTCTGGTGTGCAAGCCGGCAGGGATTTGGCCAGGCGCCGCTTGCCCGGATCTCGTGTGGACTGATGCAGAAAAAGCTGCGTGAGTCAGTGACGGTGACACCGTCTCCGCATGATCCCTGGCTTCCTACCTGGATTGCATGATCCCAGCAGAGTTGGTTGATATCAGTGGCCATTATTCGTGCGGGGTTGGGGCTGTATGTATGGCGTTCTTTCAGTTGAATAGGGCGCCACGATCTGGCAAGCAAGGAGGGACAGATCAACGATGGACCAGCGGTGAGGGCGGACTGACAATCACGTCCTACGTTGTACAGGACCGGGCTTATATACACACCCACCCTCTGCCTCGAATCTGGTGTTGAGCCTCGCACGGCTCCTCTGGTTCGATCCCATGTTTGGGCACCTATTATACAGGTTGTTTGCCCGCACTGCTGGCTCTACAGATGGGATGTTAGTATGCATTAACGCCTGAGATGTAATGAACGGCAGCCAGCCAGCCTGTCACGCTTTGCAATTCCCCGGACAAGCGGTGCAACCTCATCTTCCAGTAAGAACTGGGCCTTGTATCGGGGCCAGCAGGACATCCACGTCATTCCTCGGATGACAATGCATGCATGACATTGGCTGCGGCTCTCGATAGACTGAGAAGGGTTATCGAAACGCGGAGAACACCGGATTTCTACTTCTATCACCACTCTTACCACCGAAGGACGATCGCGATCCAAAATGACAGTGAGTTTCCTGGATATCGATCCCTTGCGTCCAACCTGGCTGACTTCCTTGCAGTCTGGCGAGAGTTCACCCCCTACGTCCCCAACGCCCCCAACACCCCCAGATGCCCCAAGACCGCCAGACCCGACTCCAAACTGCACCCATAATTGCGGTCCACTCGAGCAGGCCGGGGTAGACTGGCGCCACTGGACCTGTCGCTGCGGACATGGATATTATACCCCGAACCGAGTATGGATCTCGGGGTCCGACGTGCGCAATGGGCGGCAACCACCAAGAGACCAGCAGCCTGCTGGAGACCGGTAGACAGGCCATGGACTGAAAGTTGGACTATGTCAATGTAGTTTCTCATCCTGCGAGACTTGCGACCTTTGTTGGCATTCACGGTGCCCATTACTACAACCCGGACACCGGACATTGATTACCACGCAAACCGGAATATTTCGCTTCTGAATTGAGTATCTGACCACACGCATTCCACTTTGATCTCTGAATATTCTCAATACACGCTCGCTACCTACTGCCGCCAGATTGGGGAGATTCCCAGCCGAGGGCGACATCCCGTGCCTCTGGCGATGCAGATGCCTGAAATCTTGCCATAGATCGAATTTATATGACTTTATTTGACGTCCCAAGGGACGAGGAAAGGCCGCTTATTCTTGCCATCCAGAAGGCATCCCTTAGCAGGGCACACTTCACTTCAAGAGCTGCTCGTATCATCGGGGCGAATGTTGGTTGGCAATTTCCAAGTCACTATATCCATACGTACAGCATTACTATTATGCCTTATGTGAACATAACTACGGAGGGTCTTGTAGCGACAACCAGTGCCAGAAGACTAGACGCTTATAATTCAAACTGCTGCACTTATCTCTGTATAGCTCGGATTATTGTACCGGAACCCTATTAAATACTGATTTGTTATTGGTCCACTGAATAGCGCAACTCAGTCTCATCCTGCCAGATGGCGTGATTGTAGCTGACCAATTCCTCCCACTGCATCAACTTGGCCTCCTTCTCTCAAATCATAACCCTGTGGGAAATGGACTCCATGCTATCAGCAGAGGAGTTTGGCGATGGATTGCCCGTATTGATCATCCACGGCTGGCAGATGGACGGCAGAGTCGAGCAGCGCGACTTTGAGCCCATCTTCAAGACACGACCAGGACTGCGCCGGATTTACGTGGACCTCCCGGGGATGGGAAAGACACCTGCAAACAATGTCAGAAATCTGGACGAAGTCTACAATCGTCTGGTACAGTTCGTTGATGCTCGACTGGGGAAATCACAGTTCTTGCTTGTTGGCTCCTCCTGTGGCGGCTATCTTGCACGGGCGATTGCTCAGAGATATATAGACCAAGTCGATGGTTTGCTACTACGAGTACCACTGATGGAGCCAGAGGATAGCAGGCGTGATATAGACGCTTTCAAACCTCTGGTAACAAATGAGCAACTCATGTCGACGCTGTCAGCCGAAGAAAGGGAAAGTCTCGGGAATGTTCTCATACACACGCCTGCCTATATCGAGAGTCTAAAGGCAAAGTACACAGAGGCATACAATCCAGCAATAGAGGCATCAGACGACAAAGTTCTCGATCCGATCCGAGCAGATCCACGTCGGTATCAGTTATCCGTTTCCTTGGATAATGAAGACGCCAAGTTCTTCGCACCCACGCTGGTTGTATGTGGCCGGCACGACGAGAGCGTCGGTTATCGAGACAGTCTGCGCTTGCTGGAACTTTATCCACGATCTACGTTTGCTGTCTTGGACCGTGGTACGCATGGTCTTCCTATTGACGAGACTGGTGTGTTCGAAGCCCTTGTGCGTGATTGGATAGCTAGGGTTGATGAATGGAGAAGTCGGATGGACAGATAGCCATATATACGATCAATAGTCTGAATGATTACTACGGTATGTAACAATACTGATACATAAGGAAAGACTGTCCTTTATTCTCCAGATCCAGTGGGATAGAATACATATCCAACTGGTCACTTGTCTGAAGCAGTGCTGAAGAAACGCAACGGAGCGTACTCAGTAAAAATAACAGCATGTATGAGTAGAAACATGTAGGAGTAGATTGCATAATATACTACTGTCAAGGGAAGTCACAGCAGGCAAACGATCCATTGCCACCCAGGCTACACGGATTTCACGAGCTTATGGACCTCCTCCGCAATGGCGAGTACCTTCTCCTCCTCTAGCCTTCTACCAACAACCTGTACACCGACTGGGGTGCCATGGTATAAATCAGGATCATCTACAATAGAAGGTCCACGTCAGCAAGGACAGTAAACGGATTTCGAAATAGGATACATACACTGCTTCCAGATTGCAGAGTCAAAGTCGCCAGACGGGTTGTAGTCGTCGATCCTCGCATCCACCGCCCGGTCCACCTTTGTCACTGGAATCACCGCAGCACTAAAGTCGAGGACATTGTAAACACCCGTGTAGCCAGGGTAGATGCCATCCGAGGGCTTGTGGGAGGCCGTTGGGGTTGCAGGAGCGATAATGGCATCCACGGGCCGGCCGGAGCGAGTCTGGTCGGCCGTCGAGTTCCAATAGCTGAGATAACGGGCCTGATAATCATACTTGGCTCGTTGGTTTGCCCACAGGTCATTCACCGTGCCAACTGGGAGATGGCCCAGGGCCTCTCCGTAGGACACTGACAGCTGGGGAACCGGAGGCTCGCCGCTTTGCTGTAGGGTTTTGTGGATATCGATTCCGCCATCCGCAGCAAAAGCATTCCACTGTATTCATAGTTATGATTAGAAATGGAGCGTGCAAGAAATAGAGAGATACATACCAATATCTGGAACGCCTCCGCATGGGGAGGTGGCGTCCACTCAATCACCTTTTGGCGAGTTAGCATGTGCAGGACGGCCTCTACCCAATGGAACAATGGAACAAACCTCATACCCTGCCGCCTTCAGGGCCTGGACGGTCTCGTTGATTGCTCGAGTTACAGGAGGGTGCGGCTGAATGACACCGTCGGTTCTGAGCACGCCAAAGGTCAGGGTTTTCGAAGCCACACTCTGTCGAACCTCGTCCTCCGTGTCCACACGCCACGGTAAATGGATAACCTTGGGGTCGTGAAGCCAGGGCTGACTAGAGAGAATACTCTGGGTTATTAGTCGAAGGTCCGAAATGGTGTGGCCCATCGGGCCAATAACAGATGGAACAGTATCGTGGCCCTCCATCTTTGCCATTACTCATCAGCCAGCACTCATATATCGTTACGATGAGAGTACGTACGCTGTTCGCCACGTTTAGGTACGGCAGTCTGCCGTGGGACGGCTTCAATCCTGATATGCCTGTGAATGCGCACGGTAAACGGATAGAGGCGCCTGCAGAGAGTCGCGCGCACCGCGTATCTGGTTAGCTCGTATTGGATGCCCAAGAGTTAGAAGACTAACCAACGTCGGAGCCGAGTCCGAGTATGCTTCCCCGTAAGCTCAAAAGAGCTGCCTCGCCTAATTCAATGTTAGCCAATGCAGAGCCCTGGATAGCCATCACGTACCACCAGAGGAACCGCCCGAGGAGAGCAGTCGGTTGTGGGGGTTCGTGGTGTAGCCAACAATGTTATTGTTGGTCTCAATGCACTATTGCAAGTGTAAGCATCTGTCTCCAGGGCTCCATCAAATCTATTAACTTACCATTAGACTGGTCGGAACATTGGTTTTGGCGAAAACAATTGCGCCCATGTCCTTCAGTGCCTTCACCACCCACGACTCAGTTTCCTCAGTCTCGACCTTGCCCAGCCATGCGACATATCCTACTGATGTTTCCGCATCCTTTACGCGGAACTGATCTTTCAGAGAGATCGGCAAGCCATGGAGGGGCCCAACAGGCTTCCCATTGACGCGGAGATACTCGTCAAGTTCCTGCGCGCGAGCCAATGCCTGCGAGAATAGGACCTCACTGAGACAGTTGACCTGCCATTATAGTCAGCTAACACGCTTACATCTGGTGAGGGTTCTGTGGACTTACCAGCTGATGGGCAATGGTAGCACGGTGGCAGAAGGCCCTGGTCACATCTGTAGCGGACAAGGCGCCGGTGGCTAGCTTGTCGACCAAGGCCGCTGCCGAGTGATTCTCAGTGATATCCAGCTCACTCGTCGAAAGGAACTGCTGAATATACTGTGTTACGTCCTTTTGTTCCTCGGCAGACGGGACATGTTTAAGACGAAAGTCCGCGGGCAAAAGGGCATCTAGGGTATCTCGCTTGCGCTGGGTGATGGACTGCCAGGAGTTTGTATCCGCCATATTGAAAGCCTGTCTGTTCTAATCAAATCGAGTGAAAGTAAAAGGACGAGGAGAGAAAAGTGAAAGAGGGATGGGTCTGATCGATGATCATTCCTCTTGCCCTTTCTGACAGCACTTTTATACTCGTCACGTAGCTGATCCACGACACTGAGCAGCCAGTCTTATTGTTTGCTAACAATAGCTCATTAGCCATCTCATACCCATCGCCAGTCGAAATGACGATCCGCGAGGCCAGTGTGTTATGAAGGACCCTTGTCCCGAGGGTCGTCAACTGCAAAATTACCATATCGTCTGGGTAAACTGCAAAACGAAAAGGCCCACAAGGATCGTGGCACGGATGCGAAGCAACGGATAATGTCCGCTGTGGCAAAGCTTAGGATAGCCATTCTGACGGGCTAGAATAGCATTATTGCGACATTTGGTCCATCGTGGGTGCAATTCTTCATGATCTCGTATACTCCACAGGGCTAAAAATAAGGGAAACCTTCACATCCCGCGGATCAACGGAAGTAAGAGATGATTGTACTTCTGCAGCGATATCTTGCATGTGAAAAGTCCACTCTCGCTTAACCTATCCCCAGATCTAATTGTCTCGCGTGGATGTCTCCATGCTTCATAGTTCCTGTCGCCACCATTGCATTCGGCGAACTTTCCTAGGTCGAGCACATGGGTGGATGTTACGGATGAACTGCTACCGATTGCGACATGTCTACTTCATACGAGCAAAACTAATGATGACAGATGGCCAATGTCTAGGGTTGGATGTAACACGCGCAGTGGCTTGGAAGGGCTAGATTGACATCGAAGCTCGAATTGGCAGCTTCCATGCGGAACGTGGGTGGGGAAAAAAAAAAGGAAATCTGTATGGATATGCTGCTAGAGGTTCGTGTTCTTCCAGCTTGCCCTTCGTTGGACTCTCAGGGAGAACCTATCCAAAGGGAGGTGAGTACTCGTAGTAGGCGGCCTCAAGGGCGAGAAGTAAACAGCCATTGCAATAAAACATAGGACGTGTATTCAGTTCTATTCTTCTATATTAACCAAACAGCACCGTGTATTATACCTGGATGGCCAGTACTGAGACTGGCCATTGTTTTCCCTAATCATCACTTCTACGAACGTTTTTTATACCTGCTTATGCAGCCCCAAACAGATGTCGATACTCGGCGAGCCTAAGCCTTTACGAGAATGGCAGAGTTCTTTGATATCCTGGCGACAACAATGGCAACCCCAGCCACCACAACAGATGACGCGCAGAACAGCTGCACTCCAAGCCAGCTGCCAGAGTGCAGGATTGCACCAGCAACGGGTGTTCCCACCAGTAGACCGAGACCAGCAAAGCAGAAGTTCATGCCCATTCGTGTTCCGACGACGCTGAGACTGGGCGACAGACTGACAACAGTGGTCGGGGGCAGGGAAACGAAGGTGCCAGAAAAGAAACCGTATAGGACACAGAAGACGATAATGCCCGCGGTGCTGTCGATCGCAATCCAGCAGTAGGCTAGCAGCGCGGAGATGAAGGAGCAAGGGAGTAGCATGTTCAGAGGCCCAGTCTTGTCAGCCAGGAAGTTGGGGATAATTCGACCAAACGCAGAGCCGGCATTCATGATAGGGAGCATGTAGAAAGCCAAGGATGCGGACATTGGCGTCTTGTTTGTGGCGTATGTCTCGATGTAGAAGAAGGGGATGTAGAGGCCCATGAAGCCGAAGAACTCCCCGACGCTGAACATGGTAAAGGGAATCTCGCGGAAGGCCTGGAGTTCAAATAGACGACGCTTCTGCGGAGGGAGAACGCGCACGCGCATGACGGCCATGCAGATGAGAAGCATTCCCAGCATGAGGAAGGCGATGACCCGGGTCGCCCATCCAAAGCCGATTTGAGGCTCGAGGCGGACGAAGATGATAGGGTAGATAATGCCGCCCAGACTGCTTCCAGACGCCGCAATGCCCGTGGCGAAGGACTTCTTCGTTGTAAAGTAGGTGGACACGATGGCCACGCTGGGAACGAAGAGGCACCCGCTGCCCAAACCGACGCAGACACCCTGAGCAAGCATCACCTGCCAGTACTCCGTACACAGGCTGGTCATGAACATGCCAAAGCAGACAAGGAATGAACCGGCTGTCAGGAGAACATAGAAGTAGCCAATGTCGAACAACGGCCCCGTGGCGACACCGATTATGAGGAGGAGACACGCCTGGAGTGAACCAACCCATGAGATGTCCGAGTCAGACACATCTCTCAACAGGGTAGACTTGTAGTAATGCTGATAAACGCCAAATGTGTTGACCACACCCCTGGCTTGCCAGTCAGTAACCGAAGGCCAAAACAGATAGAAGGAAAGCAAGAGAACTGACCAGGTGTTGAGGAAGAGAAGAAACGAGCCCAGAACCTGCAACCAGGCCTTGAGTCCGCCGTTGGGAATCTCGCTGGCTGGGTCAGGCTTTGCAGGAGCAGGTTGAGTCTCTGGCTCAGGGACGCCGTTTGGGTGCGCCTCCTTGGCCTCGATATCCTGTGAAGACATCCTGTTGGTGTGTTAGGGTTGGTGTACGAGACAGAGGACCAAGATCGAGCAAGTCAGCGAAGCGTCTCGAGACCTTGGAATCCAGAACTGGTCTTTTCTTCTACCTGGGAGCTGCACAAGGCAATATTAATTTCAGAGACAGGGCATGCAAGAAACAAAACCCATTTGTCAGCCGGTATGATCGTTAAAGACGCAACAGGGTCTGAGTTAGCACCCGGCGACGAGGATCCACAGGCTTAGCCTGCTTATGCAGTCCTAGACTCGCCTTGTTTTGGCTTCTGCGCCTCGGTGGTTGCATCGCATATCAGACTAGCTGGCCAGGCCCTGTAAGTGGGCCGATCTGAACGGGGGTGTTGATCGTGTAGATTGATGGCTGCTCCACCAACGCCAACACACAGCTTGTATTTCTAAGCGAAAAGTACGTACGACTGTGGATCGCATCCATGAAACACAAGGTCCAGTTTTGACACTTCGGCATCGCCCGCTCGGTTGCAAGATGGCCAGAACGGCCCCATCGGGGTGGAATATTCCCACAGCGCGCTGGAGGGAACTGAATGCCGATGCGAATTGCACAAGCAACGGATATAAAACGCCCCCTGAATTCATTGATCTCACCCAATTGGCTCTCTACCTTATCCTTCCAGCCTCTGACTCTTGAAATCAATATCCCCAAAGATGTCTCGACAGACTCTTACCTTTCGACAACACTCGTCTGAACCGGCCAAGGTTGCTCGCTTACACCAGGAGAATGGCCAAAGCCACGAAGATCAGCTGGGCCCCGAGGACGTTCACATCCGCTTCCTGGCGGCGCCCATCAACCCGCAGGACCTGATGGTGGTCGCTGGCAAGTATCCGGTGCAGCCCGAGCATCGTCACGCAGGCGAGCCGATTCCAGGCTACGATGGCGTCGCTCGTATTGAGCGGGTCGGATCGGCCGTCAGCGTCCTCGCGCCGGGCAATCACGTCGTCCCTCGCGCTCACGGGCTGGGGACATGGCGCTCCCATGCGACGGTGCCTGCGCCGTCTCTGCTTCGCGTGTCGGCCACGCTCGACCCCATTGCTGCTTCTCTGCTGAAGATGGGCTGCGGGCCTGCGTATCTGCTGCTGAATAGCGGCGCCCGCGAGCTCCGCCCGGGCGACTGGGTCGTGCTCAATGCCGCCACAGGCGTGATTGCGCAAATGACAATTCAATTCGCTAAGCTACGCGGGTGCCATACTATCAGCGTCATCCGCGACCGGGATGATGTGGACTCGGCTCGACAACAGTTACGAGCCCTGGGTGCCGACACCGTGGTGACCGAGTCCGAGCTGGCTGCCCCTGGTGCGGTTGCCTCGTTGGCCGAGGGCAAGAGGATTAAACTGGCTCTTGACGCCGTGTTTGGCGAGTCTGGCGAACGTCTGGCGGCGTTGCTCAGTCCTGGCGCCACCTACGTGAACTACGGCTCCCTGGGAGGTGCCGTGGGCGCGTCCATCCCCCTCACGCAGGAGCTGCTGTTCTGGAAGCAGATTACGTTCAAAAACTTCCGGCTGTCACAGGCACTGTCGCAATACTCTGAGCCGGAACAGGAGGACCTGCTTGGGTATTTTGCGGATCTCTTCGAGAAAGGCTCGCTGCAGACGCCCGCCGTGGACCGTGTGGCGTGGGAAGCGGGCCCCCGTCTGGAGGAAGTTGTGTTGCAGGCGTTGGACGACGCATCAGGTCAATCGAAGCGATGCGTGGGAGCGAGGAAGAAAGTCTTTCACTTTTCCTAAACCGGCATGTATTTTCCTGCAGAGTTGTGATACTTTTCGGGGGCGTGCTGGGAATACGAGGTGATCGTCCACGAGGGATTGATGGCGTTGCTTGTGTACATCCTTTAATTCGCTTGTTGCTCGCTAAATAAAGCTTAAGCAGTCCTTCCTATAACACCTTAGCTAAATGAAATCAGATCCAAAGATTGGAGGGGCTAGTGAGCGAGTCGCGCAATCCGTATTGATGTCTGGTTAGGGCTCAATTAGGAAGTGGTGGGTCCCCAGGACGATGCTACAGCAAGAAAGATACACATGAACTGAAGGTGGAATCACGTAAAGAAGAGCTGAGTTGTGGCATTTCAGAGGAGACTAATATCTAACTTCAAGCCAATAGATCTTCCACCAGCTTAGTCTGTATACTGATTCTCCTTTTCGATAGCCGGTCCATTGTACTTGCGCAGAATATCCAACAGTCCAGGGATGGGCTCGTCAAAGTCGATCTTGCAACTATTCATAGTCCGCGCCAGAAAAGCATAGATGCTCTGAATGAAGAACAGCTCCATAAGACCCGTGTCGCCGAAAACCTCCTTAGCCCGACGGACCTTTTCCTCAGGCACGCGGTCCTTCAGGCACAGGTCCTCCACGATGGAACTTATAAGGCGCTGGCGGTCTGTAAAGAGATCGGGAGAAGATAAATCGCCACTGCGGAGGTGCTTCAGGTGCTCGTCCGTGAAGCCAAAGACGCGGCCGACGGGCTCATTCACGTCCCATTCGTACGGTGCATCCAGTGTAGCCGCGGTTCGCAGGACAATGGTTTGCCAGTCTCGAGAGCGCAAGGTGCGCTCTGGCGACCATGAACAGGTCAATAGCTTCATAAAGGTGGGAAAGAAGGCGGGCGCATTGGCAGTCAGCTGGAGAAGTCAGTCCAACGTGGTCAATGAAGAGAGCTAGGGATAGCACGTACTTTGAAGATGTTACGCTCAAAGGGTAAAGTCTTGAGAGCTGCTTGAACATCGCCTTCGGCGGTGCTTGAATCAACGTAGGGGACGATGTGCTCGTTGGTGACCTCGCGATTGTCCCAGGATGCCATGATGAGAAGTCAGACCGATTGAAGTATTGATCCAATAACAAGTTTGAATGTAGAGGTGAAGCTGTCGAAGCAGATGATATAACTCTAGAGATGTGGGAAGTGTCCGATATGAGGGAGATGAGCTACATATAAGAAATCGGCTCCAGGCCCCTATTGCCAAATGTCGTGTCATACAATGAGATAATTACAACGATATGCTTCGCACAATACCCTCTGGATTGTGCAACAATCTATAAATAGAGTACTGGCTTGACCAGTAAGTATGCAGTAGAGGCCATGTGCGGCCATAGCGGCGAACCCTTGAAGCGGCATCCCACGCCTGCCCCCTCTTTGCAACTTGTATTTTTCAATTCTACCCGGCTGTACGGAGACTAGTTTGTGCCTGGTTATGCAGGGATCTCTTCTCCATAAGGCGAACTCTGCAGGCCGAAGGTTTGCCGTGCCTTGCTCGGGGACCATGGACCCACCATGCAAGGTCTATGGACAACAAACGACCATTATGGCCCTTCGTTAAAGAAATATGGTGTAAAAGAAACAGTGATGCAGAACAAGACCAGCTTCAGATCTCGTATTCGCGATATCGCTGTTGCATTAGTTGTTTCATTTCAATTTGCCGCAGTGGACACAGACGTTGACTCTATACGTGAGCATGGTACCAGTCGCAGGCCATGGCTCGACCATTCGCCATACCATGCTACATCAATGCCTTATTGAGAGGCCTCAATGGCATATGGTTACATTGAAGCCGCAGTCATATTCCGCGGACACTCAAGATCAACATTGGGCTGGGCCAACGCAGCCATGTGCTTTCCTTATGCCCGAGAGCTGGAGAGTGGAAATTACGCTAGCTATATCTGCAATATCAAGTAGAGCACTTTTGGTAGCACTTTTATAGCACTGTCCGAGCGCAGCCAACATACACGCTGTACTGTGGTGCCATGCCAACCTGTTGTTGCTGATAATGGCTATAAAAATTGTCCAAACTGACTGGGAAATGGCCGTAGCACCGTTCCTCACATGAAGCGTATTAACGGACGTAGTAGAATACCTACGCAGCATTGACCACATAGTCTCTTCAGTATATGGTTGTGTCATTGCAGGTCAATATGACATGGAACTCGCTCCGAATCAAAAGCAGTTAACGTCAACAAGCCACCATATGAAAACTTGATTCGCATATGTTGCCCGTCACGGAAGTTGCAAATACCACGCCCATTCGAGGATGTAACTGTGTATCCCTCTCTCATTATCACCTCTCCCCGACTACTCGTTTGCTTTTACCTTAATAGTCTTTCTACATTTTTATTTACTATTTTAGTACCATTATATACAGTTCCACCGGCTACCCAGGTACCACATGGGACGGCAGAAGAGATAAAGAAGAAGAAATGTAAAAATAAAAACTAAACAGTAAAAATAAACCAGCCAATAAGAGAACAGGAAAGGCCATGCGTATTAAACCAGAATGCCTCCAGAAACAGTCACTCCTGACCCACCTGGGTGTAAACGAGCAATCGCCAGGATAGAGCCAAACACTGGCTAAGAGGAGAGTAATGGTCTTGGAAGCCTCGAAGGGCCTATAGGAGATAGACTAGCCCTGGTATTTCTTGTTGGCTATCAGAGAAATGAATGGGATTAGCAGCTGAACCTATATAAATGAGCATGCCTGCACTGTGTGAATGAAATATTTGTCTCATCCAAGTCGATAAACTGGGCAGTCTGGTTCCAAGCCCTAGTATTGTTCACTTTGGCCGATGCCCATTCTCTCTTCCTTTCTCTTCTTTCCCTCTTCTTTGTCTGCCGCCTGCATCCTCAAGTAATATACAATGGCAGCCATAGAGCATAGAAATATAGACCTGTGGTCGACAGATCCGTTTCGTCAGGTGGAATTCCTCAACGAACCGCAGGACAACTACTTCGAAGACGCAATCTCCGCCGCTGATGATGTCGAGACAGAAATACCTGCTTCTCGAGCCCAGGTCCAGATCCTCCAAGACGATACACTGCAATGGTGTCAAATCAGCCTCGTGCTTCCACGAAGCCCACCGCCCACTCTTGACCAGATCCAATGGACTTGGAAGGCTCTTACCTCCCATCGTATGTGGCCTGATCATTCTGATACTTGGACAGTTAACTGAAGTCAACAGATGCGTGCCTGCGGACTGTGCTCCATGTCGATACACAGTCAGGGAACGTCTACCAGCGCGTTCTTCTGCGAGGCTCCCAGGTCGAAGCGATAGAGGATCCCACCTGGACTCCACAGTCATCTGTTCCTTCAACTCCAGGAGTGTGTGGAATGCTCACTGGCGACCAGGCACGATTGACAGTGTATCGGTACCCCTTATCGCCGCACCATCGGGTGACGCTTCATGTGCACCGTGCTATGGTGGATAGTAGCTCGCTTAGCCTTATCAAACGCGACTTCGCTTTGTTATACTGTGGACTGCCCCTACCAGAGCGCACCCCTCTGACATACTACTTAAAGCAGCACCTGGAGTCCAAGGATGAAGCTATCAGCCGGGCCTTCTGGAGTCAAACCCTGAACGATATCCCCGCTGGTACGCATTATGCTGCGCTTTCACCTAATGCTGGCAGCCGGCGGGCTACCATTTCGATGACATTAGGCGAGAACTGTGCTACAGGACTAGCACGATTGGAAGTGGAATGTGGGTGGCCCCGTCTTCTCCTTTTTGAAGCCCTGTGGGCAACCGTCCTTCACTATCACTCTGGCTCTCGCGATGTCATTTTCGCTGGAGTTCGCCGGGATGCTGGCTTTCCTGGCGTGGACACATGCGTTGGCTTCCTGGACCAGACGTATCCAGTCTGCGTCTCAGTGGAACCAAATGAGACGTTCAGCAAGCTGTTCACCAAGCTGTGCGATTACCATGCATCCGCTTCGTCTCACGCATACCTTGGTTATAAAGAGATCACCAGAGGCCTGCCTAAGCCTGTCAACACTGTGATCACATACTCGCCCGGCCTTAACGGTCCTACAACGGCTGGGCAGCTTATGGGATTTCCTATGGCGGTATTCATCACTGGCACTACCCCGGTACAGATTACCTGCTGTTACAGCAGTGAGATCCCCAGTGCCGACGCTGAGGTTGTGTTGCAGCACTTTGCCCAAGCCATATCCAGCGCCGTCCGAAAATTCTATCTCCCTCACTCCCTCGTCGGCCACATCGAATTGGCCTCTGAGGAAGAGAAGATGAGCCTCATCCGTGGTGCAATGCAGACATCTCGAACGGGGCATCGACCATATTCTACCATCGTCGAGCTTTTCGAACAACAAGCTTCACGGATACCGGATTCGGATGCAGTGCAGTTCGAGGACGAAAAAGCCATCACATTTGGCGAGTTGGACGTCCAGGCCAACCAGCTCGCTCGACTTCTGGGGTTGGTACGCGGCGAAATAATTGCTGTCTTGATCGACCGCTCAACCACTCTAATAGTGACGATATTGGCTATTCTCAAGGCCGGGGCTGCATACACAATCCTTGATCCCGATGGTTCAGTGGACCGTAATCGTCAGATTGTTGAGAGCTGTGACGCGCCGCTGGTGCTGGCCAATCGTGTCTATTGTGGTAGCATGCCCAAGGCGCAGCCTATCGAGGATTGTCTTTATAACTCGACAACCCTGGATGGATCGAAGCTCGCGCTGGATCTGCAGCCAGAGGAGCGTTGCTACGTTATTTATACATCTGGATCTACCGGCGTCCCAAAGGGCGTTGTTATATCCCACGGAGCTGCAGCGACTGGCATGCAGTATCATTCCCTGAATGGGCTTCAACGATGGCTTCTCTTTTATAGCCCTACCTTCTCTGCGGCCCAGCGAACCATGTTGTCTACTCTCATTCACGGCGGCACGCTGCTCCTTTGCAGCAAACAGAAACTCATGACTTCACTTGCAGTGGTGTTAAACCAGATGCGAGTGGAAGCCCTTGGGATTACGCCGTCCGCCCTATCCATCCTCGAGCCGAAACAAATCCCAGATGTCAAGCAGATCACCCTGGTTGGAGAAAGGATACCCCATGAACTCGTTGATATCTGGTCGGACAAGGTGCATTTGCGCAATACCTACGGCCTCAGCGAGTGCACCCAACTGAACTTCAGCAACACGCTAAATGCCGGAGGCAACCCAAGGATTCTAGGACGCCCGCTGGATACAACGCAAGCATACGTACTGCAACCCAGCACAACGGACCTATCCCCCATTGGTGTGATGGGCGAGCTCTGCCTGGCCGGACCACAGCTCGCCTCGGGCTATCTCAAGGACATTGAGCAGACGGACAGGGTCTTTATCCCGAATCCATTCGGCACTGGAAGGCTTTACCGCACGGGAGACGTGGCTCGCGCTCTAGCTGATGGCTCGTTCGAGATTATCGGCCGCATCGACTTCCAAGTCAAGATCAACGGCCAGAAGGTGAACCCAGCTGAGATCGATGCCGCGCTCGTTCAGCACGACGATGTCGTCAGCTGCGCAACAGTCGCGCTCACCCACTCCGGTGGACTGCGCCTGGTATCCGCCATCGTCCTGAAACCTGGATCATCGTGGTCTGCTGTGCTCCCATCGTTGCGGCAGCATGCCTCGAAGGCACTCCCGAGCTACATGGTACCTTCGTTCTGGATGCCGTTGGACGCGCTGCCCATGACGAGTAATGGCAAAACGGACATCAAGAAACTAGAAAGAATGGCTGAAGAGCTAGGCGTCGCAGGCTTCGCACAACTGGACGCGGCTGACCAGGGATCGAACAGCAGGCTTCTGGACGAAGTCGAGGTTAAGATCGCGGGCGTATGGTCTCAAGTTCTGGGGGTTCCTTTATCGGCAATCGGACTCACTCATTCCTTTGTGAGACTCGGTGGCAGTTCAGTGGATGCCATCAAGGCCATCTGGGAGCTGCGTAAACGCTTCCTGGTTCTGGAACTGACCACTCTGCTCGACGACACTTCCCTAGAGGAGGCAGCAGCTCTTGCGAATCATCAGGACAGTGAGGCTGCAGGCGATGATCCAGATCCTTTCTCACTCATCGACGAATCCCATGAGCTAGTTAAACAGGGAAGTGCTGTTGACGCTTACCCAGCAACGCCCGTGCAGGAAAGCATCCTGGCAGCATCGCTGCAGCTGGACGACGACCACTATGCGTATCAGCGGGTCTGGGATGTGTCTGGGCTGGACAAGGGGCAGCTTCGCACAAGTTTCGAGACTGTATTTGCCAGAAGCGACATTCTGCGGACATCATTCACACCGCGTAAGCGTGGATTCATGCAGCTTCTGCGCGCGGACTTGGCCCTGCCCTGGGTAGAGCTGGACCAGGAACTTGATGCGTATCTTGCCGCGGACAAAAAGCAAAGACTCTCGATATCCGGGCCCATGGTCCGCATTGCCCTTCTCTCTGAAAGGTTCCTGGTAGTCACCATGCACCATGCGCTGTTTGACTTTTGGTCGCATCGATTCCTGTACGACGACGTTGCTGCCGTCTACCGTGGGATGACTCTGCTGCCCAGACCCCCGTTCAAGCGTTTTGTCAAACACATAGAAGGGCTGGATAGGAGCCAGAATGACGGGTTCTGGAAGAGCTATCTGTCCAACGTTGAACCTACGCAGCTTAACACCGCTCCCGTGGAGGAGACCAGCACGCTCTCGCAGACTCTACCATTTGACCTGCGCAAGGCATTGCAGCCCCATGGTATCTCAGCCGCTACGGCAATTTATACCGCATGGGCCCTGGTTCTTTCCAAAAGGACGGGCAGCCAGGATGTATTGTTTGCGACGACACTCTCTGGCCGCGAGACAGCCGTGCTGGACGTGGACCGACTTGACGGGCCGACACTCACACTGGCGCCGCAACGAGTATCCGTGAGCCCAGAGGACTCGCTGCTGGGCCTGATGCGCAGTGTTGGCAAGGGACTGCTGCAAGTCATCCGATACAGTCCGCATGGCATGAGAAATGCCCTCGCGGCCGCGCAGCTCCGTCCGGACTGTATGGACACGATGGTCAACATCCTCATATCTCCCGATGACCAAAACAGCGAAACAGAACAGGTTTTCCGACCTGTTGGCCCACGGCCGGTGTGGCAGTCTGAATTCACCACTCTCGAAATCACGGACGTCGGAGGCCAGACCAGCGTGATGCTGACGGGGAAGATGGAGCAGCGACATGCGCAGTTCGTCCTCGATTCATTCTGTCATACCATCGAGGCCATTGCCCAACATCCGGGTCAGGCTGTCGAGACACTCGCCGTGATGGGCGACAGTGAACGAGACTTCTTGTCCAACGATCTATCGAACCGGGCGACACTTCATATCCCGACACAAGAGCTGTTGCACGCTGCCTTCGAAAGACACGCCGTTCAATCGCCGGACGCCATTGCCATTGACTGGGATGGAGAGAAACAGGTTACATATGCGCAGCTTGACCGAATGGCGAACCAGATGGCGCATCTGCTCACGCAGGGCTTCCATGTCGCGGTCGGTGATATCGTGCCCTTGATGCTGGACAAGTCCATCAACACCGTAGTCGCTCTTCTCGGTGTGATGAAGGCTGGTGCAGCGTATGTGCCACTGAGTCCTGATAACCCGTCAGATCGTAATTCCTTTATCATCAACGAGGTCCAGGCCAAAATGATCATTACCGAGACCCAGCACTCGGCGACGATCGGGGTAGACGGCATCACGCGGCTGTATGTCGACGAGGTACAGCTGGCCGACTTCCCATTTGATCGCCCCAACATCGACATCTCCCCCGACTGTCTTGCATATTTGATATACACATCCGGCAGCACAGGTATGCCCAAAGGCGTCAAGGTCCCTCATCGAGCCGCAGCAGCAGCCGTTGTGAGCATGGCCCATGTCGAGGGTCGCCACCACGGGGAATGGCGGACACTGCAGTTCGCCAACTACGTGTTCGATGCATCAGTGCAGGACTTTTTCAACACGCTCAGCACCGCAGGGACGCTGTGCATGGGCCCAACAGACAAGGTGCAGTCCGACCTACCGGGTGCCATCCAGACCATGGCGGCGCGCCAGTCAATCCTCACTCCGACAGTGGCCCAGCTCCTCAATCCTGAGGATGTGCCTGGATTGGAGACTCTGATCGTCGGAGGTGAGCCCCTGACCAAAGCCGTCATCGAGAAGTGGCTCCCATATTCGCGGATCCTGAATGTTTACGGGCCTACCGAGACGTCAATGGTGGTTTCGACCAAGGCTGTCACCACCGCGGAACGGCCTAATAATATCGGTGCACCGTTTCCAACGGTAATGGCATTTATTCTACAGCCCGATGGACTTGACCTTGTGCCGTATGGAGCTCCTGGAGAGCTGTGCATTGCAGGCCCGCAAGTCACAGACGGATACCTGGCTCGAGATGAGCTTACTGATTCTGTTTTTCTACGCAACGAGCTGTTGAAAGGTATGTCCTTCGTTTCCTTCGTTTTTCAAAATTCATCTATTTTGCTTTTATTTTTTTTATGCTAATTCTTTAGTGGACCGGATGTATCGCACCGGGGACCTGGCCCGTTGGCTCCCCGGGGGTGAAATCGAGTGTCTGGGCCGCAAGGACAACCAGGTCAAGATCCACGGGCACCGGATCGAACTGGGAGAAATCGAGCAAGCCATTCTACAGGCTGGGATGGTGCAGAACACAGTGGTAATCCCATTGAAAGTGAATGGGAAACCGCAGCTGGGGGCCTTCTGCATCTTCAAACCGTCCCAGTCCACCGAAATCCAAAATGCTGCGCAATACCGCGACTTGATCAGCCAGCTCCGGGGCCAGCTGACAATGCTGCCTTCATACATGATTCCAAAATATGCTTTCCCCCTGGGGGATCTACCCAAGCTGCCGTCGCGGAAAACAGACCGCAAAGCCCTAAAAGCACAGGTGGAGGCAATGGACGCCCTGCAGCTGAACCAATACAGCCTCGAGTGCGAAGTGACCAGCCACGAGGTTAGTCCGGTTGAGACAGATGCAGAGATTGCATTGGAGGAGCTGTGGTCCAAGGTGCTTGCCGTTGCTCCCGAGAGTATAGGTAAAAGGGCCAATTTCCTGGCGCTTGGTGGTGACTCTATCGCGGCCATTAGTCTGGCCAGTCTGGCTCGCGGAGCGGGCTACACCCTCAGCGTGAAGAATATCTTGAAGGCTCCGAGATTGGACGCAATGGCCATCACTATGCAAACGGCTGATTCTCCAGCTACTACTGTACTGAGGGTGTTTGAGACCCCCTTGTCCGTGACCCAGGCTGTGCAGGAGGCTGAACTACGCTCCGATGACGTTGACTACGGTGAGTACAGAATACAATTTCTATCTGAGATGGAGGAATATGTACTAAGCTCTACTAGTATATCCTGCGCCCCCCGGCCAAGTCGAGTTTCTAGAGCAGGGCCACCGGCCAGAGCAGATGTGGGTGCTCATGGCAGCCCGCCGGATGCCGGTTGATTTCGACCACGCCAGCTGGGTTAACGCCACGACCAAGATGACACAGCTGGATGATATCCTTCGTACATCGTGGCTCCGAGTCTCCAATGTCGAATGGTACGGGGTCGTGCTGAAGCAGGCTTCTCCCAACATCGTTGTCGCTCCCTGTGGAGACGACGGGGAACGGGAGCAGTTCCTCGAACGGTTCTGGGAACAGAGATTCGCATTCGGAGAACCATTTATCAAATATGCAATCCTTACATACCCAGACCAGACCTGTGAAGTCGTGATCAAGATGGATCACGCCGTGTACGACGGCACCCTCCTCCGCATTTTCGACGACCATTTCTCTGCCCTCAGTCGCGGAGTTCAGGTCCCAGAGCACGGCCAGTTCCGTGACTTTGCTTTCAGCATGTACCAGTCGGACCGAGAGACAACGAGAGATTTCTGGAAAAAGACACTAGCTGGCAAATGCAACCGCTTCCCAGAATGCGAGACGCCCAGGATCACAGCCTCGATCAAAAAGCTCATCTCGACTGACTTGGACACTATAGCCCGCGCGACAGGAGTTACCATCCCCATTGTCTTCCAGGCCGCATATCAACTATGGCTCAGCCAAACCACTGGAACGCCGGATGTGAGCTTTGACTACCTGCTTAGCGGACGCAACGTCGACTTGGGCGCGATCGACCCGCAGACAGTCAACGGTACGCTTGCCAACTTCCTGCCGGTGCGTAGCCTTGTATCGCCATCGATTACGCTCGATGATTACCTGCAAGAGACACAGGACATGTTCTGGGCGATAACGGAGAACGGCAACATTGGGCTGGACGAGATCTACTCGGCGGCAGGCGTCTCACGGCACGCAGCGGGGAACCGATCGTTGTTCCTTTTCCAGCCTTTTGAGCCCAGCACCAAGAGCACCAGCGAGAGCGAGAATCTCCGCTGGCTGGTCATGGCCAAGTCTCAGGTTCGCATGTTCCAGCCGTACGGCCTGGTTGTTGAGGTTGCGAGGGCACTTGACAGCCAGCATCGATTAACAGTCATGTACGACCAGGAGGTGTTTAACGCGGACCAGGCCACCAATATTGCGGAGCATATCATGTACGTTGTGGAGATAATTGCGGAGTATGCAAATAATCCCCGGATCAGCCTGCAGAAAGTTCTTCACGCGTCCAGCCAGAGGTAGTTGGCTTTGCACTGTCGTGTGTGAAAATTAGGGAAATGGGGTTCATGCTTTTTATTTCTTCCATTTATATACTTCCGTTTTCGAGTTTATAATTAGTAGATACTATTCATAACACTAATTCTAGTCTAGTAGTTCGCTAACAAGCGCGCTAAACCATGAATATATCGATCATCGGAAAGCATTCGGCTACGAGGCACTATGACGTTGTGCCTGCATTCAGGCTGATATACTTATTGACGGATAAATAAGTGCCCAGAATTCCTCCAGCGGGGTCAATTGCCGGACAGTCACTATTAGATATTCCGAGGCTCTACGCAGTGACATAAATAGCTCCTTGATCAGCAATGTCCTGCGAGAAGTAACCTACACCATGTTAGTGACCTCCATCCCGGCCCTGCTTCTGTCCATAGCAGTCACAGCCGCTGCCACATCTCCAGAGAACTCGACCTTTACCAATCCCATATTGCCAGGCTTCCATCCCGACCCCAGCTGCATCTTTGTGCCAGAATGGGACGACACGTTCTTTTGTGCGACGTCCAGTTTCCAGGCCTTCCCTGGAATTCCAATCCACGCCAGCAAGGACCTGCAGAATTGGAAGCTCGTTGGAAATGTTCTTAACCGACCTAGTCAGCTTCCAGATCTTGCAAAAGTCGATAGTGCAACGGGGTAGGACACCCTACTCCAGCGAAGATCGAGGGCTGACTAGAAAAACAGAGGACTTTGGGCACCGACTCTGCGATACGAGAATGGGACCTTCTGGGTAGTCACCACGCTGGTGTTTGATAATTTCGCTGCGAACGACTCCTCGAGATGGGATAACGTACGCACGCAAAACAAGGCTCCTCAGACTTTTTACTGATGCTACTCAGATCATATTCAAGGGAGAGGATCCTTACGATGAAGCCTCATGGTCGGAAGCCGTGCATTTCGATTTCAATGGATACGACACGTCCCCCTTCTGGGACACCGACGGGCAAGCGTATATGGTTGGATCCCATGCCTACAAAGTATAGTGAGTAGTCCAGTCCTAGACCTTCAGCTCGAAGTCTAACTTGATCCCAGCCCAGCCCTCCAGCTTGCGAAGATAAACCTCGAAACAGGAGAAACCGGGGATTGGAAGACTCTCTGGTCGGGGACTGGGGGAATGGTATGTACGATATCCTGCCGACTTTAACTGTACTCATGAAGTGTCAGGCACCCGAAGCCCCTCATATTTATCGCAAGGACGGCATCTACTATCTGCTGATTGCAGAGGGTGAGTACCTGCACTGGTGAAATCTTACTGAGTCTAACCTTATGTCAGGGGGAACTGGCGAAGGCCACATGGTAACAATTGCCCGATCGACAGAGAGTATATGGGGACCGTATGATGCCAGCCCAAAGAACCCGTTCTTAACGGCGGCAAATACGACGAACTTTTGTAGGTTGCCTACTGTTCTTGGAGAATTAATGCTTACATGTCCAAAGTCCAGACTGTCGGCCATGCAGACCTGTTTCAGGATGCAGGGGATAACTGGTATGGAAGCCCCGGTACAAGACAGCACTGATCTGTAGTTAATATGCGTTCTAGGTGGGCGGTCGCGTTATCAACAAGACAGGACCCTGCACTTCCCTATCATCCCATGGGACGCGAATCCGTTCTTACCCCGGTAACATGGAACCAGGGAGAGTGGCCGGTATTCGACGCGGTTGAAGGGCTGATGGGGGGATGGCCAAGGCCAGATCCAGCAGATATCAAGGGAGATGGGTTCGTTAGCCCGAAATCATTTACATTGGCCTGTCTAATGCATATATAGCCCATGGATCTCCGATGGAGATGAAGTCGACTTTGCACCCAGTTCATCTCTGCCACTGCATTTCACGTACTGGAGATATCCCCGTCCTGGTTCGTTTGTGGTATCTCCCCTGGACAACCCATTCACCCTTCAAGTCAAACCATCCAGAGAGAACTTGACCGGATATGATGGAGCGTCGGCCCCTAAGCAAGGACATTCGTTCCTTGGCAGAAGGCAAGAGCACACTTTGTTTACGTACAGCGTTGATTTGGATTTCTCCCCAAGTACAGTCGGCGAAGAAGCAGGGGTGACAGTCTTTTTACAACAAGACCGCCATATATACATGGGGCTGGCTTTACTAACTTTGAATGAGCTATACCTTCGCATCCGAGGCATGTCGAATTCCGACCTTCCTAGCCATCAGACCCCTCTACCACTGGCCTGGATTGGCGAGACACTCCATCTGGAGATCAAGGCATTCAACTGGACTCATTATTCGTTCTCAGCTGGACCAGCAAACGCAATTTCGCAATTAGAGACCCTTGCGTACTATCCAAACTCCGTTGTCAGCTCTGGATTCACCGGTATGCGTATCCCTACCTGCTTGGGCGTTGCTAACTCGCGAGTAGGCACATTTCTAGGCGTTTATGCCACGAGCAATGGGGGAAATGGATCCACTCCAGGCTACTTTTCGAACTGGTCATACATTCCGCAGGGCCAGTTCCTAAATTAACTCAGGACGGTAGATATGGAATCCAACGTTATTTGAATATATCTTAGCAGCGTGACAGTGAATTCTTACAGCCTTCTTCCTGCTCCTTCGCCGGACCCTGCTTGCATATATAGCCTGCAACGACTAGACCGGAGAGCATCTCGGGGACTGTGTTTGTATTATGTAGGCTATAGTCCTACTGGAGTACGCACAGGATGGATAATATGATAACATGTCGGCAGACCATTGCGAAAGCTCACGCGATTCCCCAGGCTCGGAAATGTTCCATCGGCCAGATGAACGTCTAAAATAGTGTATCGAAATCCCGGAACAAGAGAGTCCAGGTATTTCTCCAAGGCCTGAGGGTCCTGGCTATGTCTTGCCTTCTGCATCTCACGCGCACTGAAGCCAGGGACGGAGAACAGGCGATGGTAGAACCTGAGGAGTTGCCAGCGCTCCCATGCATTAGTTGCTGTGAATCCGTAGTCATATTCTGACTCCATGCTGAGAAAGGGCTCGCACTTGGACTTGAAATAGCGGGCCCCAATGAAGCATTCACAATACATGCCAGAGAGCGCGTGCTTGACCTCAGCCACCAGACGGTATGCCCCAAACTCGGCCGGGGGAGGCTTGTGTAGCGCGATCTGGTTATTGCGCAGTAGGCTCACGTCAATACCCTTTGTTTCCATCAAGTCCAAGAGAGTCTCTTTTTCCCAGGTATCGGCGATCTCGGCGAGCGTCGCTCCACTCTCTGCTAGGCTAATATAAGCATCTGCCAGCGCCTCAGTTTGAGCCCTGTCGGTGCAGTAGCAAAAGCCAAAATTGATCCACTCGGCAGATATCTCGGTTGGGATGTTGTTGAAGCTGCGGAATAGAATGGTGTAGAGCCGAGTTACTAATTGCTCAGGCCGATTTAAGAAATCCCAGTCGTCAATCTGGAACATCGATGCAGTGATCTGGACAGCTATTATCTGGTAAAGATACTGAGATTCCCAGTCTGGGATGGTAAGTCCTGTCGAGAGTCTCCGAGTATACCACGACAAGCACTGGTGTTCCCTGTTGCAAGCGCCTCCATACGACTTGCGCTCCAGGACCCAAGCTGCCGTGTATTTCCCCAGCTTCAGCTCATCGATCAGGCCCTGTATGAATCTTGGCTGGTGGAATTTGACGAGCGCAGAGTATATGCACATGAGGTTTCCAACCTCCCGTTGATTCAAGCAATGAACAAACCCAAATGCCCTGCACAGGTCATCATCGGCAAAAAGGCCTTCTAGTATCTGCGAATGGACATTCCCATCCCCCTGGTCCCCTGCTTCAGCCCACTGCCGAGCGAGTATCCTGAGCCGGTCGACCTCGTTTGGCCGATTGCTAACACAGCAAACAAATACGTGCAAGATCCAGTTCTTGCGCTGACAGGACCTTGAGCAGTACCTAACCAGACATGCAGAGCAGCGGTAGCCAGCTGACTTACCACACTGCCGACAGTTGGTATGATTCTGGATGCGTGTGGGCCGGGGTTGTTGACCACGATGTTCCAGGCCGGCTTTGGACCGCAGGTAATTCTCCTCAAGCACTTCCGCATCTTGGAGTGTCATGGTTGCCATTGGCGTCCTCCTCCTGGGATCCTTCGTACCATAGCTGACATCTGCATAGCCTGGGGTTTTGGGCAATTTGATGATCAGCGGTCTGTCACCCATCACAGAACGGCCCATGCCTAAATACCTTTCAAGGTTGTCAGTAGGTAAAAAGGGATTATACAGTCTACACCAGGGATCACGCACAGAAAGTCACGCGGCGATCGCTCCATGTTCGCATACTCTTTCTCCATGACGAGCTGCGCGGAGGACAGTGCCTTGGAAGATTGAGCACGGAGCTCTCGCTCCCGAATCGGATATACCTGTCCAAGCAGGTACTGGATGACATCCTTCAGGGTTACCAGAAGGCGATCTATCACGGGCTCGAAAGAAGCGCACCGTGGAACATCCCAGCGATGCAAGATTGATTCGTGCGTCCCTCGAACCGCAAATTTCCGGTGGGACTGGATGAACAGATAGCAGAATGCGCAATTTCGCCTACTGCAGCCGACGTAGGGATGTGCGCGTTGCTGCCTATCGGTAGGTAATTGGGCATCGTGATACTGTAAGGCTTGAATCTCGGCGTGAAAGTGATATTTATCTTGCTTCTCGTCCCATATGTTAGTCCATCTCTCTCCAGGGTCACTCAGATGCTTGGTCATCGCTTTGGTTTGAATTCCCATGTGTCTTGCCACTTCAATGGGAGTTGGTGGCCTTCCTGGCTGGCCAGGCTTGTTCTTCGGAGGTCTGTAGCGGACTGGCGTAATGGTGATCGATTTCAGAGTTGGAATTTTCTCTGCCGCGTGTACAAATGTTTGTATGCACCTGTAAACTCTGCCAAGGCGAGTGAGTGCATTTTGTGCATCTTTTTGCGCCGCCTTATCGCCTGATAACTGGCATTGGATGTAGGCCCTAATTGCAGCCCGCGTACGGATACCCTGCCACTGCTCGAATACGTCTTTCATAAGACATTTCACTGTATTATCACGGGCACTCTCCACCTTGTTTGACCCACAGAGGGTGTTAATATTGTCCATTATCCGTGAGAGAGGGCCATCAATGTTCGTAAGTGCCGCCGCGATTGAAGGCGCTTCAGGCTGTTCGTCTTCCCCAGTAAACGCATTGATAGGGATGTCATAGACAAGGTCGTGTGCATCAATCCAACTCCTACTTCTAGCCAAAGGGTATGCATCCGTAATAGATTTGAAATTGGCATTCATGAACGGAAAAGGCTGCGAAGTGGAAGGCATAGTGCGCTCGAATGCACGCTTCAGCCATGAGATGTACGTGTCGACGCGAGGCTTCTGATGGTTAAACACCAAGTCAAACATTGCAATCTGATCATCTTCAGAAGGAACCCCTAATGAAAGAAGTTAGACCAGGCCATAAGAGTGGGGTTCTTGTGCTTACCATTGATGGCCATCCTTTCCATGCACTTCTTCCACTTCTGAAGGAATATCTCATCCGCACGATCCAATCCTTCATTCTTCGCGCACACAATCTCGACCCATTCTTCTTCCTCGAATGGTATCATCATCGTAGCGGCAACATGTTTTGCATCCTTACCTCCTTGCCCGGGCTTCGACTTGTACCTTGCCAGCGTCTCTGCCAGCCGATCAAGTAAGTTGTTTTGTAACTTGGATATAGCTTGCTGCTTGTCGCGTTCGATGTCTAAGCAACACTCATCTTCCAAATAGTTTTGGTGATCATCATAGTCGTCTATATGATTGGTATCAGCATCTGGCTCCACATCCTGGTCTACTGCTTCTGGTCCTTCGATGGCATCCTCTGGCAGGCGGTTAACAATGAAGGATAAGAGACAAGTCGCATTGTCTAGCTTTGTATACCAGGAATTAGACTTTATTTTACGAGATCGAGTCATGTTGAGATGAGTTACCATCTAGACTGGGATATGAATATCCCGTGTTCGACATCTATGCACGACCCCTCTCACGGCATCGGGCGGCAAATGATCCGGCGTAATGCAGGTCAACAGCGTAGAAACGACTAACAGTGCAGTGCTGAAGTACTTTGGCATGGAGGCATGTTATTCTTGGCATACATAAATGCGCAGTCTGCCCATGATTGTGGGAGTAGAAGGCAGGGACCGTTCAGATACATGAATTGTAGACCTGATATCACAGTTGAAGGGATTCACTGGACAGAGAATAGCTATTTCTAATATAATTTATATCCGGTGGTAGTGCTCCACTATTCTCTATTCATATGAAGTGAAATTACGTGTCTGGAGTAGTGAATCGACATATTTCAACTCTCCAATTCAAATTCCATTCTACATATTCTATGTCATTTTAGGAATCGCTCAATAGTAATCTTCGGGATCTGTCCCTGCCACCACATCACGCCGGCCGCGGCAATCCCGCCTAGAGCCACTACGGTGAGAGTCAAGTTGCGCAGGCACTGAACGGAGCGCGCCTTCAGGAGCTTATTAGCATGCTCAACGTAATCGCCTGGATTATTAGTTCGGGGGAACGGCTCATCGGGAACAGGCTTGTCGAGAAACTATTTCTGTCATGAGCATAGTTTTGCGATAAAGCCTGGTCTCTCTCTCATACCTTGCAAAGAGGCTCCCAGCCATCCTCGATGGACCACTCAAGCAGGTTCTCCCTGGGGACCATACCCCGGACCATGTTGCAGTGGTCGCGATAGACCCACTTTGCGTTTCGCCGGATGCCATCTTTGGTGGTGGCGCTGTGAAAGATGCCTGGATATCCATTTCTCAAGTAAAGACTGTACAGCCAATGGAACTCTGCAGAGAACCACTGCATGCCCCATACAACCCACGATTCATCGATCGAGTCGACAATGGTGTTATTGATGCTGCGGTACCAGGCGTTTGTATCGGGACGCACGTTGAGGACCACTTTGGCGTCCGGGTACGCGGCGAGCAGCTCAGGCGCAAAGAACGCACACAACGTGTCAACCACTGCCTGGCTGTCACCGACGAGAATGTCAAACTCCGCGCTGGTAATGTGCACGTCGCCATCGCGAACACCACTGTACTTCCGCCGCACTAGCTCGGTACAGAGCTGCAGCTTGCTGCCATCTGGCTCAAAGACCAAGTCCCAGCCGTGATATGTTTGCAGGCCCAGCATTCGCAAGCCCACGCTTAGTGACTCGGTTCCGGTGCGCGGTAAGCCCAAGCAAAGCACCTCGACGGGCTTGGTGCGTTTGTGCGGAGCCGGCTTGGGGAATCCGTAGAGTAATTGTTGGAGGGCATACATTGCGCTTGAAAAAGGGTAAATCTAGCAATAAATTAAAAAGAGCCCTGAAGGAGTGGTGGATCTTGCGCAGGAGGAGTGCCTGTCGTGATGTCATCACGTGCTTGGTTGCTACGGTGGCATGGGGGGCCTAAACAGGCTCGTCATATCCAGTAAGGCTTTATTCTACTCCGCTGGATCCCTAAAACTGAAGATTCTTGCAGGGCGCGGACTGGCGGTCAGTGGAGGCTGCATCACAAATAATGATAGGTATTTCTGATATACTTTGGAGGGATTAAGAATCATCTACCGATTTGGCCGTTTCTACCACATAAGAAGCACTCAGGATCGTGTTCTCCTTGCTATCCAACCTCTCCTGCGTTGTCTTGAATATCCTGGGGATACCGGTCTGTTCAAACTCGACCCCGTTCAGGATCATCTGGGCGACTCCTTTTGCCGATAGAAAGACCTGCGGCATGCCATGGCCATTGAATCCAGCGACGACAAACTGACCTGGCTTTGCTGGAACCTGTCCGACGTGTGGAAGGGAGTCTGTAGTATATCCCATAACTACAAAGCATTAGTGTCCGTTCTCAATGGCAATCAAGATACATACTGCCCGTCCAGACCCGATCAGTATATGCCCCCGTATTCTCCCATCCATGGAAATACCGTTGCATGTAGCCGTCAAAGTGATGTGCAGCGACATCGATCAGACGCGAGTCATCCGTGTTGTTGTACCAGTTCTTCAAATCATGGGCGTATACAGATCTGGCGCCTCCAATAACGATACTCCCATCTGGCCGCGCAATGAGATACTCGTATATCCCTTCCCTCAGCCGAACCGTATACGAGGAGTCAAGTGTAGGGAGAGGCGGGTTAGGCGGATTCGGCACAACCGTGCGACTGCAGATGCCTCGAACAGGAACGATCTTGCCTGCATACTCAGGGGCAATGGCTCCGGTATACGCATTGGACGCGAACACAATGTGCTTTGCTTCAATTGAACCTCGGGCAGTGTTGACTGTCCATCGCCCTTCTGTGTCGGACTCGGATATACTATCAACAGGAGTATTAGCTTGTAGATTGGCGCCTCTCGCAATGACCGTCTTGAGAAGGCCAACAATGAGCTTGTACGGCCACAGTCGACCCGCGGGATAACTAAAACAGCCTTTGGCACCTTTGACGCCGGAGACCTGAAGATATGAGCAGTCTGGACCAGGAAGACGGAAATATATTCACCTTTTCAGCCTCCTCGCCAGTAGTATGCACAGCGGTTTTCGTAGGTCCCGATCCAGCAGCAATAAGTGCATCGTACGCCTTCTTCAGTTTCACATCATGCGTCTCGTCCAGCTGCACATCATGCGCCAGGGATACCTGCAGATCGCAAGCGATGCTTTCCAGCTTCACCAACTCCTCTATAGCAGTGAGATGTGCGGTCTCAAAGGCAGCCAGTTCAATTGCAGCGTCCATTCCATATTTCTCAGCGACGGTTCCGACGGCGTTATACACGTCTGGCTTTAAGTGGCCTCCTGCGAGAAGTTAGATCGTACTCTCTGGCAGTATAAGAGACCCACCATTTCGACCTGTCGCTCCAGAGCAAACCTGGAGTGCTTCGAGAATCACTATTGACGGTTTGGAAGACGGATCAGCCTGCGCCAGCAGGTGGTAGGCCGTCGATGCACCAGCGTATCCTGCCCCCACGATAACGACGTCGCTTGTCCCAGGCAGACTGTCGGTGGAACGATGGTTATCCAGGCCATCTGGCTCGCTGCGCCAGAAGGGCGTGATGCTATTTGGCACCGGAAAAGGCTTGGATGGCATTTTACAGTATGGCGAGAATCCTGAACAGAGGCGCAGTCCGCACGGAACGCGTTCTCTGCCTAGATTAAATCATCGCATGCCAAGTCCAGACCGACTCGTCTTAGACCAACAGTTGGAGTCGATAACTGTAAACCGGCCAGGTAAGCCAGAGGCCGGTGCGTGGCGATACAAGCTGGAGGGGTAATTCTGGGCGTGTCTCGTTATCTGCTTATTACCTGCTGAATATAGCTAGATCTGGTTGTGATGTTTTTAAGGATTTGATACATGCGACCGGGCAAGAACACTCAACCAAACAGCGAGTTAACGTCCTTAAAGTTTACAATGGCAAAACATGTCGTCTTCGACGTAGTCGGCACCTGCGTCTCCTTCGATGCGTACTACGACGCCATCGATCGCGTCCTGGGCGACCGTCTGCGGGCGCACAACATCACGCCCCAATTCTTCGGATACAGCTGGATGACAGCCGCCGAGCTAGAATTCACCTTTCTGTCCATATCCGAGCGATACCGACCGTACAAGCAGATTCTCGAAGCAGTATTCTACCGCACCCTGTGGATGGCCGGGATCCAGGACCCACGGGCACTGGCAACAGATAGCGAACGCGACCAGTGTATCCAAGGGTACTGGAGCCTAGGACTTCGCCCTGGAATTAAAGAGTGCTTTACTCGACTCCGCGAAGGCGGGTTTACGATCTGGTGTCTGACGACAGGCGACACGGCGCGAGTGCGCGGGTACTTCCAGCAAGGAGGCGTGGATATGCCGCTGGAGAATGTGATCAGCTGTGACAGCAAGGGCCTGGCGAAACCTGCACTCGCGGCCTACAGGCCTGTGCTGGAGCAGTTTGCGCCCGCCGATGTGAAGTGGTTTGCGGCGGCGCATATGTGGGATGTGTCTGCTGCTGTCAAGGTGGGATTCAGGGGCGCGTACTGCACCGTCTACGAGCAGGAGCCTTGCCTGGAGATATTTGATACGCAGATGGATGTGATTGCGCCGGGATTAGTCGAGATGGCAGACATGATTGTGAATTCTAGTTAATCTCAAGTCGTGCCTTCGAAAGTCTTCCAGAATTGAGCAGACATGACTCGACGGTGGAGCTCATAAAATAATAAAAACTGCACGCGACCCGTTGTCACCGAAATGTGACAGAGTCGGACAGAATTCCACGCGTAGTGAGACATGCCGCGCCATGACAGATGGGATCAGATTAGATGATCTGATTCGCACCATGGCGAATGCTTGTCGCGGGATGCGCGGGATGGCTGCAGACCCGGCAGCACAAATCCGAGAATCTCGAATAAAACAAGCAAAAAGGCTGCCTGGACAAGGGGACGCACAAAACCAGCAAGTTGTCCGGTCTGGGTCCACTGCACGAAGCCACCGGTGTGAGACAGCCCAATCCCAGGCCAATAACAGCCGATAATGGCTCTTTTCGTGGAGTTGCCCTGGCACTGATGGTAATTATCTTATCTGATGCCGGTCCGTGTTGGTTCTGCGCCGCGCATTTTATAGCACATTACCACGCTTAGCACGCTTAGCAGGACATTGCTGGCGTTTATAGGCCGAAATGCCATATATGTACCCACTGCAGTTGCGCCCTGCTCGTTGGCAAGGGGCTAGCAGCAGGCTCTGCAGCATGTTTCCTTCATATAAAGCACAGGCCTTCCCAAGGCTTAGTTTCTGATCGTCAATCTCATCGCCATGGCGCCTCAGCAAGCAACTGCCACCGAGGCTCCCACTGAGCCCGCTGGTACTCAGCCTGAAGCTGAACTCAGCAAAGGCCCAGGGACTCCCACCGAGTCTGCTGTGGTTGAGACCCAGGACCAGCAGGATGGTGTGCGCGTCGCAGAGGCCGTCACCAAGTCGTGGTCGAAGAAGTCCTTGATCATCGCCTATGCTTCGTAAGTCAACCTAACCGTATGTTGATAAAGCTAACAGACAAGGATGTGGATGATCTACTGGGTCAACGGGCTGAACAACAACTTCACCGCGAACCTGTCGCCGTACGTCACCAGCGGCTTCGAGTCTCACTCGCTGCTCTCCGTCATCACAGTCATCACCAGTGTGGCAGGTGCAGCATGTCCGATGCCAATTGCAAAGGTACTCAACCTGTGGGATCGGACGCTGGGAATGGCGATCATGATCGTGATTGCTATCATGGGCCTCATTATGATGGCCGCCTGCAACAACATTGCAACATACTGCGCTGCGCAGGTAAGTAGCCACCATATATGCCTTACTCTTATCTAACCGTCTAGGCCTTCTACACGGTCGGCTTAACTGGTGTGATCTTCTGCGTGGACGTCATGACCTCCGATACCTCCTCCCTGCGCAATCGAGGCATGGCCTACGGTTTTACCTCGTCGCCCTATATCATTACAGCCTTTGCAGGCCCGAGCCTGTCGAACCAATTCCACGAATCCAACTGGCGATGGGCCTACGGCACCGCTTGTATCCTTCTCCCAATCGTCGCCATGCCGCTGCTCATCACTTGGGAGGTGGCCAAGCGCAAGGCAGACCGCGAGGGAAAGCTTCAGTACAAGCCTCGCAGCACGCGTACATGGTGGCAGAGCATCTGGTTTTATGTTATTGAATTTGATGGTATGCTAGTCCAATCTACCCTTGACTTCACCCATCAACCCCTTGACTTGTCTAACATGAACAGTCATTGGAATCTTCCTCATGGTCGGCGGCCTCATCCTCTTCTTGACCTCGTTCAACATCGCCGGGAATACCGAAGGCGAGTGGCAATCAGCCAAAATCATCGCCATGCTGGTCGTCGGTTTCTGCGTCCTCCTCGCCTTCGGTGCCTACGAACGATGGGGGGCCACCAAGCCGTTCATCCCCTATAAGCTGCTCGCCAACCGCACCGTCATCGGTGCCTGCCTGCTCGATATCACATACCAAATCTCCTACTACTGCTGGGCCAGCTACTACACATCCTTCCTGCAAGTCGTCTACAACACCAGCCTCACCCAGGCCGGATACATCAGCGCCATCTTCGACCTCATGGACCCCATCTGGCTAATCGGCTGCGGCTACCTGATCAAACTAACCGGCCGCTTCAAATGGATCCTCATGTGGGCAGTGCCCCTATACCTCCTCGCCAGCGGGTTAATGATCTACTTCCGCAACCCCGGCTTCAGCGTCGGATACATGTGCATGTGCCAGATCTTCCTCGCCATCGGCGGCGGCACCATGATTCTCATCGAGCAGATTGCCGTCCTCGCCGCATCCAGCCACGAGGAATACGCCTCCATGCTGGCCCTGCTCAGCGTCTTCGGCAACGTCGGCGGTGCAGTCGGAAGCAGTGTCTCTGGCGCCATCTGGACAAACATCCTCCCTGCCAAGCTGAGAGAATACCTGCCCGCTGAGACGCGGGACTCGTGGGCGAGTATCTATGAAGACCTCGAGGTACAGCTCAGCTACCCGGTTGGATCGGCGACGCGGACTGCGATTCAGTATGCGTATGCCTCGACGCAGCGGTACATGATGATTGCTGGGACGGCGTTGATGGGGCTGGCTATTATTTGGGTCCTGATCATGAAGAATATCAAGGTGAACAGCCAGAACGATGTCGCAAAGGTTTTGTTCTAGCTGCCACTGTTTCACCCCGAAGTCTACAAAATTTGGATGGTGGAATACGGTTGGAAGTGGGTGAATAGGATTGGTCATTTCTAGAGCAATGATGATGAAAATTATGGAATTTCAATTGTTTTCAATATGACCAATACCATAGACGTATATTGGCTGTAATTTGCCAGTTTGAGGGCAACAATGTGTCCACTCTGCCTGTGATGATTATTATAAAGAGGACCAGGAGCTTGTACCCTCCTCTCATTATTCAATTCAGATAACAGTGACAGACGTTACAATGGGATCCATGGGAACTGAATCGGAGATAATCTCTCCAGCCATCTTCTACTGGGGCACGCCCGTTGTCCTGATCGCCACCGAAAACGAAGACGGCACATTCAACATCGCACCCATGTCTTCAGCATGGTGGCTCGGAAACCGCTGTCTCCTGGGCCTTGGGGCAATATCACAGACAACCCTCAACCTACGTCGAACCAAACAATGTGTCCTCAACCTTGTCTCCGATGACATGGTAAACGCCGTCAATTCCCTCGCCAAAACAACTGGTACCAAGGCCGTTGCAACAGCCTCTCCAGAGGAGGGATATCTCCACTTCAAACGCAAAAACGGATACAAATACGTCCACAACAAGTTCAAACACGCCGGTTTATCCCCCCTGCCATGTGACTTGATCCGACCTGCTCGTGTAGCAGAATGCCCAGTCCAGATGGAGGCTGAGCTAAAAGCCGTCCACGAAATGATGCAGGACGTCGATGGAAAGCCTTTGCTAGCACTAGAGGTCAAGGTTCTGCGAACGCATATTCATGGCAATATTCGAATGCAGGGACACGCCAATCGAATTGATCCGGACAAGTGGCGGCCGTTGATTATGAGCTTTCAGGAGTTTTATGCGCTGGGCCCGCGGAAGATTGAGCATTCGGTTCTTGCGGAAATTCAGGAGGAGGCGTATAGGTCTATGTCTAATCCTGTTGATGAAGACGGCGACGATAGAGGTGAAGATACGAGGTGAAGGACTCTGTCGGCCCGGAGAGGAGTGACGCTTGGTGGCGATTATGATAGTATCTTCCTGCAAGAATAAGGCCCTAGCCATAGCTTACTAGAGTTTGAACTGAAATAGACTTGTTTTATTCCCTGGAAATGTAGTGGTTTCTGCGCTACTATATACAATGCCGACTACAAAAACCACCATAGCCGTCTTTCTATATTGCACTATACAACATATGTCGCCGTCGTCTCCGCTATATATCTGCCATCCTTATGAAAACATCTAACTAATCCAGAATACAGTGTAGGCTACCACTAGAGAGAGTGTTCGGTGAGTGATACTGCATCGGCGACTGCTCCACTCGGCGACTGCTGGTTCCGGCGATAACCGTGGATCCGACCACAACATGAACAGACTCTGCCAGTGTACTTCGAGATTTAGATCCACAGTGACTCATGGAACCGATTTCGGTCTCTTGAAGCTTCAACCAGAGGCCGACTGACACCTTTTTACTGATATCCCACCCGTTTGACCTGATATCGACGATCGAACACCACCATGGCGTCCCAGAGCAAGCCTCGTATAGTCTCCCAGCGAGCACAAAATGCGTCCGAGGCCACATCCAAGAACCTGATGTGGGATATTATGAGTGACGTCTGGTGTCCATCCGCCAATCCCGACGGTTATGTCAATGTCGGCGTCGCAGAGAATGCTCTGATGCACGACGAGCTTCTTAAATTCCTGAATAGGAAACTGGAACTGCCTGCGAATTATTTGACATACAACGACGGTGGAGGCGGATCCTTACGGCTTAGAAAAGCTATATGCCAATTCCTCGACCACCACCTGAAACCCGTGAAATCGCTTGAACCCGGACATATCATCGTCACAAATGGTGTTTCGCCTGCTATCGAGCATGCATCTTGGGCGTTCGCTGATCCCGGCGAAGGGATATTGTTGGGTCGGCCGTACTATGGCACATTTATACCTGACATCTCAATGCGGCCAGGAACTCAGGTTGTCGAGGTAGCCTTTGACGATGTCGACCCGCTTGGTATTGCAGCAGTTGGAAAATATGAGGAAGCCCTTCTACATTTCCAGCAAAGTACTGGCAAACGTGTTCGAGGACTCATGCTCTGCCACCCACACAACCCGCTTGGGCGTTGCTATCCTCGCGAAACAATCATTGGATTGATGAAGCTGTGCCAGAAGTATCACATGCATCTCATCAGCGACGAAATATATGCCCTATCAGTGTTTGAAAACAAAGTAGATCATGACGGCCCACCACCGGTGGAATTCGAGTCGGCGTTGTCGATTGACCTCACCGGTATTATCGATGCTGAACTAGTCCATGTTCTCTGGGGAATGAGTAAAGACTTCGGCGCCAATGGGGTGCGCCTGGGAGTTCTCATTTCACAGGCGAATGCCGACGTGCATCTGGCGTTGAAGAGCATCTCTTTGTATTCCTACTCGTCGGGGATTGCGGACCACCTCGCAGCACTTCTTCTGGAGGATAAAGGGTTCACAGATGCGTATATCAAAGAGAACCAAAAGAGACTGGCTGATTCATATGCTTATACCGTGGACATTCTTAAGCGCGAAGGTATCGAGCATGCACCGGGCTGCAATGCTGCATTCTTCCTATGGGTTAACTTAGGGAAGAGATATCGCGAACTACACCCTGGAATTGCAGATACCGACCCCGTTGGGGACAGAGTCATGCAGCAGCTGTTACGGCGCAGGGTCTTCCTGGCGAGTGGCGAGCTATTTGGTGCTGAGAAAGATGGGTGGTTTAGAATTGTCTTTACGCAGCCCAGGGAGTACTTGAAAGAGGCATTAGACAGAGTATACGCAGCAATCAGAGATTAAAGAGTATTACAGCCCTGTGAGAGCCAACTAGGAGATAGGCAGAATTGAATGCCGGGATGCACGCTTCAGACTGAACCAGTGTTTTAGCGTCCATGAATCGATGCCACACTAAATAATGAACGACCGTTTAACTCGGAGATGAGTGCAGAAAGAATCCCCGGAATTCTGCGGTTCCACCGGGCCAACTTAGACTTCCCGCCGTATTGTTCCTCCGAATCGACAAGTACTTGTATTTATAATATGTATGCCCATTATAGATATTTTTACTATGAATAAGCATGCGATTCCGTTATATCCGTGGGCAAAAAGGAACAGGGCAATGCAAAGCCAGCCGAAAGACGGTGCTGGTCGGACACTTCACTATATAAAGACATGGAATCCGGGCTTCTGGTAGGCAAATGCTGTGTCGTAATTTATTCATAATTGAGAACCAACGCCATAATGCCTTCAATGTATGAAAGTAAGCCAGGAAGGAGACTTTTAGCCTCGGTCGTCGACCACTGGGCAGAGGTAAATCCGAAGAGGCCCTTCTGCAACCTCCCAAACACCATGACACCGCAAGATGGCTTCCACTCTATATCATTCGGGGACATCTCGCACTGCACCAACTTTATGTCTGGTCGGATTGACACCCTGGTGGGTCGTGGTGCCGGTCAAACGTTGGCCTACCTAGGCGTCAATGATATTAGATATCTTGTCGTCTTCCTCGCATGCAATAAAATGGGCTACAAGGTAGGCCATACTAATACTAAGAGACTATATCACTCACTTGTGTTCAGATCTTCCTACCGTCGACAAGAAACTCGGACGAGGCCTATGTGCATCTTCTCCGGACAATCAAGCCGGCCGCTTTCTTATATACCCCCGAGTTCAAGGATAAAGTACAGGCACTGCGAGTCCATTATCCCGAGATGAAGGGTTTCGAAATTCCTTCCCTGGATTCCATGTTAACAGGTGACACTGTGCGCTATCCATATGCGAGATCGTTCGAGGAGGAAGAAGACCAAGTTAGCGTGGTTATGCATACATCGGGGACTACAGGTATACCTCTGGAAGAACATACGGTTTACTAGATACTTACTTGTATAGGCCTCCCTAAACCGATATACCTGACACACGGGTTCTTTTCCACCGTTGACAACCTCGCCAACTATCCACTCCCCCCTGGCCGGTCTACACCTCTTTCCAAACTATGTTTAGAGGAGAACGGGGTTTTAACCGTGACACCCTTCTTCCACATAATGGGATTCCTTCCCTTTGTCCTAGCGATCTTGTTCCAAATTCCATTCACTGCTCCTCCTAACAAGCCCCTTTCTGGGCAACTTGTGATCGATATCATCGAGGCGTCCAAGCCGGGCGCGGCCGTCCTACCACCGTCTCTGATCGAGGATATTTGCAGCACCCCAGGAGGCATGAACACGATAGCAAAGTTGGAACGCCTTTACTTCGCAGGTGCGCCTCTCGCACCAAAAATAGGAGACAAGCTACTACAAAAGGTCTCCATCATTTCAGCGTATGGGTCAACGGAGATGTGCATCGTCCCTTCCATGATCCCAGAGAACAGCAAAGAATGGTCCTACTTCGAGTGGGTGCCTGGTTACAACACCTTCATAGACCCAGCCGGGGACGGTCTCTATGAGCTTGTCCTCCAACGAGGCAAGACCCGCGACTACCATGCAATCTTCCATACATTCCCGACGCTGATGGAATACCGCAGCAAGGACCTTTTCCGCCAACACCCGACCAGGCCCAACCTATGGCAATACGCCGGCCGACTGGACGATATCATTGTATTCAGCAACGGCGAAAAGTTCAATCCCGTTACCATGGAGAAACGCATCGAGGCCATGCCGCTCGTATCAAGGGCGTTGGTTGTAGGCCAAGGCCGATTCCAGGCTGCCCTGCTCATCGAGCCCAACTGGGAATTGTGGGATATGAATGGGTTCACTGCTGTGGAGGCCTTTATAGGCGCCGTGTGGCCTCAAGTGCAGGATGCTAATGCTACTGTCCCGACGTATGCTCGTGTGATGCGAGATCACATTGGCATTGCGACCAGGCGGAAGCCGTTCAGAACGACTGCGAAAGGCAGTACACAGCGTCGACAGGTGAATGGGGAGTATAAAAGCGAGATCGAATTGCTCTACAACAGACACAATGGGGCAAGGCCGGATGATTCGGAGGGCGGTGCGTTCGAATCAGCGGGGTTCGTTCGTCAGGCAGTAATCAGCCAGCTTGGTCGTCAAATCGGCGATGATGATGATTTATATGTGGCTGGATTTGATTCTCTTCAGACGGCGTCACTTGCAAATATTCTCAGCAGGGCCATTACGAGAAACGATACCGACGACCGTGTGAAAACTGTCACAGCTCAGATGGTATACGACAATCCATCTATTGCGTCGTTGTCTCTTGTAATCACCGGCCTTCTAGATGGCACGAATACCCAAGCAGAAGTATCCCGGACTGCCAGAATCAACGGTCTATTGGAGTCTTTCACTCAGAATCTCCCACAACCCAATAAAGCAGCGATACCGAGACCAAAGAGTGAGGGCCACGTTGTCATGCTCACTGGGTCCACTGGGTCATTTGGCAGCTATATACTGGACACTCTGCTAAGTGATCCATCGGTTAAGAAGATATACTGCCTGAACCGCTCTGCTGATGCAGAGGCACGCCAGACAGAAAGCCAAGCTGAGAAAGGGTTGAGGGCAATAGAGCAGAACAGAAACCACGTTGAATTTGTTCAAGCAGAATTTTCGGATGACCAGTTAGGCCTGACACAGTGTATGTACCGCAAGCTTCTTGAGGAAGTCAATGTGGTTATCCACAATGCGTGGAAAGTTGACTTCAATCAATCACTTGCGTCCTTCCACCTGATGATAAAAGGCGTTCGAAGCTTGATCGATTTCGCATCACAAACCAGATATTGCGCTCACCTGTTTTTCGTGTCGTCTATCAGTTCAATAGGAGCTTGGAACCCGTCTATGGGCCAAATATCCGCGCCTGAAGGGCCAGTCCACAGCCCAGATGCTGCCTTGAAGCAGGGATACGCCGAGTCGAAGCATGTAGCCGAGAGGCTTTGCTATGCTGCGTCAGACAAGGTTGGCATCCCCATTACTGTTCTTCGTGTTGGGCAAATAGCGGGCCCAACGACTCGTCTGGGAAGATGGAATTCGCGGGAATGGGTTCCAGCTCTGGTGCAATCGTCGATCAGCCTGGGCCAGATTCCTTCCACGATGGGTGGTGCAAATGAAATCAATTGGATCCCAGTAGTAAGACACCTACCTTAAGCAATGTGTACATCTAACACGATGACAATAGGACAGCCTGGCTGAGATCGTATGGGAGGTTATTCAGTACCGCCTCCTACAATCAGAAGCAATATCGGCTACGTTCCACCTTGTCAATCCTCGCACAATCGAATGGTCGAGACTAAGTGGCCATATTCAACGGAAGCTGGGCTTGGACACCATTGAGTTATCTGGTTGGATTCACAACCTGGAAAATCAATCCGTCGGGAGTGATGCTAAGGATACACCTGCACTCACGCTTCTAGACTTCTTTCGTGTATTGCTCGACGACGAGAGTATTTCTGGCATTGATGTCAGTGCAGCAATGGCAGCCAGCAAGAGTTTGCGTCGCTTGGAGCCAGTCACTGTGGCCATGATGGACACCTGGTTACAACAGTGGGGATACGCTAATTAAAAGTTATTAATACAAATTGATAATATAATAAGATGGTCTATAAACCCAGGCCTACTTGCAAATGTATCGGCCTTAATTACATTGCTATGTATTTTAGTGCTATAGCACTCGACCTTATATACCCCAGTCAAGGATATCATTAATGCTAGCACAGTTTGAACTTGGGGGTATCAACACTTCACGCTTGTGTCTCCGGCTAAAAGGCAACTCGACAGAGCATCAAACTTCAAGTATTCTGTGGAAACCGTTAAGCCACCCGTGGGCGACCATAATATAGAGCAATTGGCCACTAATTAAGGCACGCCTTATCTGGTCGTGGACGTCACAGTCGACCAGTCTGGCCAGTCTGAATAAGGAGAAGGGAATGTTGGTCCAGGTGGAGATGGCGCCAGTGGGTAAGAGAGCTCCTCGAGAAAAAGCCTTTGTACCCAATGCGCGGGATGATGACCCAGGATCCCGTTTAGCATTCCGAGTGCTCGAGAAGGATCCCAAGGGGGTTGACAAAACAGGTAGAGGGGGATGGGGAATCCCCCATTTTCAAAGCAAATTCGCTTGTCGACTGGATGGACGGGGCCACAAACGAGATGATCGCTACCAGGTGCAGGCGGTATATTCAAATCTCTAAGGATGCCCGCAGTGTGTCCGAGAACCTGGAGTATTTTATATCGAAATGGTAAAAATTACCATTCGACCAAAAAGGCCACTCACTCACTAGTGGTTATCTGACCGTCTTTTTAATTGCATTATATGCTGACACACCCCCTAGAAAGTCGGTATAGTAACCATTTATCTAGTATTGTTATTGTTTTCTTATTATTGTTTTCTTATTATTATTGTGATTTCTTATTATTATTGTGATTTCTTATTATTATTGTGATTTCTTATTATTATTGTTGTTATTGGGTGGACGCTATAAACTTATACTCAACGGTCAACGCGGGAATCGATCCCGCGCTTGTTAACTCGGGTTCAAGACTCCGGGCTCATAACCTATCGAAATGGTAAAAAAATTACCATTCGACCAAAAAAAGGCACTAGTTGTTATCTGACAGTCTTTCTAATTGCATTATATGCTGGCATTTTAAAGGATCGATCGATTCCGTGGTGGTGAGCGACGTGGCTTACGCGATCGGCAGCTGTTGTTGGTGGTCAGCGACGGATGGTCACGTGTGGGTGCCTTGGCGGGCATGACATGGTAGTACTTGATGCAGTTGTATAGCAAAGGCTTTTGGTGTAGTTAAGAAGTGTTGTTGGTATTAATTACCTGTGCTTGCTTTAGTGTTGCCTACCAGTCTCAATTACCGCAGGTCTATCCCCATGAAATGACCCCGCAGTCTTTTCTTCTGCGTTTAAATGGATCTTAGTTGGGGCTGTAGAAATATATATATACAGTATGGATAACAACAACTCACTACTCCAGGGAGGGCTGATAGGAGGATATACTGCAAGCTGTCGACATTGACAATCCCGGTGAAGGGAAGAGTTCTTCACCTTCCACATCAATATCCGGGTGGCAAAATCGACATTCACCGTTTACACATTAAACAAAGTATTCACCATCAGGTCACACAGGAAAACCTCGCTTATTGCTAGCGTTATAATAGAAAGAGATAAATAGGCCTTACATAGCTATGTTTAATAAAAACACATACACTCTTTTCACGTTGATTCTGTACAGATCTTTCCACACAAGCGGGAGCCAAAAAGAAAGACTCCATGGAGATCTGGACTGCTCCGTGTGATTTTCCTATTATGATCGTGCCGGTCGGGAAAAAAAAAGGAAAAAAAAAAAAAGGATGACAAGACTGGGATTCGAACCCAGGAGGATTGCTCCATACGAAATCTTCAAGATGAACGTGAAGAGAGGAACTCATTTTGAGTTAAGCTAACGCTTGAGTCGTACGCCTTAACCACTCGGCCACCTTGCCTGTTGGTGAATGAAGCTTCCAAAATAGTAATGGTGAGGTTAGTAACAAACCGGTTAGTAATGACCGGGTTATTGCCTCACGACTCCACGTCTTTTCTCTAGGCCTCCCTTGTGCTCAGGAGTCGCTGATTTTACGCCGAATTTGTCTTCTCGAGAAGTCAGAAGGGCATGGCAACATTGAATAGACAAGCACCTGTACCGAAGGCCTTCCCTTTCGTTCCCTGGGTATCGCCTTCCAGCAACTCTGGGGACTCTCAGAAGGAACAGAGTCGCAGGCTTGTGCGTTCACATGCGGCGCGACGACGGGCTTGTTACCACGGTGATACATTCAATTCCATGAAACATGTCCCGCATGGCTCTGAGGGGCTCCTCCGAGACGCGAATGGTTCTGCAGCATATCTACCACCCGGACATTCTCTATACCATGACAGAGAAGCCCAGGAGGATGTTGAGGAGAACGCGCAGCCTCGCCAGTTTACCACAGGCGAAGCCAACGAGATCATCCCATATGTAGACACAGTTCAGCCTCTAGACCTTGAGTATGTCGCAACTCAAGGTCTGGATCCCTTCAGGACATCCCCACTTGGCAATCTGCCGCCAGACGTTCTGGAGGAGTGCCTTCATTACAGTCCGTATTCCGAGGATTAATGCCAGCTAATTCTAACTCTTGCAGGTGTATCTGTGCTGTGGCCCAATCTTATTCCTGGAATCAGGGAGAATGGTGCAATGCAATCCTGGTCGCACTTCTACATGGTGGAGGAAGCCCCCTGCTTTGCCCTCTCCCTTGGCGCGCTGTGCCATAAACAGTCCAACAGTTCAGACGGACATGGCCCTCAACGCTCACAGCTGTTAAAACGAAGACTTCTATACGTTGAGATGGAATCAGCCAGGGCTCTAAATGAAGCTTTGAAGAGCCCTGACAGGCCCATCAGCGACTCATTGATACTGAGTGCCCTTTGTATGGCAAACAACAGCGCAGGAGAGCCTATTCCACCAAACAAAAATAAGTCTCCATTTAGAGCTCCTCTTCGTGACTTGCAGTGGCTCAATATCTACGCGATGAACACATCGAACGCTGCCCACCAGGCTGGCCTTTGCCACCTCATTCAGCTGAGAGGAGGTCTCGACAGCATCGAACTCCCTGGTCTTGCTGCCATCTTATCCTAGTAAGCCGCTCATTCTGTAGTCGTAATGAATCTATTCTTACAAGGTAGCTCTGATATCCTAGCTGCGAGCAAATCGCTCTCTCGACCTCGATTCCCCTTCTTCTCACTGCAAGGTAACCGCACATTTACAACGGACGAAACATCCGACCTGGCCACCGGAAGCGCCCATATCGAAAGCCGCGAGCTTGGGTTCTCTTCTGAGCTAAGCCAGCTCTTCCACGCCATCAATTCCTACGTACAAGTTCTCGAGGCAATAGAAAAACGGAAAGTTACGGTAGACCTCTCGAAAATCGCCGATCAGCGAAATTTCATACAGCATTCCGTTCTCAGTCTTCCGCCTGGGTCCCAGATTGTAGGGTCCTATCTCGAGGGCCTGCTATTGTACGATACATGCCGCATCGCCGCACTGATATTCTGCCTCGGCGTGGTTTTCCCCCTCCCATACCAGACATCCCCCTTACCTGTATTGGCGGTGGCGCTGAAACAGGAACTGGAGAAGGCCTGGCCGCTGGTCGAATCACGTCGTGAAAATGAGGCATTGCTTTGGGCTGTTGTAATGGGTGGTATAGCTGCAAAAGCTACACAGGAAAGACCCTGGTTCGTGGCCGAGCTGCGCAATATAGCTAGGAAGAATTCTGTCCCTGGATGGAGTGAGCTGAAAGTTATTGTCAAGCGCATCCTCTGGCTTGATACTGCTTGCGACCAGGCAGGACGAGAGTTGTGGGATGAAGCTCAAATTTGAGTCAACGTCTCGTTTTATACTTAAGATACACCCCGGCAAGCACAGCCATATCATAGGAAATTGACACAGATTGGAATAAGTGAAGGGTCGTTAGATTGAATTTCCTGGGGTATACAAACTCTATACGGCGGCTTGTTTCGGCTACATACATATAGCCCAGTGAAGCAAATCTAGTTATTACACGGACCATCGGCGAGGCTTAGTGCAATTGATCTGTCAAGTGAAATAAATCCATACGACACTATGACTATTCATAATAGCAAACAGGATTATTGCACATCCCAAAGACACAACTTCAGCTTGATATATCTAGCACTCCTCCTTTGCAGCTGCGGTCAGTGTAGGCTGGTTGCGTCCCACGTAGTGTGTCTTCGCAAGCATGTTCCACTTGTCCTCCTCGGTATCAAGATGGTTGAAACAGAACCAGAAGGCGATACCGCCAACAAAGGCAATACACGCAATGGCGGTATAGTTCCACACCAACAGGGGATCATCTGAAAGAGGCGTGAAGGCTTGGCCGATTGCCGCGGAAATGGCACTCATGAATAGATTGACCGCCATGACAAGGGACTTCATGTTCTCAGGAGCCTTGGAGAAGGCATACTCGTACGAGGTCACGTTGGTCAGGATCTCCGCTAGACCGATGAGGATGTAAGGCAGACATTGGGCCCAGACATTGATAGGGGCTGGGTCACAAGGCTCGCCGTCCACGGTGCGATTGGAGTACCAGCCACAAGGGCTCATTTTGTAGATATAGTACTGCATCACAGCGGAGGCAACCATGGCCAGCGTTGCCATGAAGAAGCCGGCCGTCATGCGCTTGATAGGTGTAAATGCAATCCCGACCTTGCGCAGAGCGGGATAAAGAACATTATCAATCAGGGGTACCATTATGACAATCGAGATAGGGTTCAAGTTCTGGATAACGTCGTTCGGAACGCCGTGCAGCTCCATAGTACCGGCCTGGATGGTGAGATTTCCGGTCATTTGGTTGTAGGCGAGGAAGAACACAGGCAGGAACAGGAAGACTCTGCATGCCATCAAGCCACGGCGGACTTCATCAACCCAGGCATCATCATATGTCATCCAGCCCGGTCGTTCTGAAATAGGAGTCGTTGACGGTTTGGCCGTTTCCCAGTCCACCTTGAAGAAGCCACTGGACCGCTTCCTGGCGTACCAGTACATGCGAATCAGTTTCGATAGGAGGGACTCGGTCGGAGGAGTCAGCTTGTAATTCTTCTTCTGAGACCAGAGGACAAGAGGGGCAATGAGGAACATGATGGTGGGAATCAAGAATGCAAGCCAGAAGCCGCGGAATTTCTCGACATAAACCATGCTGATCTGCCCGCTGAGAGACCCAACGTTGATGAAGAAGTAAAACCACAGGAACAGCCGACTGTTGGTGATGGCTGGGTCGACAATGATGCGCTCGCCGTCGCGCTCCTCCACACGCATGCGATCATCTTCATTCTGCTCCGCCAGCAAAGGGGAGACATTCGCTTTGAAGAACCCGGTCCCGACGCAGAGTGTCATGAGGCCAATGATGAACGCCCCGAACGCTGCATCGTTTTTGACGATTACCGTGGGAGAGGCAGCAGCAACGAGCACAACGTGGGCTGCGGTGGAAATACCAATAGCAAGATGGAGGGTCCAGAACCGACCCATCCTTGCATCGGCAATCCATGCACCGAGAAGTGGTGTCAGGTAGGCAAAGAACTGGTTGAACAGACTGATACCCTGTGCGGCCTTCGGACCCATACCTAGAGCCCCAGGTAGGCCATCAGGAGCTGCACCGGTGGTAGACCCTGGCGGCAGAGGATGATTCACGAAGTTGGTGTAGAGGACAGCAGAGCCATAGTAGGAGAACCGCTCGCAGAGCTCGACAAAGGCGATGGTCCACATGGTCCATGGGATTTTGCCTGAGACTCGCCGCAGAGTTTGAAGCTCCTCTTCTGTGGGCTTATCAGGCCACTCATCATCGGAAGAGACTTCGGAGATATTGTGCGTGTTCTTCGCGTCATGAGTACCAGGCGAGATGTTCTTTTCAGTCTCAACACCATCCACCGCGACAACGGCCGGATCATCGTTGATGGCTGCCATTTTGTGTATGAACTGGCTTCAGAGACTGGACGCAAGACAGATCAAACAATGCTGCTCGACACCATGGGGGAGCACGTAGAGATATATGCTATTACCAAGACACCATACTAGCAAAGATAAGGGCAATATCACGAAACAATCTTGGAATGGCAAGCCACGCGCGGAGACAGAGGAGAGAATGTAACCTGAGAAATCCTGGAGAAGCTCGCGTGAGTGCATCAGTTTCTTAGAACCTGACTACCGGGACACTCTAAACAATCCTGGACTGCTCATATGCTGGGTTTCTGTATCCCTGATTCTCAGGTTACATCGGTCCATGACCAAGCCTCTGTCTGGGCCACTCGAGATATCGAGACATGTGGCAATTCCTGTCGCCAAGTAGATCATTTGAGACTAGAAGTCGCTAAACCAAGCCGTTCGCCGGTCTATCAGGGTCTGTTGAGCATGGAATCTGCTGGGCTAGAGAACGATGCCCGACCAGAACGATTGATTCCATGACAGGGCTGCATAATCAAAGGCCTTGCCTCCAAAGGTTCACATATATTACTTCCAGTTGGAACCAGAAATCCAGCCCACCGACACCATACTCCGCGCTCGTATTAGGGGCAGATTTGCCCCTTGGCCATACTTTTCTCTTTCCAGCTTAGCCTTGTAAGGGAAACAGGCTCTTGGCGGGGTCCGTGACAAAAGGCTCTATGGGCGGCCTTATAGCTGCAAGTCGACGCCGAGACGGTGGCCGTCTCTAGCCCGGTCACCTTGAAAGAAACACATTGATGCCCAGATAGCTGGGATGTAACGTGGGTATATTTGCCCTGCCAACTTTCCCAGTCGTTGGGGTTGTGACTTGTATACCTATTCCGCGGCCACAGTACGAGGGCAATGTCTCAGGCAATTCACATGGGGCGTGATCCTATATTAGAGGGTGTGTCGTCTTCGCGCTGTAATACCTAATTAGTATTTTCCCCTTGAAAGGCTGACTTCGGTCGATGCATTCGCTGGCCGTGACTGACCCCAAGCCAAGCCCTAAAATACCCGCCAAAGATAGGGAACGGAGGCCGCGCCCTGGGACTATCCCAGATACTATCAAGCTTCCTGGAGCTATCTGGGGTGGACTCCACAGAGCCAGCGGTTATCCACGGTGGCCGACGCTCTCCCTGCCAAGTGCCGAGTCCCTGATAACGCTGCCAAAGAATTTCCACCACTTACTGGAGGTGCCTTAGACCGGCCTTCACCCATATTTAAGGCCGCCAGTCTGGAAATGGCAATACCGCCGACTTGGGCGCAGGCGTGGCGCTACCAAACCCTTGTGGTGAGTGTGAGAAGCTTAAAAAGGAGGCAAACCCCGTTCAACGTGGCAAGAATAGGCGGCTACTTCTAGAGGCCCAAGCGAGGTCTGGAGAAAGGAGAAACCAACTTGATCCAAATGTGAAGACCTAGCGCATTGCTGATTGGAAGATTGTCGCCCAGTAGGCTAGGCTTGCTGGCCACCGCATTTTATAGACGCAGGCACCACAAGGTACAAATCGTAAAGAATAGTGCCCACAGATCAAAGCTTCATATAAGTACCTATGCTACTCGTCCATATTGTAATCTCTCAACAAAACTTCTGCGCAAGTGGCACCAGTAACATAGGCAGTTGTCTGCGTATGGTTGTTCGGTACCAATGGGACAATGCTCAAGTCTGCAACTCGCAAACCCTCAACGCCAAAGACTCGAAAGCGACTGTCAACAGCAGCATCAGGCTCACCGGCCTTTCCCATTTTCACGGTCCCAACGGCGTGGAAAACCGGAGACCCAGTTTGCCTCCAGTACTCCAGAATATCTTCATCGGAACCAGACTGAGGCCCCAGGATAACACCTGTAGTGTCTTTTGCAAACGACGGATGATCGATAACCGCCGACATATGACGAAATATTTCGATACAACAGCGACGGTCGTAGGGATGATCCAGGAAATTCGGATCAATAAGCAGAGGCTCCTCCGGGTCCGCCGATTGCAGCCGTAATTCACCAGACGATTGCTGGTTCATTACAACCATAGCAAAGGCAAGGTAGCTGTAGTCATCGCCAAATAACCCCGGAAAGACGAAATGGATGGGGAAGTGCGAGATGAGTTCGTAGTGCGGGATTGTTGGCCGGTTGAGAAACTCCTGCACCGATTCTGGCAGCAGCTGGAATTCCTCTGATGAGCTGATCGGATCTGATTTAAACCAGCCAGCAGCATTTTGACAGCTGTAGCGAGCCCAAGGCCCACTGCCGTCCTTCTCCCACTGCTTCATCGCATCGTCCATGGCCTTTTGATCACGGAAGAACGAGTTGCGGTCGTTCGTCTGGGGATTTCGCCTGAGAATCAGAGGCGCGATGAAGTGATCGATGAGATTCTGTCCAACGGCTGAAATGGGACTGACTATCGGAATCTGGAACCTTTGTAGTTCACTTGCTGGGCCAATTCCCGAAAGCATCAATATCTTGGGCGTCTCAACGGTCCCGGCACAGAGGATGACCTCTTTTTCCGCAAAGTCTGTGACAACTTAATCAAGGCATACCAGGTATAGAGGGGACGGCTTACACTGAGACTCCTTCGACTCAACACCAGCTGCTCGGTTTCCATCGAAGATGACACGTTGGACGGGCTGGTTTGTCACGATCAGCAGGTTATCAGGAGCATTGATGAGCAGATCAGCCGCAGTTGACCGGAGACCAAGCGAGGACGAGTTGACTAGGAGGGACATCCCCAGTGGATTTCCATCATTAACGTCCAAATTCCTTTCGAACCCTGCTTGCTCAAAGATATCCAGTACCAACGGGAGATCTGCCTCCCATTCTGGAGCAAATCCCACCCTCAAGGGCCCATTGAACCCATGGTTTGTAGGTTTTGATTCAGCATAAACTGTACCGTCTTTGTCCCTCACTGCACAGCTCCCTTTGTCAAGGCACTCAAGAGCCTTCAGACGCTGTTGAATCCTTTCCCACCCAAACGCATCGTCTCCCACTTCTTCAGCCCACTTGTCATAATCATCTCGAGCACCATAAGCCCAAGATTCAAAGTTGATTGCTGAACTTCCGCCTAAACCCTTGCCGCGTGAAAACGGCAGTTCACGGTTATGGCAATGCCTCTGGGGCACAGTTTTATATCCCCAGTTCATTTGCTCGACGAATTGTGTGCTCCAACGTTGGCCGTCGACGCGCAGCGATTTCGCATCATTTTTGCCTCCGGCTTCCAGCAGCAACACTCTTGGTTTACTTTTTGCTTTTGACAATGAAGAGACCAGAGTGCATCCAGCAGGACCAGCTAAGGCAAGTCATTCAGATGACAACGTGGTGCTGCCGTGTTGTAATACCTACCTCCCACAATAATAAAGTCATATTGGTTCGAGTTACTACCCATCGCGGGGACACCTAACAGAAAAGAAATAATGATTCGAAATATTGAAATGTTCAATCAGCCAGGTCCACAATATCTAAGTGCTTTCTCATTCAAGGTATTGTAGCCTGTTTATACCTAGGCGCTGTCGGACTTACGACATGGGGACAGATGCAGATGCATCGAGTCGTCCGGATCAACGCATCGGACAACGGAAGTCAGCCAACAGACCACGTCTCGGGTTTAGTTTAGCTATTCTAAGCCGGCTGGGACCCGAGAAGACGTCACGTCACCCGAAACATTTCCCCGTAAGGCCGGGCGAGATGTGAAAGCAATATGTTCACAAGGACCGAACTCGTACGCTTCGTTTCTTTTGGACTCAGATCTAGGCACCAAAATAACGTAACATCCAATTCCTGCTATGAGCTAGATCCCAGAGTCCCTAAACTTCCAACACCTAGCCAGCCATCTGGAATGCGAATCACAGAACCCACATCCATGACGGTAGCCTCTGCAAACAGCCCAATACTCGGACTTTCATTAAAACAGTAACTATATGCGAGATACAACCAAGCAACAACTGAATGCCGAATCAAGGATAGAGGTGCCTCGAGACAGCATATTAACCAGCGGCACAATGTTGGATGCCAACCCCCTCGAAGATAGTTAACTCTTGACCAACGGCGTTACTGGCGGCCCAGGGAGCAATAGAACCTTGGATGCATGGAATGTACTCCTAACACTTTGGTGGCCTACATACCGTGTCATCGCTCAAGAAAAGTCGGTCTGCCTGGAAAATCGTCATATGCGAGGATTAGTTTACGCGACTATGTCTGTCTACGAAGTAAAGCCAACGGATAAGTGCATCCAGGCGCGCGCTATAGCAAGCCCTCGCAAAAGCACTGTGATGCCGCTGACCTGAACCTTTCTCATAGTGCAAATCCGGAGCTTACCACGAACGACAGCGGACGTTGCTATTTGGATTAACAGCGATTCGCCTTCTGAGGAATATTGCCGGCGGGAGAAGTGCGATCAACAGTGTGATGTCCCTTCTCCTTGCTACCGGTTCCATTCTGTATAGGTAGTGGGTTGTTATTAGCCAGATTGCAATAAGTCTAATAATGCGCAGCAAGGGATGCAGCCTGTATCGTTTCGTTGATATTAACAAGCACCGGCGTCTGGCCCGCCACTATAGTTCAGCCGGTTAGGCATCCGCAGCCATGGTTCCCACGCACACCACCACATGACGCTCGACAGTCGGTTGACGGCAGATTAAGGTTGGGCATTTTCCATAAAAGGCACTCTCGGTTCGTTTCCGGTTCCGCAATCGGAAACGTTAACGTTATCAGCGACTCATGGTGCCGGGTTTCGCGGATACGCTTGCGAGCGTATACACTACGAGGTTTGCGGCGTTTGCTCAAGGTCTCTGTCTGTGCAAACACCGTCCTATACCCGATAGCTCCGATGGATTTCATAGGATGATTGGGCTTCGAGGCTCATACGGAAGTTGTCCGAGAGGCTCGGTCTGTTTGCACGTTGCTTACAACCATGGTAGCAGCAGACCCTTTGCATATCCCGAATTGATGCAATCGATAGATTTAAAAAGACGACAGTCATGAACACTCAGCGCGTAGAATGTTGCTTTTTCGCTCCTTCATCTTCATATAGTTATCATACAGAGCATCATGGACGACGTGCAGCTTTTCGCGACCTCGCCCCGGCAGGCATACATGCCCTGGGCGACGTTTTCCCACTCACCAGTAAGCCGCTCTTGCGAATCATATCTATAATCGACATTATCCGTTGACACTGTCGATAGGAAGTTTCCGATAATTGGTCGCTGCGAACTTCTCCAGGCCCGGTTGAGCCAATGCAGTCACTATATCCTTCTCTCTCACGAGACTCTGGATTTGATCTCGGTCAACCGAACGGGCACAATAGTAGTATTGCGTGGGTTACATCGCCTCAAGAGGTCAATTGCAGTGCTAACTGAAGCCTTGTTGTATCCAGATATCTCAACCAGGACTATATCCCCTACCCCGACCTAGCCCTTCAATCTCCCGACACATCCCCCTCTCCCAGCCCGGAGCACGTATCAGATGGATTGAGCAGCATGCCAAATAATCTCCCCAGAAGGGCGCGAAACTACAAGACTACTGAAAACGACGCCAGTATGAGGAAGGAAAAGAAGCGAATCCAGAACCGCATTGCGTATGTCTGAAGCCGATGCCTTCCGCATAGTGCGTCTAACAGGTTCTTAGACAAAAATCCTTTCGGAAACGAAAACAGGATTATGTGGAAGCTCTTGAAACGCGTATCAGGAAGTTGGAGGCAGAGCTTGAAGCCCATCGGCGGGAGTCTTTCTGTTTTAACGGAGTGGTGGGTGCTTCTATTCAAGACGACCCTGTTGCTTGCCAGTCATGACTTAATAATAGTCGCTGTAAAGGTCTACGTCAATGTCAAGCAGAGTTTACCCTTAAAACTAGTCGATTTAACTGTCATATGTTGCAAATATATTTAATGACCATCGATTACCTCTGTTTGAATAAACAATATATGTCCAGTAGTTACTTGTGTCGCTTACAGATATCATATGTACATGCTTTCCCTCAAGCCATTTCCGAACTATGCTCGACTGATACTCTCTAACCCCCAGGTCTAGAGATTCTTGCGTTGAACCTGGACCTTGACACAGCTTGGGTTCTGGGGTTTGGCCGACTCGTTACCCAGAGCCCAAGCGAGGGTCTCATAGGTATAACCAGTGTAGTACGTCTGGCAGACATACCAGTTCTTCAGAACGGTGGCATTCTGACTCGCAGGCGGGCTGACGGTATCATCAAGATAGCTGTAGATACCCATCTGGCTCTTCTCGTCGAACATGATCTGTTGCTGGTCATAGCCGGGCTGAAACATAGGCATGGCGACATTAGTGGACGGATCGACGTAGAAGCTCATGGGTTCAGGCACAGGCTCTGGAACTGTCACTGTTAGAATATGTTGGAAACTGTGGTATTGATTTACGCACGATTCCCGACGGGCAGCTTCCAGATCAGAGTGCCAGAAGGCTCCAGTCCCTCGATTGGGGACTGGGCACCCTTGGTGGTGTTCAGGAAGAATTGGGAGCCGGACTCTCCGGTCAGACAGAGTGATTCAATGGCAGCACCGGAGTGGCAGGCCGAGAGTTTCTGGCCATTGAGATCCTTGTCGGCGGATGAAAGAACCAGGTTGAAGGGTTTGGATTGGATCTCCTGCGCAGTGGCGACTGCGAGGAGGCAGCAAAGGGCAGCGAAGGACTTCATATTGGATTATTATATTGTTTAGATGCAAAAGAAAAGATACCAGGGGGCTACACCGTCTTACTTATACCCTGTTAGCTTCGACTGGTAAGACATTCCTGGAGAGAGTGAGACATTCAGCCTTAGTGCGAACGCTTGATGCTGATCAGGGCTGCTTCGCCAACCACACGATGCTGCGCCATGAGCTAAGGAACAGCGATGTGGAGTGTGGGTGTTGGTAGCGCGACCAGATCGCCACAAACCTGTTTATCTGGAGAAGAGGTTGCATCATTAAACTGCATCAGGAAGGTCGTTTCTACTCGGCCCAACAAGAATTCGCTTATGCAAATGCTTAGCCCGGTAGCAAGTTGACGGCCATTGGTATACCATGAATTGGTTACTATTGTAAATATTAGATCTCACTCCATAAATTAGTGTCTGCCGCAAGCGTTGTCTATACTTCAGATTAAGCCATAGTTTAAGATAATTGGTGGTCACACACTTCCAGTAAGTTATCTACTGGTATAGGTTATACTACAGGGCTGGTACAGTATAGCCCCAGGCCCAACTCCTAGGGGTGGTGCGCGAGGAAGAGTTCATTGTAGCAGCGGAGTTCATAACAGTACTTTAGTCTTCAATGTTGAACATGAGACACAAGTGTTTATATTAATGTAATGTCATAATCCAGCCCCGGTGCTCATTGAGGGGCGCAAAGCCGGACAGCTTCCACAGGAAATGACCTATGCGTCTGCACCGCAAAAGCAGGTTAACAGTCTTCATCAGTTCTGTCCAATTGTTATAAGACCGGAATTAATTTATTCCATCTTACAAGGATCCAGCCTTGCAGGGATTCATGACTGGCTGAACGCCAGGCGCGGCTGGCGAGCTGAACACGGGTGGCCAACTGGGCCGACCACGAGACTGACCCCGTTAAAATTTCTAGAACGGAGAGGCGAATCGAATCAACCTTCATTACTGAGAGGCATCGTAATAATCTCTCTGAAAGTCTACTCAGGTAGCGGGGCTGGAGTACGACCAAGGGGCTTACCCCGCAGGGTCAGCATTTGGTGGAGCGGCAACAACAGCTACCCCGTGGCACTATCCGAGTTATGGTTCAGCCCCGACTGGTGTGGGCGGGTATAGATACTGCTTGACATGGACGACCTGGAGTTTGCCCAAATCGCGCTGGAGCGTGTAGGGGATATTGCGGCGTCGGTTGGGGCACAACTTCGGCGGAATGGGGCAGGCTGTCTCGGTGCGACACTGGTGATTATTGCAGACAATATCGAGTCCGCTGATATAGAGAGGAAGTCCAAACTACGACGACGCGTCCCTAGGCTCGTGAAGGACTTGGAGACGATCTGCAATGTAAGTATGGCCTGCTATCCTGGGTGGGACGGAGCAACCTGGGCATATGCTGATGGGTATACTTAGCTACCACATCCAAGGGTCGGGTATCACGCATATCTCGACATGCTAGTGACTGAATATATAGGTTCGGATGAATACAAAAAGGCGGAGGCACAAATTCGACAAGGCGTTGCGAGATTCAAATCAAGACAGTCTGCGAAGCCCGCCATTACGCATTTATCGCAGTTCTTGGAGAGCGCTGATGGCAAGAACAAGCGTCCCATAGGCAATGAGGACTTACATGCTCCGCCGAGGAAGAAGACTCTGCCTGCAGATGACGCCCGGGGGGCTCATTCCGTGGCGCATATGACGCTGCGAGAGCACATCTGCTGCACCTGTAACGGCGCGCCTGGACAGACCAGCTCTGGGGAGCATCTAGTTAGGCTCCTGTTGCAACCGCCCTCCACGGAACCGGACAGCAAGGACAACGAAGCGGAGTATAACCTTCTCGTCTCGTCCGCGCCTGTTGTCGAATCCAGCTTTGGTCTTTGGCAGGACGTCCAGCTGCTTGTGCCTTGGTATGTTGACTTTAAGTGATACCCACGCCCCAAAGGTTGCGAAAGGCTAAGTGACGTACGAACCAGGGCCCGGAGGAGGGTACAGAGACGCGTCCAATTTTCAGATTCTCATTGCTCTGACGATGGAAGCCATTGCAAACTCAGGACGACGCGGGTCGATCGTGGACAGCTCTGCAGACTCATCAGTCTAGAAGCAGCTTCGCGTCTCTGCTTGACCATTACGAATGGCGAGCTCTACGAAGCTGGATTTGCGCCCCTTCAATGCATAGTGGACCGCGTCCCGGGTATTTCACTTGCCGAGATACTGTCTCGTTATCGTTTGACACCAAGGATGAAAGGCGCGCTGGCGTATATCCTGGCGTACTCGGTTTGGCAATACTACGACTCGGACTGGATGAGCACAAAGTGGACAAGCGACACTGTTCACTTCATGAAGGAGACACCTTCGGCTGATACTTCAGAATCTGCGAGCGGGATATATCCATGGAAGCCGTATATCTCCGTCCACTTCGGCGAGGGGAGTATAGGCGCACGGCCTGGCGAGTTCAGCAACACACCGGGAGAGATCCACCGCTTCACAAGAGTCAAAAGCCTTGGTATCATGCTGGTTGAAATCGGGATCGGCCGCCCACTCAGAGGAGCTCTCGAAGAGCGCCACTGCGAACAGTCGCCAGCAGCGAGGGAAAACGCGGACCTCCTGCTCGCCGTCGAGCATTCCAAGAACCGCAGGTTGTGGGGAGACTGCGAGTACCATGATTACCTGACTGCAGTGTGCAATTGTCTGGATCCGCAATTATTTAGACTTGCGTCGCCACCCGATGAACAAGCCTGGAATGACAGCCTGGAACAGCGCAGAACAATACTGTACGAGGAAGTCGTATCCCCCTTGCATAGGCTGCTCCAGGGAACAAGGTGGCTAGAGGACATAACAACGATTGAGCCCCTGCAAATTGGCTTCAAGGCCCGCCCTGTGAAAGAGACTGAACCTTTCAAGTCCGGAGCGCCTGCAAGTCCAGCCGTCTGTACAACAACTAGGCTAACGCAAAGCCAGAAGAACGCCCACTCATGGCTATCCAGGATGGAGAATTTGACGAGCGGCCTGTATGAAGCACGATTGCAGCGGCGACGCGTGCGAATTGCGGTTCTTGATACTGGTTGTGACGACAACGCACCGTTTTTCTTCGAGGATAACAACGGAGACCGACTCAAGGAATGGAAGGATTGGACAGGTGGGGGTAATTCTTTTGAGGATTGCCACGGTCATGGAACTCACTTAGTATCACTTATCATGCGAATTGCGCCAGAAGCACATATTTACGTGGCCCGGGTAGCTAGAAGGCCGAATGAACTGCTTGCGGCAAGCAAGAATGTTGCAGAGGTATGTTTTCTCATCTTTTTTGTAATATTCCACTGCCAGATGGCCCAGCCTAACATTCTAAAGGCCTTAACCCATGCCAGCACGGTATGGAAAGCAGATATCATTTCCATGTCCTTCGGCTATGCGGACGAGCAGCATGATATCCGTCAAGCTATCCGACAGACCTTGAATGATCGAGATGGTCGTATTCTCCTCTTCGCCGCAGCGTCTAATCTTGGGGCAAACGACAGGGAGATGTTTCCTGCCAGACACGAAGGGGTGATTTCCATACGCGGCACCAACTTCTTTGGCACATTCCATGATTTCAACCCACCTCGGAACCCTCACGAGGGAGCGGTTCTGGGTACATTGGGCTTGGATGTCCCCGCCGCGGGTCTGAGCGACGTTGATGACGAGGTATATAGATCAGGCACATCTGTCGCCACGGCTGTTGCCGCAGGTATGGCTGGAGTTTTGCTGGGCTATATTTACGGTAGATCTGGAGACATACAGGCGGTTGACAGAGTACGCGAGAAACTGCAGTCTCGCAGTGGGATGCAAGCCTTGTTCAGGGCCCTTGCTACCTCATCTATGAACGAGCACTATCTTTATGTGACTTTGTGGGAACTCGAGAACATGTCTCATGATGAACGGTGGTATTTTATCCAACGCGCCATGTCCGCTGTCTGAACCAGCTCGAATAGACCTGTTATGTGCAGAATCAACTACATACTGAGCATTCTGTGCTCCTGACGAAATTATTCCTCATCCCTGGCCCATAGGCATGTCACTTTCAGACCTCCTTCCGCTGATATAGCGTTGGCCTGCGACAGATCGTCTGGTTCCAGTTGAGTGGCGGCGACCTCGATGTTATCTTCATCTTCTCCATCCTGCTCTTCATCCTCTGTAGTGCTTAGGTATGAGGCTTTGTGTCTCAGCTCATCGTACTCTATCCTCGCCCCCTTGAATCCTTTCACTTCAATCTTGAGTAGTTGATACGCAAATACAATATCCTCGTTGGAAGTCCACCTATCGCTACTCTCTGCACCAGAAGACCTAGAAACAGTAGCCCCCATAGAAACGTCGCCCGCAGAAGTAGGGACGCCCGCTTCGACACCAGCCTCACCTGTCCTGTGTGTTCCTCTCTCCTGAATTGCAGCAAAGCCTTTTGCAACCATAATGCCCGTTACCATGTAGATCGGCTTCCGCTTCAGCCTTATCCCACGCTTCATGACCGCCTTAACCCGTGGAGAACGGACCCGAGCCTCGATCTCTTCATGGGGCGGATCGCCGACGAAGTAGACTGTCTCCAGTGTATCCATTGTATATTCACTGTGTAGATTCGCGCCGCTGCCTCCGGCGGCCTTTGCGGAGATGGTATTTAGAAACTGGGCCCAGACAGACATGGCGAGATCGTGATGGGCCTCATGGGTCATGCTTCGATCCCGGCTGCTGTATGTCTCGACGCGTGGATATGTCTCTTGCAGGAGGTTGGCATCAACGGTCGTTAGTGCTCGGTGTGGGCGTAATGGGTCTGTGACGATGTTGCCCAGTGCGATTGGGCCTGTGCCGGGCTTGAAGTGGAAGCTCGGGGCGAGGATGTACGTCAGGTTGGGCATCGTGGTCAGCCTGATATCGAATAAACAGCAGCTTCACACCACGAATGATGATAGATAAAAGATACCAATTCCCACGATGGTGGGATGTTTAGTGCGGGGCTGAGCTGAAGGAAGGAAACGTGACACCACTGCATGTTGGCGAATTGGCCACGCCCAGGCTGCATTTCAACCTCGCTTCACCGGCAACACAAGTTGATATCAGGGTGGGTGCTTGGCCATGACGATAGGCAATTCAATAGCCGACGCCACAAACACCTGCCTGCAAAATCTTGAGTCATGTCTCTCTATTGAGAGGCTGGCGCAGGGTGCGTGGGCAGAGACCCGCCTTGGAGACTTCAACCTCTGGATATCGGGGATAGGTGCATTGGCACCGGGAAAAGCTTCCCTCGACGCGAGGCTTGGTCGTAGACCAGAAGCTCAGAGAGTCGTCACCAACATCCTGATTTTACTTGGGTCGAATGTCGAACGATGCAAAGAACTAGGTCGGTTTCAAGCGCAGTGAGTGAATATCGCAGCAACTAACATATCGCCCAGCGCGAAGTCCAACTGGAAGTCCATCCGTGGGAGCAGTCCCAAGGCCTAGTGGAGATAGCGAATCTGGGGACAGTCTGCAGTTGGCTGACGATGATGAGCCGCCAAGGGCGTTCTCGCCTTGGTCTGATCATTCAGCGTCTGATGGCTCGACTCCATCTGAGGGCCAGAGTGGCCGGAATTCCCCAACTGGTGCCCTAGACGAGGCAATGAGAGATGTCGAGGAGCTGCTTGACCAGCTTGGCCAGCTCGGGCTCGTCATTCGGCGGGCAGGAAAGCGATCGCGGTTCGTCAAAGCAGACCAGAGATTTCGTCCTGAAGAGCACGAGATGTTGGAAAGCCATCTAACATCTATGCTACTCATGTGGTCTTGCTCACACCCAACACCTGGAGCCCCTGTCTCAGGGCCACTCACCGAGATCCAGAACCGACTTGTTCACAGTAATATGAAGAGACGTAACCGCTTTTTATATGCCCAAACTCACTCGCTGGGCTTAGCCCCGGCACATGTTAACCGCCTGAAGTCGGAGTCTACGGCCGCAACACCGACGATTGAATCTAACTTTCCTCAGCATTCACCGCGAGAGGGAGACAAAGCCGATAGGAAGCCAAGGGAAGGGCGCGACGGTGTTCCCCAGACCAGGCAAACGGTGACCACGGCCTCCGCTATTAGCGATTCATTTGCCAAAGATACATTGGATGTACCACCACCAAAGGGTACATCGACAATGCTGTCTACTACTGTGGGTAGTCTTGAGTATCCACGCCCTCCGCGATTGAAGGAAACCGCGCGAGTGTTTCGCTGTCCTTGCTGCTGCCAGACCCTTCCTGCCGATATGGCAACACCTTCAAGATGGAAGTAAGACCCCGAGCTGCCATACCACTGTAATAACGGCCCTAATTAAGATAGAAAACACATTGCAGAAGATCTATGTCCTTACACCTGCATTCTACCTCACTGTCGTCAGCCTGACCTTCTTTTTGACACAAAGGCAGAATGGCTTCAACACCTTCGAGAAACACACAGTAGCGCGACCTACTGGGTGTGCTCTATCTGTGACAATGAGAACACGTTTGCCACTGAAGAAACCTTCATCAACCACAGCAGGATGGCTCATCATGACTCCGTGCCACGGGATCAAGCCCCCTTACTAGCTGATATCTCTCAGCACTCGGCCCCTACAGAGATCCGCTGCTGCCCATTTTGCAATTGGACAGGAGAGAAAGGCGAGACTGATATGCGCACTCTTCTTGACCATATCGCACGAGGCGTTCATTCGTTTTCACTGCGGGCATTGCCATGGGCAGATGACAATGGACAGGAAATTGATGAACGCATTGAACATTCATGCGCCAAAGTACAGGAATGGCTCTTTACGTCTGGACTCTCTAACGGCCCTCCGTATAAAGAACCACCACCTCGAGAGAAAAGAAGGTTTGTCCATGACCACTTTGAGCATAACCCTTACTTTCCTGGGAACTCCGATGGCTCTAGCTCTGATGGCTCAAAGTCCTCGGGCTCCCTTGGTAGGAAACTGGAGAATATAAGGGGAGAAACATCTCTTGACTTTGAAAACCTCGATAAGAGCGATTCAAATTCGGAAGTTAGCACAGATCAGTCAGACGACATCCCCACGCAGCCGCTTGATAATATTCCTGGCGATTCAAATTCGGATCGCGGTTCTGACATGGATGAGATCGAAGCCGTTCTCAAGGACCTTGATGCAGATTCGGACGAGGAAGTAGAAGAGGATAGACCCGGCGGAATATATGAGAAGATGAGTTCCCGTCTATGGCAAAACCGTTTGAAGCACCAACGAAAGACCGTGGACGAGCTTCTAGAGCGGCTCTGCAAGCCACCCGACAACTGGCAGCAGCATGATGGTCTGCGTATTCCCGACGAGAATTTTCCGCAGATTGCGGGCTTTCTTGGGGTGGAAGATAAAGACCGTTCTAACCGGCAAATACGGCGCTGGGCTGAGCGACCGCGGCTCTACACTGTGTTGAGAAATATCGGGCACTCCGAATTGCTCGACCATTTCATCGCGGATGGATTAACTGACTTCGACCTCCCCTTCAGTGATCAGACACTCGTGCGATTAATCCCTGACCACAACATACGGAAGAATTTCTGTTTGAATCAGGGGTATGTGTTGACAGATGCACGGGGGTTGGAACAAGCAGGACCACACTTGCACTTAGGAGAGCGAGGGGACATTTATTTCAAACCTATACAGACATTGGGCCGAGGCGAATACGGGTGAGTTAGTCGGCATTCATCGCAAGCTGCCATACGTCGTGCTAACGAATTGCAGAACCGTTGATAGTGTGATGAGCTTGCTCAGCCTCCGCTCGTACGCCCGGAAAAGGTTCCTGAGAGACTCCTACAACAGGGATCGCCGTTACGAGACATATATCATTCAGGAAGTGGAGTCAATTAAATCACTTTCGCACCGACACCTCGTTAGCTATCTTGGATCTTACACCGAACCCAACTACATTGCATTTATAATGTCCCCAGTGGCGGATATGACCCTCCTGGCGTATTTATCAGGCGTCAGCCGGAGTACCGATGATATAGCTACCTCCATGTGGTCGTTCTTTGGGTGCCTGGCTGGAGCTGTGCAATACTTGCACAAGTTGCGGCTTATCCATCGTAACCTCAAACCAGGGAACATCCTGGTACTGCGTGGAAGAATCTTCATCTCAGATCTTGCAACAGTCCCTACGAGGCCAGGCAGTCATCGCCCTTCTGACGTACCTAGCAACATGTTCTACATGTCTCCCGAAAGTACTGAAGGCATTTTCGTCACACCGTCAAATGATATGTGGTCGCTCGGCATGGTTTTCCTCGAGATTTCCAGCGTTATACTTGGAAGCTCGCCGGAGGCACTCGGGGAGCACATCTATCTCGCAGCAACGAAATCTAGAACTCTCCCCTCGGTCTGCCACAACTTAGATTCGGCATATGAATGGATGGATAAGCTGGCAGGCGATAGTGTAGCTACGGCGCCCGATATCGAGCCTCTGAATTGGATCAAGGCGTTGTTGAAGCGGGAGCCAACGGAACGTTTAACAGCTGATCAGCTGGTCGAGAAGATCCGGCATGTCTCATCAGCATCAGCGTTTTTCTGCAGGGACTGCCAGTTATCTTACCAATTTCAGGCGCCCCGACAGCAAGAACATTTGGACCACCCAGAAACTGAAAATCGAATCACAGAGGACTCTACAAGTGCCCAAACGCCGGTCCAGACCCTTTTCGAAGAAAGTATGGACCCGCATTCAGAAGGGGAGGACATTCAAATACAGACAGCTCTTGACGAATGGCCTACATCGGCTAGCGAGTCCTCCATGGAGCCAGAAGGCGACGACCCGGATAGCAACTCGGAGGACGCAGATTCATTATCGGACGGGCGACAGGATCCCCAGCGAACATCCAACATATCCTACGATGCACCATCCACGCCACAGCGGAGCGAGCAACCAGACCTGCACGAGCATGGCCGGAGGGGCTTGACTGGGGTAGGGCCAGCAGAAATGTCGGAGAAGGCGGCGTTGGAAGACGAGACTCGAAAAACGGTCAAGGAACAGGCAGAGACGGGGCAAAAAGACCGGCCATATAGTGCCTTCAGCCCTGAAGTAGTCATGGAGACAACATGGGAGTCTGCCAGCAGTCAGGCCAATGTGGGTACGGGAAGCAAGAGGCTGATTGTATACGGCTCCGGCTGGCGAGATACAGAATCCCAATACTTGGAATGGTACTGCCAGGGGGGAAAGGCCGCTGCTGTCCGACACCTGCTCGAGCAAGGCTGCAATCCAGGAACAAGCCAAAACCCTCGACCGAAACCCCTTTTTTTCGCTGTTAGAGGCGGCACCAGTGGTCACTACAAATGCCTGCAAGCATTGATTGAGAAAAACGTAGATGTGAATGTCCAGCACCGAAAATCTGGCCAAACCGCCCTGCACTTTGCTGTTAAGACTCCAGATTTCAAGCGCCATACTAACATGGTTCGAGATCTTGTCCTTGCAGGCGCAAACCCCAATGTTGCGGACAATAAAGGAAACTTTCCAATCCATCTTATATTCAGGACTGGTCCACCCGGAGGCCTGGAGAAATTCCGTGTTGATGCACTCGCCTGCATTCTGAAGTCTGATATCGACGGCGGCGCAGATGTAAACATTCCCAGTCCCCATCGCCAATATTCGCCCCTTCATCTCGCTGTTGAACGATCAAGTACCCTTGCTGTTGGCATGTTACTACACAAAGGTGCTGATGTCAACGCTGTCAGCTCATCTGGATTAACGCCGCTTTTTGTCGCCGCTAGGATGCGGCTGTATGGGCCGTTAGCCAGTGATCGAATTGCCATTCTAGAACTTTTGCTCGCGGCTGATGGCATCAACCTAAATCATACAGCAGGGCACTTGAAACGCACTGTTCTGCACTGGGCAGTACTTGATTACTCCTCTGTGGCTGTTCGCCTGCTATTAAAAGCAGGTGCTGACCCATCAATCGCAGATGCTGAGGGGAAGAGTGCCATTGATCTTGCTGAGAAGTCGAGCAAGGCCATACGCGAGCTATTTCAGAACTAGCTAGCCAACCAGTGATGGTCTAAAAGCCGTTACTAGATTTATCCTAGGAGTTGTTACGGAAAGGCAGACCCCCGAATTTTCTGGGCCTCAGATTTATAACAAGAGCTCTGAATAGATTGACCTACTAGATAGCAGGCTATCAGGAACCAACATTAGACAAACCCGAGGGCCAGTGAGGGAGAAGACTGTGAGCTTTGTTCATCAACCACCTCTCGGACTTGCGCGCCTTGATTCAAATAGAGAATGTGCCAGGCTGAGCATGTATCCAGGGTATAGGTATAACTATTACGCATCAATATATGTCTATATCAAATTCTTAATATGCCCATCCTCTCGCAGCTCTCGGAAGGCCACCGGCCGGGGCAACTCGAATGCATTCGGACAGGCCCCGTACATGATGCCCCCAGCCCTAAAGACGGGCCTCAATTTCTGAATATCCGCTGTCGCCCGGTCCGCGCCCACAGCGTCCTCCCAGATATGGAACCGGATGACCTCAACAATGACCATGGTCGATGTCCGTACAGACGGGTCTTTCTTGCTGAAAAAATCCTGCACGGAGTGAAGCTTACACTCGACCGAATACGGCGATTCGGCTACATGGGCGGGCTTGACGAGATCACTCGGCCTGGGGGTAAGGCCTGAAAGAGGCCACTCAGCGACATGTCTGGGTGAGTTGACTGATGCAAAGTTGGCAGCCTCCACAACCCACTGGGGCGTCGTGGAGATACAAATCTCCTTCGTCGCCAGAAGGTTCGTGAGCGTGTCGTTGACCGACCTAGTTGTAAACGAGAGAGAATACATGGGTGGCTTCCCAGTATCAGCCTTTTATCGAGAAGATACGAAAAGAAGGCAACTCACATCAGTAGAAGCACACTGCCAGAACGAGAACGGAGCCAGATTCGCTGTCTTTCCATCCGCCGACACCGTGCTCGCCAACGCGATCGGGCGTGGCACAGTCGCTGAGATCAAGAGCTTATAGTTCAGCCATGGGCCACGCCCTTCCTCGTAGGGGTCGATTGTGATGGACCTGTGGCTCTTCCAGTCCTCGTCCGATGCGCCATCGCCCGCCCGCCAACTTGGATTTGGGGTCTTGGTGAACTCCACGCCTGTATCGTTGTTGAAGATTGGTCGCGTTTTTTCAACAATAGCAAAGTCGGCGTGAGGGTTGCGCTGGATCTGAGGTTCTGGATTGGGGGCCTCGATCTGTTTATCATGTGCCATTTTGGTGATATGGATGGTATTCAATGCGGAGTTATAATTATCGCTTTGTCTTGCTAGGGAAAGTCCAATTATTTAACATCTTCTATTTACTGACAATTAGTAATCCCTTCATGCAGAATAAGACTCTTTTAGGATGCCCACTTTTGAGCTGCGTGAGAGGGCAATATATATATCCCCACAATTACAGCACTGCACCCTTCATTCGAACATCATCGATATTGAACTGCTCTGAATGTGGTTGAATAATTACAACACATCGACATTTCCACAAGGTGTCCATCTGAGCGTAAATACGGGCAACATCGTGGACCCCCATTCTCGGTCGGCACCCGGCAAAGGGGCACTGACATCCGAGGCAAATAACGATGCAGAATGGCGATCAACTGTACTATGATTGGCTAATTCATGGCCTCATCTCTCATATATGGGTGAATATAGGCAGTATATGATCAGTTTAATCCCCCTTCTCAGTATACACCGATGGATCCGGTGCGAATTTACTCTTCCGGCGCAGCGCAGGCCCAAACATAATAAAGCCCAGGGGAATTGGAATCATGACTGCAGCCAAACACCCTAGAAGTGTTCCAGCCCATTGCACGCCTAGATTCTGGAACATCTGGCGCGAGAAGAGGGGGAAGCCTGCACCAACTGCAGATCGGAGGATTGTATTCGCTGCAAACACGGACGCCGCGCTATTACTGTTAGCTCTGCATCTGGCTTAGATGATAATGACTTACAATTGCAGGTAGGAGTCGATGAGGTAGTTGAAGCACTGCAGGAAGATGCAGTAGATCCCGAAGCCGGTGAAGACGCCCGATGCTGTTGGTGCCATCCAGTGTACACTCCCAGTGAATCCTGTCCAGCCAAACCTGCGGTTGTCAGTAAATGATATAGAGACTGTCAGACAAGGTAGGTAAGGCATACCAAAATAGCCCAATTGTAAATGCAATACCACCCACGATAGCATGGGGCAGCCGCCACTCCGGAATAGGCATGTTGTTATTCGCAACCAACTTCTTCGTATACGATGGCTGCGTAAGCAAGGTATAGACACCAGCCAGTATCTCGCCGATAATAAGGCCGATGAAGGGCAAACTACCGACTCCCAGGTTCATCCCATGAATCTGTTGGAAGACAATCGGGTACGCCGATAGCAGCGCATACATCAGCCCATAGATGAAACTCATATACAACGTCACAAGAAAGACAATCGGCTCGGTAAACAACATGCGAAACGGCCTGCTGAAGTTGACGGTGATAATCTCGTTAAAATCGATCTCGACTTCTGCTTGTTTCGCGTGGATTCCCCAGTTATGAGTCTGTCGGCGAAGGATCGCTGCCTTTTCAAGCAGAACGATCGGAGCATACGTCTCCTTGAAAAACAGTATAAGGAGGACCGAGCCTAGGAACCCCATAATAGCAGAAATATACATCGTCCAGCGCCAGCCCAGGTAGCTCATTGTGATAAAGCCACCGACAAACGGAGACGCAAACGGCCCAACAAACACCGCCATGGCAAACATCGCGATCGCCACCCCGCGAGTCCTGTTATTGTAGATATCTGCAAACGCAGCGGGAACAATCGCCAGCGGGGCAGCCGCGAACAGACCAGCAAAGAAGCGCGTTAGCATGATCGTCTGAAGATCCTTGGCTGTCGCAGTGCCGATGGTAAAGATGCTATATCCGAAGACGCCGGCTGTAATGGGCCAGCGGCGCCCGGAGAGCTCGGATGCCGGGGCCCAGAAGGTCGGCCCGGCTGCGAATCCCAAAACATACAGAGTGACTCCGAGGGTTGTAACTTCAGTGCTGACGCCGAACTTCTCGCTGGTTGTGCCCACGGTGGCGGAGTAGATCGCGCTGGCAAAGGAGGAGACAAAGGTAACGTAGGCGAGGATCACAGACAGCAATATCCTATTCCCAACAATTTCCGTTAGCTAGCTACCTTGTCACTTAAACTCAGGGAAAGCGACGTACTTTGTCCGAGTTGGCCAGTTATGCGGATGCATTGGATCGTGCTCGCCGTCGAACTCGACAACATACATATCAGGGTCCGGCAACAGCGGAGGATGAGGTTTTCCCCCACCGAATGGGAGCCATTTCTCAGGAGGCTCAGGAGGCCGTCCCGATCCAATGGTCCTCTGCTGTGTTACTCGTAGAGTCTCGATCCGCGATAGCTCGACATTACTGCGTACGCGGGTCGCCCCCGCCCGCGAAGGGTTGATGGCAGCATACTCGGTGTCTTCGTGTGTAGGAGTGGCAGTTTCAATAGCAGAAAGGCCACTATATCGATCGACGGGGGTTTCCATTTCTCTCTATTTTTTGAAATTCTACATACCATTCGTAGGGGTGCTGGTCTTTTATTCTTGTCTAGAAGAGCCGGAAGCTGCGCGAGATGTCGTCATTGATTGGGACCCGGCCTAACCGTGGATGGACAGGCCGAATATGCCGCCGCGGCGAATTGCCTTAATGGCTGCCTATTGAGACACTGGATCCGGGGCAGGAACTGGCGGTTTATCAACCGAGTGTAATGGGCGGGACTTGAGGGCGGCAGTCGCTCTGTATACTCCACTTTGTCAATGATGCCGAAAAGTAACAGCGCATAAGGATCATCACCAGTATATAAACGGGCCATCTTGTAAGCAGCAGATATATCAAAATTAGTATAAGACTATAAAGCCACTGTTTTGAATCCTTCACCATCCCAAACTCCAAGCACCCAAATTTACTACTCGATACAAACCCTCCGCCATACGACCCGTCTGGATCGGTTGTACTTATATCACAGTCTACTTCAAATCCAAGCCAAGTGCCAGCACACGGTTCACCCATAGGGAACGCTCGTTTCGGTGAACATCCCCTTTGGTCTTCCGCCCAACGTATCCAAACCTTCAAGTCGCCGTCTGTGCCCGGAGCACTCTGCACATGTTCAGAGTCATCCGGGTGGAATGCATCACCGTCTGCACATAGTTTTCCGACGAGTGTTCCAGCCGCAGCTTCAGAGAAGTTTCCGTACCGGCGATCTTCGTTGATGGTTCGGAAGCACAAGTTCTTCCCTGGCTGCTTTGGGATGATGGTCGGAAATGCCGGGAGGATGTCGTGGTTTACTGTTGCAGTTGGACCAGTAGACTGAGTCGTCGAGAATTCGGATGCTGTATCTGAAGGCGAGCTGGCTGTCGTCGAAGGAGGGACCTGCTCGGTCGTGGTCAGAGTCGTCGGTTCGGCCATGGAGCTGTGTGGTCGAGGAGTGCAGACGGGAGCCTTGGTGATCGTGGTTGTCGATGGTGTTACTGAACATCCCGTCTCTGTCCTTGTTGTCGATGGTGAACATGTAGACTCCTCGCCATGTCCTGAATGACTGGCCCTGCACACGAGAGACGTGAGTGGCCGTGGTTGGAGTGCATGCAGATGATGTAGTAGCTGTTGTTCGCGGCTGACAGGCAGGTTTTCAGTTCAGTTGGTTATATTGGAAGAACACATATAAATAGATATCCTCCAGATCAACGCTTATTAATGTAACCGCGTGGCTGTGTATTTGTTTGCTGGTATAAACTTCCTGTCTGCCCGCCATCTCGGCGCTTAGAGCAACACAGCAACATGCACCTTCTCGACCTGCCCCTCGAGATCTTCCGCGCCATCCTCGCCGAGGTGCTTGTGCCGGGGGGCCCCCTAGCCCCCGTACAGCTCGTCAACAGTGAGTACCATCAGCTTGAACAAACGAGGACCATACTGATATGTCAGAAACGTTCGCACGGGAGGCCCGGTTGGTGTGGTGCTCGGTCACTGACTGGTTTCCTCCTGCAATCGGCGAACCCAAATTGGGAGCGTACTTCGTTTGCGCAAAGGCAATGGCTCCTACTAGCAGAACCTACTACGCCTTTCGCACGATTCGGCGATGCGTGGAGTGGATTGCCGAACAGGAATCAGCCATAGATCAGCGCCAGGAGATCTGTCATACTCTCTCTCGGTCAGCAATCTTGCATGGCGGTCGGCCATTGCGAGCCGCTGTCCGTTTGAACCCTTACACAGACTACCAAAGCCGAGAAGGACTCCGCCAAACTGATCAGGCACCGGAACACCTTCTGGCCGCCGCAGCGCGTGTCGGTTCCACCTCACTTGTGCAGAGACTGTTGGACCAGGGTGCTGATGTCAACGGAGAGAGTGACCTCTTTGGAACGCCGTTGGTGAACGCCGCTCGGGGCGGGCATTTGCTCTTGGTCCGTCTTCTACTTGAAAAGGGCGCAGATAGCGATTGTGCATCTCTGGAGTTGACAGAACAGGAGATTGGGGATGAGTTATTCCTCGACGACTTCCCCGGTAGACTTAATAGTATGTCTCCAATTAAAGAAGAGCGAGCTCCGTTCAGCCCACTCAGTGCAGCGGCATTTGCAGGCCACATGGAAATTGTGCAGTTGCTTCTTTCGCCGCAATTGCGCCTTTCTCGGTCGTCATGCTACTTTTTTCAGGCCCTATCCCTTGCTGCCGAGGGTGGTCATTCGAGCATCCTACAAATACTCCTGGCCTCGGCCGACCTTGACGCCGTAGATCATCGACTGTCCCGGCAGGTCAAGATTGACGCTTTAAAGCGCGCTGCCAGTGAAGGTCAGGTCGATTGCATGGAACTGCTGCTAGACGCGGGAGCTCCCATCACGCGAATGACCTTCAGCACCCTCACCGAGTCTACCCTAACCTGTGCTGCAACGAGAGGCCAAAACGGAGCGATCAAGCTTCTCCTGGACCGGGGTGCACACGTTGATGAGATGGGTACGCACCGAGACACTCCCCTTTCGCGGGCAGTAGAGCTAGGGTTTCCGCGTACCGTAGCCCTTCTTCTCTCTCATGGGGTGGACCCAAATGTCCACGCGGTAGAGGCTTTCTGCAGGTGTGATATCTGGTGCTGTATGAAGGCACTGCTTGACGGGGGGTTTCATAAAGTTTGCCCATGGGCATCGAAAACAGCTCTTTCGCGTACCGAGCAGGAGGGCGCTGAGGATCTTGTGGCTTTATTGCAGGAGTATGGGGTTACTACTGATGGTCTTGAAGGCTTGAAACCACCGTGACCTTACCACGTTGGCACGTTGTATTTACTGCTAAATTCGTACATTATTACCGTTCTTGGCTGTGCAGACAGGATTAGTCAGCGAATTAATGTGTCTTCCGTATTTCGCTCTCCGTACTCCGTATTCGAAGCATCCGCCCAATGCCGTCGCGACGCCCCCATACAAAATCCCGAGCTGGCTGCAAGAGATGCAAGGAGAAGCATATCAAGTGCGATGAGGCCCAGCCTGTTTGCGGCGCCTGCGCCAGATATAACGTGCCCTGTGTTCCGAAGCCGTCGAGATCCAGGGCCAAGCCTGCCAGCTCAGCACAGTCCCAGCCATCAGTATCGCCAGGCCCTATACAAGGTGCAGAGTCCAGGTCTTCAATTACAGTCTGGGAATTCGGCCTGCTGCACCACTGGATCCTGCACGTAGCGGACTCGTTCAACGTCAGCCGCGGGTTCTGCGATGCCTGGCGCAACCATGCCATCAAAGACGCCGTCCAGCACGACTTCTTCCTACACATGATCCTGATGCTGTCTTGTCTGCACCTAGCCCTAACAAAGTCGCCATCTTTCACTGAAGCACACCGCGCCTTCATCTTAGAAGGTTGCTCGGTCGCAACGGCGCGCTTCCGCATCGAAGCCGGAAACATCAACGACTCCAACTGCCAGGTCGTCCGAGGCTTCCCTTTCCTGCTCTCCATCTACGGATTCGCATTAGGGCAGCTCGATTGTGAGGATAAAAGCGACGAGGCAGTCCTCGATGAGATGATTCACATATTGATCCTCATCAAGGGCAACAGTCTGATCCGTGACACCACGAACCCCTGGATGCAACTCCGTGGACTCGAGGCCTGGATGGACGAAAAGGACGTCTTCACCAACGACCCGAATGAACTCCAATCCGACCTCGATCTCGTGCGTGCAGTGGGCGATCTAGAGCGCTGGATAGACTCGTCCGATGACGACCTGGCCGTGAAAGCAAGCAACACCAACACCGTCAACCTGTTCAAGGGCGCTCTTGACTTTCACCTCAAGCTGAATCTCCGGCCGCTTGCATGGCCGAACGTCATTCAGAATGATTATCTGGATTTACTCCGACAGCGAAACCCCATGGCCATGGTTATCCTGGCCCACTACGCTGTGATTCTGGGGCAGTGTAGCTCGCAGTGGTGGTGTTCTAACTGGGGAGTCCAGCTGGTGTCTGTTATTGCCTCCCTCCTGCCGGAGAAGTATACAGGGGCCATGGCCTATCCGCGTCGTATGTTGAATTTAAACCCTGATAGGCAATGAATCAATCCAACTAAATACAATGCATCATGTCTCGCCGGGCGGAAACTACACCTGACATAGCCAGTGAAGAACACCTTTCCAGCTGAAAAAAAATAAGATTTGCAATTCAAAGCTAGGTGTCGATCAGCGTATACGTATATACTCTGGGTTGGACGCCGTACGTATAGCAGCAATGCCACTTAGCAACCTCCACCAGGATCCTATTCGCCAGCATTCATACGCAGATGGGACAGCGAATCCTGACACAATATTAATAAACACTGCCCCGCCATGCAAACATGACTTGCCTTCAGCTGCGCCAAGCTGTGGTGGAGTCTCGCCCGATACGCATACGCTGGTGGCTGAGCGCTCCACGGTCAGGAACCGCATCAGTTCGATGTATATAAGGGGGTCTACAAGGGAGTAAAATAGAGCAACAATACAATCACATCAACATGAAGATCGCATTCATTCTCGAAACAGCCCTCTTCGGCCTCGCTGCCGCATCCTGTCCCTTCGGCCATGGAAACCACAAGTACCAGAAACCACGGCCAGAAGACAGTCAGTCAATCTTCACATTGTATCTTCCAATCTAACACATACAGGCCGCTCTCCCTGTCCCGGCCTCAACGTCCTAGCAAACCACGGCTGGCTCCCTCGCTCAGGCAAAAACATCGACCTGGCAACAGTCCGCAGCGCAGTGGCAGGCGCATACAACTACGCCCCGACAACATTCGACGAAGCCTTCCAGATGGCGCTGGATGTGAATGTCTCAACATCAGGAAACAGCTCGACCTTCCACCTCGCGGATCTGCGAAAGCACAACGCTGCAGAGTTCGACGGGTCCCTCTCTCGCAACGACGCCTATTTCGGGGATAATCTGCATTTCAGCCCGGCTGTTTGGGGCACTGTCGCTGAAAGACTAAATCTATATGACGCGGGTGACTGCAATAGAGATACATATGTTACGGTCGAAATGGCAGCCAGAGCCCGAGCTGCACGAGTACAGGATGCGATGCGCGCAAACCCGAACTTTACCAACTCCAAGCTGGCGATGGAGGGAAGCCCTGGGACGACTTCGCTGTATTTGACTACATTGTGGGACTATGAAGCGGATGGAGCGCCGAAGGCATGGGTTAGGGCTTTCTTTGGTATGTTCCTCTCTCTTTGGTTCTGATACGGGTGCTAATTTTGATAGAGGACGAGCGGATTCCCTATATTGAGGGATACCAGCGGCCGAAAACCCCGAGGAACTTTACCGATATTGGAAATATGAATGCTAGGGTGTTGGCTGTTGATGCGAAGGCATAGCATCACTTGTTCAATATCATTGATTCATTCCGGTTGTTTACCTATTTACCAGACTAGCGATCAGTATACAATAGAACACCGCATGTCCTTTATCTGGGTGTTTCCTTGAATTATCCTCCCCTATATCCTGTCCGAGTAGTATATGCTATTTCACTCTGGAGGTTATTGCTTAGCAGCCTTCATGTCCTCTTCCCAAACATTCCTGACCTCCTCGCTAAACGCATCATCTGTGAGTATCCTCCACCCAACCACTCCCATCCCTTTAGCCCAGTCAATGGCCGTCTTAAAAGAGCTGTCCAGCGCAGAAGCATCTGCAAAACCCCGGGTGTGGTTCCCCTGACCTTGCACTGTATTTATACCAAAGGCACCATGGAACCCAGGACATTCGTACGTCACATTGCCCATATCAGTCGACCCAGCCAGGAAGTCAGCCGGTTCATACAGCGCAACGCTCCCGGCAGGCATGGAATCCACAAAGGCCTTGCAAATGGGCACAGATGATCGTAGGTCAGCATACGTATTTAGAGCTTCAAACGCAACCTCGCATCCGGTCGCGTACGCTGCACCCTCGAAACACTTCTTCACGCGCTCCCACAGACGCTCCGCAGACTTAAGGGTATCACTTCGAACTGTAACTCAATTAGACGGGCCTTTATAATGATGATCACGGCGAATAACCTACCGTAAAACTCAGCAACACTCCTATCAGGAATAATATTAGGGCGATCTCCAGCCTCGCGAAAAACACCATGGATCCGCTGATACGGCCGGATCTGCTGCCGCAGCATGGAAACCGCATTATAAGCCAGACACACCGCGTCGAGCGCATTCGCACCGTTCCACGGCTCCATGGCAGCGTGCGCAGTGCGACCAGTAAACACAACCCTCCACTTGACATTAGCCAGCATCTTAACCGCCGCGACGCCAGTGACGCCGTCTTTCAACAGATACTGCGGCCCCGGGTGCGTCATCAGACATGCCGCTGCGTCCTTGTAGGCGCCGTTGTCGATCAGATGGAGTTTGCCGCCGCCACCTTCTTCTGCTGGGGTGCCTAGCAATCTAACTCGTCCAGGAGCACCAGATGCTTTCAATGCGGCGACGACGCCGAGAAACCCGGCAAGACTGGCGCTTGCGATCAGATTGTGCCCGCATGCATGTCCGATGTTGGGTAGAGCGTCGTATTCGGCATTAAACACGAGAAGACGCCCGCCAGAGCCAAAGTCGGCTGAGAAGGCTGTCTCGACGCCGTATGCGTGTGGCGTGACGTTGAAGCCGAGGGATTGCAGCAGCGAGACGAAGTTATCGTGTGCCTGGAATTCTTTGTAGGCGAGTTCGGGGGCGGAATGGATCTGTTGGCGTTAATTGACTGAAGATGGACTGTGGGATTCATATCACCTTGTGGTTTAATGTATTTATCTCGTCGTGCTTCTCGTCGATGGCTTTGCCGATGATATCGGGCCATTGCGATTGACCAGCCATGGTCGGAATATGATCTTGAATACAACGCTTCAATTGAGGGGCATTGTAGGAATAAAGAGACGAGGCCGTGGAATAAATTGGGCCCTCATGCGTCATCTCGGCAGGCCCTCCGACGGTCTGTGCTCGCCCACTGCCGACTTCATACGGGCTCCTCCGGGCTATATCAAGATTCTCTTGGCAACGTGGGGTAAGCATCACGCTCAGTGTATATCCCTTGGCAACAACAATGATATCTCCAGCCAAGACGCCATGCTCGGGTGTTATCTACGCCCGCCCGCTCTCGTTGGCCGCGTCGCCTACTATCTGATGCGCCCCCTCTCTCTCCTCTTCTGGGCAGGTCATTTGTACCAAGAGACGGGATATCAGTGTTGAACAGCTGCCGCGTTGGATCAGCAGAGGGGTAATTGATATCTATGGTATAAAGAGGGCGTGAGGATGGCCGGGACGTAGCCCTCCAACGCGCCTTTCTCGCTGAAGATTGACCGTCTCTCAAACCATATCAACCATAATGGCCCCATCTGAAAAGGCAGAGATTGAGCAGAGTGGGACAACTGTCCACCCCGAAGACATGAAGGAGAGTACCGATTACACCCTCCCGCCAGCGGAGAGCAAGTCTCTTCTCCGTAAGATAGACAGATGGTATCTATCCTCTGGTTACTTCCGTATTATCTGCTAACAGATTTCAGTCTTCTCCCTGTCATGGCTATCTCGTATTTCTTCCAGTTCTTGGATAAGATGGCCCTAACCTCCACGGCCATTCTGGGAATCCGCGAGGACCTCAACCTTACGGGAGGGCAATATTCCTGGGCGGGTGGGATTTATTATTTCGGCTACCTCATCGCATCCTATCCAGCAGGTGCGCTGATGGTACGTTGGAAAGTCGGCAAAGCAATTGCCACCTCAGTGTAAACTCTCTTTTTTACTGTTCTATCGTTCGTTGCTTATACCGTTAGGCTCGTCTGGGGCGGAATACTCATGCTCACAGCCTTATGCTTCAATGGCGCGGGTCTACTAGCCACCCGTTTCATGCTGGGTGTTGCAGAGGCTGTAATCGCCCCTGGCCTGACGGTTGTCATTTCCATGTGGTATAAACGCGAGGAGCAGCCCCTTCGCCATGCTGCGTGGTTCATGGGGAACACCTTTGCCGGCATCTTTGGCAGTCTCATCCAGTACGGCATCGGGCACATAGAGACCATTGCACCTTGGAAGGTATTCCAACCGTATACAGTGACGTGAGTTATAGCTAACACTTTAAGGCCGTCTTCTTAATTCTCGGTGCGATCACTGTTTCTTGGTCTGCTGGGGTTTTCTTTCTTCTACCAGATACCCCGATGGATGCCTGGTTTCTCAGCCGGGCAGATCGCAGTAAGGCAATCGCAAGGGTCAACGAGAACTTGACCGGTATCAAAAACGACGAATTCAAATGGCCGCAGTGCTTCGAAGCCTTGAGAGATCCAAAGGCGTGGTTCATCTTCTGTATGCAAATGACCTCTAGCATTCCAAACGGGGGCGTCACGACCGTATGTCTACCGCATCCTAATAACACTTCAATCGCTAACAGAGATTAGTTCAGCGCAATTGTCATTAAAGGTCTCGGATTCAGCACCTTCAACACCCTTCTCCTCAACTCTGTCAGCTATCTCCTCCAGCTCATCATGGTATTGCTCTGCACAACAGGAAGCACCTACCTCCCCAACACCCGGACCTACTTTATGGCGTTCAACTACGCAGTCGCCCTGGTTGGAGCTGCCATGGTGCGCGAGCTGCCGGAGACACAGAAATGGGCACGCTTCGCTGGGACGTGTCTACTGACGGGATACTCTGCAAGCTTTCCACTGAAGATGGCCTTGATGTCTGGGAACTTTGCAGGGTTTACCAAGAAGACTACCGTAAATGCCATGGTACGTTGCTGTATACTATATAAATATTATGATCCCAGCTAATACCGTACAGAGCTTTATCGGCTACTGCGCCGGCAACATCATCGGGCCCCATCTGTTCTTCGACCACGAAGCACCAACGTACACCTCCGCCTTCCTGGCTATGATGATCTGTCCGTCTATCGGAATTGTTCTCTCCCTTAGCTTCAGAGCATACCTTGTTTGGGTCAACCGATGCCGTGATAAGGCTGCTGGGGGGTCAGGTCCAGTGGATACTACTGATCTACAAACGGGGGTTGCACTTAACCTTATGGATAAGACGGATATGGAGATGCCTCAGTTTAGATATGTTTATTAGGTTATTTACAGCATAGAGAGGGGTTGAAAGTTGGTGCGGTTGATCTGTCGGCGAATGAATTGGGATATGGCGCGGAGTGGATTCGTAATTGATTGAGCTACTCAATATCTCTCAGCATATTATTTACCTCCCTGGACCTCTATACATATATAAACCCTACTGCCCCGGCGCCGCATTGGTAAGAGCTGTCTCGCCCGGCGTAAGACCCGCCCATTCCCAACATGCATTCCAGAGATTTTTGTGTACATCAGAATTCCGACTAGCCTCAGCTGGACTGTCAGCTTTCTGCCCAATATAATACCCGCGCTTCCCGTGAAAAGCCGGATCCACACTGACAGCCACCAGATCTCGACCAGAATCCTTGTTGGTGCGAAGTGCGGTCGTTACATGTTTTAAAACGGGCATGAGGAAGTTGAGAACCGAGAATACGCGCTGGACAGATGCCTTCTGGCCTGATTGTGCTCTGGACGCGACGAGGCCGCCTGGGTCCATGGCCAGCACTGTTATGTTTGATAGATTAGGGTCCTGCCCTCCATGTCAGTTTCACTCATTGGAATGAATCGAGTAGCATACCTTTTGGAGCCTTTTATTGAGATCTTCTGTGAATATAACGTTCGCCAGCTTGGCCGTCCCATACCTCTGGAATCCTCTATCATGAACAAGGGCCGGGGGATCCGGAGTAGGCTTGATAAGCTCCTCAACATTCTCCGGGATACCAGCTCGCAAAGAAGACAGCGGATTCGCTTTTTCTGGGTAATGCACCGCCGAACCCAACATGACGACCCGTCCGGAGGTACGATCCATACTTCCAAGCAGCTTCAGGATGAGGAGGTAGTGTGACAGATGACTAACTTGGAATGTTGCCTCGAGGCCATCGGATGTAAACTTTTGACCCGTCTGGAGGGACCAGGTGAATGCGTTACAGATGATGGCTGATATGGGTGGGAGCTCCTCTGAGGATATCCTTGCCGCCAGATTGTCGGCGAACGAGCGCACCGCTGCCAGGCTGCCGAGATCAAGGCCTTCAACCTTGGAATTTGCTTGTGGATATTTGGCAATAAGTTGCACCAGTTTGGCAGTATTCGAGTCTGTTTCAGGAGAGGCGTTCCGCACGGTGGCGATGAGGGTATGCTCGGGGTAAGAGTTCAGGAAGGACTCGACGAAGCCGAGAGCTAAAGAGCCGTTTGCGCCAGTGATTATAACTGTTCCATTCATGGTTCCGTGATATATCTAGGAATTTTTTAATTGCATTTTGGCCGCAGCAGCTTGAAGGGAATTTATATACGTCCTGACGTCTTAACTCCGGTTCGTTTCCGTGGTTCCCTACATATACCACAAGATATCTTCTGAATCTGGCAGGTACTCGCCTTGGCTGTGGCTAAGCTTTCAGATTGTCTTCCAGCATGTTCCAGCCCTGCAGAACAGGGCAGCCGTATAAAAATAAGACTGGACTCCTGATCTATAAGGAACGTTTGGCCAGCTATTCCACTTTGGGAAGGTACAGTGCTTGGCGTTGGCCTAAACTAGCCGTATCCAGATAGTATGTTGTCGATCTCTTTGATTACTCATTTGTCATCAGACAGTGAAGTGAGACTGAGACTGTCCATCTCGACTTTCTTCTTCAACAGAATGCAGAAAATTCAAAGAACTGCCTGTAGCCATGGCACCGCATGAGCTGCAATTCATCATCAGCTCAGCGCCATCCTCGAATTCATCCAAGGGTGCCTCGCTGCGGACCGCTGCCCGGTCTCACGCCGCTCGCTCAGCACACGCCCGGGCACGACGCCTACGGACGATAGAATACCAGGCCCAGAAAAGTCGAGAAAGGAATAGACCTTCCAATGATGCAGATAATGCGGGGCCCTCTGACCTGCCAGGTTGCGGGCCAAGAGATGCACTTTCCTATCACAGGAGAGATCCGTTCATGGCCTGCGCAAAACAGCTAAAGCCGTTTGAGCAAATGCTGTTTGATCACTGTATGTTTCATTGCTCTTCCCATTTTTCATGGCTCTGGAGATAACGGGTTTAGATGTCACTGTCATAATCCCCCTCATGCGCTGCAATTCATTCGACGCGCACTTCTACCGGCGCATGATGGGCATCTGGGTTCCACTTGCCCTTTCAGAAGCAGGTCTTCTGGATATCCTTCTCCTTGCAGCATCGCGGCATTTAATTGAATGTGACGAATCGCAGCAGGACCATTTCGCCCGACTGGCCTTTCAGTACAAGGTTGGCATTGTGCAGGCGCTAAGGGGGGCTATTTCTGCGGAGACGCCGCATTTTACGGACTCGACTGTTATCAAGGCCATCATGCTTGCTTACGATGAGGTAATCGCCTGTCTTACATTCAGTGATTAAGCTAATAATCCTGCCAGCTATGGACCCATGACGATATTACCATGAAGCGCCATGTGGAAGGGGCCGTGAGGATGGTAAGCCTGAAAGGCGGCCCCCAAACACTCGGTATGGATGGACTGGTTGAGCGTTTACTCTTTAATTTATTGGCCAAAGTAAACCAGCACATTGGCCTTACAGTCAAGTCGCCCTGGGATCCGCGGATAACCAGTGTCGAGCTTGCAGGGTAGTTTTTGCATAAACGTATAATATAATGTATCGCTATACGGGTTTTGTCATTCTTGCAGTTATCTCCTCAAGAACGTTTATCGAACTTGGCTATCTTTGCCATGTCCTTGTCGAGATAGTTGATCCAGTCGACAACCGTGTTGTAGAAAGTGGGTGTGTCTTCGAGGGCTGGAAACAGATTGAAAGCATGAGGAAGGCCGGGATAGACCTTGGTTTTCACAGGAACACTATCCTGGTTAGCAGGTTTGATACGAGCCTGAAGTATAGTTCGCTTACCCGGTTTTCTTGAGGGCTTCGCTGTATGCCAGCCCGTCGTCTCTGTCGGGATCGCGCCCTGCTATTTGGATCACTGTGTATGTCAACGGTGCACTTATAGGCTTGACGCAGCTGGCTTACATGTTGGCGCCAGATCTTTATGAGAATCCGCAAGAAGCGGACTCGCATAAGCGTCGTCCCCGGCCTCTGGGCAGTACAACTCTGTTATCACAAGATATTAGCGAATATTGTATACCTATTGATAGAATGCCAGCGTACTCCAAAACCAATGAACCGCCTCTGTGGTGAGAATCGGCGCGTCCCTATTCTGCTCCGGACTGTAGTACTCATACTTGTCACTCGGGAAGTGGTCTGGGTGACAGGTCCCTGGGAAGTTCAAGACCTGTCCGAATACAGAGCCGATGCCCTCGTCGCGATCTTTCAGTGCCAAGGCAGCTGCCTATATTCGTTAACATGTTGTCTGCCAGGGCTGGGAGTGACGCACAATGTTACCGCCAGAACTACTTCCCCCGACAACGACTCTCTGAGGGTCGATTCCCAAAGACACTGCATTCTCCCTGCACTAGTACTGTTAGCTAGGCTTGGGTCAGGAATTAAGTATGAACCGACCCATTGCAGCGAATCGAACGAGTCATTGACAGCGTACGGGAACGGATACTCAGGCGCCCTGTCTCCGTCAGCTTTGCCGGTTATATTCAATTCCACACTCATACAGCCGATAATTGACGCTCACAACAACAGAATCCGTCTTCTTAGCAACCAGCCGATTCATCGCCTCTTCCGTGTCATGGTCTCCAAGGACCCATCCTTCGCTGGTCAGCAAAACACAAGGCTAAGCCAACAGAGAATCGTACCTCCACCATGCGTAACGAAAAACAGCACCGCGTCTTTCCGAACATCTTTATCCCTGTAAATCCTAAGATTGAGCTCGGCGCCATCGCGGGCCTTGATTGTTTCATGGCTGATAGCAACACTGGCGACATCTCCCTGGTCGTATGGAAATGTCACAGGCATGTGGGCCATGATCTCGCGCATGGCCGGTACAGAGAGTCCTTCACTATTCGCAAATGGATTCTCCATGTCCTTGTATCGGTCGAAGTCTGGGTCGGGGATTGCATAGTGGGCATAACGGTATGCTTCTTTTTGGGTAGTCATTTTGGACAGAAATAACTAGTCACTTGAATGGAAGAGGAGAAATACTCATTCTTATATATGGTGAATGATCTCACTGACGTGTCTATCCCCCCAAAGGAGGTCTGAAAGTGGTCTCATGTCGGAACAACTGTTTAGCTGTTCCTGCCGACGTATTCTGTCGTACTTTATCTGGATCCTGTCGGTGCTTTCCTGCCAATGGAAACATTCAAAACTGAGCCAAGTCTGGATGTGGAGCAGGTGCGTATTGCGTATCCCCAGTCCCCACGGGCGGCTGCCTTTGATTTCGTATCGCGTATCCCGTTAATTATCCAAAATATTTTAAACACTTCAGGGCTTATTCTTTGTGGTTCTCGTTTCAGGGTTGTCATGTCCGATATGGTGGCTGCGTACTCTGCAATATATATGTGCAACAGTCCGACAAAAAGCATCGCTACTACACGAGAACAATATATGTCGACATCAATCGTTATATCTCACTGTCTATGACCCTCTACACGATCAATCTTCGCCTGCCTCTCCTTCCTCCACCCCGGCCCCAACCGTATCACCACCAGCAGCAGCGGCAACATCAACAGCATCACCAAGGCAATAAACGTAAAACACCAGCCCCTCCCCATAGCATCCAGCATGGGATCAATGAGCGCTGTAGCACCAGCGCCCAACAAGCAGCGAACAAAATTATTCGACGCCGTAGCCGCGGCCGCATTCATAGGATAAAAGTCCACCAGCAGGGTACTGACGGTATTAAACGCCCCCGTCAGGGTTAACCCCATGAAGAACAGGATCGTCGTCGGCGCTGCAAGGTGGACGCCGAAATCGAGACACCATCCGAATGCGATGACCGTGAACGCACCGAGTGTGAGCAGCGGGAGAGCAACCTGTAACCGCGCCTTTTCGATGGGGAAACGGGCCAAGTTCCGCGCGCGTGTCTCGTGCAGGGGCACATTTAGCAGCTTTGCTAGCCGGCGGTAGTTAAAATCTAGCATCTTGCCTGTTGCTATTGAGGCGACTGTAGCGCCGAGGCCGAAGGGGATATAGCAGAGACCGATCTCGAGGTCGTTCAGGGCATACAGTTCGTTATATATCGAGGGGATGGACGCAGAAACGTCGTAGAATCCGGCGAAGAGAATCGCATTGGCAAACAGGATAATCCCGACGTCCTTCTGGAATACAATCGCGAGGGTTCTAATAGGATTGGGGAAGCGCAGCTTCGGTCGACTGAAATCCTCCGGCGGCGGTGCCTTGCGAGACTTGAACCAGCGCACCAGGGGCAGATTCCAGCTGGGAGGCGGGATGGATCCATTTCCCACGATCGCACGCGCAGTCTCCGGGAAGAAAAGCACAAACGGAATTAAAAAGGCACCGGCAAAGATGGCCAGGAACCAAAAGACCGAGCGCCAGCCGAGAAACTGCGACAGGAGACCTCCGATGACAGGGCCCATTGCTGGTCCCAGAAGAGAGCCAGCAGTCACGAAGCCCATGTAGGATCCTCGCTCAGCAGCGATGGCGATGTCGGATACAACGCCTGCGGACAGGGCGATGGTTGTGCTGCTACCGGCACTCTGTACGCACCGCAGGACGAACAGCGCAGCGAAGTTATCCTGCAGCGCGAGTCCGATATTTGCTGCAATGTAGACCAGGAAGCAGACTAGATATGCAGGGCGCCGACCAGCCCTGTCTGCAAAATCGCCGACGAACATGGGCGAGAGCCCTTGGAAGATCTACTCGGTTAGCAACGCACAACTGCATATGGGCAAACCTACCATGTAGCTGGTCAGGGTGAGATTGATCAAGGCGCTGGTGACGCCGAGATCGTCGGCGATGCTGTTGAGGGCCGGGAAGTAGATCTGCGACGAGACGGGCGAGAAGAAGCCTGCCCATGATGCCGAAAAAACGATGTATCTCTTCTGCGACGTGGTGAAGATCGAGTAGGGCGTCTGCGAGTCATTGGTGCGGGCAGGCTCTACATCAGCGCCCTTTTCTCGAGCTGTATCAGGAGATGCCATGGACAGTCGCACATCGAGAGCAGACTGAGCCGTGAAGAATCATTGTGGAGATGATGAGGGGAATCGGCACGTATAGCCGAAGGGCGGATATTCCAGGAATTGCGGATATCACACCATCATATCTGTGCATCTTATCTTGCTGTATGTTCCCATTCATGACGTGATAGTACACGTTCAATCAAATAGAACAGCAAACAACGGCTATTTCGCGATGTTATTATGCAGCTGTGCAATGTGCCCACTAAGTTGGCTCCTCGGGGTGCTCTCCGTACAGCTGATGGAGACCTCCTGCTTCACGGAGTCTGTCCGATCTGGCTGATTTAACCATCGCATTTCCATCATGGCCTCTGAGCTGTCTCGATAACATTCCAAAATCCCAAATCCAACTCGCCATGGCCAAACCCACCGTCCTCCACCTCGGCGACGCCATCAAGTACAACCACGACTTCTACAACACCGACTTTCTCGCCCGCTTCAATGTCGTCCGCAATGAAGCCCCAGACCGGCCTTCCTTCATCCAGGCACTAAAAGAGAAACGGTTCGTAGCGCCCTTGGCAACCATATCTAATACTGATTGTCTAGGTACGGCGATTTCGTCGCCATCTTCCGACCATTCTTCCAGACCGGCGGCGAGATGGGCCAGTGGGACGACGAGCTCATCGGACTGTTACCAGACTCTGTGCGCATTTTCGCCTCGGCCGGTGCAGGCTTCAACTGGGCTGATGTTGAGCTCCTTGGACGGCGCGGGATCTGGTACGCGAATGGCGCCGGTGCATCGGACGAAGCAGTCTCAGACACAACGCTGTATATGATTCTGTCGGTTTTTCGGAATTTTACGCGCGCGCAACTGGCTGCGAGGACGACTGATCCGGAGGTTTTTACTGCGACGCATAAGCTTATTGCTACCATATCGCATAACCCGCACGGGCATATCTTGGGTCTGGTAGGCCTGGGGAATATCAGCAAAAAGGTGGCAAGGAAAGCGCAAGCCATTGGAATGTCGGTTCATTATTTCGATGTTATCCGGCAGACGCCTGAAGTGGAACAAAGCTTGAGTGTTACGTATCATGACACGCTGGAGAGTTTATTGAAGGTCGCCGACTGTGTGTCGCTGCATACGCCGCTGAACCAGCACACGAAGCATATGATCAACAGCGAGAGCCTCAAGCTCATGAAGCCAGGTGCCAGATTAATCAATACCGCGCGTGGAGAGATTGTGGAAGAAGAGGCTTTGATCCACGCACTGGAAGAGGGCTCGTTGTCAGCAGCTGGTCTAGATGTCCACTATCATGAACCGCAGGTCTCTCCCCGACTGGCCGCGATGGAGAACGTCACATTGACTACGCATATCGGGGGTGGTGCATTAAACACACGCATTAACTTTGAACTGACCGCGATGAAGAACATCCTGGCGACAGTGGGACCTCACGGCGAACTGATTGGGGAGCCCTCCACCCCGGTCAACGCGAAATATGTCTTAGAATATCTAAAATCCCACCAGTAGACTTAGCTATTTGCCATTATGAAGATCCCCCACATTCAGCTTTTCGGCTTTCTCTCCATTATTGTTCTGCATTTGACGATCCGGGGTGACAGCCCCCGCAGTATCTGTCGGAAACCTGTCCGCGACGTGCAACCCCGGAATCCTCCAGGATGAAATGTCAAATATCGACTGATCCCGCGGTTGTCTGTCGAACACCTACTGCTCGCACAATCAACATGGATCAAGATAAGCAACAGGTTGAGACCATCGACAAGGTCGGCGCTCCTCCACAGGAGCTGCCACTCCCAGTAGAGCTCGAGGGCAAGAGTCCAGCAGATCTGGAGAAATTGGAGAAGAAGCTGGTCCGGCGCTTGGACTTTCATCTCATGCCGGCGGTTGTGATTCTGTTCCTGATGAATATCCTGGATAGGTATGTATTTGCGGTATTCTACGGACCGCGCTCATGAGTATAGGAATAATATTGCCAACGCCAAAATCTCTGGACTGCCAGATACGCTGGGAATTACCAACACAGAGTATAATACTTGTCTGATGATCTTCTATGTTGGATGTACGTACCTAGATATCATACCTGACACCGCTGACCCGATCAGATGTCCTGACCCAGGTTCCATCGAACATTCTCATCCTGAAGGTCAAGCCCTCGTTATATATAGGAGGAGTCACTGCAGCCTGGGGCATTGTCTCGCTGTGCCAGGCCTTCACCAGAAACTTCGCTGGACTGTTCATGTGCCGGTTCATTTTGGGTCTTGTCGAGGGCCCGTTCCTGCCAGGCGTGTTTTTGCTTCTGTCGTGCTGGTATAAGCGATCTGAGCTGCCACCGCGGATTGCGATTCTCTATGGTGCCAACATGCTTGCGAGCGCATTTGGTGGACTCATAGCAGCTGGGATTATCAGTCGGATGGAGAATAAGCTGAATCGGCCAGCGTGGGAATGGCTGTTTATCATCGAAGGCGCCATGACCATCGCCATCGCTATACTTGTCATCCCATTCATCCCAGACTTCCCCGGAACAACTAAACGCTGGTGGCTGAACCGCGAGCAGCAGATATACGCTGTAAGTCCACCAATACCTGCGTGTCCACCCATGTATCTTTGATGTCTAACAAAACGTCAGGACTGGCGCCTCCAAAACGAAAACGCCGGTATCGAAGACACCGATCCCAAGTCCTTAACCTGGGGCGTCAAGCAGGCCATCCGCGACCCGAAGCTGTATATGTTCATCATCATGCAAATGTCGCTCATCACGGCGCAGTCGTTCAACAACTTCTTCCCCTCCATCGTGGGAACCTTGGGATACAGCGACACGATCACCCTCCTCCTCACCGCGCCGCCGTACTTCGCTGCTTTTATCTGCTCGCTGTGTATCTCCTTCCACGCAGCGCATAAACAAGAGCGCGGTCTGCATATCGCAATTCCCCTGTTATTCTCCTTCCTGGGGAACCTCCTGGTACGTACCGTACCGCCCACCTATCCGATGGCAACCCCAGCTAATAATAAACAGGCAATGTTCGTCCCCACCACCGGCGGGCGCTACTTCAGCATGTTCCTAATGACAGCCGGGTCCTACTCCCCTTACAACCTGTGCGTGTCCTGGCTAAGCTCATCTCTCCCACGGCCCAAGGCAAAACGCGCCGCCGCACTGGCTATAATGAACCTAATGGGTGCCGGGGTTGCGCACTTCTACACCTCGTACATGTTCCCGGATTCGCAGCAGCCGCGGTACTACGCGGGCGGGGGGATAATGAGCGGGGCGTGTTTGCTTTGTGCGGTGATGGCGCTGGCGATTAAGTGGCATCTGAGGAAGGAGAATAGGAGGATGGATGAGGAGGAGGATCAGAGTGTTTCGGCGACGGCGACGGGGGCTGTTAGTCGGCGGCTTGGGGAGGAGCAGGTTATTTCGTTTAGATATGTGCATTAGCTGGGGAATGGGGAGGAAGGACCTGCTGTGAGGACGGTGTGCGTGTTGTTTTGGTTTTAGTATAAATAGGGAGATGTACATGAAGGACATAACTTCTGCAGGGACTGTATCCAGTATCGTTCTGTCATAGAACATGATACCCATTGTTCTCAAGTAGAGCTACCTCAAACATGGAACTTAAATATAAGTTGTCCATACTTTTCTTGGATCTGTATCTGTGACACCGTCCAGTTCGCCGTAATAATGTAGGCATTAGATCAGCGAATTGATTAACAGCAGCTGATTTCAGGAAATGCTTCGCTTCGCCGTCCACTGGCTGACGGCCGAACGGATGCTGATAACGCCATGTCCGATCAGTCAATCATGATGTGGTTCAACAACAAGTAGGACTGTCACCGGAAAACATAGATAGTCGATGTTTTCCGCGGAGATGCTGTTGATAGGGAAGATTACCGCAATAACCTGCATTGGCTGGCAGCAGTGACTGTCAGCGTTACATTCGCTTGGCCAGTGCTGATTAACTTTGGCTAAAATACTTTGTTGCAGTGGAGTCATCCAGTCTGGCAAGAACCAGCGAGCCAAAAGCGGTGATTGGAGTCGCAGCGAAGTATATAGCCAGCATGGAATTCAATCACATACCCAGCTCAACAACACTTACCCATTATCAAAAATGGCCAAACAAGTCCTCCCGTTCAAGAAAGCACTCTGGTTCTCCGAGGCCGAGTACGCCCAGCGCCGCCAGAATGCCCTCGCCCTGATGAAGCGCGAGAACCTGGACGGCTTCCTCATGACAAAACAGGAGTCGCTGTACTACTTCACCGGCTTCGATACATTCGGCTACGTCTTCTTCCAGGCCATGTACTTCCACAGCGACGGGTCCATGAAACTCATCACCCGGATCCCCGATCTCCGCCAGGCGCTATTCACCTCCATCCTCGAGCAGAAAGACGTCCTGATCCGCTCCGACGACGCAGGAAGCAACCCAGTCTCGCTCGTGCCTAAAGTCCTCCAGGACTTCGGCATCAATGACCCATCCAAACGAATCGGGTACGAACCGGACTCATGCTCCCTCACGCACCGACTAGGAAAAGCCCTCGAAGAAGCCGTCAGCGGAATCTGCACACTCATCGACCACAGCGACTTGTTCACAAGGGAATTGAGAATCATAAAATCCGAAGCTGAAATGCGCAAGGTCCGCAAGGCCGCGTATCTGGCTGACTTCGCGCTCGTGCGCACCCTCAAGCTCGCAAAGCCCGGCGCATACGAAGGCGACCTGTGGCGCGAGATCACGGGCACTGTATACGAGGGCGGGGGCGACGATCCCGCGAATGAAAACATCCTCGTCTCGGGGAATAAGGCCGTGCTTACGCGGTATTCTGCGGGGAAGGACCAGATCGAGCGGCAGTTGACAGCGGAACATGCGGCTGTGTATAAACACTACCATGCGTGTCTGATGCGGACGATCCCGATTGGGGGCGTGACGAAGCTGGCTCGGAGGATGCATGAGGTGAATGTGCTGCAGATGAAGGCGGCCATGGAGGCGCTGAAACCTGGGAAGCCTATCGGGGATGTGTTTGAGGCGTATGCGCGAGTTGCGGATGAGAATGGATTCAGGGATCAGAGGTTCAATTCGTGTGGATACTCGCTGGGAGCGACGTTCGCGCCGACGTGGATGGACTTTCCAATGTTTGTGCGAGGGCAGAGCGTTATTGCGAAGAAGGGGATGGTCTTTTTTATTCATATTATTCTGATGGACAAGGCTACTGATACAGCGAGTTCGGTGGGACAGACGGTGGAGGTTACAGATGATGGCTGCGTCGGTCTGTCCAAGCTGCCGTTTTGCCTGACGAGGAAGCAGACTCTGGCTGCTTGGAAGAAGATCAAGAAGGAGGAGTACAGGTTCAGCAGTGAGGAGGAGGACGACGGCGAGAATATCCGGGATATTGAGCTGTCTGACGGGGACGAGAACGCAGACGACTACGAGGTCGAGTATGACTTTAGCCAGTACCAGTCTGCAGCTGCCATTGGTGATCCCACGCAGGCATAAGTTTCTATATTCTAGTAGTTCTAGGGCTATCAAGTTTTGTCTATTAACTCCACTCGTTCATCTTCGAAGTACTCCCATACCCCCCTTTCTGGACCTGGGACACATATCCAGGTGGAAGAGACTTGGTAATCTTCACAGCCTCAGTAATAGCATTCTTGAGGCTCTCAAGTGCCTGTTCACTGATCTGATGGTGCATCGCAATCCGTTCATCCATCAATTTTATACCGGCCTTGTCGCACTGTTCGAGTAAAACCCCCATATCCAGTCTCGACTTCTCTGCATCAATGAAAAAGAAGTTGGTGTCGACTGGAATCTGAGGAACAACCCCCAGCTCCTTCAAATCCTGCTCCAGCTTTTTCAACCTCAGATGCGTCTGCGCCATTGTCGGCCATATCTCGCGTATCCCAACCAACGCCGCAGCAGTCAAAACACCAGCCTGGCGAATCCCACCACCCATCTGCTTCCTTAGCCATCGTGCCCTCTTAATCCCGTCGGCTGTCGTCGCTAGAACCCCACCAACCGGCGCCCCAAGCCCCTTAGATACACACATAGAAACACTATCGAAATACTGACAGTACTCCGACAGCGCCAGCCCGGTCGCAGCACTCGCATTCCACAGCCTCGCCCCATCACAATGGACCTTAATCCCATGCGCCCTTGCAAACTCCGAAATCTTCTTAATCTCCTCAATTGGCGTCAAAACACCCCCAATCGTCAGCTCAAGACTAATCACCCTCGTCGGCGCCGTATGTATATCCTCCCCGAGAACCGCCCACCTCGCCACATCCTCAGCGGTCATATAGAGTCCATTGCGTGGATGCACAGGCGTAACATTCGCCTGCGACAGCACCGCCAGACCAGACCCCTCCTCCGCGTACACATGAGCCCTGTAATCGCAGAGCACCGAGTGCGGCGGCTGAGACAGGTGGATGCGCACCCCGATCTGGTTGCCCATTGTGCCGGAGAGCATGAACAGGGCGGATTCCATCCCCGTCAGGCGGGCGACCTCGGCCTGGAATTCGTTGGTGGTGGGGTCTTCGGTGTAGACGTCGTCGCCGAAGGTGGCGGAGCTCATTGCGGCGAGCATGGAGGGCGTTGGGGTTGTGAAGGTGTCGCTGCGGAAGTCATTGTGGGCGGGCGACGTCATGGTGATTTGTCTAGTAATAGTAGAATAGTTAAGAGAAATAAGACAATTGGAGGAAGGAGTATATTGAATCTATTTCTATGTGGCTGGATAGGCGTTGGCGATAGTTTCCCGATGGGAAACAGACATGCAACGGTATGAATGGCATGCAACGTTCCACCGGCAGAAAGGAACTTGTACGTAAGGAGATCAGGCAAGCTTCCCTCGGAGACAAACAGTCAAGCTCGTGAAGAACAAAGTTCACCCCGCATTCGAACCAGATTACGCTCTGGCTAGTGACACTTGGCTATCCCCGTTCAGGGCTGTGGAGGTCTCCACATCCACATATTGGATGCTGACAGAGATAAGCACAGTTGATTGAGAGAAAAGGGAAGGACCGTCCTGATAGGAAATGGCCAATAAAACACCCAGGGGTACTTTTAAATCCGGCACGTCCTGTTTAACTTGGACAGACCTCCATGTCGTCGTGGAGCGACAATGGCCGACAAAATGGACAATCTCAGTATGCGCAAGAGCTCAGTGGGGAATACAGCAGACGCAGACCTCGATCCGAAGCAGAATGAGGCTGCGCTGCCCGGGGAGCTCATCTCTGCTGGCTCGCAGCACCTCCATCGACGACTGGGCGGGAAGGAAATCCAGCTACTTGCTGTCGGCGGTGCTATTGGAACTTGTGTGTCCAATTCAACACCAATTCTCCATTCATGCTAATTATTTAGCCCTCTTTGTGCAGATGGGAGCTGCCCTGCCCAAGGGTGGACCAGCGGGCTTGTTCCTGGGGTTTGTCATATACGGCACCATTATCCTCTCGGTCAATCAGTGCTTTGGTTAGTGCAGTTCTACCATGTTATTCCATACTGACAGCAGCAGCTGAAATGGTTACCTATCTGCCTATCGCATCGCCATTTGTCCGATTGTCAGGGTTCTGGGTCGACGATGCCCTGAGCTTTGCCATGGGATGGAACTACTTCTTTCTGATGGGTAGGGTTACCCTGGTGCTTGGGTTATCTAACTAATATGTTCAGCATTCAATATTCCATACGAAGTAACGGCCATCCACGTCCTCTTGACATTTTGGACTGATAAAATCCCGGTTGGCGCGGTAGTTGCAGTTTGTCTCGTCATTTACGCGTGAGTGCAGTATCCCAGTTGCTGAATAAACTAACAGATTAGTGTGTTGAACGGTTTAACCGTCAAATACTTTGGTATCTCCGAATTCTACATGTCCATTTTCAAGATACTTCTCATGCTCGGATTGATGCTGTACACCTTTATTACGATGGTGGGCGGGAATCCAGACAAGGATCCCTATGGCTTCCGCTACTGGAAAGACCCTGTAAGTGATCAACCCAAACAGGAGACCTGGACTAATTGGTCTAGGGGTCATTCGTCTCGTATCTTGTTCCTGGCGACACCGGACGCTTTCTTGGGTTGTTGTCCTGTATCATTCAGGGATCCTTCACGTACGTCTCCCTCTTCATCCTGTGCCTGGTCTAATGCAGCTCAGGATGGTCGGCCCGGAATTCATCTCCATGGCCGCTGGAGAGGCCGAGAACCCTCGTCGTCTCATCAGCAGGGCATTCGTCTCGTTTGTATGGCGTCTTATGTTCTTCTTTATCGGCGGCGCCCTCTGTGTGGGCATCGTCATACCCTACGATGACCCACTACTAGCGGCAGCAACCTCGAGCGACAGCAGCAGTAGTGGAACTGGCGCTGCGTATGTATTTCTCCAATGTATAACCAGCAGCTCTGACAATGACCAGCTCACCCTATGTCATCTCGATGATAAACTTCGGGATCAAAGGTGTTCCAGACCTGGTGAACGCCCTAATCATGACTTCTGTGCTCTCCGCCGGAAACAATGTCATCTTCTCTGCAGCCAGAACCCTCCATGGAATGGCCTTGGATGGCAAAGCACCGCCTTTCTTTGCCAAATGCAACAAATATGGCCTTCCATATTACGCTGTAATCACTGCCCTGTGCTTCTGCCTACTATCCCTCCTGCAAATGGGACAATCCTCTTCAACAGTCCTGGATTGGTTCGTAGGGATCTGCACTGCCTCTTACCTGCTAAATTATATAGGCACAGTGATTACATACCTGCATTTCTACTACACCATGGAGAAACAGGGAGTCGATCGCAGCACCCTGCCATATACCGGATACCTCCAGCCCTACGCAGCATGGTACGCACTAGCCGGTACACTCATCATTACACTCGTTCTCGGATATGATGTTTTCATTTCCGGCCAGTGGGATATAACCACCTTCTTTACAAGCTATACCATGGTCGGATTCTTTATAGTTGCCTTTGTATTCTGGAAGATTGTCAAGCGCACGACGTACGTCAGGATCGGCACTGCGGATCTCAAACTCGGTTCTACCAAGGACGATATTGATCTGTATGAGGCTCTGTATGAGAAGCCGAGGAGGGGGAAGGTGCTTGGCTATTTGAATTCCTGGTTCGAGTAGCTTGCTTTATTGATACTGTCGTTTTGTAGTGTATTTCAGTTCACCTGGTCTACCGGAGGGATGTGAGGGCTTAGATTGTTGGTAGATGCGGCGTATGGGCTCCTTGTTGTATTGTAGTATTCCAATTGCGACACCTTTATATATTGTACCTCCCAGCTTCGGTATGGCATGTAGCTTGCGTGAAATCATGTTAAACAATGCAAATGTCCACATAGCTCGCGAAATCAATGAGCCTTCCCAAACTAAGGACCGTGTTACGCCGCTGTAGTAGGCTCGAGTGGCTTCTGTCCATATGCCACGACACTGTAAACAATCAGCCACCATTCACCAATGGTAAAAGGGACATACATAGACCAATAACTGTGAATCTTCGGATTGGTTATATCCTTGCGACAAGCCGCCAGCAGAACCTCCAGCTCCTCAGGCGTCATCCCCATAACCTGGATACACAGCCGGGCCGCAAATCCATACAGCCCATCAAGCGTATTCACCATATTCCACTCCCCGATCTTCTTGAGATGCTTATCCTTGGGCCAGACATTCTGCGGCCACTTGTACCTCACCTCCGTGATATTCTCAAACCCAGCGCCCGTCAACAACTCTTTATATCGATTCGGCACCGCAGCGTCGCGTCCAACTCTTCTCAACCCCTCGACCATCGTCTTATTCAACGTCTCATACGGCGTCCCCTCCATAGTCCCATCATCCGAAGTCACCGGGAACGCAAAGTCCATTAATTCAAACCACCCACCAGGCTGGAGATTATCATACGCCTGGGCAAAGAACTTGTCCGGATCCGCAATTGACCCCGTCAGCATGCGCGCATGCACATAGTCGAATTTGGTCGGAAACGTCCAGGGCTGTTCATAATCGTCTATCTCGAATTTGAGATTCGGCGGAATCCACGACGGCTGGATCGGGCTCAGATCGGTGCCGATGACACTCGAGCCGGGGTTCTGGTCTGCAAAGTCAATAGCCCAGATACCTGTACCCGTGCCTAGGTCTAGTACGTTTGGGACGTCTTTAGGCAGGGGGGCGAGGTATAATTTGCGGTTTGTGGTCATCAGGCAGATTTCGTGCTGCATGTCCAGTCGCTCCTGCTCTTGCTCGTCTTCTGGGACGAAGTACGTCGAGGAGGAGTATTTGTGGTATCCGCGACCATTTTCGCGGACGCTTTGGAGCAGACTAGAGCGTAGGGACTCGGTGTAGGCTGTTGATGCTGTGTCAGGGACTGCGGAGTCTGCGTCCGAGACATCTGGCTCGATGTAGGTAGAGGACTGTTCTGGAGGCATTCTTATATTCACCAAAGTATATTAAAAGATTGAGGACCTTGTGGTTAGTCTTGAAAAGGATCAGGCAACGGTTATATTAGTGGAAAGCATGGCGGAGTCAGATTCAACGACATGACCGGCCGGCGTCTAAGTTACATCCCACCGACTCGCGAGCGGGGAGCGGGAACACCCATGTCCACGTTGACAACTACAGGGAACGGTCCTGGATAGCGTGGTCTAGCTATGAACCGGTCTGTGTGATTATATGCAAGTGCAGGGCCGCAGTGCAGCCGAGCAGCCCTAGACCGTTGGCCAACGTTGGCGCCACGCCGAAGGAGCGAACCCCTGCGAACAACGGCTACATTGCAACGGGCCATACCATGTTCGGAAGGAGTCAATTCCCTGCTAGGGTAGAATCACCGGTAACACGTGCTATCATAGTCATGTATTATTTAAATCGGCCCGGGTGGCAACTTGGTAGTGCATCAAGCGCTTGCCAATGGCCCCTGGGCTAGGCCTTGTCCTATCGCTGATATGGTTGGACTTAGCTATGTATTCTTCGGACACCATGGGATTGGCATTATGATGCCTCTTGATCTACCAAGTAGCGAAATCCCACCCCAAGGACGGTGGTTTAAGCCGCTGGGATGTGTCTGGTGTGTGCGGTACTCGCGGTTCTTCGAACACGCCTTACAAAACCGATATAGCAGATATCGAGGCTGTGTATAGTTTCTTTCTCCATCTCTGGGGGTCGATCGGTCAGGAAAAAGAGACTTTACGTGGTTGATAGAGTAGTACTGGTCCTTTCTATATCACATTCGGAAGGAGATAAATTGATAGACTACAAACTATTCCAACTCAACATCTGCATCATCATGGAAAATAGTAGTACCCCAATTCGGCACATTAAACCTCTTGCCCTTAGGCAAGGCCAGTTTATCAATAGCATGTAGCTCAGCCGCATCCAGCACAAAGTTCTTGTTCAGATTATTCGCAATGCGAACCGGATTCGTACTCTTGGGAATAACACTCCACCCCTTCTGAATCCCCCAACTGAGCATAACATTCCCCGTATCGACACCTCTCTTCTTCGCAATGGCTACAATATCCGGATGCTGATGCAAGGTACTCCCCGAGCCACCAAGCGGGCCAAACGCCGTCTGGTGAATCCCCTTGGCCGTACAAAACGCATTTAATTTATTCTGCGGCAACAGCGGCTGGATCTCTGTTTGATTCACGGCGGGCACTACCTTCGCGGTCTCTAGAAGCTTTGCCAGATTAACCGTTGAGAAATTGGCGACTCCGATTGCCTTGGCTTTGCCCGCCGCCAGCAGCTTCTCCATCTCCCGCCAGGTATCGCGGAAGTCCCACCCGTTCGCATGCACTGTGCGGTCTTCCTTGCCGTAGCTCTCGTCGTTTGGAGACGGATCTAGCGTGACGGGCCAGTGCATTAGATATAGGTCAACATAGTCGAGGTTCAGGTCGCGGAGGGATTTGTCCAGAGCTTTTTCGACGCGGCGGTGATCAGAGGACCAGCTGCAGTAATTAGTTATTACTCTTTACGAGGGTATTAGGAGACGTACAGCTTCGTAGTGACGAAGTATTCGGAACGAGGGACTTGTGTCTTCTTGAACACCTGGCCGATTTCTGCTTCATTTCCATCTGTGCTTGTTAGCAGCATACCCGCCAAATAGTAAGAAACATACATAGTGGAGCGCAGTCCTAACAAGTTAGTTCAGTTACCAAAATACGTTAAAATGGAACATACAAAATGACGATATCCAGCCTCAAAGGCTGCCTGGACAGCAGCAGCAGCCTCACCAGGTCCGGCCTTCCAGGTCCCGAATCCCACGGCGGGGATCTTAGCTCCTGAGTTCAATTGGAATGATTCTGTAGCCATTGTTCTTTGATTGTACTACTAGGAACATTCATTGGATACCCCTAATCATATAAGTCTTGACCCCGCGGCCCACAGTCTGAACGGTGAGAAGACCGATGTTGAATCAACGGAGAATGTCCGTCTGCCAGTGTCAAGCTGCGTTCTCATTTACAACCGAAAAAATAGACAGTACTGAGTATTATTGAAGTGGTGGCAGTAATCCAACGTATATTCACTATCCTAATCAAACTATGAAGCCGTCTCAACATGAGTAGCACTTTGCTTCCTCTTCGCCTCCTCCTCATCACCATCTTCCCCCCTCACGGCCTCATCCTTTCCCTCCTGAATACCATGCCTAACGGTCTCCTCCTTGGTAGGGTATGCATGCTTCCACATAGTCCACAGCGGCCGCTGGAACAGATCATCCATACTCTCAATCGATCGTCCCTTCAACTCAGGCAGACAGAAGAAGATAAATGCAACGCCGAGGTACGTCAGCAAAGCGTAGAGCAGAAAAGCACCGTAGCCCATATTGGTGAGCATGTTCGGAGTGGCGCGTGTAATGCCGTAGTCGATGATCCAGTTCACGAAGAAGCAGAAGCCCATGCAGGTGGAGCGCTGAGTAGCAGTTAGTATATTTATACCAGCAGGAGAAGAGATATGGAAACATACAATACGGGTTGGGAAAATCTCGGCTGCAACGATGTAGCAGGCCACGCTGTGTCCAAAGGACCATCCAAAGGCGTATAAGTAGATCCAGACGATACCTACGATGCCCCCAGCAGGGGTGCCACCCATATCTGTGTTATCCACGCCAGCAAAGCGGAGATACAGAGCGAGATAGAGCATGGCGGTCGCTTGGATAGTGGCACCGATTAAGAGAGGGAGACGACGACCGACGCGGTCGACGAGGTATGTGATGTAGAAGATTGTTGCTGCGACTTTGACGGCGCCATAGACACCTGTCGTCAGCAGCGACGAGTCGTCTTTGACGCCGATCAGCTCGAAGATTTGGGGGGCGTAGTACTAATCTATTAGCCAGGAACAATAATGACAGGGCAGGGGGACATACGTTGAGCGAGTCCGTTCCAGTCAGCTTGTGGAAAATGAACAACAGCACAGCAAGCACGAAACGCTGCAGGTTACTCCTGTTGCCAAAGATATCCTTGACAACAACCCAGTAATTGTGGCCCTTGAAGGTCTCCTGCTCGTACTGCACCTGGGCCTGGATTTCGCGGTACTCGATCTGGATGTAGGGATGGTCTGGAGGCAGCTGGCGAAGTCGACACAGGTTCTTCAGCCCCTGCTCGGCCTTGCCATGGTTAATGAGGTATCGAGGAGTCTCCGGCACAAACGGAATCATCAAACACATCAATCCGCCAGGGATCAGCTGGATACTCATCGCCGTCTGCCACTGGGCATGGTCGTCCTCGATGTTCGGTCTGGTCCAGAGCGACACGCCATAGTTCACCCAGAATGCCAGCATCAACGACGTGACGATCATGAGGTTGTATGTAGCCGTCATTGATCCACGGACTGATTTGGGCGAGTTCTCAGCCAGGAACTGGGGACTCAGCATGGAGCTTGCGCCCACTCCCAGACCACCGATGAATCTCCCTGCCAGCAGCACGTCGTAGTTGGGGACCATTTGCAACGCAGCACCGATCAAGAAGACGATTCCCCAGAGGAAAACAGACCATTTGCGACCTAGCCAGTCGGAGGTGGGTGCCGCGAGGAGAGATCCAGCAGCGCCTCCTGCAGCGACCATGGCGGCGATAGTTCCCTACACACGTTAATATAACACAAGAAGCAACGAGGATAACAAACCTTGCGATCGTCATACACGGCCTGCGGAATATCCAGTAAACCAAATGCATTCTCAAACGACGGTAGGGTGAGAATGCCGCCGATATTCCCAGTGTCAAACCCATAGAAACAGCCCGCCCAAGCCAGGGTCACCAGCAGATACAGCAGTCTCAGGTTAAAGATCTCCCTGGGATCGGACTTGGCGTCCTTACTCGCCCAGATACTTGTTCCACCTGCCATTGTAAATAAAGTCAAGAACAACCGCAGTGAATTGAGCGGTGGCGAGGTCAGGCTTTGGACGCAAGGAGCGTCAGTCGTATGAGGGTTGGAGGGTACTTAAAGGGCACCGATCAACATGAATACCGTCCAGGGTTTGTCCCCGCGTGGCTCCGATTCCCCATGGGGTTGGTTCCCACCATTACGAAGCAGCTGGATCGGACTGTCGTCCGACATGACGCGAAGTCTGGTTTGCTCGGACCAGAACCGACGTCGGATTGCACCCCGCAGCCATCGTGACAAGCATCATGATATAACAAGCATCACCTGGTTACCACGCTAAGATAGCACAAGAGATTGAAAAAATGGCAATTACACAAGAAACACTACCTAGTGTGCTTGATGGCGCGCTGCGGGCTGGCACAAGGCCCTCCGTGCGTAAGGAAGCCTACCTGCGTCCGGCGACAGTGCAATGCCACGCATCCAACCTGCTGCGTCTACCAAATGGCGAGCTGCTATGCACCTGGTTCGGCGGGAACATGGAGGGAAAACCCGATATCAGTATCTACCTGTCCCGTCTCCCAGCCGGGGGACAGACCTGGGGAGAAGCTCTCAAAGTCACACACGACGACACACGCAGTGAACAGAACCCTGTTCTATTCCGACATCCATCCGGCGAGCTCTGGCTACTCTATACCTCCCAGCAAGGTGGGAATCAAGACTCCGCTATCGTGAAACGCGTTGTCTCGTCCGACAATGGTACAAGCTGGAGCGGCCCAACAGTCCTCTTCAACGACCCGGGCACCTTCATCCGCCAGCCCATTATCATACTAGATAACGGCGCATTCGTGGTCCCTACATTCAAATGCCGCGGCGAGCCTGGTGCAAAATGGATCGGGAACGACGATATCTCTGCAATTCGCACCTCTGCAGATCAAGGCAAGACATGGACCGAGATTGCAGTCCCGCAGAGTACAGGCTGCGTGCATATGGAGATCCAGCGTCTTAAGAACGGGTCCTATCTTGCCCTCTACCGCAGTCGGTGGGCGGATTACATCCACCTCTCAACTTCGCCGGATGGATTGAACTGGAGTGCACCGCAGCCGACGTCTCTTCCGAATCCGAATGCCGGTATCTGCTTCGATGTCTTGTCCTCTGGCAGGGTGGTTGCGGTGTATAACCACTCATCGCGCAAGAATGCCGAGTCCCGCAGAGAGGGACTATATGATGAAATCACAGAGGAAGGCGAAGATACTCGTCCGAACCAGAAACATCGGGCTGATGGGAAGGAAGCTTTCTGGGGCGCTCCGCGGGCGCCGCTGTGTGTCGCGTGGAGTGACGATGATGGGAAGTCGTGGCAACATCGGACACTGGAAGAGGGAGATGGATTCTGCTTGACGAACAACAGCGAGGAGAAGCGAAATCGCGAGCTGTCGTATCCCAGTATGGTTGTGGAGGATGGCACGATCCATATTGCGTTTACCTTCTGGCGTCAAACGATCAAGTATGTGCAGATTGGAGAGGACTTTTTGGCATAGAATAGAATAATATAGAAGCATATCCATTAGAAGAAACAGTCTATGAAGTGAAATATGCTATAACCGTCTATAAGCCTTCAATATTTCGATCACTTTCCCACACGATCCGGCACTGACTGCTCGATCTCAACCAGATGCTGCATCACCTTGACCACCCAGTCCTGCTTCTCTTTCCCTGAAGGCTTATACGGCTTCCGTGGCCAGAACGCCTTCTCGTCTGTGACTCCAGCCCGGGGCCCAGCAAAGTACCCAGCAGCAAACTTCGTGGGCGCAATACCCTCTTTGCACGCCTTCTCCGCCTGAGCCACCAGTCCCTGCAGCTTTGTCGCCTCCTGCGTCTTTCCTTCTTTCCACAGAGAATATAATTTCGCCACAGACTTGGGGAAGACATTGCCGATGCCAGTCACACAGCCAGAGCCACCACCGATAAGACACGGCAGGAGCCAGTCCGATGACCCTGCATACACGCTGAACTGCTCATGGCTATACTCCTGCGTCAGCCGGGTCACCTTGCCTGCGTTTCCACAGGTGAGCTTCGTGCCGACGATATTGGGATGCTGCGCCAGTTCCGACATCACGTCCGAGTTCAGATCGACGCCATTGCACATCGCAGGGAACTACACCAGTTAGTAAACCAGTAAAAAAGAGTATTGGACTAGACCAGGGCGTACGCTGTAAATCACAATCGGAATCGGGCTATTATCAGCAACCTCGCGATAAAAGTCCACAATCACATCCTTGCTGACAGCCTTAACCCAGTATGACGGCGGCAGAAGCAACCCAAAGTCGCCCCCAGCCTCATGCGCATCCTTCGCAAGCTGGATCGACTCATTCGTAGACTGCCCACTGATGCCAGCCACAACCGGGAAATCCGGGAATCCCAAATCGGACGCAGCGCGGCGCGCAACACGGACTAGTTCCTGGCGCTCGCTGGCAGACAGAAGAACAGCTTCAGCGGTTGTTCCGGCCATGACGAGCCCGTCGACGCCCCCGCGGATCAGGTATGCGAAGTATTTGTAGGACGCCTCATAGTCGATTTCCTGGCGCGCGGTGGGCTTGTACAGCGAGAGGACGGGGCAGTAGATCCCGGCGGGCAGGGGTTTTGATTTCTGTGCGATGCTCGACGTCATTGTTAACGTTCAGAATATAATCAATAAACTGTATCCTCATTCCATTTGGGCAATTCAACCTGGTCTGCTTATATTCAACTGCCCCTCGGCTGCCCCATCGGACGATGGCCGAGCGGCGGAGACCAGTCCGGGATATTGCTTTATGTGCGCTGCCATTGGCCTGGCAGAGATGGGGAAGATGGAGAAGCCTGGGGTCTCCATTGGCAGCATGTTACTCCAATAATCCATGGCTGCTCGTTCTCCAACCTTTCGAGTCAGTCATGCATGGGACGGGCGAATGTCCCCGTGGGGAGTCGCGGTGAATCCTCCCACCTTGCACAATCGCATCAATAGACACGCAACATGCCCAAGCGGAAAAGAGAGTCCGTGGTCGAGAACGGCCAGAATGAGTCGTCCTCCGATCAGGGACAGAAAGGGGGCCAGAATCTGGTCGAGGTTCTTCCTGGCATTACGCGCAAAATCACAGCATGCGCCGCCTGTCGCAAGAACAAGGTGAGTTTCTCAACCATAACAGTTGAATGATCTAACGTGTCTAGATCCGCTGCGACATGCCAGACGATGGCCCTCCCTGCATCCGATGTCGTCGCCGGGGGCTGTCGTGCGTGCTCAACCGCAGTCTGCAATCACTGATCGAGGATACCAAGTACGCACACTTGTCTGAAGCGAAGACTATACTGACGATTGCAGAAATGTCCAGCTCCTGCAGACAGACGTCACCAACCTCCATGATACCCTCGACATTCTCTGCCAACAGCTCGGAGTCGAAGGCCCCAAAGCGCTTCGCTCAATAGGACACAACCGCGAGGGCTCATATCCCCCAGACAACGACCAGAACCGACCACAGCAGGAGGAAGAAGGCTGTGAAGTCTCGCCTCCAGAGTCTCCGTCCGCTGTGCAGGCCCCCATCGACACATTCCTGGACATCACCAAGATCCGCAGTCCGCATTCGCATTCAATCGACTCGCCCGCCAGTGCGCGCGCCAGCCGGTCGGGGGCTCGATCAGATCTGATCAGCAAAGGCATCATCAGCGCCACAATCGCCGAGCGACTCGTCCATCACTACTTCGCGCGACTCGACCACTATCTCTACGGCATCGGCGGGGAATACCAGGGACTGGAGCAGTTACGTGCCAACGCGCCCATTCTTCTCGCCGCAATCTGCACGGTCTCCGCGCTGCACGATCCCCAAGAACGCGCTGTCTACGAAGCCTGCAATCGCGAGTTCCGGTCGCTGGTCGCAAAATCAACTTTCGAAAAGCGAGACGTCGACTATATCCGTGCGCTCTGCATCAGCTCGTTCTGGCTGGCCGACGCCTCGCGCATCTTCTGCAGTGACGCCATCCGCCGCGCGGCCGATATGCGCCTGCATCGCAGCTTCGATGCGCTGTTTGACGATCGCACGGGGCTAGGCAGTGGGCCGATGCAGTCTGTACCGTCGCCGTCAATGCAGAATCTGCCAGCGGCTACGGATCGAGTGCGTCTGTGGTATCTGCTCTACGTGTGCGACCAGCATCTGTCGATCCTGCACAACCGAGACTCGCTATTACGGAGCGACAAGGGAATCGCAGTTGGCTGGGAGCTGTATCTCCATCGTGCCGAAACCACCGAGTCAGACGTGCGCATTCTCTCACAGGTCTCGCTGCTGTTGATCATGGGCCAGGTGCGCGACGTGCTGGGATCGGACAACCAGACCCCCCTGCCCCCAGCCCTAGCCAGCCAGATCCTCAACTACTCGCGCCAGCTGGACAAGTGGTACGCCAAGTTCTCTGCCTTGTTCGTGACAAACGCCTTCATCGGCGAGTTCCCCAAGCGCGGCCTGCAGCTGCACTATCAATTCGGCAAGCTGTATCTCGGCCACCAGGTGTTTAAAGGCCTTCATGGCCGGCCCATTCCTCCTCATTTTCTGTCCGCTGCGACAATGGCACACGATACTGCAGTCGCCATTTTTGAGATGATCCTCGGGGAGCCAGAGCTGCAGGAGGGACTGGTCGGGATGCCGCATTACTTTCACGTCATGATTGCCTTTGCCGGACATTTATTGCTCGAAGTCTGCCAGAACTACTACGAACAACTGGCCATCAAGATCCAGGACGACTTTCAGCTGATAAACAGTGCATTGAATCTATTTCGAAATACGCAGTGTATCCCCCATCACCCTATCTGGCGGATGACGCCGGGTCTAAACAGAAAGCTGCACGACTGCGCTGCTAGTATCGGCGTCCCAGTGCCATCAGCAGTCCCTCTTGGGTTAAATGCACAGGCGATTCCAGGCCAGGATGCCCTATACTACCCTCCAGTCCCTACAGACACCTCGCAGCCACTAGACGAGCTGCTCTTCGCCGATTTCGGCGAATTCAACTTCCCAGACCTGACATCGAACTTCATGACATAATATATTATCTATGGTGTACTGCCGTAATCCTCTATATACGCCCGAATCGTCTCAGCCAGATCCCCATCAGGGTAGAAGCCCATATCCAGCGCCTTCTTCACATCAAACACCGCCGGCCACGATCCCACAATCGCCTGCACAGCCGGATCCGCCTTCTCAACAACTCGACTCAACGCCTCCTCCCCTCCAACAGTCTTCAACCCATCCAGAATCTCCTGCACCGTAACCGTGACGCCCGGCAGATTCACAACACGCGAGAACACCTCCCCTGGGAACGAAACCTCCCTGGCGCGGACAAGATTCCGAATAATCGTCCTGGTGGCACAAACCCACAACTTCAAATCCCTACTGACAGGAAGCACGCTCTCCTCACCATTAAGCGGCTCGCGCACAATGCCGGAACAGAAACTCGACGCCGCACCGGAGGGCTTTCCAGGACGGACAATGATAGTAGGCAACCGCACAATCACAGCGTCGATAATACCCCTTCGCGAAAAGTCATTGAACAGCACCTCGCAGATATGTTTCTGCGCGCCGTACGAGGATTGAGGGAGGGTGATTGTCGATTCCGTCACGGGCGCTGCGTGGATCTCTGGACCGCCGAAGACGGCCAGGCTGGAGGGGTATATGATCCGTACGCCTGTCTTCTCAGACTTTGTTTTAGCTTCGTGCTGTTCTCGCAAAATGTCAAGTATATTCCGCATCGAGTCCACATTCACAGCCAGGCCAAGCGGGAGATTCGCCTCGCTTGCGCCGGACATGATCCCGTGCAGGAGGTACATGTGAGTGAAGGGCGTGGAGAGGAGGGCCCTGCATGTCTCGCTGGAGGTGAGGTCTGCTTTTAGGGATGTTATGTGCGTGTTGGAATCTGTTTTTGGTTTTGCTGGCTCGACCACGTCTGTTAGCACCAGGGTGTGGATTCCTGGGGTGCTGGCGAGGGTCTTTGCTAGGGCTTGGCCGAGGAAGCCGCCGGCGCCGGTGATGAGGATGCTCATGTTAGATGGTTGTATAGGATCGCAATGAATAATAACTGCACTTGACTTTAAAATAATAACACCGGTTTAAAGTAGTTTGGCAGCGCAATCAGCTTACTAGACAATAATGTCGGAGTTTGTCCGTCGGCAATTACGCGGAGTTTCTGCGCGGAGAGAAGGCCGCACTGTGTCGGTGGGCCGCCCACGATGACGATATTTCAGAATGCGATGAGGAGATATGGTGCCTGGATTCATTTTAGTTATTGTTAATTATGTTTGACAATAGGTACGAGGTTTGCAATATTAATGTTGCAGCGTATAATGGTGGATGTTTAAAATGGTGGATGCATTTATATATATCTGTCTAACTCTATAACAGTCTAAAGCTTCGCCCGAGGAGCCCATGTAATCCACGGATGTGTCTCTGTAGATCTAATTAATGTATCAACATATGCAGTGTTGACCATTCCGGGATGCGCCTGGTCGATGTGTGTAATGCCGCTCAGCTTCATCGCTGAGACCAGCTCATCTTTGAGGACTGCAAAAGTCAGTATACACCTGTAACTTCAGTTTCTTGACGTACTCTGTGTAAGGTGCTCGACACCCTCCTGTCCGTATGCCAGAGAATACAGGTACGGCCGTCCGATCCCAACAGCTGTCGCTCCTAGAGCGAGTGCCTTGAGAATGTCTGTTCCTCGTCGGACTCCCCCGTCAATGTAGATCTCCATGCGGCCGAATATCTCAGGACACGTTCTGTGCAGTTCCAGCAGTGTAAAGATGGCCGGTTGGACGCTGTATCGGTTAGCTTGCACAGTATGAAGGGCTCTATACGTACGTGTCGAGAGATCTTCCCCCGTGGTTGCTCAACATGATAGCATCAACCTCATACTCCATCGCCATTCTGGCATCAGCCCCTGTCTGTACCCCTTTGAGCACCACCGGCAGGCCTGATACCTTCTTAATCCACGCGAGATCCTCCCAGTTCAGCGTCGAATCGATATACTTGGCCATGACCCTCCCCAGCCCACCCCCCTTCTTGTCATTCTTCGCCACTGCACCACTAACAGCAGAGACCAGATTCCCAGCTGCAATCCGCTCATCCGCCTCTCTCTTCCCCGGAATCGGCGCATCAACAGTCACAAAAACGGCCTTGATCCCCAGTTCTGCCGCCTCACGCAACAACTCCTCCGTCTTCCTCCTCTCGGAATTCACATACAGCTGCAAGAAAAACACCTGCCCAGGCTTCCCCGCAGCCACAATCTCCGCAAGCGGAAACGACGCATTATTCGAGATAATCTGGATAATATCCTCCTCCGCACAGCCCCTCGCAACAACCATCTCCCCCTCGGGATGTGCCAGCTTCGCCATCGCCGTCGGACTAACAAAGAACGGCGCAGACGAGCGACAGCCAAGTATACTCCGTGGGGTTTGCACCTCCTTCACATTCCGCAGCACGCGCGGGCGCAGCATAATCTGGCGATACGAGGCCAGGTTCGCATGGTGCGAGACCAGATCCGTCGCGGCAGATGAATAGAACGCGAATGTTTTCTCCGTATATTTCCTGCGCGCGACCTCTTCAAAGTCATGAACTGCAATCAGCTGCTCGAGCTGTGGGATTTCATCCTCTGCTGCGTTCGTAGACTCCGCCGGGGTGTCGATAGCGGGTAACTCAGCGCTTGGCTCGATCGTGCCCTTGAATTGTCCATTCGTGAGTGTTTTCTGGATCAATGAGGGTGCGTGGACTTCGTCGTAGGCCTTGGAGGCGTCGTTGCCCGCGTACTTGAGGATGACTGTCTGTGTTAGCTATGAATCGGCGAGGTGTGAATACCTACTGGCCGACCCGCCTGGATGCTCGTCCAGGAACGCAGTGATGTCGTAGATGCGCGAGTGCACGATAATCCAGCAGTCGTCTGGCGTCGTGTGCTTCTGCAGCTCTGACGACGAGATTAACGCTGCCTCTTCCATTGCGACGGAACAACACTCTGAATACGGAGCTCAAGACCCTCGAACAAAGCGAATAAATTCGCAATGAATTAATTCTCCCGATAAAAGAAATATCCTGCCCTGGCCGATCAGCCCGATCAGAGTCCGGGGAAGCTGCGGAGACTTCGCCGACGCCCGTCGGCCAAATTCCGACGCGCTGTCGCTGATATTACGGACATCAACCAACAACACAGACAGACAGAAAGCAAAATGGAGGAAATTCTACAGCTCGATTCGGTCCAGCAGCGTCTCCCCCCTGCAGTGCCTAGCACGGACCTGCAAGCCCAAGTCGCAAACAGCGACGACCTGCCCGTCCTCGTCGTGCTAGACGACGACCCCACCGGCACACAGACATGCCACGGCATCAACGTCCTAACAGTCTGGGACGAGGAGATCATCACTCGAGAACTGCAGCAATGCAACGGCGGTTTCTTCATCCTGACAAACTCGCGCGCACTCCCTACTCCTGAGGCACGCTCCCTAATCAGGGAAATCTGCACAGCCGTGAAGAATGCCGCTTCGAAAGCACAGCGGTCATTCGAGATCGTCCTGCGCGGCGACTCAACCCTGCGCGGACACTTCCCGGCTGAACCAGAAGTTGCAGCGGAAGTCGTCGGGCCAGTAGACGGCTGGATCCTGGCGCCGTTCTTTCGGCAGGGCGGGCGGTTGACCATCGACGATGTGCACTATGTTGCGGACCCCAACGGGGATTTAATTCCTGCTGCGCAGACTCCGTTCGCGAAGGATGCGACGTTTGGGTATAAGAATTCGAATCTGAGGAAGTATGTTGTCGAGAAGTCTGGTGGGTCTATTGCGGAAGACCGCGTGCATTCGATCTCGCTAGATGATATACGCACGGGCGGGCCTGATGCTGTTTCGAAGAAGCTGCTTAGCTTTGGAAAGGGGAGTGTTATTGTAGTGAATGCCGTGGTTGATACGGACATGGAAGTCTTTGTGCAAGGGTTACTAGCTGGTAGGTCCTCATCCCCATTCTGAGAGCCATATACTAATGTGACCAGCGAAATCACAAGGGAGGACATATCTCTATCGGACAGGCGCTGCATTCGTCTCGACAAGACTGGGAATCTCGCAGATTGCACCTCTAACTCCCAAATCACTCAGCATGAGCACCCACGCCTCCCAACCAGGCGGACTGATCCTAGCAGGGTCCTACGTGCCAAAGACGACTGAGCAACTGCAATCACTCATCGAAGGCAGAGGTTCCCATCTCGAGGTCATCGTCCTCAGAGTCGAAGACCTACTGAAAAGCCCCGAAGCCGCAGACCAAGCAGCCCTAGACGCAGCGGATAAAGCCGGCCAGCTGATCCTCAATGGCCGCGACGTCCTCGTCATGACAAGCCGTGACCTTATCACCGGAAACGACGGGATATCCAGCTTGAAGATAGGCAGCACTGTCGCAGCAGTTCTGGTCCTATTCCTGCGTCTACTCGTTCCGCGCCCCCGCTACATCATCGCAAAGGGAGGCGTCACCTCTTCAGACGCAGCATGCAAAGGACTGCGCATGCGAAGAGCCCAGATCCTCGGACAAGCTGCATCAGGCGTGCCCCTGTGGCGATGCGACGAGCCAACCTCCAAGTTCTCGGGGATCTCATACGTCGTGTTCCCTGGGAACGTAGGCGAAGTCCACACCCTCCGCGACCTAGTCGCATCATGGGCGAAAAACGTCAAACCGGGCATGGAATACCAACGCCTAGGAAACAGTTCCCTTAAAGTCTCCCGAGTCATCCTCGGCTGCATGACATTCGGCAATCCCTCCTGGGAGGGCAGTCCCTGGGTCCTCCCAGAAGAAGAGGCCCTGCCTCTCCTGAAAAAGGCATACGACTGCGGCATTAACACATGGGACACGGCGAATACATACTCGAATGGGATGTCCGAGGTGATAGTCGGCAAAGCACTAAAGAAATACTCCATTCCACGAGAAAAGGTCGTTATCCTATCCAAGCTGTACTACCCAGTGATGGACATCACCTCAAACGCACGGCCCAACCCCGCCGTGAATGACGGGGCTTTGGTAAACCAGATGGGACTAAGCCGGAAACACATCTTTGAGGCCGTAGACGCCTCGCTGAAGCGACTAGGGACAACATACATCGACGTTCTGCAATTACACCGGGTCGACGAGACCGTGCGTTCTAATCCCGAGGAAGTCATGAAAGCGCTACACGATCTTGTCCAGGCCGGGAAAGTGCATTACCTCGGCGCGTCGAGTATGCACTGCTGGCAGCTGGCTAGGTTACATTACACGGCCAAGATGAACGGGTGGACGGGGTTCACGAGTATGCAGAACCTGTATAACCTGCTTTACCGGGAAGAGGAACGGGATGTAAACCCATTTTGCGAAGTTGAAGGGATTGGATTGATTCCTTGGAGTCCCCTGGCCAGAGGGTTACTTGCACGGCCGTCGAATGTCCAAACGGAGCGGTCAAAGCGGGATGCGAAGACGGCTAAGTGGTTTACTGGGGGGCAGAATGAGAAGATCATTGGCAGGGTGCAGCAGATTGCGGAGGGTAAGGGGTGCTCTATGAGTGCAGTCGCCATGGCCTGGCTACTTCACAAGGGGGCTTGTCCGATTGTTGGACTGAATAGTTTGGAGAGAATTGAAGCTGCAACGGAGGCATTCGGCTTACATCTTTCAAAGGAGGAGGTACAACTGCTGGAGGGGTCGTACCAGGCTTTGGCAGTACAGGCTATTTAGCTGCCTAAATAGATAAATAGAATTGCATTTATATTATCCAGTATACAGCCAGTTACATTGACAACCGGTTAGAGACCTCAAAGATCATTAGCATAGTCACATAAGCAGTCATATAGAACTCACCATTACTCCTATACGCGGCAATCGCCCCATCAAACGCCTTCTCAATATCATCCACAATCCCCGGCGCAATGCCCGCCTCAAACTCCGCCAGCTTGGGCAAAATCTGATCCGAGAACGCAGTTGTATCCCTCTTCAACTGCAACAAACTCGAAAGGACAATCACACCCAACTCCCCAAATGTCTCATTCTTGCCTTCAATCTGCTTCAACGACGACTCGATCTCAGGCTTCAGGTTGATGAGTGCAAGTCCGACCTGGAGGGAGCCATCGCCAAACGGCTCGGACGCGTCGGCATCGGCCGCGCCGGTCTGAATGCACTTGTCGAGGTTTGTTGCGTCGACTTGCACTTGCAGGGCATAGGGCAGCCCTGGTATTCCGGGGACCACGTCCTTGACGTCGTCTGTCAGCGTCGTGAGGAGGGTGCTGATACTCTTTATATCGCTCAGAACGGTGTTGTAATCTGCCAGGACAGTCACTGGCAGCGCCAGGAGAGATGAAAAGGCAAATGCCCGCATTGTAGCAGCAGGTGGTGTAAATAATGTCAGAAAAAGATTAGCATTTGTGGGAATGGTGTTCACTGTTGGGATGTTATGGACATCTGCAACGCACCCAGTTGGACCATTACATCCAAGTCCATATTTCAAATTCAGCAAGTCAGCAAAAGCACGGGGATGCTAATCTCCGAGAAATAAACTTCAGGATTAGTATCCTGGACATTGAAAGTTGGGAACAGCCCCAGATCAGCGTCACAGGAACAGTGCCTCGGCCGGCTGATGGTCGACAAGGGCTGGTGAATACTAGTCTCGTTCTTCCTGTCAAGTACAATATATGCATTGCGAACGGATTACTCTCCACACTCTACAACAAGCACGTAAAGATGCACAGAACGATTGCTTTCGCGCTGCTTATCGCCCAATGCTTCGCGCGGACGCAGGGTAAGTGAGCCAATATTTCAACATCATCAACTAACTGGACAGTATCGCCGGAACTATACAATAAGTTTGAGCGATATACAGCATTTGCAGCAGCATCCTATGCCGATTCCTGCACCATTCCTCCGTCTGGCAGTACCGTTGTGCAGTACTTCAACGACAACGCAACAGACACCCAAGCCACCCTGTTCGAGGACGCCCAGGCAAAAGAGCTAATCATCGCATTTCGAGGTACTTCGACTCCAAAAGACCTCGATACCGACTTCAACTTTAGCCTGGTGCCCTTGACCGCCCCAGGGACGGATTGTTCGAAGTGCAAGGTGTGTTCAACCCATCGTCACGGTACATCAGCTAAGTCTTTTAGGTCCATTCAGGCTTCCAGGAGGCCTATCAAGCTTTGTCAAATGAAGTGGTGTCTAAGGCTGAATCTGAGCTATCCGCTCACTCCGATTACTCTCTTATTGTAACTGGACACTCTCTCGGCGGTGGTATAGCAGCCATCGCCACGGCAGCCCTGACAGGCCTAGGCCATGAAGTCACGACATACACATTCGGGGAGCCTAAAAACGGCGACCAGGAGTTCGCGGACTACTTGGAGAGCCTGGTTTCAGATGAGAATTACTACCGAATTACTCATGCGAATGACGGTGTTCCGCAGATTCCACCTGCCTTACTTCACTACGTGCACCATGGGGATGAGTATTGGCAGAAGGAAAAGGATAACAATGATGCTACGACGACGTTTGCCTGTGAAAAGAAAAGTTCAGTATGTTTCCCTTGAGCAGTTACCCTTGCCGACTGTCTGTTCTGACTTTGTAGGACTGCAATGCTGCCCAAGACTTCGGCGATAACCCTATCAACCGGGCGCATTTGACGTATACCAGTAGTGTTATTGGGAATTCGTTGAATATCGTTGCTTGTGGTGCAGCGGGATTCTAGTACAGATTGACGGGGATATTAATAGCAAATGATGTATCTAAGAAGAGAACGATGCTATTCTACACGATAAATGTGACAACGTAGAATCAATCGCATACAGTCACCTTTTGTCCAACAGTCATAGGTACCTGAATAAAATAATTTCCAGAATCCACAGAGGCTGTCCCTCACGAAAACGCTTTAATGGCCTGCGCAAAATGAAAGTCGATATCAGAAGTCACCAACGGGGCCAGGCGCTTCAACTCCTCCACTAGCTTGGAAGTAATCGCCTCTCCTAACTGCCCGGTGCTCTTCTGAAGGCCCTCCAAGTCAATCTTCACCAGAAAGCTGGCCGACCCGACTCCCAGAATCGCAGTATCGAAAGCCGGCTTCTTGTCCACTAGCAGATCCAGGAGGTCATAAATATCCGACTGCAGCTCTACCACGACATTGACCACTTTGGAAGAGTCGCCTTCGTCAAGTGGCTCGATCTTCTTGATTGCAGTGGTGCCGTTGTCAACCGTTGTTTTGAGGTCGCCTGTCTTGCCCTGGATTTCAAGAGCTGCAAGTGTTCCATTGCCACCGCCGCTGAATTTCTGGACCAGGCCTCCCAAACTGTGCAGCTGGCCTGTTATTGTGTCGAGGCTGGAGAGTACTGGAGCTGCATCGCGGGGAATGGTAAGGCCCTGCACCGCGGTAATACAGGCAAGAAGTGGAAGAATGAATAACATGATGCGTTTTAGTTGTATAGCCACCGTCAGAGCGCCAACCTCCAGCTTTGAATCGAACTTTTCTATCCGGACTCGACTTCCGAGGCAGACCGGGGCTGTGAGTCTGTGATATGTAGCCCAGGGCAGTCGAATACTAGAGATGAAGTTAATCTGTGTATTGGCAATCTCCGCTTCTTCACATGGACCGTGCCGGGCTGATCGACATGTTATGTATCCGTGCAACAGCCCGGATTTCCACGGAGCTGACATTGGGGATTGCGCTGGGTTTAGAGTATCCGTACATTGTTGACCGTGAAGAGGACTAGGTTTGATCAGCATTGGAATCCTAACATCAGAAAGAAAGGGGAGGGAATCTGGCAATTCTTCCCCGTGCTACCAGTTTGGGATCTGCAGTTCATCCTGATCTACAGTCTCGGCTTATACGTTCCTAAGTCCTTCTATAAACCGGTACGATCCGTTTCCGACCATCCGTATGTAGTTTATGCAGATGTTTTACCGTGCCAGGGACGACTCGGTCTGTCTTTATGTCTACTTGGCAGCGTATGTTTTGCTTACATGGATGGACAATTCTGTTCCATTCTTCGGCTACTCGGTGTAGGGGATGTGAAGTTGGGACTCCTAAAGATGCTACATCCACCGCTTAACTGCGCTTGAAAAATGCCAGCCTATTTAATGTACAGCTAATTCACTATCTGCTGTTTCAAAGTCTATCCATTTAATCAGAAACACCAATATCGACAATGGGGGGCCCAGATGGCAATAGTCTGGTGGGCTACGATTATCAGCATCGGCAGCTATATACGCTCCAACATCGATCAAGCAGGTCAGATGCAAAACAGCCTGAACTATCTAGTCTAAGCCTGAGGTACGTACGGTGTACAGTTCCTCAATTAGCTGCCTACTGAAGATCACAGCAAAGGACAAGACAACAAGAGAGGAGCGGTCAAACATGTCCTACAACTCCTCGCTGCTTTCACGCACTCCTTAACCATCTACCCTCTGATCCCGATATTCCTCCTCACAGCCTACGCCATCTTCAACCCGTTGCGAGTAATACTGCCAATCCTTCTTTCTCTCGTCCTGCCTCGCTCCTTCACCCGACGCAGCCAGTTCCTCCGTTCCCTCCCAATATGGCGCCTCTTCGCGTCCTACTTCCCCATCCACCTCTACAGATCAACAACCCTACAACCAACAGGGAAATACATCTTCGGCTACCACCCCCACGGAATTCTCTCCCACGGGGCTTTCGGATCCTTCGCAACCGAAGCACTCGGCTTCTCCAAGCTCTTCCCGGGAATCGAGAACTCCCTGCTGACGCTCGACTCTAACTTCCGCATCCCCATATACCGGGATTACCTCCTTCTGCTTGGCATGGGCAGCGTATCGCGTTCCTCATGCGAGAAAATCCTCAACACCGGCGGCATAGACGGAAAGGGAACAGGGAACGGTATAACGATTGTCATCGGCGGCGCCAAAGAATCCCTCGAAGCAGTCCCGAATAGTATGCGCCTGGTCCTTAAAGAACGAAAAGGGTTCATCAAACTCGCTATTCGCAATGGGGCCTCGCTCGTGCCTGTACTCTCATTTGGGGAAAACGATCTTTACACGATTCTCTCAGACCTAGACCCGAAATCGTTCAGTGGACGTCTCCAGCAGCTCTTTAAAAAAGCATTAGGCTTTACAGTTCCGTTCTTTTACTCAAAGGGCCCGCAAATGTTTGATTTTGGGATTACGCCGCATCGCAGGCCGGTGAATATTGTTGTGGGTAGGCCGATTCATACGCGCAGGATGGTTGATCCGGTGGATCAGGTTTATTTGGATGAGCTTCATGGGCTTTATGTCGCAGAGCTGGAGAGGATTTGGGATGAGTGGAAGGATGTTTTCGCGCCCGGAAGGGCTGAGGAGATTACATTTCTTTGATCCAAGTTAATGTCTTCCTTGCTTTACATAAGGGGTGCTATATGTACTAAATATGGTTTCAACAGGCACACGCTGAGACAGAAGGAAAGGCAGAGCGCAAACCATTTCTTTATAGGCCTATTTGTTGTTGGGAATACTGTAGCTGTTGCGGGTTGTTCTTAACACGACAGAATTCCAGCATGAAGTGCATTTCTAGTCTCTTTGACCTGTTTCGTCGTTAATATCCTACTTATTACACACTTGTCTGAGAGGTTGACGTGTGTAGAGATGCTACCCTTCAATATCTTGGGAGTGTGGTGGGCCTGGGGTCGTTAATATCCAAGTGCTACTTTCGTAGTGTGTATAGCACAGCTATTTCCTAAACCGGTAATGCCTTGAATCTGGCTGGGGGTTGCAGATGGGTCTGGGGCTTTCAAGCTGACACTGCATTTTTAGTATTCAGGAGCTGTTGCAGGGTGGCGACGGGGAAGCAGCTGAGCTAAATGATAGCTTACTGGACTGAAATTGTAGGTCTACTCTATTTTATGATTGGGCATGGCCCTGGAATGCCTCAAAAGGCACGCCTTCCCCTTTTAGTCTAAGCGATTCCTGTTGAGGCTTATTATAGGTCGCTGCTCGCAGATATCACAGCCATCATGCATACAATACGAAGGTTCCCAAGTGCTTGGCCCCGAACACAGCCTCAATGACACTGCATTTTTAGTAGTACTGAGGCGGCGTTGCACGGTGGTAACTGGGAGGAAAGCAGATGACCTACGTCATCATTACTTGCACTGCAATCTTAGGGTCGACTGGAGATGGTTGGGAATGTCCCAGAATGGCCGCCTGCATAAGTCTCAGGCCGCCACACTTGCATGCACTGCATTCTTAGTGTAAACGACCTGTGGCCGAGGGGTGAAACCAGCTTAGCCTGGGCCAGTTATTATCGAGGAAACATCAGCCGCCAGACTAACACCGCCTGGTAGTTGCCTGACAAGAGAGCTTCTGTCCTGTCCAGGGAGGTCCAAATAGGCCAGTATTAGCATGCGTGGACTCGGACTAGGTACATGTGGTGTAGCCCTGGTGACTGGTTGCCTTGCTGTAACTCCGACCTCAGCACAGCGATAGTTTAAATTTTGATGCCGCTACTGCAGTCCCTGCATGGTTAAAATGAAGAAAGTGTCATATCATACTTCATTTACTAGCATTGAGCCGGAAGAATGGTACCAGCATCTATTTACAAAAAGGCAGCAACCGCTTAGTAGTATTCCCGGCGAGAAGCCTCCTCAACCTGCTGCTTGGCGTGGTGTTTAGCCTTCTCCTTATCAATGAAGTCGAGGCCCTTGCTCTCGAACTCCTTGTCGACGAACGCTCCAGCGAAACCAGCGAGGAGCTCCTTGGCGTGGGCGTGGCTCTGGGGTTTGCCTGTCAATGAAATATATTAATTAGCCTTCTGTACGGCACTGTTTGCAGGGGTGTGGACGTACCGTTCTTCTCACAGTGGTGCTCGTAGGCGCGCATGGCCTCCCACGAGGCAGCACCGGCGACCAGCTCGTGGCTGAACTTGGACTTGTGTTCCTCGTTGGTGTGGTCGAGGTTGTGGTACTCCTGGTGGGAGCGGGCCTGGTGAGAGTCGTCGTCTGGTAGAGTTAGAAGTTGTCAAGCGCGCGCGATGGCAGAACATACCGAAGAAACCCATTGTGCTGGTTGATGTGAGAGTGGTATGAGAACTGATTGGAGAGAAGTTTGGAAAGAGTAGACTGGAAGATGGGTTATGTGCCAGGATAGGGCACTTTATACCTCAGCAAGCGGGGTAGCAAGAAGATTGGGACTTTCCCAGGCCTGGACAAGCAGTCCCAAGCCCGAAATAGCTGCGTGGCCGAAGCTGAGGTGATAATCATCATAAACAGTCCATTAATTCGAAGCTTTATGGGGCCCACCCCCGTGGGTCGAAGGGCAGTCGGACTGAGCCCTAATTGGCAGTGGGCAATGCTAAGCTGGCGCCGAGCAGTCTTAGCCAGTGTTAGCGGGCTGATCGTGTCATCCGTTCCATACAATCTGGAAATAGGCAGCAGCTTTTGGTTTCAATCTCATAACCGCTGAGGGGTCTCCGTGTAACCGTGGATGGGCCGGGACGTTGCGGCCTCATAGGGCGATAATATGGCAGGTAAAGAGCAACACTCAGCCGTACTTTCTTTACTGCACGACAGTGAAATTCGCGTTCAAAGTACAGGACAGTATTGTCCAACACCCGCAGCTCCTTTTCCAGTAATTGAGTCGGAGCAGACAACGTGCGCCACGAAGCCACGATCCTCCCCTGGATCGTCTTCAGCCCTGCCCCTCTCTAACCCCCACTTGCACCAGCCCCAATTGCGTAACAAACATACCCCCCGACTCCGATCTAGCCGTCTGAACTCGCTAATTGTCAGTGAAACCGCCGTGGTGGTACGTCATTTCGGCCTCTACCGCCACAAGGTACACAGGGCTCCTGTCTCCGGGCTCTTTCATCTCCAGTCGGCGGTCCTCGACTCAGAATGAAATGGACTGAATAATGATCGAACACACGGCATGCAATTGCGTTTGGAGTACTCCGAGCGCGGCTTCACCGCAAAGTGATTGAAGATAACCTCCCTCTCGGTACCGACTTATCTGAGTGTATTGTCCATCGCGCTCGACCCTCCTCTACTCCACTAGAGCAACCGTGGCACCGGAGCTTCTCAGTAGCGCCAATCAAAACCAGAGCCTTCGGCCGAGAGTCTGGAGGGAGTCCGCAGAGGACAGCTGGCTATGCGAGATCATCATCTTACGCACACCGTCACTTGGGGGAGTTGTTTGACGAGGGACGTCGCGGTGATCTGGCGAAGATCGTAGCCCTATGGTAACTGGAACCCACATGTCAGTTGTCTCGGCTGCAGACGATGCTCGGTGCTTCCGAGAAGCGGGCTGCAGTGGCAAGTAAACATGCATTCCTGGCATGGAGTGGAATAGTGAGATACCCTCCTCTACTGATGTCTCACCTTCGTCCACATGGACAGTCCTAATCCGCTCTTACATAAACTATTCCAACTTCAACGGGGCATTCGTTTCAAAGCTACGGCGGTTGATAAGCTCCAGGTATGACTATCAGTATAACCCTGGAACCCCGCACAGCTCCGCCTGCCGAACCACCCTATATCCGATCCCTAATGGCGACATGGACTGTCTCATTGTCTGCTATACTCGGTCTAGTGTAGTCCTCACCGATATCACTCCAAATAGCCACTCGAATGGTCTCGTAACCGGCACCGTCCCCGTGGCCGTAGCTAAGTAATTCTTCCTTCGAACCTCTCATGACGAATTAGTGCACCACGCGGATTCCACAAAAAACAATCCTGCATGCGCTTTGCATCGCTCCTAAGGTGTGCAGACATAGAACCACAGGTCTGGGTGCATGGTAGATATACAGGAGGCTGGTGCTGTCAAAGACAGGCTTTACTATATCCAAACTACTGAACTGAACCCCTGGGGGATTCATATAGCTGGGTACCCCACATGGTCTAGGTATACGCCTGCTGCGAACTATAAGAATATGAATATCACACATATTTGTAACCTGCAAGGTTGATACAATGGCATTGCAGCTATTCAATGTCTCAACATGGTCACCCCTTATTCAGGACTGCATAGTTGTGGTGGTGCTTGCCTATAGAGCGGGCTGCACCTTCCACCAAGCTATCAGATAGCCGCCACTCCCCATTCAGGCCCATCAAAATGCTTTATTCACCACTGGATCTTTTCACCTTTCCGTATCATCACGATCAAACGCAATTATGCTGAAGTTTGTAAATCGCGCCGGCCCCGCCTCGAGCTGACGCTGCTCCCACGGCTTCGACAACTACGGTACTTCCTCGGCTGCCAGTTTCTACGATGTGGCACTTGGGGCTGTTCTGCATGGTGTGCGAAGGGCTGCAAAGTGCCTCAAGCGTAAGGGTTAGAATCCGACGTCGGCACAATACGATCCCCGGGACCTTGAGCGTCTGCTTGGTCAGATTGAACCAGACGGAGAGTAGTATGGCCTATTCCTGTAAACGGTTGTAGTGTACCAACTGCCCTGGACTTCTTTTTCGTACTTTCAATTATTCAGCTGGCCTGGGAGAAATAGCATCAGAGGGTATTTTTGTGTCTAAAATCACGCTTTCAATGTGAAAAGCTGAACGAAAGCTGGGAACGATCGTAGCCCATGTTGCAATTTCGAGAAATATACCGTTAATGAGTGGCTGGTAATCATTTCGCAAGGTTTATTGTCTTGGTTCCCTAGCTCACTCTGGTTATCACGCTCAACTATGGAAGTCTTCCAATTACTGGATCAAGAGAGATCGGACCGGTCAAGATAGGGAACAGGATCCTCCCAAGGACATTTCCTGCCACCATTCAGTACCCATAAGCCCATTTACAAATAAAATAAAAAAAAAAAACATACAACAGCTGGGATTCGCATGTGGTCACCCACCATACTACTAACCAGCCGGCGTGTGGCTTAAGTACGGCTGAGCGGACGGGAAGCCCTGTTTTCCACACCCTGTGGTCGTATGTACTGGCCGTAACTAAACAATGGAATATATACGGATAACTGCTATGGATGCTTGGAATACTGCGATTGGGGATCATCCGCCGAGTGTCGTGGCAAGATTTCAGTTTCCGTCAGTGTTGGTGTGGTAGCAGCTGTAGCAGCAGTCTTAAATTTCCTCATATTATTCATCAGTCAAGGGAATAGCACCGCCGGCGACTCCGGTGGAGAACTTGAGCTGGAATACCTGCGAGGATCAGCCGGCGTGACCCTATCCCATGTCTCATCCCTAGGCTATATTGACCCATCCATCCCACCCCCTTCCTTCATCCCTATGTTAGAGCCCCTGCCAAGGGCAACTCACCAGCTGAGCCAAACCAGTAATCACGCCTCGTTGTCGTGCTCATGGCAAGCGCACGTTTGTTAAAATATTTCTCTGCGCCATAGCAATATCAATGCCCTAATTCGGGTTAAACTGCACTGCAATATCTTCCATTCACCGCTGATGCTGCCTGTTTCGGCCGCTTCATTGTGTCAATTACATCTGTTTACGTGCCTAGACTCCAGCTTTCCACTGAGTATATCACGTCATGTTGATTGGAAAGGGGAACAGGGGAGGAATCAGGGCGACTTAGATGTGGTGGTGTGATGATGTGGTTGTTCTGGACTCTTGGTGGGAGCTCGTTAGATCCGGCCAGGACAAGGAGAACTATGATAGAGATAGGGATATAAATGATGTCAATTACTTCCCCTCCCGTTTCTTCACGGAAATGTCTCATATCGTGGGTGTCAGAATGTGCTGATAAACTGAAGAATTGTGGGGTCCGATTTGGTGAGGGCAGGGATAGAACAGAACGGGACAGGCATACGGCCCTGACGAAGGGCAAAGGGGCACGACCCTGTTGATTCACTTGACTGGACTTCATCTACTCGGAAGAATTGCCGAAGAATGTTATATAAACGGCGATAGAGCCAGCCTATCTACCCTGATATTCAAACACAATCTATCAGAGCTCTAATATCTATCTTAAGAAAAGAAACAGCGCCGCTCGCTCTCATACCTCTATCATCGCCATCAAAGAAAGAGAACCAAGATGCACTTCATCAAAAGCACAGCGGTCCTCGCAGCCCTCACCTCTCTAGTCACCGCCGCACCGGCTTCATCTTCATCTCTATCTCCAGCGCTATCTCCCTCATCCTGCACAACAATCTACCCAACAATCGCACGGGTCGACGAATCCCTCCCCCAGGCATCCTACCTCCCAGGGTTCCACGTCTCACAAGAATCATCCGGCTCCGGCAAACAAGACGTCTTCGCCGAATTCACCGTCCCCGAAGGCGTCTGGGGCTGCACACTCTCCTACTACTTCCCAGCCGGCGAACCAGTACACAACATCGGCGAGGGAAACGGCCCGCCCGCCGTGGAAGTCTTCTCCGTTACACCCGCGGGTTTGTTAAGCCGCACCCCGCGCGGAATCGATATTTCTTGGGACAATAGCCCCGCGAAGAAGAATCTCGTTGGCAGTGTGCAGTTTGAGTCGAGTCCGTGGCAGGCGACGAGTCGGGTGGTCAATAGCTTTGCTTGTGAGAGTACCATGACGTACAGACTTAGTGTGTCTGAGGGACAGATGGGCAGGGCGGGCGTGGAGTTTGTCCAGAGTGAGGAGGCCGGGTTGAGGATGAGTTATAACTGTTGATTTCTTCTTCATCGTTCGTTTCCTGTCAATTGCTGGTGTTTAGTCGTGTTTTGTTGGTACATATGTGCATTTGGCTGCTGTCTTGTCAATGCGCACAACCAGACGATAGCCAGTTCAGTTCAGTGTATGTAATTAACTTGATAATCCTATCATCTTGTTTTGTCAACCCGAGGCAGCGTCACGGCGTAGCATTCATATGACACGCCCAGTAGAAGATCACATCCCTCGGGATCTGCGCGGCCTCAGGCCGGACCTTCCTACCATATAGTCATAAACCCCGATCCGGGGGCTCGGTGTTTTGGGGGGTCATGTGCCTATGCACATTCTCAATACCGCCAACGTCCTGGCCAAAGACATCACCGCCGGCGTATTCTAGCGATTGCTCCTGGGCCATTTTGGGGTTGGTCTGCTCCATCAGGGTCCGGATTATTGAGATGGCCTTGCCAGTTTCCCAGAGACCGTCCTTTGCAGGGAGGCGCGGGTGCTGGAGCAGGGCGAATGCAGTCTCGCGGTTAACCGGGTCGACGGTCTTGAGACACAGGAAGTAGAGGATGGCGATGAGCTGGGAGGAGAGGGTGAAATTCCGGGAAATATCGTCCAGCCCGTCCAGCGAGAGGAAGGCCTGGATATCCGCCAGTGTACTGCGCAGGCTGTCGTTCGACATGGCGCTCGGGGGCGCGTAGCCGAAGGGTCCCAGCCCCGGTCCCTTTTGGGGCTCGTAGGGGATGTTCTCGGCGAGGATGGCGTAGTACATGCGCGCTTGGATGCGGAGGAGCAGGGCGCGCGGTGGGATTTCGGGGGGGAACGAGCTGAAGAGCATATTCAGGGCGAAGAAGAAGCGCTCGAATTGTTGGTATATGATGAAGCGTTCGTGGAGGAGGTGTTGGGGGAATTCGCCGAGAGGCTTGTGTTTGTGTGCGACGTGCACGATGATGTGGTGCATCAGCCAGTTTTGCAGCTTTGTGAGGACCACCTCTCCCTCGTCGATGCCGCTGAACTGGGTCGGGACAACGTGGACAGTGCCTGCCAGCTCCTCTGGACTCACTAGTGTCAGGATCGGTATTCGTTCGTCGTCAAAGGTGCTCGCGTGGATGTCCAGTCTGGCGAAGATGGAGGCCAGGTGGGGCAGGATATCGTCCCCCGCACCCTCGGTTGTCGGCGGCGGCGATGTTGGAGAACCAGGATTGGAACTAGGGTTCGATTGAGAAAGTCCCAGGGTGTACTGGTATTGTTTTAGCAAAGTTATGCCGTTATTCAGATGCTGCATGGCGGAAGTGCAGTCGCCCATCAGGCTTTCAAACGCGTAGAACAGGATACTGCAGATCAGCGCCGTCTCTGGAGACGCGTCCGGCGAGCGAAGGTACAGCCGAAGCTGACGGTGGCACTTGGCTACTCGCTGCATGGCTGTGCCCGAGGCAGCCGCCTGGATGGTGTTCCCACCCTGGAGATAGTCGCGGTACAGAGCCGCCAGCGTGACGACGGCATGGCGAATGACGGGCTGGTCGTGCGACCGCTGCAGAATCAGGCGGGACCAGAGCGTGGAGTCCGAGAAGCTGGAGAGGCCGCCGGCGGCTTCGCAGCAGTAGAAATGCAGCAGCTGCCGATCGGCCTGGCTGCCAGGGACTTTGAACGGCAGGTTGTAGACGCGGATCCGGAGAGGCGGGTCAGCCTTTTGCAGCTGGCCCTGCTCCGCCTCCTGATTCTCGGGTGGCGGAGCAGGATAGCCCTCGCAGCGGCGGCCAGTGCGCGAGCAGTTCCTGCAGCTGGGCTTGCCCTCGTCGCACTTGATACGGCGCTGCCTGCGAAAGGTTAGCTCAGGGACGGCACATCTTGGAGGCTTCGCGGGTCGGAAGCAACCGAGGGCCAGTGAGAGCGTACTTGCAGGTCTGACAGCCCGTGCGCACCTTGGGCATGCTCTTCCGGGTGGCCTTCTTCATGGCTCGTATATTCGTGGCCTCGGACATGGTGCACGCGGTGGATATCGGAAGTATATGAGTGTGTGGCCGGGGAGAGTGGGAGAGCGACGTTTGGGGGCGAGGCGACGCCGCATCGGGACGAGTGGGTCCGGCCCCCAGTAAGCCAGTGGCTATGCGTGTCGCCTTGGCGGTGTGGCTAACCCTTTTGGGCGAGTGCATTTTACGACAGTCCGCACTCTGCCATTCAGCCGGTATCCGGGCTGCTGATTGGCCATCTGCGCATGCAGACAACTATACGAGCAGTAAACACGGTTGTTAGAGCCAGCTCACGAACGGTGGTGAACAGCTATAAATATGGAGGTAGCTACCAGGCTGGTTCATCATCATCATCATCATCATCACCATCATGTCTTTCAAACAGCTCCTCATCGCCAGCCTGCTGGTGGGCAGCCAGGCCGCCACTCTCCCCATGAGGCGCCATACACACTCAACTGCAACCGCGCCCATGGTTGTGACTGAGTACGGCTCAGTCTTCGACGTCGAGGCGACTATCGGCGGCCAGAGCTTCTCCCTACTCGTCGACTCCGGCAGCAGCGACCTATACGTCATGGAGTCCAACTTCACCTGTATCAACAAGGACACCAACCTCGAAAAGCCCGCAGATTATTGCGGATACGACGTGAACAGGACGTACACGGCTTCGGCTTCCGACACGTTTGAGCAGATCCCCAACCAGGTCTTCGGCATCGAGTACGGCGCCGGCATCGCCAGCGGCATCATGGCCTTTGAAGAAGTCACCGTCGCCGGCGTCACCCTCCCCAAGCAGCGCGTCGCAATCGCAAACAAGTCCACGCCGATGGGCGATGGCGTCAACTCCGGCCTCCTCGGTCTGGGCTATCCGTCCATCACCTCCGCGCACCCAGGCAACACCACCGACAACTCGACCTACTGGTTCAACCGGCTCCCGTACAAGCCCGTCCTCTACAACATGTGGGAACAGGGCCTTATCAAAGCGCCATACTTTGCACACGTTCTCTCTCGTACCGCACTCAATGACTCGGGCCCTTCATTCGGCGGATACCTCTCGCTGGGCGAACTGCCCCCAGTGGCCCACGACGACAATTGGGCCGTGGCCCCGGTCGAGATCATGGACAACATCCCATTGAACTTTACCTCGAACCAGCGCACGCGGTCATACTGGGCAACAACCCTAAGCGCCTCTCTCGAGACGGGATCAAACAACACGTCCGAAAACAAGAATATCACCGCCCCCTTCCAGGCCTTCTTCGACTCGGGAAACCCGATGTCCTACCTCCCCTCCCGCATCGCCGAGCCGCTGAACAATCTCTTCTCGCCACCGGGTGTATACAGCGAGGACGCAAAGACCTACGTCGTGTCCTGCAACGCAAAGGCTCCGGAGTCGTTCAGCATCAAGGTAGGCGGACAGGTCTTCACGCACGATAGTGCAGACCTTATCTACCAAACCGGGGAAGGTGAGGAAGCGGTATGTCTTTCAGCGATTGGGAACAGTGATAGGATCAGGCTTTTGCCGAATGTACAGCTGAATGTGATCGGCGTGCCATTTCTCAGGAGCGTGGTGTCGGTGTTTGATTTTGGGAAGAATGAGATGCGGTTTTCGCGGTTGGAGGAGGAGGTTGAGGAGTGTTAGGTCTCTTCTGCATACCGTTAATACTTGTATATTAGGTATAGATGATATTAGATGCTGTACATCCTTTCCAATCTCAGGTTTGTCGAACGTTGTGAGGATAAACATAGTGGGTTTTCCTAGTATCCGGTAATATATACACATTCATCAGCACCATCATTATATTATCTACTCCAGGCAATATAGAACCTCTATCTAAAAACAGCTAAACTGAAAAATAATAATCATTCAAGAATCTCCACTGGATCCGACCAAATCCGAATGCTCGTCCGAGTTACGAGGCCAAGCCAGGACATATAACGATCATCCATCGCCGTCCAACAGCAACAGCCCTCCGTCCAACACTGCAGCATAGTTAAATTGCTTCCTCTCAGCAACTAATAAACCTCCAGCCACGCCTCGACCGCCGCCCCCAGTGCCTCCTTAACCCACCCACCGTCCTCATAGCGCTCCTCCGCATCAAACCCATGCTCGCCATCCCGAAACACCAACGCAACTTTACCATTCTGCTGGCTGTTAGCCATTTCGCCCCCAGCGGCAGACATCCCGGTCTTGCCAGCACCGGCCTGTGCACCAGAAGTGGAAGAAGCAACCTCACGCGCCCTCTCCACAAACGGCACAGAGTGATGCGGCGGGACAACACTATCCTGCCGCCCCTGGACAATAGTAATCCCACCGCGCGGGATCGTCACACCGGGATCATCAAGGCGCTGGATCGGGAAGAGTACCCTGCCCGCCTCGGAACTGACCTTGTCCAACCCTCTTGTATACCACTCCCCTATGATCCCATGCTCGATCACCGCCAGCATGAGCGGGACATAGCTAGGGGTGTCGGTAGACGAGACCGGCTTGTTGGTGTCAAGCGAAGCTAGGTACTCCTCTACCACGGAAACGGGGGTACGCTGACCAAACGGGAGGAGAGAGTCCGGGCGAGGTTTCGAAAAGTCTGCCGACGACAGCGACAAGTCAACGCAGGGATAGAGTGCCGTTGCGGCGCGCACGTCGGGGGCGTGCCCGAGAGCCGTGTTGATGCTCAGCAGGCCGCCGGCGGATTCCCCGGCCAGCAGGATGCGGGATAGATCGAGCTCTGTCGGGTTGGAGTGTGCGGCGAGAAGGCCGTGGATGGGACTAGTTGGCGATTTGAGCCAGGTCCAGAAATCCTCGATGTCGTTGTAGATGTCCAGCCCCGTGGCCTGGGGCAGGAGGCGGTAGTTAGGGGAGATGATGACGGCGTTGTGGCGCAGGGCGAGGTCCGAGAGCCATTGCGACCAGAAGCCCGGGTAAAGAGAGTCTCCTAGGATCTGGAGTCGACAGGTAAGACACTGTACTGTCTATATACAATCTAAACTGGGAATCGTACCAGGCCCCCGCCGTGGAAGCGGACTATCGTGGGCCGCTTCCCCGAGTGCGGAGTCTGCGGCACCAGGATGTCGGTGCGGATGGAATGGTCGCCTACGTGCTTGTACGAGGTGTGGATGATGTCGAATCCGTGGTATTTCGGGTCTGCGAGGTCGGCCATGTCGGGGGTTACGGTGTTGTTGTCTTATACTGGAATCCGACGCAGATACTGGGCTTATAAGTGTGTTGATCAAGACTGATTCAGACACCAAAAATCACCCCGCAGTCTCCAATTCGGGCCGAGGTCGAATACATAAGAGCAGCAGATTTACTCACACTGGTTCAGTTAAAATTATATATATTAATGGATCGCACTTAGCCTATCTATAGCTACGGCAGGGTTCAAGCTTAAAGTATTCTCCTGGCCCAACCCTACTAGAGTTGAGTACTGACAATCTCGGTGTCACCAAAGACCTCCGGTAATAGTATATCTATTAGGCCAGAGTATAGGGTCTTGGAGTAATATGTCGAAGAATTGACGGTGGCAACAGTCATCCATTCTGCCAAAAGTTATTGTATTTTACTCCTTTAGAGACTGCCGACCAACAAGCAGGACCACATACAGAAAAACCTTTTTCCTTGTTCCGGTGTGCGATGGTGCCATATTTAATTTATTAAACTCTTTCCATAATAGTAGAAAATATTTATCGCCTCTATTTCAAAGCTTCCCACTCTTAGCTGCTGTCTGGCGATATCCCCCCACGTAGTCGACCCCCATCTACGAGCCACATCCAGCATATAAAGTACGCGAATTAAACCCAACAACGTAGCAGTAGCTAAGCGGAACACCTGATATTATTGCAATTGATACTCCAGCACTCAACAGTAAGTCCACCCCATCCATATCCAAACAGAAAGTTAAACTTTCAGTGTCACACACCGAAGCCATAACCTCGGTGCTGCACGCCTACGGGGCAGCTCTCAAAACCCGCAACGTCCAAGACGCAGTCGCACTCTACACCAAAGATGGCGTCATCATGCCACCGCATTTCCCCGCCAGCGTGGGCGAGGACTCCCTCCGCGAGTCGTATACGCGCATCTTCTCAACAATCCACCTCCTCATATCCTTCCAGATCGAGGAGATAGTCGTCATGTCGCCCGAGTGGGCGTTCGCCAGGACGACGGCCGAGGGCACCAAGACGATACTGGCGACTGGGGAGTCGGAGCCGCATTCGAACCAGGAACTGTTTATCATGAAGAAGGAGGGCGGGAAGTGGTTGATTGCGAGATATGCGTTTTCGAGTATGAAGCCCCTGGTTCAGAATGGGGTGCGGAGGAGCTGAGCTAGATGTGGATTGAATGCTCTGGCAGATGAGTGCTGTACTACGACAGGCTGGTGCTCTTAGCAATTTGTTCGAGAGATAGAGGCACTGAAGACTAAAGCAGCCAAGGGAAAGTTCATTCAACTCAATGCTATGAAAGGTAGATATCTCTGCAATACATAAAAGCATCGCCGCATATTCAAGGCTTTACTTCACCAAATAGTACACAAAATGTACTCATAGAGCCCGTCCAGCTGCAATCACATCAACGACCAAATCCCTGAAGGCAAGGCCCAGCAGGGCTTCACGGTTGTGGTCACCTGGGATATCGAAGTCCCCTTCGAGACAACGTCGCACGGCCTCTGCATACCGCTCGCCCATGAGCCAAGGGACAGTGTCGCTAGTGCGCTGCAACAAGGTCTCGCGTATTTTGATAGGGTGATCGACACCTTTGCACAGTTCGTCCGCTGTTTCCCAAAGGGCCACCTCGAGGAGTACCACACCAAGCGAGTAGATGTCATGACGGATCGTGAACCTGTCGCTAGGATGTCCTTGACGGTTCGGGTGGCGATACAGATCGGATGCCCGGTCCTCAGCTGGGTTGACCTTCAGGGTCTCGCCATTCTGCTGACGCGCATAGCACCATCCGATGAGGTGTGGGCTTCGGCCATCCCCATTTGTGCCGCTCGACATGATGATCGAACGACTTGATATCCCTTTGTGCACCCAGCCAAATCCATGGATCCCAGAGACCGTCGCCGCAAGCTCGGCGGAGATTCGAAAGCGCTCGCCCAACGAAGGTTTGGGCAGGGGATGATCTTGACGGACAGCAGACTGCCCTTCGCCGCCGACGGTGGACTGACCGACAGTGGACTGCCTGATTAGACTGTGCAGTGTTGCGTGCTGCTCCGCTTCGTCTCCGGTATGAAGCTGCGCACATCGGTATACGAAGCCGATGCGCCACTTCTTCATGTCGTCGACGTATCCCAAGCAGGGCAAGACGCGGAGAGTCGATGGACGGCCGGCATCTTCTGGTTTCGTGAACGCGGACTGCATCGCCCACGCGAGTTTGCGGATGGGTGCCTTCAATTCGGAAAGGACGCTACCGGGGGCGGTCCTTAGGACAGGGTCATACGAACGGTATTCCACAATGACACTGTGTGTCTGGCCCGAGTGGTCGTCATACTGGGCATGTACAATGTCGGAGTCCGTGGCGAGCTTCGTGCCTGTTGGCGGCCTGATCCTGTCCCAGTCCAGGGCATCGAAGTCGGCTGGCGGATCCTGGAGGCCAAGAAGCCGGCGTGCTGCAGCTTCCTGGAGCCATCTATCTTGACTTTGCTTTTCGAGAACCTCCTTGATCCAAGTATCTCCGGCAGCGAGGCAGATCAGCACAATATGACTCAGGGTCTCACGAAGCTCGTGTGCATGACCGGTGTAGACTCGCAGAACCTCCAGGACCCTTTCTCGGTCAAATACGCTCCAATCGAGGTACCGTTTCTTGATATCTTTGACCTTCTGCTGCACCCGATGGACTTTGACGGCCATGCATTCCGTCATGCTTTTGGAGTCACCCACCACGTGCTCCCATCCCTTGGATTCAGGTACTTCGTACTTGCCCGCGATGGTGGTATACTCCGACATCGCCTGCAAAAGCTTCCGAGTGGTGTTTTCGACCTTCTTCTCGAAACAGGCGATCGGGAGACCGCGCGGCTGTCTGAACTGCCCGTTGCCATCGAAAAGGAGCAGCTTGCAGGTGTCCAAGAATCCAATCTCCTCGTCAATCTGGGACTTGATATCCTTTTGGTCGGCTTCCATGTTTTTAGCGTTTTCGATAACGGTGCGGATGAACAGGATGCCGCGGTAGGCTTCCTTCATCAGCGTGAAGGTGGTGCTTGCAACGTCCATGATGGATATTGGATGATAGCGAAAGGTAGTTGTGGGAGATGTTTGCAGCGGACGGAGACACGGAGGAAGGATAGGAGGTAGGATCTTGGCCTTGCGGAGCCTGGAAAGACTGTGATTTTCTGGTGGTGATGCAAACCCGTCAGCATATAGATGGGAAGTGGCTTCTGTGGTAGGCGAGTGGTGTGACCAACCAGATATCGGGTTGGGCGATGTTCGTAGACGATGAAATCGATCAATATGAGGGATCACGATGGATGAAGAATATTCTTTCCAGGTCCTGGGGGGAGATGGCTAACAGGGAGAATTGTCCTGCCCCTCCAACAAAACGGCGTTTGCCCTAATTGGGGGAATGCGCAAACGCGCAAGGTGTGCACCTGCACCAAAGAAAGTCCATTGGTATCCAACGCTCAATGCCAATATCGTGAAACAGTATTGACAATGGAAAGCTCGACTCCATGACCCTATGTCGTGTGGATATCCTATGTTGTGTGGCTGAACGCCAGTATACCTTCCCTTTGTTGCTGCTGTTGACTTCTACAACATCAGATCCAGTCTCCATTGCCAATTCCAGAATGAAACAAAGGCATTCCACAATTCTCGTATATGAAGAAAGCAATCATTGTAGAAAACAGACTTTGTTTTTATGCGCTGTTTTATGAGGCAAATACGGGGATTGATATTGATCAATAGTTTTCTTTCCACCCTGCTTCGAAAGGCTCTTTATACCGTGAATTTGCATGGTCGGCCACTTCCTATATATTAGACCCATTAGCACTCGATATTGCGATACTCACAATCAAACCGTCCTATCAAATATACATACCTTGTCGTCTTTAATCTGTATCCATTTCCCTTCCCCCTTCTTTCCTTATATGTCCGTCGTCATGGACCATGAAGGTGAGAGCTGTACCAGTACCATCGCTAAAAAGACTATCAATATCAAGTTTATTGCAGGCCCATCGCCGTGCTGTCGTACTGAACGAGTCCTATATACATACGGGTCTCTCAGGCTACAAAGTGTCGAGGCTGCAAGAAAAACAATCCGCATTCCGCGTGGCGACGGGTGCAAAGGCGATAGGGATAGTCCGGCTATGGCAGAAGTAAGTGCAATGGAGCACCTCAATCACCAGCATTGTATTCGCTTCGTTGACGCATGCGAGGCCAATGGCGCCGAAGGCGGAAGGGGAATCTACATCTTGACCAGCCCAATTGCTGACACGGATCTGGCACACATTTTAGGTGGATGTAAGGCGTGCACGCCCAACACCGACATCCCTTCCTTGTTCCGATGCCTGATCAACGGGTTGAACTATATCCACGGAAAAGGGATAATCCACATGGACGTCAAGCCCAGCAATATCCTGGTCCTGCAAGGACATGTGTACTTCACCGACTTTGGAGCATCGGTCAAGAGCCCCAAGCCGGGCGACCCGATAGAAAAAGATGGTGCGCCACGGACGCGAACAAAAGCGTACTGCGGCCCGGAAGTGGAATTAGGACAAACTCCGCAGACGTCTGCAGATATCTTCTGCCTCGGCGCAGTATTCCTGGAATGCCTCACTGTCTGTTGCGAACCCGAAATTCTAAAGAAAGCCCGCGAGAGTGGAGACCATGACGGCGAGTTTTCTTGGGCAGGGTATCATGGAAAGGTCCTCGAAGAGGTGAGAGACAGCATGAAAAAGAACGGTTCGGGATCAGGGTTTAAGTTCAAGAATTTGCTACTTCTATGCGAGTGGATGATGAACCCCTCGGAAAGCCAGCGGCCCTCGGCGTCCGCTCTCTCGCAGTGTTGGATGTACGCAGAGTGCCTTGGACTGCCAAAGTCCCTGTGCACCTCTGAGGAGTGCAGGAGTCTCGCGACCTTCAAGAGCACAGATGAAGCACTACAAGCCGCTTTGGTAACTGGCCACTGGCTGGCAGCTGAATTGCTCTGCAATGCCGGGGCGGACGTGAATATCAGATGCAATGCGCAACGGAGCGAATCCTGGGATGGTACTGGGAATTTTCTACATCTTGCGGCCTCCTATGGAAATAACAGATTCTTTAACTTTCTCTTAGATCAGGGGATTGAAGTCAACGTGACCGGCTATACAGGCTTAACACCACTCCATATCGCGGCAAAAAATGGGGACGAGGACATGACCAAGAAACTGCTGCAGCGAGAAGCCAAAATCAACGCAGTGGACCAAGAAGGTCGAACACCGCTCTATGTGGCATACGTCGAAAGGCAAGAAAGCATAATCCGCTTACTGGAGAATAACGGCGCTCACGAAGGGGATGTCGTTTGTGATGAAGATTCGGCCGAAGCATGCCGTTGATTAATATAATTTCTTATTTATACCACATAGAGGAGTATCGAACAAAGATAATATTGATTTAACTTTTCTCTAGTCTAAATACAACTGTATGAATGGCCAGCATCTTGATAATTAGAAATATTATGATATGTACTGCATTAGCTATTGCACTACAAAACAAAAGGAAATTTGTGCCTAAATAATACATCAGTATATGCACTTAGCGCATAATATGTAAAGCTATGCTTGACTAACAGTCCAGATATTGCCCGAGCATAACAGCAACTAGAGCCCGTAAGAATTCCCACAGATCGTCCAGCTCTCGCAACAGAGACACTCGATGTCTGGGAACGGATCCTGCGGTTGGACATACTGCCGCCGAAAGACAACATCTGTGTTGGGAAATACTATGTCAGACCCCTCTGGGATAGGGCGAACGACATAGGACACATTTTCCCTCGTGATGAAAGTCACCGTTCTGACATTAGGTAGGGTATCATCGACCAACCACTTGTGAGCTGCCTCGGCATACAATCCAGGTGATACCGTGGATTTATGCGTATCACGGTCATCCATGATGCGAAGATGCTTCAAGCTCTGCGGGAAGAGGTGAATAGTGAGCGGGCTGACCCATCGACAGAGATTCCCTTCGAGCACCTCCACCGTAGTGGCGAGTTCCTGTAAAACAGAAAACGATAAGAAATCCGTATGGTACCTTCGACGCGGCATAGGGGTCAGCAGGGGAAATTCGAGGTCCAAAGCAAGGAGTGAATGCCCCTGGTTCTGCGCAATGGTGTCTACATAGTGCTGTCTGGCCTCCTTCGCGCGGAGCGGTATTTGACGAATCGTGCCCTTGAAGGTAAACCGTCGGAGGGCCCTTGGGACCGCCAGGACTTTGCCCAGAGCTTCAGTTCCAATATCGCATCCGCGCAGGGTAAGCTCTTCAAGGGAGGTGGTGTGTCTTCTGTTTTCGTTAAAGCAGCAGAAGTCTTTCATGGTCGCTGCGTAGATCGAAAGCGATTTTAGATGGGGGTGGAGGAAGATAGAGTCCCGCAAGCCAAGGTCCCAGGATTCACCGTTGCTCAGGTTGAGCTCGCCTAAGATGGGGATTAGCTTAATGTGGATTATGAAAGAAACCGGTCCTTCGGGGGGTTAGATGGCATGTTGAGGGTCGTTTCAAGAAAGCGTGTCCCAATGGGCAGAGCCCTTTCTTTCGGCGATGTTAGCAGGGGACTTCATGGAGAATACATACAAGTCTGTAGGTTTATTAGAATCGGAGACGAGACTGACTGCAGGAAGAGTGTATGGAATTTTGCGCATTCCTCCAGCTGCCGGGTCCTGGTGATGTGCGTCGACACCTCCTGGTTCCGGGCTATTGCCAAATCCTCGTAAGCGTCCTCGTATGCATGTGCTCGGATTACCAGCTTTTCAAGCCCATCCATGTGAGCGAGTCGCGTCGAGAGAGACTCTGCATATTGAGGATTCCCAGAGGGTGCCACCGGGAGATCGGGTAGCTGTGGTCTACAATGTCTGAGCTGCGTTAGGGAATTGATCTTATCTCGACCGGATATCACACCCTGATGATAGTGCACTGTCAAGGACCTGACATGCCTGGCGAGTTCAGGACTTTTGTCCAAGCATGCTGCAAAAGAGTCACCCTGATCGTCGTCGATGCGCGGGTGCCGGTAGAGCTCCGGCGCCACGACATCATAAAGACGACGGCATACGCAGCGTAGGCGAATCACGGTGTCCCGATCAAGGTAGTCAAATATATCCAATAGTAACTCGACTGGCAAGTTCTGAAGCGGAGGGATTTGATTCATTTCCGCCATGATCTACGATGAATGGGGTTGGAAGTACTCGGTACGCAAGTCGGTTTAAGTAGCGCCAATATCAAAGAGCACACCAGTTGTTTGACATTACGGCTGCTTTCATGTTGTTTCAAGACAGGTAAGAATCAAAAGTTCGTCCGCTTTCCGTCACGACTGTAGCAGGCAAGTTTCGGGAGTTCCTTGTTGCCTGCCATATACCAGTGTCGTTATCTACACTTACTCTCGTCTCACAATACATAATAAGCAACGAAGCCCCTGTTTGTAGAAATCTGTAACGTAGACACATCGCTTGTGCCTTTTAATAGCCGTTGGACAGAATGGCTTCGGAACGCCTTTGTATTGAAATTCAATGGTGGTTGTCCACTATATCAACAAAGAAATATATATCACAGCGTAGATTGCAAGCAGCGAGGCACCACTAGCCAACTCTTTGTACCGCAAATGAAACCGGATAAATTTAGTCAGAACGAATACTTGTTCCGCTGAAAGGTTACGTATATCTCCGTGCCATTGAGCCTGTTCTACAAATGGCAACCGCACTGGACTGCGTCCATGATGCGATTGTCTACCTTGGACGGTGATGTATGGGAAATGTTTTCGTTGCCGACAAAGTCGCCACCATCTTGACAAAGATTGCTTCAAAATAATGGAGAAAAATTAAATATCTCTACAGCGTCTGAATGATTTCACAACATGACTCGTTGAATTTGCCCATGCTTTGATGAAGTCGGCCAACGGACGTATCTGGAAGATGTTCATTGTGTCCATAGTGAGGGAGGTAGAGACTGGCGCAGGCTTCGATGAAGGGCTACAATATCAGTAATCAGAATGATGAAAGTCCAAGGAAAATGATTTGATGAAAAGGAGAACTGGCTCTGTCCAGGTTCCTCTTCGGCTTTGAGCAGCCGTCCACAGGGGAATAGAGCTGCTGTCCTGTAACGCGCGCGTGTTGAATCGCTGGTTTCCGCGCACCAGATTAACCAGGCAGCTCCTTAGCCTTAATGGACTCTGTAAGTGAAGACGCGGGCATTATTTTCATGGCCGCAATGGTGTTGTTCTACTGTGTAACCCTGTCCGCGAGGTTCGACCGAGATTTGTAAACAAGGGCTTTATCGCGACGCGGTTGGTGGAATCGTTGCAGCCTAGTAAAGCAATTGGAAAATCAGCTTGTCTAACTTTATTAGAACAATGTGCTGTGGCATAATTATATTCGTTCATGTTGTAAAGCAACCACTCGTACTGTACTCGAATGTCCTATCCCGACTTAGCATAGCCTAATATAATAGTCAGGCAGCGTTATTATCCGCCCCCCCCCACTAGGCTGTCGCATTCTGCTCCTCAAATGGGATCGAAGCAGTACTAAGGAACGGCCTGCTAAGCATCTCCAACAAATACGACGGTAGCTTGCGCAAAGACGAGGCTAGACGCTCCTGGTCAGCACGAGTGAGTCACCGCGGGGCTTAAATATCACACCACGATTCTGGTCAATATTTATTGTTTTGACAGGAATTTCTATACCATTACCAATGGATATGAACACCACCACGAAAATGGCCCCAGCCCTACCCGCAAATATCGAAATCCAACCCCTGCGCATAACAGACCTCAGGGACGTCTACCTTCTCGCCGAGGCTGCCTTCCACGTCAACAACCGGCTGCTCTACACCGGGAAACTATCCCCATCGTCAATCTCAAATCTAGTAGCCAGCAGGGAAAAGTCTTTCACAGAGAAACACATCACGGCGTTTAAAGTCGTCGACTCCTCTGCGTTTCCGCCTACATCCATCTCAAGCACGCCAAATGGCGCCGGAGAGGCAAAAGTCGAGGAAAAAGGTAGAATAATCGGTTGGGCACAGTGGGCAGTCTACGAAACAGACCAAGTCGTCGACAAGTCCGTTGACGAGATTGTTGGAGCGCGGCTTGATCTCGATATCCCCGAGCTGAGAAAGGAGGTGGCGGAGCCCTCTTGGAGGATGATCCAGGAAGGGAAAAGGGAGATTCTAGGCGTTTCGCCTGCAGACGCAGGATATGGGAAGGTAGTGACATTGAGGAGGAGGGTTGAGTTGGAAGGTATCTGCGTGCATCCCGATTACCAGAGGAAAGGCATAGCCAGGGAGCTGTTGAAGTGGGGGACTGATGAGGCAGACCGGTTGGGGCTGGATCTTTATCTTGAGGCGACAGAAGAGGGCAGGCCTGTTTATGAAAGGGCTGGATTTGAAGCTATCAAGGAAGAGCGGTTTGAGTGCGAGTTTGGGGCGGCGCCGTTCACTGTAAGTCTCTGCTGCGATGCTGGGATAGGGCTAACTTGCACAGTTTATGATACGGCCGCCGCGAAAACGGTCAATTGAAGAGGTTTCTAATTAGATAATAAACGATAACAGACAGAATCTAATGACATTAGGCTAGATTCTTGCGATACTGCTGTCGACTGAATGTTAGCTGAAGGACAATTCTTGCCACGGAGCCAAAGTATACAAAATACCATAGGGAGAGGCCAATTATCCGGCTATGTGTAGCATGTTTGGTTCCGCCACCACAGTGGTTGGTAATCCAGGGTCGGTAATTGTAATCATGGCCACGTCCCTCAAATTCGACAGCGCCGTTCTTCTCGCCACAGGGCACCTCCGGTACCTATCCAGCCAAAGCCACAGTCGGGCCAGAATTCCTCGTAGGACGCCACTGCACCCGGAATGTGGAGCCTGACATCATCCAACACGACGTCATGCAAACGATATGCAACGTTCGGAAGGCGGAAAAAATCAACTGTGGTTCGAGCGGCAATATCATCCTAATTGAAGACCGATGACAGATCGGAATCCTGGCGATAAGCAGTTTCCTGTGTTGTGCTGATCCGCGCTGTAGTTGGGGTATCAGTACTCGGTCAGTGCAGTCCAATCGATCGACATGCCGAAGGGCGAACACTGCGGGAATATCTGCGCGCAGCAGCTGGCGGACACGCTACCTGTCGGCGTGGCGGTTGTGAACCCGCGCGACGAAATTGTCTTCGTGAACCGGCGCTTCCACGAGCTCACCGCGAGCCGTTTGCCCAAGGGCCTGGATTGTCTATCACAGTCGATCCACTACGATGATTACGAGCAGATCGCCGAGGCCTACCATGTTGCTGTGCAGACGAAGACGGGGATCCGCAGAGAATACCGAGCGACAGGAAAGACGGAGGACTGGCGGGCTCTCTCGCTGACGCCGCTAGACGAGGACGATGTAGAGCAGTTTGGTTTGAGCGATAACGGCGGATTGATTTGTATGATTAGCGACATTACACTGGAGAAGACGGCGGAGCTATTGCAGAGGAAGATTGCGGATGATGCGAAGCAGCGCAAGCAACAGCAGGAGCGGTTCATTGATATGATTAGCCACGAGGTGCGCAACCCTCTGTCTGCGATCTTGCACTGCGCGGAGGATATCATGGATGCAGTGCAGGATGAGGCACCGGAGGGTGCGAAGGAGCAGATGGCCAGGATTGCAGAGGCCGCGGAGACGATCAATCTCTGCATCGCCCATCAGAAGAAGATTATCGACGATGTGCTGATTTATTCAAAGTTGGATGCGTCGATGCTGACCCTGTCGCCGCAACAAGTTCAGCCGAAAACACATGTGGCTACGCTGCTGACCATGTTTCGGCCTGAGCTTCGCAAGCAGCGTATTGAGTTCCAGTACCAGCTTGACCAGTCCTATGCCGATTGTGATCTGGACTGGGTGGTGGCCGACCTCGACAAGATGGGTCAAGTCTTGATCAACCTCGTCTCCAATGCTATCAAGTTCACGGCCCAGTCGGAGAGCGAAAGGAAGATTCGAGTCTCCATGGGGGCTTCCAAGATTAGACCACCCTCATACCCGCCGAATGTCGTATTCTTTGAGCCAAACGAAGCTGCTTTGAAGCTTGACTCTACTGGGGGTCCTGATTGGGGTCGCGGGGAGAGCGCATATATTATGGTCGCCGTCAAGGATACGGGGATCGGAATAAGCGACCAGCACCAGAAACTGCTATTCGAGCGATTCAAACAGGCAACACCTCGAACAGACCGGATCTATGGGGGATACGGGCTGGGTCTTAATATCAGTCGCAGGCTGTGCCATATGCACGGCGGTGAGATTGGCGTCAGCTCCAAGGAAGGCGAAGGAAGCACCTTCGGCTTTTTCTTCACTATTCGTCGATGTGTCGACATGCCTGAGATCACAGAAGAAGACAGAGAGTCTCCTGTCGATGAGTTGTGCCATCAGATTAAGGATCTGGACAGCAAAACTCCAGACGTCGCACGAGATACCTCCATGGCGGACTTCTCTCAGGACCCACCAGTAACACACGTCAACGAGGTCGCAGTCAGCACCAAGAGTGACGATCGTAAGGACCATTCGGCAGAACTGGCCGCCGCAGTATCTCGAGGCGACAGCTCGTCAATTGCAAGCCGGCACGGCACCAACGTCGATGAATTCTCAACCAAGCAAGAGCCCAAGGCAATAACTGACATGTCCAAACTAGAGCGCCCTCACCATATTTTGTTTGTCGAAGACAACATCATAAACCAACGGGTTCTTTCACGCAAGCTGAAAATCGCGGGCTTTGAGGTCACCACAGCGAATAACGGACAGGAGGCGCTTGACGCGTGGGAGCGCCACACATTCGACTGTATACTCATGGACCAGGAGATGCCTGTAATGGATGGGAACTCGGCAACGCGCGAAATAAGAGCACTCGAAAAGCGCAAGGGGACCCGTGTTCCTATACTGGGGGTCACTGCAAACGTGCGACAAGACCAGCAGGCGGACATGTTGGACGCGGGCATGGATGGGATCGTGCATAAACCGTACAAGATGTTGGAGCTCTGTGACAAGATCCGTGATTCAATTCGAGCCACCGAGATAGAATAGACTCTGGCTGTCCGTCTGATGTCGACCCTCTATACAGGCGGACCAGGCCACGTGGCTGCCACCGTTCTCAATGCGAGTTCGCTGGCTGGGATATCTTGTTGTCTGCAACTGCAGCAACGATGGACGGCAAGCTCGACCAGGTTCAGGAGGCAATCCTGCGAGTCGCTACATATCCCCGTCGCGACTGGGACCTTGCTGTTGCCAGAGTCAACCCAGCCCGTCATGGGGCCGTCCGGCATTCTCTGCTGCGTCCTCCTGCTGGCCCCGCAGCGACTCTCGGCAGACTTGATATCTTCCCCGCTGAAGTTCTGAACGAGATCTGCCTTCACCTTGATATCGCATCGCTGTTCTACTTTCGCCATGTCAATAAGCGGGCCTCTCAGGTCGTGCACGGCTTACCGTCGTATCAATTTCTGGTCGATCATGCCTTCGACGCCTGGTGTGTGGTTCTGAGAACCGGCATAGCACCGTACTTCCCACTACCTCATCTTACCGCCGCCCTTCACACAGAGAACTGTCGCCTCTGCGGCTCATTCGGCGGATATGTCTTTGTCCCAGCTCTGATCCGGTGCTGCCAGACCTGCATGACCTCCTCGCCTAAACTACGCGTTGTAACAGAAGCAAGCCTGAAGAATTATTTCCCCAACAAGCCACTCTCCCAAGTCGCTCGAAGAGTGCCAATGCTCAAGTCGCTATCACCGAAATACGCTGGACACCTAGAAGCGCAGAAGCGGGCCACGTACGTCCTCTCAGAGCAGCAGGTCCTCCGCGAATGTCAACCCAGAGGCCCATACCACTCCAGAATGGTCCATGAAGAAGCACCCTTGGCGCGCGAAATGGCGACTACGGGAATGGTGTTTGTTGATAAAGCTAGCGGTAGGGTCGAAGATGGTGTATCTTGCTCGGGCTGCCACGTTGGGTATGAGGCCGCACTTGAAAGGGCCGATCACGAGCAAGTTAGGAAGCACATGCGGGTCCTCGGAAAGGTTTACTCTCAGCGAGGTTTCCTCGACCATTTCAAGGCCTGCCCTAAGGCTCAAGAATTGTGGGAATCGAGTCAAGGGGGGACCCGTCCGGTCAAGCTGCCGATGTACGTTCTGTTGACGGAAAAGACCATGATGCGTTATGATTTGTTATGAATAGGCTGGCCGGATCATGAACAGCCAGACACGGTCTAGCCGGTTATGTTATTATGGCGTAGAATGTGACGGCGATATCTAGAACAGTAGCGGATAGACGGTCAGTATAGAGCAAATGTGAATTAAACCAGTTAGCACAACAGTTGCTATTTTTCCTTTTTCGATATCTCATCTCCTCGTTGACTCGTTCATCCTGTTTCTTTCACTCGAATCCCCTCGTCTCACTTGGCTTTGAGTTCATTCAGTTGAAATGTCAAACGGAGAACGCCACTGAGAAAGTGAAGTCAATGAGATCCAACAATAAAATGGAATTGACTGACAATTGACTCACCGTCACGTGGGATGCAGTAACACAGCACCTGCTCTCTCTCTCTCTCTCTCTTCTTGTCTTGCTTCATCTTGACTATACATATCTCTCTCTTCCACATTCATCTTTCCGCATCCTTGTCTCCCTCGTCCGTACTCTCTTGTGTCGATCATTATCGTACCTCAACAGAGCTGCCATAACACCTCCCCGTCTGCGTGTAGTCGGTGTTGACACGACACCTCGAGTTCTGCGATTGAAGGCCACGTCCCCTTACACTGCTGGCTATACATCCTTTCGGCTGTCACATATCCCCATGTCCCACGACCAAAGCGAGATGACTCGCAAGGTAATTAGCATCTCGCCCAACTGGGATACTCGAGTCACAGTACATGAATATGAATCCTCACGGGACCAAAATAACAAACAAGTCCAGATAATATCAAACAGTGCTGTGTTTGAAGTCCAGCGAGAGATATTGTCAAGCATTGAATATTTCACCGCAATGTTCAAAGGCCAATGGAGAGAATCGGACGAGCAAGACATATCCTTGCACGAAGATGAAGTCGAGGCCATGGAAATACTGTTTCGGGGTATGCACAATACAGTCGACATGACTCCCTCCTCTCCGGTTTCTGTTGCAACGATTTGGAACCTGATCGGTGCATGCGCTAAGTATCAGGTCGAGTTTCGACATGGGACGCTCAAAACCTGGTTAGTCTCGTGGTACGAAGCCAAACGCCGGTCTACCATATACGTTGCCGACTACTTCCTTGAGAGAACCTTACTATATCCCTTTTACGCTTTTGACTACCCGGAAGGGTTCCAGAAAATTTCCCATACTCTAGCCTATGGTAGTAGGGGCCATATATCCGAATATAATCCCACTAATCGCCATGTCTTACACCTACCCCCCAGAGTGATGCGTGAGTCTCTTCCAATATCCCTAGTGCTATCTCAGCTATCTAATTCAGTATTGGTCGGTTATAGAGCAGTTGAATGCAGCCCGCGGCCGCCTCCGCAATATCCTTCACAATGGTCTGTTTGAACACGCCGCTAACATGCTCCGTCACGCCACATGTTCGTGTAAGGAGAAAACTTTCTTCGAGTATTTCAAAGAACTCGAATCCATCGAAGTCTGGCCTCTAGAAAATACCATGAAGCATCGCAGTATCGACGATATTATCGGCAACCTTCGAGGGTTCAACGCCTCCAAAGTCACCGCTCACCTGAAGAAAGCGAGATCGAAAGGTACCGATAGCGGGATATCCTGGAGACATGAGACAACATGTGCATGTGCAGGATGGTAGACTGGAAGGGCATAGTTTCATCCACGGCAGACACTGTGAAGGGATACTTTCATGGATTATGCCTCGATTGTATGAGCGTGACCAAGGCCCTGCAGGAAGGTCGGGACCCCGACCATGAGTACTGGTGCAGTGGTAAACGCTTGAAATGGGACTCCAACTGTCGGGTCACTCATGGTGAGCCTGGTATTTCAGCTTTATGGGCCGCCGGGAGAAGCGAGGGATGATTGCTTATTGAGTTGGTAAGCTGCTATCACTGGTCGTCATCAAAATGCTTGCGCTTGGTTAATCCGGTATCGTACTTGCTTGGTTGTCCGGTTGTAGCTTTTATGCCTTGGATACTGAAAGACTGCCCAGGGTCAATTTGTTTCCTTAATCCGGTTTGTATCTAGTTAAGCCAGCAGCATGTTTGGCGGCAGCGACTGTTTCTTTATTCTCCTGCAATGCCCATGACACCCATTGTGAAATGCGGTGCAGATCATCTAATGCTTCAACCTCTTACCAATATGTACGGCTGTTATCTACCTATCAAGGGGATTACCCAAAAGCCGGCAATAAGCCACCAATATTGCATCTGTACGTACGTGATCAGACTAGGATCAGCACATGGATAGCATAGAATAATAGCTGACTTGGTTTCTCGAAACGCATAGCTATCCCGAACACTAGTACAATGATTCTCTTATTAGGTATACAACACCACGCTGATTAATTGGGATACGGCGAATCCTCCAAGGCATCCCCAGCCAGCGCCAGATTCTGAATCGCTGCGAGTCCATATTGCGCAACCGCATTTGTACTGACAAACGTCGCCTCCTGCACCGGAATAAGGACCGCACTCCCATTAACCTCCTCGCTAGTCCAAGTCTCATTCGCCGTGAAGCCGTCATTGTTAACATAGAACTCTTTCCACGCACGCTCGGCCACGGTGGAGTTATCCTGGTCGTGCGCCCAATACGCAGTCAACCGGGAGTGGCCTTGGATCAAGTTCAGACTGCCAAAGTCCTCCCCGTACCTTGCTTTCTGCTCCGCTGCAGATGCCGAATAGTAGTAACAGTACTCGAGCCAGGCGTCCTTGAGGCGATCCGGGGCAGCGTCAGCCCAGTGGTCCAGAAGCTCGGAGACGACTTCGGGCAGACCGAAAACGGCGTTGAGATGGGATACCTCGACAAGGCCGGTGTTGTTGAGATCCGCAGGGGGCGGTGTCAGTGTGCCAGTGGTTGATGAGTATAGACCGGAGCCGGTGACAAAGCCGTTCGTCAGGTTCGTGATACCCCGGGCAGTCTGGGTCAGCTTTTCGCGTGCTTCCTGCCAGCGAGCGCCACGGCGTTCCCATTCAATCAGCCAGCCGCCTGCTAATCCGGCCCAGTCGGTACCTAGGGAGATCGTGGCCGGTTGACCTGGAGTCGGTGTCCAGCCGTCCTCGCGCACTTTTCTGTTCGGGTCCAGAACTTCATACGTCTTGTCTGTGTCGAGTGCTTCCTGGAGTAACTCGCCAACGCGCTCGTCACCGCCGGACAGGTAGTAGAAGTACTTCCGGTACTGCGGCTGGGTAATGCGGACTTGCTTTGCACTGTCAGCCCAGTGTTGCACCCCATGTCGAGTTCCAAGACCCTTCCAGTCGCCGATATGGTACACGTCGACCTCGCCGGTGTGTCTGGTCAGGGCCTCAGCAAGACGGAATACATCCTCGCGTCCTGTGCGCAGGAAGTACTGCCACAAGAACAGATCAGGAGACAGCTCCGAGTTGTCCCATGCGAACCCACCGACATCGTAGCGCCAGATATGCCTATCCTCGTCGTAGGTGTGCATGTAGTCGCCATAGTCGAGGAAGCCGTACCACCTGCGCGACTCAACCTGGCCTTCATAATACTCGACCAGGAACTCGAGGTTCTCCTCGATAGTCGCCGCCTTGTCGTTAGAGGTATCCGGCAAGTTCCAGTAAATCCCTATGGCTTTCGTCTCACGGATATATGACGGCTCCGCAACGAGAACCGGCGGCTCGTTTGTATGCTTGCTGAGTGTTGCGAGTCGGTCACTGTCGGGTGTCTGGTCAAACGCGTACAGATATACCTCGCTGGTCCTGGCAATTCCATACGGCGTGTTGAAATCCTCCTCGTAGTCTTCATACGTGATCTCCAACCCATCCAGCTGCTTCTCATACGTGTCTAGGCCCATCCCGTCATGGTAAGGTCGAAGGTCCAATGGCGCCGCCTCGGGACTATACAACCAAATGGTAACCTGCCCTTGATCCTCCCCAGCATTGGCAATCTCAACTCCAGCCGGGAACCTCTTCCAGAAATCACGCAATCCAACCGCAATGCCCCCCTTGGTCGCACCCCCGAGGTACGTCAGCCCATTTGATCTGGTCCCCCCAGGAATATGCACCCACCCCTGCCCGGCCTTAGTGCGCTTCGCAATCGTGAATCCATCCGGCGAGAGCTGCGAAAGTTTATAGTCGTTCCAGGCGGGAATCCACTGAAGCCGGCTGGTCACCCGCTCATCCCACTCGCTTTCATCAGGCAATTTCTCACCCGCGACCTGGGCAGCGCGCACTTCCTCTCCTGGATCTCTGCGTAGGCCAGTTATACCTTTAACAGCCTCGTGGAGGAAGCCCCCTTCCTCACCAGGAATGCGCACATGCCTGTTATACAACTCTTCGCCAGCCAAGGGGACAGAAAACCTGATTCCCAACGCGGAGACGAAGTCGCTCTCTGCATCGCCATCGAAGACAATACTGTGGACAATGCGAATCGCATCAGAGTTCGCATAAAGATAGAACCGGACAACGAAGGGAAGCCACCCCTCGCCGTCGCCCGTAATCGGTGCATGCTGGCCACGCACAGTGACAAGCGCACGAGAGGTCCCATTCCCTGTAGTAACAGAAACCCCCGAAATGCTACTCTCAAAATTGCTGTATGAGATCGAGGCATTCGCGCGCGCAGCAACATCCTCCGCAACACCGGACTGGGTATGCAGGACCAATTTCCCATTCTGCCCAACTGTCTGGCCCGATGAAGTCGTTATCGAGTCGACAATGTTAGCCCCCTTCTTCGGAAATGCGACGGTGATTTTGCCTGTGTCGACGGTAACTGTATCGGCGGTATTCTGGATCTTCACTCCGCCTGTACTCGACGACTGAGGCTTTCCTGTTTTCACGCTCACGCTGTACTCATCGGCCACAGTCCCATTCTCGGTGTCGACAGCAGGCAGCGCGTGCCCTGTCCACTTAATCGACCCATCGGCCCAGTATCCGTTGACCCAGGAGTGCAGAGGCGCATCTCCGCTCTGCAAGCCCGAGATGCTGAACGCGGTGTTATTGAAGTAGTATTTGCCCTGCGGCCAGGGAAGTCCGAACGTCGTTCCTGCGGTGTAGGATGGTGTATCTCCGAGCCAGCGCACGGGAATGGACTCCGCGTTGGAATTTGCCCTCGTGCTAGGTGTTCCAGGGAGGGCGACAGTTCCAGGGACGACGGCCGACAAGAGGCAGAGAAGAGAGCCTGTGATAGCGGACCGCATTGTGAACACGAGGCTGGATGAATATCCCCCTCGCTTCTCAAAATCAATTCGACCCAGCTCAGTTCACTTCACTTCCACCTACTCCAGCCGGGAAAGACTATCCTTTTAACTCTCAATGCAATCGCGTCAAATACGCCGTCGTTCCGTCATAAATCGGCCGGGCGCCGTGCTAGCACATCATCGTGCCTCAGGGGAAATAGATTAAATCACTGCATGTCTCCAATTATGCCATTTCGGGTATTTCTCGGGATAAAGCACAGCGAGCGAGCGCTGAAGAAAAGCCGAGCATAGACCAAGACGCGCGCTAGATGGCACCATTATTGGTGGGCTGCGATGGAGGAAATCTCCGGCGGGGTGCCAATTAATGTGACCGCCGATGAATTCCTTGTATTGGCAATGGCCTTCTCTGTTAAACTGGGGTTGTTACGACAAACTCTGTTAATATTAAGCCTGAACTCTGGGGATGCTGGCTTCCACGTTGAGTTCTTGTTTCCCCGCATTCTGATATTCACCCCCAGTAGAGATCGGTCCGGCTTTTCAGGTCAGTCATCGCCGAGGCCCCTAGCGAGATTCTCAACGGTGGACCATGCATTTCAGAGCCTGTTTGAATAGAGCGTGCCTATACGGGAAGAAGTAGAGATGGCAGACCCCATTCGGATGTGTCCCCAATGCCAACAACAAACCCTCTACATCTCGGAACATCCACGCCGAGACAGCCAAACTAGAGGGGACAGCTACCGACGCTGATACAGGGACACTGCAGGGCGACGCAAAGCCTAGATCTACTCTATTGCCGACTACGTTATATATTGATAGATTGCTTGGCTGAGTTTCAGAAATGTGCCACTTCCGAAATAAGATCTCCCCTTCTACCAAGGACAATCTTGAAGAATGTATGAAACCTCAATTCTAGGTTTATTCTGAATACACAAACGAAGGTAATTTATAATCAAAATAATAAAATACAGCCTGTTTTTCTAACCCGAGCATAATCCAACAATTCCGAGCGCCGTGCTAAGATCTATAATCTAGAGAGCAACCGCAAGGGCAGCGACAAGGACAGCCGCGCCAAAGATGGAGCCGGAGAGACGGGCACCAGCACCAGTAAACTCAGATGGGCTGGGGCTGGGGCTGGACTGGTCAGAGGTGCCAGACCCAGAGCCAGCGCCCGAACCAGTAGCACCAGCGCCAGAGCCAGACGAGCCAGACGAGCCAGCACCGGCGCTAGAGGAAGGAGTGGCAGTAGCAGAGCCGGAGGGGGAGATCACGATGCTGCTGGAGGAAGCGCCGACACCGCTGCCACCGAAGGAGCCGGAGGAACCGAGAGAGCCGCCGCTGCCGAGGCCAGAGCCAGAGCTGGAGGCGACAGGAGAGGCGGAAACGGTGGAGGAGCCCTGGGCAGCGGATGAGAAGCCAGAGCCGACGGGGGAAGCAGGGACGGTGGAAGAGCCAGATCCAGCGCCGGATCCAGCGCCAGATCCAACACCGGAGGAAGAAGCAGCGACAGTAGAAGAGCCGGATCCAGCGCCGGACGAGCTGGCACCTGAAGAGCTGGCGCCGGAGCTGGAGCCGGAGTTGGCACCGGAGTTGGCACCGGAGCTGGCGCCAGAGCTAGTCTGACGACCGGTAGAAGCACCACCGCCGGTAGAGGACTTGCCCTTGCAGCTCAGGTCGTACAGAGGCTTGGTGGTGAGGCTGTTGCCGACAATGCCGAAGCTGGGGTTGGGTGTAGAGGAACCAGCGGCGTCCTGGAGGATGTACCACCAAGTGTTGACCTCATCGAACAGAGGGCAGCCAACCTCGTCCCAGAACCTCTTCGCATTCTCGATGGAGGCGACAGCAAGGTTCTGCTGGTCGCCGCTGACGGGCCAGCCACCCTCGGTGATCCAGACGGGCTTGCCATTGGCAACGCCCTTGGTCTTGCCGACGGCATCGTTCCAGAGGTTCTTGGCGTTGTCGATGGAGTTCTCCATCTCGCTCTGGAAGTAAGGGTAGCCGTCGAAGCCGAGCCAGTCTACCTCCTCGATGACGGCGCTGTTGGAGCCGTTGGTCCACGAGTTCCAGGTGTCGACGTGCCCGACGGGGGCGTCGCTGAGGCTGGTGCCGGAGATGGCCTCACGGACGCGCTTGATGTATCCAATGAGCTCCTCGGGCTCGGTACCAATGCCGGCATTGGCCTTGACACCGATCTCCGAGTTGCGGTAGAGGTCCTCGCTGCCGACGGAGATACCGACGACGAGCTTGGTGAAGGAGTCACCGTACTGCTCGATGGCGGACTTCAGAGCAGTGATCTCGTTGTCCATGTTTCCACCGGATGCCCAGAGACCGAGCAGAAGGGATGTCTCCTCGGCGATGGCGGCGGGGATGGCCTCGATGGGGGAGTTGCCTTCACCTTGCTACACGGGGTCAGATATGTCATGCACAACAACAAAGCAAGGATACTTACGATCATGGTGTAGAGGCGGGCACTGTTGAAGCCCGAGGTACCCTCGAGGTTCTTTGCGGTCTGGAACTCGGACTGGAAATCAGCCTGGGCCTTGAGGCTGCCATCAGGCTTGTTGTTGCCATAGTTGAAACCCTTGGAGGCGGCCTCGGCAGAGGCAAGAGAGAGAGCGAAAGCGAGAATCTGAGTTTTGGTGAACATTATGATAGCGAGAGTATTAGAAGAAGAACAAAGGAAAATGGGAGTTCAACGAAGGAGTGGATGGGTTGCGGATGATGGCGGGCAGACAGCGACTGCTTTTGAAGGCCGCAGACCCGACAGAAAGCGAGGGCCAGGCGGCGATTAGTCTAGACTCGCAGATGTGGAGTCGGCCGCGTTGTCGAACGACTAAAGATAGATCAATAATAATTCACAAAGGGCTCCATGCTGGATCCAGTCAGGTCCAGTTCAGGGCCCGTTCCAAGGACGGCCGCCAGTCATTTCCTAGTGCGTGCTTAACCAGATCTCCCGAACTGTGGTCCAAAGTCAACATCATTGAACACACTCAGTGGCAAGTAAAACTTCACTTCTCGAATACACTGTCTATGGCTTCACCGACCGGCTGCAGGAACAGTGTAGGGACCTGCAGGCGGTTCACAGCCGTGAGCTGTCCACACCAGCTGCAAACTGCCAGCTCACCTCCTGAACTCACATCTGCATATTGCTTTTGATTGCTGTCTGACAAGCTTCTAAATCCGGCGACAGCAACTAGCAGCCACTGTGGATTCGCCACCTCCCTTTTCTTGTCGTGGACCTCTCTTAGGGCTCACAGTGCTCAACTTGGCAGACGTCATGCCACTTTATGCATCACATGACTCCCCTATCCAGGCTGATGTTCGCAGTCAGTGAACATTCTTTGTTAATGTCACTGTCGTGACACAATTGTATAGTGTAGTGACAGCAGTGATGAATGGTAGTTCATGTTGCAACATAAGACACCCCGGGGACTCCGAGGCCCAGCGTTGTCGCCTCCAAGCGTTCCGGTTCCAGTCCCAGCTGTTCCAACTGTGCCAACTTTTGAGCAATGCCGGAATCGGATAGGCATTACTCAGCGAATGGATAAATCCTCGCCAAGACGTCACACCCTGCCTGATATTTAAGGTTGCAGCACTTGTACATCTTTGTAAAGGAAAATAAGCGTATAACTGCAATTAGTTACTAGATACCGTTATTTCGTCATCTGACAGATATTACATTCAAGTCAGGCGATAATCGAACTGTCCAAAATTGGGCATCAAAAGTTGGAGTCCAGAGACTACTATATATATTTCATTCGGCCGACCATGTCCAGCGGTAGATGCAAGAATGAACTCATAATAGAAACGAAATTAGACAGGATCTATTGCACGTCGAGACCGCAGGATCCACCTGCCTGGACAGTGTGATATTGATCGGCGAGTCCATGAGTCCAAGACTCGCAGACCGTCCGATCGGCAGGTTCCCGCCATCTCCCGCCCTGTCCCGCGGCAGCTGGAGCCTCAATAGTGCACTATTAATATATTAATATAGTCTTCCGACCCCTCTGGGCGAGAAACATTAATAGAACACGCCCTACCAACTTGGAACTGGACCCGGGACCGGGAAACTCCAACGACATAACTAACCCCTTTCTCTGAATGGATGATGGTAGACTCCTTTTCTGCTATAAAAGCGGAGATATCTCTACTGGTTTATTTTAGGCCCTGGAAAGGGGTGACATAAGGGTTATATTATCCTATCTTGTCCGAAAGTAATCTAAAACAAACCAACCAAATCATGACATTACGCCGTACTAAAGAACTACAACCCGGAGAGAAGCAGGTGCAGTGACCACATTAGCCTCTCTATCACCCAGAAATAAACCAAACAGATCCGCATACCGCACAAACAACCTCCACCACCCAAGCAAAAGAAAAGAATCATCCTACCTAGCGTCGCAGTTGATTGAACAACCATTCCGGAAACCCAGGAGTCAGAGGAGTAAGCTCAATGACTTTATTATCAACTATAGTCTTGAACATATCAACGTCACAGCACTCGCAGTCCAAAGGCTGGTGCTGAATAACCTGATACGTCCGCCTCTTGGCCCTCACCCGCCCACGAAAGTACAAATCCCAATCAAGCGGTAGATCAGGAATACCGTTTGGAGTTATAGCGTGCATCGGGACGAAGAACGTCACCTGCCGCAGATTAGGGAGATACCCGGCGTGGAATATCGGGGCGAGCTGCCTCTTCATCATGTTCTCCAGCCCGGATATAGCCTTGCAGGCTCTGTGCAGGATGGTTAGGGTGATCAAGCTAGCTGGAAGGCTGCTATCGGCCAGGGGAGTGAGATTGACGTATATTGGCGGAGCATCCCGTGTCGGAACGCAAAAAGGCATGAATGTAAGTGAGAGCAGGGAGGTGAAGCGGCGGAATGTGATCGCGCGCGACTGGCTCGGTTTGAAGTTCCAGGGGTGGAAGACGATGATTTTGAGAGAGCCGGCTTGGGCGTGCATGGCTTCAATGTACTCGTGAGGACGGGGCGATGTGTACAGCGGATCGCCGACCTGGCGGGCGCCTCCGTATGTGAGGACGCGCAGGTTGCGAGGGACAGACAGGATCTTCTGCAAGGTTGCTGGGCTGAGATCACAGCAGTACAGAATGAGGCTTTTCAGGGGGGAGGTAAGTGTGATACGCTCTGTGAAGGAGTGGAAATTGCTCATTTGGGCGCCGATGATGGTTAGTTTTTGCAGGCTGGGATGGACGAAGATGCATTCGCGGCCTGCCATATCCCAGGGGTCTCCTTGGCCGAGACTCAAAGTGCCTGTATGGATTCTGTTAACTTATCTCCGATAGGGTTGAAGAGAAAATACGTACATTCCTGGAGCTTGCCGAGCGATGGTGACTGAAGCGACATCACATATAGCCTGCTGTGACGGATCACCAAGTCCTGTGGCACCCAGGAAAATTGGGTATACTGGCCCTTGATAATCAGCACGCGCAGGTTCTCCAACCGAGCAATTACCAGTTCGAGGTATTCGGCCTGCGAGGAATCAATCGTGTTATGGTCGTCAACTGTTAGGCTTTGGATGCGCAGGAGCAGTCGTGGGTAGCGAGAAACAGTGACTACAAAAGACATGAGCATTCCCGGTTTGACAGTGACTCTCAGGTATAGAACTGGCACTGCAAGTCTCCATAACAGCCTGCAGACACGGACAAGCTGAGCGAGTGCGTCCCTGTCCTGGTCGAGATGACGAATGACCTGCAGGAGCAATTCATTTGGAAGATGAAGGAGTGTTGTTCGTGGAGGCCTCTGTTGTTCTACACGGATTGGCTTTGGAACGAGCTGCTGTACAGGTATTGGCAACGACCCCATCGTGAGACTTAACTTGAACAGGAGCAGAGAGATATAGCAGGGAGGAACAGAAGTTATCACAGTTGTGGAATAACAGCGTCATCCCTGACTAACACAAACTTTACAGTGAAGTATAACTTAACTTGTTAGATAAGAAATTCACTATACTGTCTTAGCTGCATTTCTTTTTTCAAATAGCTTTATATATTGGGACGATCAAAAGATAATGTCTACTGGGTGGTGTTAAAGCTATCGAAATGCTTGTGTTGCCGCAATAACACACAACAGTTGTATATACTGGGATACGAAGTCAAGAACAGGACGGCAGCCCTTTAAGACACTCGCAAGAACATCTCCACAATTAGTGAGGCGCATCTACCTATTCGAAACTACATAGTAAAGGGATAATGCGTTGTGAAAATTCAATTCGAAATCTCTGATCTATCAAACCAAAACATCGGCCACCTCGAACGCAATGCTATAAACACTATAAAGACAACCATGGGATAGGTACAACTAACAAGATAGATGCTCCGATCTCTCTACAGCCGTCCACCGTGAATGTAAGCGTAGAATATTATTATGGTCGGTCAGCCCAGCAGCAATCAAGCGGGAACCGCCACGGGCCCTGCGGCTCGGCTCCAAGAAATGTAAGGTCACCACGGTAATCCCGAGGCACGCCCCAGTCGCCGGAGACAAACTTGCTATCCTCGATTATGACACAGCGAAGGCTAGGAAGGGGTTCAGTCACAGCAAACCTGTCCAAGTTGTTGAGAATCGACGTATGCGCTTCGAATCTAAAGGACACGCCCCAACACCAGAGTCTGAGTAGCCTCAGGTTAGCTGGAAGTGCGGGCTGTGGAAGAGCATTCTCTGAGAATAGAGGCGATAGACTACTAAGCCCTGGATTCATATCGAAGTGGCCGTAAAGAGTTCTAGGTCGGATTCGGAGACTTCGCAGTGAGGCAAGCGAGCGCAGGTCTATTGGTTCCCGTCTCTCGTCAAATAATATCGGTGGGCTGATATCGAGATATTCCAAGGAATCTGCCTGTTGCTTTATGGCGTTGACGTAAAGTTGGGTGTCATAGTCTAGGCGCTCTCGGGCCTGAGATCGAGGCGAGCCCCCGAACGTGAGGCGGCGAAGGGCTTTAGGGATAGCGAGGAGACCTTCCATCGTGCCAGAGCTAAGATCGCAGCAAACAAGCCCCAGCTCTTCCAGATGCGAGAAACGCAGGCGGGAATGCATGGGCCTGAACCCGGAGATGTTAGCTCCCATAATAGACAATTTCTTCAGCCGTGGATGGTATAAGAAGGGTTCTATTTCGCAGTACCAAATTCCTCGATTGCAAAGATCGAGCTCCACTAGAAAGAGCGAGTCAGTCTCATATGACAGAATGCATATCACTATACTTACATGTGTGCAGGCGGCGAAGAGCGTCTCCCTGGACTGCTCGCAGGATCAGGCTATTGAATGTCTGCAAGTTGTGCTGCAGATTCTCGAGATTCGAGGCCGAGGAAGGCATGGCCTGAGGAGCACCTATATATCCGCATCCCTTGATTATGAGCTTCTCTAGCCGATTCATGGCGTCGATTTTGGGAACAAAGTCTGTAAAGAGAGGGTTGTAGCCTGTGATTGCGAGTATGTCGATTGGTTGATATGTGCCAGCCATCGAAGCAGGAATAGGATGCACAGAAGCCCTGCCTTCAATGTGAGAGTGGATGGTCAGCTCCCTGACATACTGTGTAACTTGGGGAAGTTGACTCATCGCCGTTTCGTAGGACTCCCTGTCGTGGTTGTGGACTACTATTCTGCGATTCAGGATAGGACGGGCCGTGGCATGCAGGATTTGACAGGTCAGACAAACCGAAAGCAGGGCGCTTCGATCATGCTGCAAGTTCTCTAGGATAGCACTCCGTAATTCCGAAGGGAGTAGCAGCAGCCTTGAAGGTGTTGAAGTACTCATGCTGCTGATAAAAGATGCAACGTTTTGTAGACATAAAAAGAAAGCGATGGGAGGCAGGAATTAGAAGACATCTAAATACCAGCCGTCAGTGCCAATGTAATACTTCACAGTTTGATTTGAATGGATTCAAAGAAACCTTTCTTTTCTACCGGTTATTAGTGATACTGTGTACCTGACTGACTGAAGCCGTTCACGTTCACAAACTGATAGACATATCCAACTCTTTATATCCCGCTTTCCATTGTACTGTCCGACGACGTGTAAATATCCTATCCCTTTGTTTGGCAACACATAGCGGTTGTAATCCAAGGCTCAGTATGCTACTTAGCGTGTTTTTTTCTTCGAGTCATTGCTTTGACCGGTGCTAGAGTATGATGTCTAGTTTGAAGCGTTTGTGGGAGATTAAGCAAAGAAGCAACACTTGACAGTCTTCTCAGTTGTCACTGACGGGGTGGTTCATCCATATCAAATCTCGTCACTTTAATTATGTTGGTCTAATACAATGAGAGTAAGAATGGTTGTGGTCAGTAATCCGTATTATGTTGACCCTGAAGTACGCATCCAACTCATTTCTAGCATCTTACACCATGAGACCATACTACGGACCCCGTTCATCTAGTCAGCGATATAGTTGGGCAATATCCAAGCATGATCCTCATTTTTATAGTGCAATCACCACCAATTACATGTGCCGTCGCCAAGATTCCCAGGCGCAGTAGCTAGAGATGCCATGAGCAGCCCAATCTACCCAGGTATGGCCGAGAATGCCCTTATAGAGCTTCCACCCGGTTGTGCATGCTGGGCTGCATGCTGAGCCGCGCGCTGCTCGCCAATATTCGACGTAGCACCAGCAGCTGGCCTCGGTTTAGCTGACTCCTGCCCATGGCCCTGTCTATGGCCCTGCCACATACCATCCGCATCTACACCAAATTAGTATTACTATCAACTCACTGACCAGGGGCAACATACCAGGGTGTTTTTCAACAGGTTCAATGTCTCTCCTCTTTTCCTGCTTGATCATAGTATCCACTCCAAACGCCTCGTCCCGCTCCTCGACCAACTCAGCCAACCCACCGGGCGCCGCTCTCCTCACGCTCTCCTCGCTCGTGAAACTCCCCATAAGCTGCGGCGCACCCATTGGGACTCTATCGCCACGATCGACCTGCCAGAAATGGTACGTCTTGCCATAGACGGGCGCGAGGTCTCGCATTTCCGCCGTCTCTGCTGCCTCCCATACAGGGTTGGGGATTCCGCGCGGTGTCGGCATAATCAGCATGCCAGATTTCACTTCATACTCGTGCGTGTGCCACAGCTTTCGTTCTTCGGACGGCAGGGTCTCGAAAAGGCGCGGAGATACCATGTATTCGATGCCGATCAGTCGGGCGTTTTTCTCGGGGGAGTCGTAGATAAGACACTGCCGGAGGTCTGCATATTTCGCAATTCTCCATGTTACTCTTGGTTCATTTCATCAAGGATATTATTATAAGACAGGAAGAACGCACCCTCCGTCAAATGCGAACAGTAGTGGTTCGCCTCCACACAGCGCGTCGGATCAGAAGCATAGACATGGAAAGCATGCAGATGGGCGCAAATCTGCTTGACGGGCGTGAGAGTCTGCGTGGCCCCTGCCGCTGTTTCCAAGACTTGGGATCTGGCCGTGAGCGGGTCGCCGGGGAGTTTGTTTTCATGTGCCATTATTATTAGCGATTTATTACTATTTCGACCAGTGGGTGTCAATTCAAGTGGGTAAGTGGTTTTATTCAGAGTAGGGCTGGCTGAGCTGGGTTGGTTTTATGGAGCTGCCCAGTCCACAGGCGCAATACTGACGTAGAAGGGACTCTGACGGTAGCTTGTCCTTTGACCGCCATGGACGGTGGGGCTGGACTGTTCCATAATGATGATATTCGCAGGCTGCTGGGTTGTATACACCGCAGACTTGATGGATCTTGCCATTTGACGTCATGAGGGCAGTGACATCGCGATGATTTCATACGGCAATGCAGGACCTTATAAGATGTACCGTTCGCTCCAGGAACATCAATGCGGTACAATCACAAGAATACCAAGAGAAAACAGAATACAACCGAGAAAATCTCAATACAGCAAAATGGTGAACGACGCTGAAGCCCGCCGCATGGCCACCCGCGCCCAACAGGACCTCAACTCCTACCAGGCGAAGCAAGGACTTGGTCCTCAGAGCGACTCCGGTATGTAAACCCACTCACGATACCTGGCATGATCTGACAGTCCCAGCTGCCGAGTCCGGCGTCAACGAGATGGCCGAGCGCAAGTTCCAAGAGGCCGATGTACGGTACGGCGGCCGAGACGCCATCCCCTCAGGATCCGACCGGAAGCCGATTCCTGAAGACGAGGGGGGCATTAGAGACGACCGAGGACGGTCAGTATACATTATTCTATTCTGTTATGGATACGTGCTAATATTCTGCAGGCTTGCGCAGGCGCAACAGTTCGAAGGACGAGGCGGGCCCGAGGATAAAATCGAGCGGGAGTAAATGGGAATTTAATTCTGTACCATACTTTATGACCAAGTCATTTGATGCATGAAATAGGAAACAACTATCACAAGAACGTTATTGTTGCACCGCATATGAGTAGTGTAGAGTGTCGGAGTATATTTCGAAATCACATGGAGGAACAACAACAAAAGTATACAAGCCCTCGGTAACATCCTCCTGACCCGTTTAAGGTTATTCTGGGGTAACAGTGAATGGCACAGCCTCCGACCGAAATTCGCCTCGCTTGGCACCTGCCAGTTTCTCCAAGTCATCAGCGGGGACGTCTTGCAGGGGTTTCTCCCAGACGGCCTGCCACCAGCCCTTCGCTTGGACGGTATAATGATGTCCCTCGACAAGGGGAACGCGAGGAAGCATCACTTCCGCATCAACAGATCCACCAATAGGAATCTCTATAAAGTCCTCTCTCGGCGGAGGGAGCTTGCGGGTAAACTTGACCGTATCGATCGTCACAAGCTCGTCGGAGTCTGAGTCGCGGATCTCGAAGACACCAAGAATGTTCGCACGAGGATCAAGAGGCGAGCCCCAGTTCAGAACAGTAGCAGCTGACTCTGCATTATTAAGGACCGACAGCGGGATGGACACGGCTACCGGCGGGGTGAACGAGGCAGGGATAGACGGGGGCGCGAGCCGGACCTCGAGGGCCGGAGAGGAAGAGTCGGTCGACATGGTAGAAAAAAGGTAGAAGGCCGACAATGCGACGAGGAGAGGGAGGAGGCGAGTGGGAAACATGCCTTATCTTCAGCAGTTAGACTAGTGGGGATGTCCTTGACTGTTGCAAGTGAACCCCACCGGAGAGTCGAAACTCGAGACGCAGCCATATCTTTAAATTTGTTAATCTACCTGATCCGCGATGCGAGTGGGCTATCGGCAGCCTCCGACGAGCTCGCCATACCTATTGGGCATCAGATCATCCTCTGACACTCCTGTCCCCTGGTCAGTGGGGGGTTGCTATCGCCAGTTTCCGAGAAGATCTGCAGCTTTGCTGTTCCTCACAGGCTAAGAGAGCTGGCTGAGCCGGATCGTAGGGTCTGGCAAATCAGACGATCACTGCGGGGGATTTATGGCACTAAATGGCTGGCAAAGTCGCTTTGGCGGTCTTGGGTTGCATCTTTAAAAGTGCCCAGGCGCTATGCAGTGTTCGATATTAAATTGTCGGGGAAGGAGGACAATGAGACCACCAAGCATTGTGGCGGTCTGACTGAGGATTTCCCCTGGAAGCCACTGATTTTGTGTGAAGAATCCTCATACTGTCGCGGATCTGGACACAATGGGTTGGGGGAACGGAGGTTATGAGGTTGTATGGCAAATGGTTCCGTATAGACGTCGCCTGGTGGTTTGGTCCACGCATGATAAGCCAACATCTCGCCCACGCGCTAATAGTACTACCCCTCCATTGAGATTGTTCTAGTGTTTGCCAAGTGTGATTCTGCAGGCCGGGGGGTATTATCAAGAGCAGCAGTCCTATCAGATGCTCACGCTGCTGGGGTTGCCTTGGATAGTGCCTTCGAGAACCCCCACGAACACGCCTGCCGCAAGGGCAAGGGGATAACCAGCGGTTCTAGTCGTGAGGGATGCATGCATGGTGTGCACGGGTCGATTTGGCCAAGATATGGGCGACGACCCCAGGCGAGTCATGGTGGCTCACGCAGACATCGCTACTGGATCAGGCCCGAATAGCTTCGTTTCTCCCAAGAACGACAAGGGGTAATGCAATACCACCTTCTGTTTTGGTGTATATCGCCGAAGTCTGCAGAAGCACATTGATTACACGGAGAAACAGGTAATGTCGCCATCTGATCATGAATTTGAAGGCGGATAGTTTTGACAATGATAGCGTCGAACGGGATATAAAAGCCCTGTGCGACCCGGCACTCTCGTATCTGTTCTTCATCACCGGTATCTCTCTCATCTAAACCATCTGCCAACATTCTCACCATGCGGTTCATCACCCCAGTTGCCCTCCTGACCCTGCTGCAAGGCATCAACGCATCTCCAGTTGATGTCAAGCTTAACAGCCCTGGCCTGCAAGTCACCCTCTCCCAGGTAGACAACACTCGCATCAAGGCTGTTGTGCAGAACACTGGCAGCGAGGAGGTTACCTTTGTGCACCTGAACTTCTTCCAGGATGCCTCGCCTGTCAAGAAGGTGTCTCTCTTCCGCAATGGTTAGTCTCTCGGGCAGTAATCCTCGATATCTGCTAACAATACTAGACAACGAGGTCGAGTTCCAGGGTGTCAAGTACCGCATCAAGACCACCGACCTGTCTGAGGATGCCCTAACCTCGCTCGCCCCCGGTGCTACCATCGAGGACGTCTTCGACATCGCCTCGACCAGCGACCTATCCGAGGGCGGCTCCATCACCCTCCGCTCGCAGGGCTCCGTCCCCATCGTCAAGGACAAGCAAGTGTCCGGCGCACTCCCCTTCTCCTCCAACGAGCTCACCATCGACGTCGACGGGGCCAAAGCCGCCGAAGTGACCAACATCGGCAAGACGCTCGCCCGCCGCACCCAGATCAGCGGCTGCTCCGGCTCGCGTGGCACAGCCCTGCAAACCGCGCTGCGCAACACTGTCTCGCTCGCCAACGCCGCCGCATCGGCCGCTCGCAGCGGTGGCTCACGCTTCACGACCTTCTTCAAGTCCGACAGCAGCAGCACCCGCAACTCCGTGGCTGCCCGCTTCAGCGCCATCGCCTCTGAGGCCAGCTCGACCACCTCCGGCTCAACCCAGTACCTCTGCACCGACACATACGGGTACTGCAGCTCCAACGTCCTCGCCTGGACCCTGCCCGCTTACAACATCATTGCCAACTGCGACCTGTACTACAGCGACCTCCCTGCGCTGACTTCCTCCTGCTACGCCCAGGACCAGGCCACCACCACCCTGCACGAGTTCACCCATGCCCCTGCCGTCTACAGCCCAGGTACTGAGGACTATGCCTATGGCTACTCGGCTTCTGTTGCGCTGAGTGCGTCGCAGGCGCTGAACAATGCCGACTCGTATGCGCTGTTTGCTAACGGTATGCCAACCTTGGTTGATGTCTAACCTCCTTTTAAGTGCGGCCTTGCTAACGTATTATAGCTGTCAACCTCGGCTGTTAGGTACATGGGATTATTGAAGATGATGATGTTGCTGTGAGGGATGAAAAAAGGTTGTAGGTAGCAGGTACTAGGCAGATAGGTAGATGAGTAACTGATTTCTTCAATCGTCTATGCCAGTAGCATAAAAACTTAGCATACAGGGCATCGCGCCTCTTCTTCAGGCCGAATCCCCTGTCAAGATATCCACATACTTGGCATCTGGACCCACCACCCCTGTCCGAGGGACGAACACCCAAAGTTGGTTCCGATCATTGGCGGTGCTTCCTCGGGCATATGAAGATTCTTCCACGGCAACTTGATGCAGTAGCAGTAACTCTAAAAGGCGACCCCAGTGAGGAATCCTATCTCTATCAAAGACCACCATCTGCCAGCCGAGGATAAGAGAGCGAAAGAGTCTAAATCTCCCACAAGCCAAGGGACCCACGGGAGGCAAAGACTTCGCAGTTCTTGAATTGGATCCTTGGAACTGGGGTCATTAATATTTCGCCGCCCACTATACGTCCCAACTCCTGATCGCCACTCGCAAGCCTGAAGCCGACACGTTGAAGAATTACATTGATTTGCAGCAGATCAGCAGAAAGAAACTGAGTAGATTTTAGCCTCGCTATCTTATCTTACAAAATGCTACATGCCGAACGCATACCTGCAGCGTCGTGATGTAACCAGTCCCCGCAGCAACAACCCAGCCCTCCTCTGCGTAGATCTGCGGGCCGATGACGCAGGTTTCCACAACCGCATCGCGATCCTTATAAGGCTGAGCCCAGGAACTCCCCGCATAATTAGGTACAGAGATTTAATTTTCCCTTTCTCTCTCGTTTCCTATTACCACTTTATTTTCTCCAAAAAAAAACTTCAATTGGAATACTCCACGCTCTCTTCTACGAAACACCCACGTTTGCGTTTACATTTACACTACATCTCATCTATATTGCAACATGGGCGGCTGTTTCTCTTCAAATCAAGGCATGGGCGGTGGTGGCCTCGGACCGCGCCCACACCAAGGCGGCGGCGGGTTAAGCAACGTGGTGGGCAACGCCCTGAATGGCGGAGGTGGTGGTGGAGGTAGATACGGGGGAGGAGGTCATGGGGGCGGGTTAGGCGGCGTGGTAGGGAACGTGCTGAACAGCGGAGGTGGTGGACATCATGGCGGTGGACATCATGGTGGTGGAGGAGGTGGTGGTTTAGGCGGCGTGGTAGGGAATGTGCTGAATAGTGGTGGTGGCGGACACCATGGAGGTGGAGGAATGGGTGGTGGTGGTGGTGGTGGTTTAGGGGGCGTGGTAGGTAGTGTCCTAGGCGGAGGTGGCTCCGGCGGACATCATGGCGGAGGGGGTGGTTATGGGGGTAGCCATGGAGGTGGTGGCTTTGGAGGGCACCAAGGAGGCCATTATGGAGGAGGTGGTGGCCTTGGGGGCATGGGTGGTGGAGGAGGATACGGAGGCAATGGCGGAGGCTTTGGTGGAATGGGTGGTGGTTCTGGAGGAGGCTTCTCTGGACCTGGTGGTGGCGGATTCGGTGGCAGTGGAGGGAACTATGGAGGGAACTATGGAGGGTCTGGGGGTGGTGGATATGGGGGATCTGGTGGTGGCTTCGGAGGCCCAGGGGGTGGTCGATGGTAATCATTTCACGAAGGCCGACTTCAATCACCAGATATCATTCCTGACATGACTCTACGATATTGTCCCGGTAGCCAGTGGACTGGTCTCAACCCTCCTCCCTCTTATCTGCCGATTTCGCATACAACTTCGCCTACATACCCCGAGCTGCCGCATATTGTCTGGAGGATACGAATGTTCAACCGAGACAGTATAGAACATTATTCTGGATGGCCCTGAGTATATATTAGTAGATCAGATACAGGGGTCCCTTTTAGAGTTTAATTTTGGAGTGGGATATACTATAGATTCTACAAAAGTTGCTTGCTGTGCAATGTTCTATATGCACTACCGTAACCAGAACGAACAAAACGCACCAATCCCCAAGACCATCCCAAGAGCAGTATTCCCAACCACCCTCCACATACGCCAGCCCCTCGCCCGCTCCTCGGCAGCCCTCTTGTCCCGATCCGGGCGCGGCAGGTAGTCCAGCATAACCGCCATCCCATGCTCCCTCAGGAAAACACCATACTGGACCCAAGGTTCCATGACATAGGGTAGAATATAGCGGGCCACGTACCACAGGAAGCTCGAATCCAGAAGGTGGACTCGCGTCGTGTGGTATGAGATTAGACAAAGCTGCTTGATCCTGCTTTGTAGGGGTTTTGGATATAGGGTCAGCGCCTCGTGGATGGCTGTGGTTGTTGCATTGCCCGAGGACTTCATCCCATACAGAGCGTTGGCGAGAGCAGCTGCCGACTCGATACACAGATTCGCGCCCTGTGCAAGATTAGGCGTGAACTGCAACTTGTTAGTACTGTCGTCCCGTCAAAACACTTGATACAACGAACCTTGAATACAGTGTCACCGATACAAGTAATGCGTCCGGAAGACCAGGTATCAAAGAGTCCCTCTTGCAAGTGCGTTGCCGACACCCACGGACTCACTCTCCACAGGGCCCCCAAAGTAATGTCGCTGGAATCAGCACCGCCATCCCACGCCTTCCACTCCGCATACTCTTCCAGCGTAGCCCTGATTTCCTCCTGCGAGAGTTTCTCCGGGAGATCCGGATACACACGAGTCCGATCCATCTTGAATGCCACAAACCAATTCACCGAACCGTCTGAATTCGCGATTAAAGTAAGGAGTACGCCCTTGTCGCACCGCATGTGCATGTCGCCCGGCTGGATCATCTCCGTCAGCCTTGACTCGGCCGCCGGCGTGGCTCCCAGGATCGTGTAGTAGTCCACCGTCATTGCCCCTTTCTCCGTCCGTACCTGGTTCCCCTTTCCTCTAGGGGTCTGTTGGAGCCCAGCTATACGCCACATGTGCTCGCGCACGACCCCATGAACCCCGTCCGCGCCTACGACAATATCGCCCGTATATACCTCGCCAGAGTCAGTTGTAACACACAACGGCCCATCTGGCTCAGACGCCACTCGCGGGGCTATGTCCACAACCTTAGCGCCGAGCCGAATCCTTGACATATCCTCTAGCGAGGTATAGAGCGCATGGAGGAGGTCCCTTCGGCGGAGTAATGTAAGTGGGTAGCCGAGCCTGCAAAAGTCATCAACCCTTGAGCATGGAGCCCCAGCTGCACTGCACTTACTTCGGCCCAAACAACCCAAACGTCTCCTTTCGATAGACATACCCGTCCGGAAGCGCAGTGACCAGCCCGCGCAAGTCGCTCCTACACTCCTCAAGAAGGTCAAATACACCTAGTTGGTCGAGCACGCGGCAGCCCGCTGGAAGCAGCGCCAGGGTTCCGCCGAGGTTCGTTAGGATATCGCTGTGCTTTTCTAGCAGCACGTAGTCGATTCCGGCTTTCTCCAGGCAGCGCGCGAGCGTGAGGCCTGTTATGGCGCCGCCGATGATGATTACTCGGGGCGAGGGGGGTGGTGTGCTCTGTTCCATGGATGGGCGGATGGATGGGAATGTGCTTTTTTTTTTGTTTTTTCTTTCTTTCTTTGAGGGGGGTTTGATGAGAAGAAGAATGGATTTAAGCTGCGCCCCCTGGTGCAGCTCTAGTTGTGCTGGGCCTCTGATAGGCCGGCTCGTAAGTGATCGTTGTTATGGGGGTCTGCGCCTCATCGGGGATCCCCCAGTCCCCATTTCATTCGCAGACAAATGCTCATCACTGATTAAAACGGGCACATTATTATCAAGATTGAAACTTAATCTGCTGCGAGGGTGAGTAACATAGAGTACCCAGCCCTAGTATCTACATACGTATGGCTCTCACAACTCCCCCAATACTCATTCGAGAAAGCATCAACCGCCTCCATCCTATTGCCAAACCTACTAAGCGTGAAGCACAACTCGCTATAGTAGCTCGCTTCAGGCCAGTTAATTCCAGTAATCCCAGTCAAGGTGTGAGGCATAAGATGAGATTATGGCATATCCAGTCTAGCCTTGTTGGGACTTCTGCCTCAGGCCGCACCCAATTAATAATCAGCTTGTTTCTCACGTCGAGCTCCAACTCGTTGCGAGTTCTGCTTTTTTTATCCAGAAATCTAGTCTATGACGACTACTGGCACGTTTTATCCAATACCCGCAATACTAACTGTAGTGCCTGTGGGCTGAGATGCCTCCAGCGCAGGAAAGCGATGGCAGCGTCAACGGTGGGTCAACGACTGTCGCCCGCAAACGCCAGCGAGACGACGCCGAAGAGGTCTCGACTCCTCCTTGTGCACAGTGTCGGTCCCGTAAAGTGCGCTGTGACCGTCAACAGCCCAGTTGCTCGAACTGTCGCAGAGCCGGCGTCCCCTGCGAGTACTCCAACTCGTCCACGGCATACAATGTCAAGGAGCTGTTTGACGCATTTTCATCGGTGACTTCGCGCCTGGATCGCATGGAAGAGACGTTGGCAGGAATTGCAGATTATATCAAGTCCATTGCTCGTACACCTGCGGGGCTGCAGTCGCCCCCAACTACCAATGGCTTCAATTCTCACGCACAGGATTCGGGGGACGTTGCACCACCAGTCGAGAGCACACCAGCGTTTGTCGTGCCCCTCGAGGACGACGGGCGAGTTCCAGGTGAACCAGCCTCGATTGCCTTGTTAAAATCGCTCCATCGCCGTTTAAAATCCGCAGTCGAGGGGCAACCTAGCGAGTCGATGACGCTGTGGGCAGTGGCGGCGAAAGATCCCGCGGTGAAGCGCGTCCTCCAGCGCCAGCTAGACCTGTTCCCATTCAACGGTGGCTGCCTCGCCTTCCCTACGAGCAGCGACAGTCAGCCCATGCAGGCGCCGCCTCGGTATAGCTTGGAGGAGTGTCTCCAGTCTTCGTTCACAGAACTCCATGTGTTTGCGCCCATATTCCAGAAGCAATATCTTGAAGACGCAGTTGCGTTTTACTATGATTCACCACCTTGCCAGCAGTCGCAGGCCCAGGTGCTCATGATCAACAATATCTACCTACTCGCCATTACTCTTGAAGCTCGGGCCTGCAGGGCGCGTCGGACTGAGTCGGAGAGCAGGTATTATAATCTGGAGCTGGCCTACGCCCTCCTTGGGAATTGTGACAGAGCGTTGCGGGATCTGGGGGCCTTTAATGAGCCCACGGTAGAGAATGTCCGGGCCCTCCTCAGTCTGGTACTAATCTCCCCCTTATGATTTGTTCTATACTAACCTACCTGAGCAGGCCTTTGTGTGCCAGGAATATTACTCTGTTCCTGTACAGATTCGTGTTTTTCAGCTGGCTGCTCGCCTCGCGCGCGCCGTCGGCCTACAGAAATGGCACGCATCGAACAACGGGTCGTGGGATAATGCGTCGGCAGACGAGAGCCTTTTTTGGCTCCTATATACCATGGACAAACAACAGGCCTTTCAAGGTGGCCAGGCCGGGGAACTCTACCTCCACGACTGCACCCTGCCGCTGTACCCCTGTGGAACAGGCACGCCGACAATAGAGCAACTCCACGGAGCCTTCACCAGTCTTTCCACTATTTGGGAGGACATTTATTCATCGCTGTACTCCGTACGCTCATCAACACTCGATGACTTCACCCGAAACGCGCATGTCGGCCGTTTACATTCCGTACTCTCCGTCTGGAAGGAAGCCTACGAGCCCCTGTTCACCAGCTGGACTCTCCCCGACGTATCAAATCTCAAGCCCATCCAGACCGAGCTCCAATACGCTTTTTTCACAACTAAGCTCCTAATCCAACGCTGCAACACTTGTCTGCCCCCATCCGTACGCTATCGCGAATTCGCCGAGCCCGCCCTCACACTTCTCACCACCAACTTTAACACCCTCTCCCCATCCGAATGCACAACCCTAGGCCGGATCTTCCGCAACTACCCCCTCGTCGCATTCCTTGACTTCTTCCTGTATACGATTCTCTCGGACCGGGCAGGCCTCGCCGAGAACGCCCAACTCCTGCACGCTGTGACGCGGCTCCTCGAACCAATCCGTGATGCGGACTTTCCCGAGTCTTTCTATAATAAGATCTACTCGGGGTTTACCTGGTGCACCAACCAACTGGATATCTTGCTGCAGGCTTGTACTCAGCGTGCTTCGATAACCGGTGGGATTTGTCCTGAGCTTGATGCGATGGCGGGTTCTTTGTCCGAGCTGGCTCCCGGGTTGGGCGTTTAGATTATGTATCGCGGCAGGCCATGATATTATAATGAATTATACTACGCTTCGTGGCTTTAGATGGGTAGATAATATACCTACTGGTAAATTTGATTTTCATTCAAGGTAGACACTCCTTGTTTCAATACATATTGTCACACAGCTGGACTCAACATTTCAAGCCTGATGATATACTTCCCCAATCACAGACTCCTCGACTTGGAATCCACTGCCTGGATAAAATGCTCAACAGTCCCTCGATATCGAATTCCCATGCGCAGCATTAGGGACCTAAACTTGGTCGCAGACTGTATAAAACAGTGGTAAATTTAGAAACATTGGTGAGGAATGACGTTGTGCCTTCGTATACGTGGACAAAGACCAAGAAATGCCGACGGCAGTATTATCCGACAGCTATGAAAGAAGAGATTCAAATGGTGTTTCAACTAATTTTTTACTATTAAATCAAGCGCCTTCATACGCACAACAATAATTTGTCTTGTCAGATCCTATGTGTCAACATCGTTTCACCCATAAAGGGAGGCCCTCATTGTCCAGGGTTTCATCGGTATATATCGACAGAACAGACGTAGATACTACCCTAATAACTACTACTACTTTTGCATTTCTACTGCCTAATATTCATTCTTTTCACCTCACATATCTTAAGAACATGCCCAAGAGAAAGAGAAATACCGAATCTTGCAGGCCGAACAAGAAACAGAACACATCTTCATTAGGGTTAGATGCTCATATTCGTACAGATCCATTCACCCTTCTTCCCTGGGATTGCGCCAGCATTGTCCTGCAGCATCTGGATATCCGGGACCTAGCTTGTTGCGAACAGGTAAGCGGAGGCTGGAGGAGATTTGTACAGCACTGGATGGTCGTTTCTGGTCACCAATACTGTTTGCCAGATAGGTGGAGGCCAGACATTTCAAATCAAATAATCTACGAGGACGCGCTTGCTGCTGTTAAGAGATCAGGCACGTTGACGAGCACATGAAACCCTCAACTAGCATCCACTGACTGGGTCCAGTTGTCGAATACGCCGCATTCAGAAAACTCGCATCTGGAAGCGCATCTTGCGGTCGTAGATACCAAACCAGCGACACAGGGGTCTTCGATACGAGTGGCAATTTCACAGTCTGGCATACGGGCGACACCATCTTCTACCAGAAATTGGGATTCCGCCAAGACGGATCTCTGTATACAGTCCAAAAGCTGCCTTTGAGGATTACTGGGGATAACCTCCGCTATTTGGCCGTGAATCAAGACGGGTATCTATATCTCCAGATATGCCGTCCGAATAACCATCCTGTGAGGCCGGAGGTGTTTAGGTATTCGGCCCCGTCCTTGAAATATATCGATCACTAACGAGAGCAGGGATTATGCCTTCTCATTGGAAACAGGAGAGAGACTGTGGAAGCGACGGGCATCGCCCGACGCCAGCTTATTTGCGCTTGGAAGAAGGAGGGTTTACCTTGTTGGTACTGGCCCCCAGAACCGCCATTTAACAGCGCATGATATAAAATCTGGCAGGTTGCTGTACGAGGTTCCATTCCCGTACTCGGTACGCAGGTCCAAACCGCCCATACCTGTCCAGCTAGGAGGGGACGAGGTTATAATCCACACCGACGCTGTTTCATCCGAAAGAAGTCTTTCTGCTGTCGACTATGTCCATGTTATCAATGGGGCGGACGGCCAGGTTATTCAAACGATTCCAACGCGCATTTGGTGTCACGGTTCGCAGATAATACCACGACCTGACGAACAAGGTGGTTTCGCCATCCTGAGCCACCATCGCACCAGACACTGGTATGTCAAAATACAAAAGTTCTCTCAGGACGCAGAAACCAGGGCCTTTCGAAGCAACAGCACAGAGGTCCTAGACTTGGGTAAGTATCCCGATCAGATCAGACAAATCGGCATCGAGCCTTATAGACATCTGGCCGTGAGTCTGGAAGGGCGCCGTGTGTTACCACGGATAAGAACGATACAGGAAGCCCACAGTCCGAGTATGGATGCGCATAGTTTGCCAGCTGATGCCGCGAGCAAAATCGATAAATGGCTCTGTTTAGGGCCGGGGCAAGAAGTGACTCTTCCCCCGAAGTATAAGCACCATAGAGCTCGTCGGCTGTTCATCCCAGGACCCTTGGACTATGACCCAGATAGCTGCAGGCTGAACTTTGCGGGCTGGGACAGATTTGTCCTGTTTACCGAACCAAGACAGTTCTACTGTTTGTTTGATTTCAGGTTCAGAGCCCCCAGCAATATGCCGTCAAACGTGACCCCTCATCCTACGACACTAGAGTTGCGCTAGACCATGAAATCATATTTTGATATCTAGATTACTGGTAATGTCAAAAAGCGACTGCGAAGCCCTAATGCACGCCCTTATAGATCAGTGGTAGATCGTTGCACTTGTATCCACAAAAATGGAAAAAGTCCATGCAAAGGTCCGTCGTTCAATCCGGCGTGGGGGCATTCCTTTTTCCACGCCAACTACGTGAATTCAGCTGTATTTCCTTTTTGCCAGGCACGACTAGAAAACAATAGTCCCTCATGCAAAGAAACGGATCTGGATACAGGTGATAATAAGCCCAACCACCACCCAAATACAACCCTAAGAGATACCTATCCAGTGCGGCAAGGGGGCTGGAGCTTGGCAGTGACACTGTCTAAGAAAGGAATAAGACTGACTGACAACAGTGTTGAAAGGAAGAAAGCGTCAGATCGACAAGTTGGCCAAGTAATCTCTTCTGGTCTGTTGGCCTGGGTAACCTGTCAGCAATAAATGGACCCCGCACCCCGCGGTTCAGCTTATGCTCCAACCTCGGACATCTCTCCTTCCTCCATCTCTACATACTCCAGGCATCACCATGGAGGCCCTTATGGTACAGGCCATCAAGGACAGCGCCGCCTTGAAAAAGACATCGGTGCCCTGGAATCTCGACGAGCCTTGCCCACAGACCTACTACGACTATGATCCTGCCGCATCCACGTGGGTGTCGCAGTCCCCCGTCCAGAGCACCAAAGACACCACACCCATATCAACAATAGCCCTCTATACTTGGAACATCGACTTCATGCTCCCCTTCGCCGCCGCCCGCATGAGACCAGCGCTCGCCCACCTAGAACACCTAACGCGCTCCCTCCCACCAACCACCGCCCCCATCATCTTCCTCCAGGAATGCACCCCATCCGACCTCACCACCATCGCCGCAACCCCCTGGGTTCAATCCCGCTTCCACCTCATCGACATCGACCCCTCAAGCTGGGCCACAACGCAGTACGGGACCACCACGCTGATCGACGCCCGTCTCCCTATCTCTTCCGCCTTCCGCGTACACTATTCCAAAACACGGATGGACCGGGACGCCCTCTTCGTCGACGTCGGCGTCTCTGCCAGTAGACCAAATGCCGGGGATGAAAAAGAAAAACTGACTCTCCGCCTCTGCAACACTCATCTCGAATCCATGGCATTCGACCCGCCCTTCCGCCCGTCGCAGGTAAGTCTCTTCACGGAATACATGCGTCACGACGGAATCCACGCCGCGTTAGCAGCGGGGGACTTCAACGCTATCCAGCCATTCGACCGGACCTTGCACAGGGAGAATAGCCTCAAGGACGCGTTCCTGGAGCTCGGCGGGCAGGAGGATACAGAGGAGGGGTATACATGGGGCCAGCAGGCGGCGACGAGCCAGCGGGAGCGGTTTGGGTGTTCGCGGATGGACAAGGTTTATTTCTGTGGGGGAGTGAACGTGCGCCGGTTTGAGAGGTTTGGGGCGGAGATATTGGCGGAGGGAGAGGAGGAGCGGAGGGGGATTGTGGAGTTGGGGTTTGAGAGGCCTTGGGTTACGGATCATTTGGGGGTTGTGGCTGAGGTGGAGGTTTTGGTTGGGAATAGAGGGCTGCTTTAGGCTGCTTGGACTAGAAACTTTCTACGTAGTAGTAAAACATAGATTCGGAAGAAATCCACCTTGGAGATGCCAATGTCGGCTTGATCGACTTCAGTGCTGGATCCTACATGCTTGCATCATGAAAATGGATGTCTTCCCAGAGCCCTGACCGAGAGTATTGTATAGCTTTCTTACCGAACCCTGACATGCAGTGAACGGCAATGCATCAGCTGCGTAGAATTCTATCTATGGATATTGCATTACCAATGAAAGCGTCCACATGACATTGAACCAATACAGACACTGGGCAAGCATCATTATTAAGCTTCCCATCCCTATCCTTAGGTCGTCGCAGCTCGCAAAAAGTTGCCCATGGCACAGAAACAGCCAGTCGACAGCCAATCACGCAGCAGATATGCATCGCCCGAACAGGAAGTGGGGCCGCGGTGCCCCGGAGAAGCTCGAGCCGGGGGAGAATCCCGGACAGCGCAGATTCCGGACCGTCGGGAGGCGGATGAGCATCGAATGAGCGCAAAGTGGAGCCACCGCTTCTACTTCCAGTAACTCTGGCGGTGTTTAGTGCTATCTCCGCGTGAATTTCTAAGCACTTAACATGAAGCATCGTCAGGAAGGACGTGGAATTGATTTGCAATTCTCAAGAACAGAGACAGACATGGCTATAAATACCAGGAAGCGGTCTTCATCCAATCAACCAATTCAGCAAACATCACATCTGCATCTTTACACTTTCATCCCAAGTTTATCAGCAAAACTTCAAAATCCACACCATGTCTACCGTTGAATTGTCTTTTGGCGGCGGCACCTTCATGTCGGAGGAGTCGTTTGGCTCTGTCGAGAAGATGAGGGAGGGCCTCTCCATCCTCCAAGCAGAAGGCATCAAATACATCGACACCGCAACCCTCTACGGCGAGAGCGAAAGGTTCCTCGGCGATCTAGGCGCTTCAAAAACACACACTATCGACACCAAGTACCCCGGAGGGTTCGCGGGGCCATCAAGCAAAGAAAAGATCCTCGCCACCGCCAACGAGAGTCTCAAGAAACTCCAAACGAACCAGGTCGACGTCTACTACCTGCACTCGCCCGACCGCCAAATCCCCTTCGAGGTCCAAGTCGACGCCATAAACACCCTCTACGAAGAAGGCAAGATCAGACGCTTCGGAATCTCCAACTTCCTCGCCCCAGAAGTCGAAGAGCTCATACGAATCGCCAAGGAGAAGAACTGGATCGCGCCGTCCGTCTACCAGGGGAACTACTCTGCCGTGGCACGACGCGCTGAAACAGAACTCCTCCCCGTCCTGCGCAAGCACGGGATTGAGTTCTACGCGTACTCGCCTATCGCAGGCGGGTTTCTGACCAAGAGCGTGGAGCAGATCACCAAGGGTGCGGAGGGCCGTTGGGACCCGTCGTCCAGCGTTGGGGCTTTGTACCACGAGCTGTATAACAAGCCGACGATGTTTGAGGGGTTGAAGCTCTGGGAGGAGATTTCCAAGCAGACGGGCATTCCCAAGGTGGAGCTGGCGTACCGGTGGGTTATCCATAACTCGGCGTTGAAGGGGGAGCATGGCGATAGGGTTATCTTTGGGGCGCGCAATGTGGAGCAGTTGAGGGAGACTATTGGGCTTGCGAAGAAGGGGCCTCTGAGTCCGGATGTGGTGCAGCTGATTGAGGAGGTTTGGAGGCTTGTTGAGGCCGATGCGCCGTTGGATAACTATAACGATGGTCTGCTGAAGATCCAGGAGAAAGGGGTTCAGTTTGAAGTCCCGAAAAAGGTGTAATAGGCCATCTCTTGGTATAATTATGAAGAATATATAAGGGGAATGAACTGTTGCAATACACACGTACAAAGGTAACGGTATATGTACGGCATATAATAACTACGCTTTTACAGCACGACCAAGGCTCATACCGACTTCGACATCCACCGCAACAGCATGCTTACTCGGCCAGATCAAGTCCTCGTCAAAGCAAATTCTGTTCCTCTGGAAAGCAACAACGATGCTCGAGCCACCAAACTGGAATATCCCCAGCTCGTCCCCCTTTGTAATCTTAGCTCCGGGGTTCTGCCATTTCTCGTGGATCCTACATAGTCAGCACTTGTTCTCGACCCTCGTTACAGACATACTCAACAGTCCCAACCTGACTCGCTCCAATCGCCACAAATAACACATCCCCAAACTCTTCCGTCTCTATCACCACGTAGTCCCGCGCATTCCTCGTCAGAATATCTACTCCGCTCCGCAGGGCCAACGGGTCAACCTCGTAATAATCCCCAGGCATGCTGCGATATAACTTGATTTTCCCCGTGACAGGGCTATGATAGCGATGATAATCCTGCGGCGACAACCTAAAGCTCGCAACAGGTCCGTCCTTAAACTGCGGGCCCAGTTTCCTATCCATAACAAGATTCGTTATTGAAAAGTCCTCGCCTTTTATCCAGATCTTCTTGCTCTCGGCGATTTCATCATAGACCACGACCCGGGAGTCCGCAACCACAACGGCAGATTTGGGGTCACTATGCTCGTGTATCGACCGTGTGCCCGGTTTATGGTGGCGGATGAAGAAGTCCTCGAATGTTCTGTACGCGCTTGGGTCAGAAGGTTCAAAATCATCCATGTTTATGTGGAAGAACGAGATGAATTCTCGGATGCGTTTTGCTGAGCCGGGGGTTGCTTCTTTCTCCCCTGTTATACTCTGTCAGGCATGTCTTAATCGCACAATTACTAGGAAGTGGATATACCCTCTTTAATCGCGCTGTTGTGCATATACAGCCTCATCGCATGCGTTGTGTCCAGCCATGTCGTTAGCGGGTTGAACAACAGGAGCAGCTTGAGTTTCTTCCACAGAGGCTGCTGCTCGCGCATATATTTCCCTGTCTGGATTGATATTAGAATCATTCATATAGTCACGTTTAGATAGCGACATACCTTGCGGTTGATCGTGGGCCAGCCGACCTCGCGGTTTTGGATCTGCCAATTAGCATGGTTTGGTGGAAGAATGGATAGTTACGTACCAGCTTGACCCAGGTCAGAAGATAGTCCGCCGCAGCATGTATAATTCCAAGTATTCCCATTATGTCTTGTTTGATGATAAGTTGTTGAGTCTTCGTGTGGACTTCGAATGTCGAGTCCATCTTATTGTGATGTCACTATTACATGAACACTATATCAAGTTTATCGGTTTAATTTCCACCAAAATACAGGAGAATAGAGTTAATATCAAATGAATATAATTAACTGAATACAATTCGAAACTAACACCTGAATATTTGGATATTTACACGTTTTACCACACCCATAACTACAATCATTTTGTCACCCGCGGCAAGGAACCTCTACTCATTCCCCATAACACTATCCCAGCTAAATCAGCATAGCTCCCAAATAGAAGACAGCATAAAAACAAAGACCTACCTCTTAAAAGCCCCCTTTGCCGTCTCCCACCCAGGCAATGTATCCGATCCACCAGGTTTATGATATGCGAAACCCGCACCGGCATTCGACCCAGCGCCGGGCACCCCACCCGCCTCCTCAAGATCATGCCGATAGCTCGCTTCGCCAGTGGCCTTTTGCTCTGAAATTGAAGACATTCCACCCGAGGTGCTAGAAACCTTTACGGGATTGGATTCGCTGGGGGAGCTAGAGAGCTGATTGCCCTGTATAGCTATTAGCACGGTCGTTCTACAGGAACATAATAAAAGAGGCAAATTGGTAGTGCAGACATACAGAATCCATTCCGCCCTTTATAAACCCGCTATCGCCCCAGCCGCTTCCTCCGCCGGCGTTGTTGGCTGGGGTGGGAAAGGCGCTTGCGCCGCCGCGGGTGGATGTTGTTGGCTGGTTGCCCGTGGGGGTTGCGCCGTGGCCTTGTGTATGAGACATTTTGTAGTGTCTGTATGCAGTATATCAGTTGATTTATGATGACGGTAACGATGTTATGCGAGCTAGGCTCGTGGGTTTGTTTGCGGAGGATATCGTCTATATAGATGGCCGTTGGGGGATGAAGTCATAATACGGTCAATCGCCACGACACCGCAAGGAGGGCCAGGCCCATATCCAAGCTACAGGCGGGACCTTTTAATTGGTGGGAACATAATTTAGTTTTACTCATGGCCGTTTGTTTGGTTTAATGTGAGATCTCCGTGCTATTTATTCCAAGTCTTAGTCTCACCTGAATTGACCATACTAAGGCGTCTCAAAAGTAAATAAACCATCGGCCACCATGCCAGTCAGCTGCTTATTAGCTGAGGTTTCAAATTCAAATAGACCCACTCAACCATTATTTTCTTGCAGTAAAACTTAACGACTGACAAGTTCAATGGTGTCGTTCCGAGAAAGGTCAAGTTAGGGCTGACGGTGCAATATTGGGCCGCGCTGTACTAATCTCTCCGACGACAACCTACTTATCAACAACCACGTTAATAATGACAATCCAATGTCATCAGCGGACACTTAGTTATATGAATACACCCATATAGTAGATATTTACGGCCCAACATCTTTCCGCTCTCATGTATAAATAATTGAATAGGGAGTCCTATCTATGTTTACTCCCAAACTACACCACTATTCTAAAACATGCCTGACCAACGGAAATACGCTAACAAGCTATCCAGATCCAGGATCCTCATAATCGGTGGAACCTCCGGTCTAGGATTCGGCACAGCCGAAGCAGCTCTCGAAAACGGCGTATCAGAGCTAATCCTCTCCTCGTCCTCACCCACCCGCATCGAAGCCGCAATCACCAAGCTAAAGGACCTCTACCCATCATCATCCGCATCCATAACAGGGCACACATGCAATCTGGCCGACGAAGAAAACCTCCCCGCGAATATCCAAGACCTATTCAGCAAACTCGGCACACTAGACCACATCGTCTTCACAGCAGGCGATGCACCGCTCCTAACACCGTTCCTCGAAACCGATTTCAAGACAGCAAAACAGGCAGGGATGGTCCGGTTCTTTGCACCGCTTCTCGTTGCGCAGATTGGGTATACCCATCTTGCGCCGGGGCCCAGGAGCTCGATTACACTGACGGCCGGGGTTTCTGGCCAGAAGCCCATTCCTGGGTGGACGGTGACGAGTGCGTATCTCAGCGGGCTGCAGGGGATGATGAGGGGTTTGGCGTTTGATTTGAGGCCGGTGCGGGTTAATCTTGTATCGCCTGGGGGTGTGGACACGGAGATGTGGGATGTGCTAGGGGCTGGCTCTGGGGCGAGGGAGGGGGTTGTGGAGGAGCTGGCGAGGGCGACTACAACCGGGGCTGTAGGGAGGGTGGAGGATGTTGCAGAGGCGTACCTCTATTGTATGCGGGATTGGAATTTGTCTGGGTCGGTGATTAGCAGTAACGGGGGTAGGTTGTTGGTGTAGCCCAGTTCCACAGCTGGTTGTGGTCAAGATAGGGCATGAAACTAGTTCCAGGTGTATAAGGCTCCTTCCACACTAATAGTAGATTCCGATTATTGTCCTCTAGATACTATCAATGGATTTGTTAAAACACGAAACAGTAAATCTTTGTACAAAGCACAAACAACCAAAGTTGGCTCTCCAAACAATCTCCTTTATTACCATTATCCATACAAAGGGCAGGTAACCAGCTCAGTAAGAGATTCTTTTGAAGCCATATCCTGAAGCAGTCAGAACAATCGGCTCCAGCCATCATCATCCCTTTCACGTCCATCGCAGACCCTTTATTCAGCCCACTGTCATTAACATAAATACCCCTCTTCAACTGCGTAGATGTGTTCGGTACCAGTGTTCTCGGCCTGTCGGAACCCGAACTGGTACGACACTCTTCGTTTGCAGCTCTGGATGTCAGTTCTTCGAAACGTACTAACCAAGCTACAAAGGCTGACACGGCGACGTACTCTATCAAAGTCTGACAACGGTGTTATGGAGCAGCCTTCTAACAGTGTTCCATCGCCTCCCAGGTCCGAAGAGTGGTCTACTAGTCGAGGGTCACCTTCAGTAAACATGTCGATTCCCAGTCATGAATTACATTGGCCATTTGACCAATTAAGCTCTGAATCTCGTACTCGCACATCCACTTCAGAGAATTCTTATGTGACCAATGGGCAACAAGACCCTCTGGATGGTGAAATCACATATGGCACGGCCAAAGTGGCTTATATTTTCTCAAAAGACGATTACCCTCTATACGCGCGCACCATACAAGCTGGGAAAGTTGCGCAGAAGTCTCGGTCTCGATCGAGTCCAGCAACGAGTCGCTGGTGATAGTAGAAATGCAATGGATTGTATACTTATTACGTATTAATATTGACCTTTTTGAGATTCTACAGTCTTCTTTTGCCCTTTCGTAGTTGGATCACAAGTTGTAAGGTGGGAATGCTGTACCTGTTTGTCCCTCACGCCATTACTGCTAACTGACGTAAAGTGACCAAAAATAACCAATGAACCAAGTCTCTCCTCAATTATGGAGAAATGCACCCAGAATCATGCCCATTTTCCCGGCGACGTCTAGACCAGCGACTCCATCTGGTGAAGTCATGGCCTTGCTGGGGGTGACCTCATCATTCGGTCAGCGCCCCACAACAACCCTAACTGTCTCCTCCGTATGTCTATATAACACCCGCTTTCTTCCAGGCACTTACTGCCCATCTAGAAGCTTAATCTATCTTCTAATCAGACCAACTACTCCAGCGCGACCCTTTGGTTTAACACTTCTACCACCAATTTTCTCTTAACTACCATAACCATGCCTCGCGGAGTCGAATTCTCTAAAGACAACCAAATCTCCGACAACCCCATTGAGGCCGGCGAGACCAAGGTCCACGGCACAAACCCCGACGTACGTTACTAGCTCACCCCTCTGCTAAAAAGAAATTGTGCCCTAATAACCTCTAGTATGACCACATGAACCGCGTCGACCGCACCGCCCCCCTCCCCGAAGTCTCCGGCTCGTCGGAACCCTACATTGGCCAGGGGGGATACAAGAACCCGGCTGGCAGCGGGAAGGGCGGCCATGAGCCCAACACGCTAGGCGAGAACAAGGGTCTTGGTGGACACAAGGCGTGAATTGCTTTGCATTGCATAACTAGCATTGGGGTTTTGGCTTAGCAGGCCTGGTGCCTAGCTACTCCGGGTTGCGTCACTGAGTGAGGCGCTGGAGATATGTATTCTTATGTTATAAGTTACAAGTTACAAATACGAGGAAAGGCTTGATGATCCAAATGATTTTGATGCTATGTAGCAGTGTAAAGAAAGATGAAGTCGAAAACTGACGAAGTCTATGCGCGTAAAATAGGAGAACCAAGCAGAATATATAGTCGCTCGAATGTGCTGTACAGTCCCAAACGGGTGAATTATAGATACAATGTGATTAATATTTGAAGCCGGCTCATGATTTACTTTCGTCTTGTGGTTGCGGAGAACCATTTGCGGGGGTTTCTTTGTCGGGTGATGGCTGCGAACTGCCTTCTATCGTCTTCCGGTTGACCAGCTCTAAGAGGCGTTCGCCTATGTCACCGAATCCGTCTATCTTGCTCAATTTCGCTTGAAAATACTCTGCATCACGGTGTAGCCTATGAAGTATTAGCAAAAGTCTTCTCCAAATGAATAAGATGGGCTTACCTCTGCTTTCCGGTCTCCGTCTTAGCCTCGGCCTCGTCGAACGCTCGTGTCCACTGGTCTCGATAGCTATTGAAAACAGGATCCATGATCATCATCACCGTCATTTCCGGGAGGTGCCTGCTCAAAACTCGGTGTAATGTTCCTGTTTCCTTGGTCAAAGTCTCCATGTACGTATTGACACCGGTTGGCCCTGAACTGGAGTCCCAGTCAATTTTTCTCATGGCGTTGACGTGCACGTAGGACCGAGAGCCCATGATGTCGACCAGCTTTTCGTGGATTCCTGATTGGTGTTCCTGGTACAGCCGCTTCACCTTGTCGAAATCGGCCATCAGAGAGCTCGGTGGTGAGTGTCGACGTACAAATTCTCTAATATAAGGGACCAGCGCGATTATGAAACTTAGAGCCTGCGACGAGAGTGCAAGGTGTTTTGTTGTGATATTCTTGAGACCAGCGCTTCTGGTAGCCCCTGCGCCCAGAATTAACTGAGAAGATCTGGAGTTGAACAACTTCAGTGATTCTAGAAGACCAGAAGAAATATCGGGTATCATATTGGGTATGTTCGCCATCAAGAATTGATATTCCTCGATACTTCTCATAATCGCCATTGCCGAGTCTGAAAGTATGTATTTCTGTTCGTCGATCACTGCATTGCGGGCTTTGTCCTTATCCTTGCTGGAGCCATTGACAGCAGCGGGTTCCGTTGATGTGATTTGACGGTCTTCCTGGGGGATCCAGATCTTGGAGGTATCAACCCAGGCGTCGATATCTTTAGTGCTTGCAGTCAAAATACGATCCAGGACTTCGGTCTCGGCTTCTCCAAAGTCCTTCGCATCCCAACGATCAGAATCCATCACCTGTACTATGCGGTGCCGTTGCTCGTTGCCAAACCGGTTGATGAAATCGCGGATCTGGTTGCCGACGGCAGTCTTGAAAGCGGTTCCACTGCGGCCAGAGATTGCTTCGCATTCATCTGCAAACAGCCGGTTAAGAGTAAAGTATTTCACGAAATCCTCTTTCGACAAATTGGCCGTCTGCTCCGACCGAACCTTTAGTACCTTGGTCGCCTGAGACTGGGCAATATCGACAGCCTGCCCAAGCAGGCTGGACATATCCAACACCTGGAGGATCTCGTCCTGCGCCGCGTGGGCCGACGGTCGTCGTTCCGTGTTCGGTACTGGAGACTTGGGACTTTGAAGCCCTCCAAGTCCACTTGCAATGTCAAGAAGAACCTTGACTTGGACACTCAATCTGCGTAATGACTCACTAACGCCAGCGTAAACCTGGGCAAGCATGTTGTACGCATCTTCGGCATCCATAGCGCGGAGGTTGCGAGCAAGAATAGACGACTTCTCCTGCGAACTCAGCTGGTGAGACCGGTGAGTGGACACCGACACCATAGACTCATTGTCGTCGTCATTGCTACTCGGCATGTGCCTACGAATCAAACTCTTCATCTCTCTCAGGATGGCAGTTTTGAAGGCCGTCGCAGCTGGAGTAGTATGATTCACACGCGCAAGACCAGTGAGGTGCAAGCGCAGTTGAGACCGCAGCTGATCATCGATAGACATGTAAGCTGGCGGTTCTGCAATGCTAGACCGCTGGCCTCCACGTTGCCTTTGAAACGAGTAACCCCATCTTTGCACTGTTGTGGCTAACGGGGCATTCTCAACGTGACGTCTCAGATCGCCAAGAAGTTCATTCAGGAAGCGATTCTCGTAGCCCGTACCAATCTGAAATCTCAGCTGATCAAGCTCATTGGATGCACCCTCCAAAGCTTTGAGTCTCCGCAAATCGACGGTTTTCCGAGGTTCATCTTCCGTGGATTGGTCAGGAGTATAGTCACCGACCATCAACCTCTCGACATTCTCAAGGCCGTCCGCTGCTTCTTCAATATCTCCGTTCTCAGCTAGCTCCTCGCAGCGGGTCACGGATTTGACAACATCCCGGAGCTGAGACACTGCATCGGAAAGCATACGAACATTTTCTCTTCGACGCCTCAGATTCACAATCTTTAATCCACCCAATGCCATTTCCTTATCAATCTTTTGAAGGTCCTTTCGTAGTACCTGAATTCGTTTGACAGAATCCGCAGCCTCGGCATGTAATTCGCGTAACGAGCCCAGAGCAGTGAAAAACGATTTGGAGGCGGTAGATATAGACGAGATGAGGTGTATTTCCACAGTATCCATGTACCAGGAGAGCTTCTCTTGCAAAATAGCGTTTGTTGCAAGTACCTTTCTCCCGGTCTGCGCAGGTTCAATAATGTCCACTCGATTGTCCTTACTCGGCGCCTGTGGGGGTGTAACAACCTCAGATCTCTCTGATACCACATCAAAAGTACGCGGGTTTTCAAGATGAAAGTCATCTTCGAAGTATACCGGGGGAATAGTCGATAAAGGAGTGATTGCTGGAGGTCGGCCCCTGTTCGATGATCTCTTCCTACCTGGGGGGCTGTACGGAGAGCTCGAGCGAGAATTGGTCGATATCGCAGAGGCCCGACGTTCAAACGATCTCGGTATCAACGACTCATAATCATCCGGCCTTGGCGAGGCTTTGCCGGCACTTCGTGCTAGCTGTGAATCCTGCTCCCCGCTGCCCTCTTTTGCCTCTTGGAAGACCTCGTATAAGGACCCCACTTGCGTCAGGTATGGTTCGAAGACTTTACGATCGACATGCGGGATGTTCGTCAACGGAACGGGTGGGATATCGCGAGTACTCGGGGGTTTATACCCGCCAGTCGCAGCCGAAGAATGAGGTACCAGACCGGTGCGGACGATGGGGGGTTGAAGGAGGGTAGAAATGGCTATTCAGTCAGTCGAAAAAACACAACTATCTCAGAGAATATTTCAACGCACCATTCTGCCCTGATTCTGCTATCGCCCCATGTCGATTAGAAGGGTCAAGGACGCCGCCAATGCTGACGATTGAGCTAGCTGTTGAACCTCTCCTCAGGGGGTACTTCTGAGGCGGGACCCGGGGCGATTCCACCTGATTGAACGAGTATTGAGATAAGGAAGGTGTGGATGCGCCCGAGGCTAAGCTATCAATCGACTTCCGTGGACTCGCAGACATCTCGCCGAGTCAAACTGGCGACTCTGGCAGCCACCTAGTTCGTTCGCACTCACCTCACCATGACAAGTGGCAGCTATGAACGTAGTCGACCGAGCAGAGACTCAGGTTAATGAGTCCAAGATTAGATGCGCAACCGATTGACGAAGTTGGGGAGGGCTAATTTAACGAAAGAAACGGGCAAGTCAAACAATCGAATCTCAAAAGTAACGACACCTCATCTGTCAGAGCGATAGTCGGTTGCTGTGCTGCCGCAGCTCGACCCAATCGGGTAAGGTCGCAGGTCGGCCCCTATTGCGCTAATCCGTTTGTGTTCTGTCGGAGACATTCATATTCCGTACCCGGTGCCTGGCTGCTGCCTTGGAAATCTGGCAAATACACTTAACGCGTGAGAGACACGCGTCGCGTTCTCTTCGTGTCTTGCTGGAAGATTCATTTTGCTGCCTCCTTGACTGGTAATGCTTCAACCGTACATTCTCCTCCACTTCACGCCCGCACTCTGTTATCGCCATGGACAGACGTACACCTTATACACTGAGCGTTCTCGCTCCCAGCACTGATGGTGCCGACGAATCTCGCACACAAATCCAGGCCCGACTGCGGGAGTTCATCTTGGAGTTCCAGCTGGATAATGCTTTTATCTACCGGTATGAGCAACACTCGAAAGAATATAGATGCGGGCAAAGCTAATGTAAATATTAGAGATCAATTACGCCAAAATGTTCTCGTCAAGCAGTACTACTGCGACGTCGACATTGCCCACCTGATCTCCTATAACGAAGAATTGGCCCACAAACTCACCACCGAGCCTGCAGATATCATCCCCCTCGTCAGTACCTGGCCAACCAACACATCGACGTGTACTAACATCTTTATAGTTCGAAAGTGCTCTTCAGCAATGCACCCAGCGAATCGTCTATCCCTCGCAACGTGATGTTGTGCTCCCATCCCACCAACTACTCCTCCATTCCTCCGCCACCCACATCTCCATTCGTGACCTGAACGCAACAAACATCTCTCACCTTGTCCGAATTCCAGGTATCGTAATCGGTGCTTCAACAGTGTCCTCCAAAGCCACAACAGTTCACATTCGTTGCAAATCTTGCGACCATGCCGACAATATCCGGGTCGATGGTGGATTTTCTGGTCTCACTCTTCCCAGGCGTTGCGGCCGCAAGCGAGACCCCGGTGACCATGAGCCTGGCGATCAATGTCCACTTGACCCTTACGTTGTTGCTCACGAAAAGTCTCAATTCGTTGACCAGCAAGTGCTTAAACTCCAAGAGGCGCCCGATCAGGTTCCAGTTGGTGAATTGCCACGACACGTTTCTATCTCTGCCGATCGATACCTCGCCAACAGAGTCGTTCCCGGCTCCCGCTGTACAGTGATGGGTATTTTCTCTATCTATCAAAAAGGAGGAAAGAAGGATGGTGGTGCGGTGGCCATTCGCACTCCCTATTTGAGGGCTGTCGGTATCTCGACAGACCTCGATCATACTGCCAAGGGTAGCTACCTATTCACAGAAGAGGAGGAGCAAGAATTTCTTCAACTCAGCCGCCGTCCCGATTTATATGATGCGCTTGCGCGGAGTATTGCTCCTTCGATTTATGGAAACTTGGATATCAAAAAGTCTATCGTCTGTCTGCTTATGGGAGGCTCGAAAAAGATTCTTCCTGATGGCATGAAACTTCGTGGAGATATCAACGTCCTTCTTCTAGGTGACCCCGGTACGGCCAAATCTCAATTGCTCAAGTTCACTGAAAAGGTCTCGCCCATTGCCATCTACACCTCCGGTAAGGGTTCGTCCGCCGCCGGTCTAACGGCCTCTGTGCAAAGAGATCCAGCTACGCGCGAGTTCTACCTCGAAGGTGGAGCAATGGTGCTTGCTGACGGAGGTGTGGTGTGTATCGATGAGTTCGATAAAATGAGAGACGAAGACCGAGTTGCCATTCACGAAGCCATGGAACAGCAAACGATATCCATCGCCAAGGCCGGTATCACCACCATCCTCAATTCAAGAACATCCGTGCTGGCTGCTGCAAACCCAATCTTTGGCCGATACGATGATCTTAAAACCCCCGGTGAGAACATCGACTTCCAAACGACCATTCTCTCCCGTTTCGATATGATCTTCGTCGTTCGTGATGACCACGACCGCAGCCGTGACGAGAACATTGCGCGCCACGTTATGGGAGTACACATGGGTGGCAGAGGCGTTGAAGAGCAAGTCGAAGCCGAAATCCCGCTTGAGAAGATGAAGCGATACATCAACTACTGCCGCAGCCGCTGTGCGCCCCGTCTGTCACCCGAGGCAGCAGAGAAGCTCTCGTCCCATTTCGTCTCTATCCGTAAGCAGGTCCATCGTGCTGAACTTGATGCCAACGCGCGATCTTCCATCCCCATCACAGTCCGTCAACTAGAGGCCATTGTCCGTATCACCGAGTCACTTGCCAAGCTGGCCCTCCAGCCCATTGCAACCGAGGCTCATGTCGATGAAGCCATTCGCATTTTCCTCGCGTCGACAATGGACGCCATTACTCAGGGCGAGGGCCAAGGAAGCAAAGAGATGATGGAGGAAGTCTCGAAGATCGAAGACGAATTGAAGCGCCGACTCCCTATTGGGTGGAGCACGAGTCTTGCGACACTGCGGCGCGAGTTTGTCGATGGACGAGGCTACACCGAACAAGCGCTCAACAGAGCGATCATTGTTCTGCAACGGAGGAGCACTCTCCAGGTTCGCTCTGGAGGATCACAAGTATACCGACAGGGTGTATAGACTTGGCTTTGGGTTTATTGTTGATTTCTGTAGTAAAGCATATCAAACACGGTACCTTTAATTGGGTTAGGCACAGCGGGTTGAAGGGCACGGCGTTGGTTTGACGTTGATGTACACTTTTATGAAGTATTAGATACTTGATGACACTTGGTCATGAACATGATAGAAAATTTTTAATGTTATATCCCAAATATAATTGCAGCAGTATTCGGTAACTATATATATCTACTATTAACACCATGAGCTTGTCGACTGCACATAAAATGTAGAAATTTTTATAAAGTTTAACTCTCCTTCCATGCTCCATTTATTGCGCCTAGCTAAAAAATTGCCATCACTAGAATTTTTGCATTCGGCATGTCCGATGGTAACTGTAACTGCGACAAAGGCCAGGCCCATCTGTATCCGGCTGTAGGCGAGAACCCCACCAAGCATCCCGCATCCCGCATCTCGCCCTCTTCAATGACACTTCCCAACATCATCCACCAACTCTCTTCCTACTAACACACCTACACTCCGAGATCTATACTTAAAGCTCAAATCCTTCATTCACCACCCAGAACATCAAAATGCCACCCACAATTCGCGTCATCGGCTCCCTAAACGCCGATATGGTCTCAGTAACCCCGCGCTTCCCAGACGCCGGCGAAACAATCACCTCCTCCGCATACTTCACCAGCGCAGGCGGAAAAGGCGCAAACCAAGCCGTTGCATGCGGGCGCCTCTCCCGTTCCCAGCCCCAGCCGCACTCGCAATCGCAATCGCAATCGTCTACAAGCACAACCCCCAGTGACGTCAAAGTCGAAATGGTCGGTGCCGTCGGCGGACTCGACGGACACTTTGACGCCCTCCTAAATCCGACATTATCGAAGTCTGGCGTCGATACGGCACGCGTGAAGGTGGTTGGAGATGCGTATACGGGTGTCGCTGTTATAATCGTGGACTCGTCGGCTGGGGGCGAGAACCGGATTCTATTCTCACCGGGGGCGAATTATACAGGAATGCAGGGTACACCTGAGGTGCTGGGTATGGGACTTGCGGCGCCCGTGCCTGATGTCATTGTTATGCAGGGCGAAATTCCTACGGATACGACAGTGGGGATTTTGAGGGCCGTGGGCGAGTTTAAGGAGCAGCAACGGCGGGATGGTAAGAAGGGGATCGAGGCCGGCCCTGAGTTGATTTTCAATCCTGCACCTGCGCCGCCGGGCGGACTTCCTGGGGATGTATATAAGGGGGTTGATCATTTGATCATGAATGAGACGGAGGCAGAGCTGATGACGCCTGCGGAGGAGGTGTTGCTACGTGTTCCTGGGATAGAGGCTTCGCAGGACGGGAAGGAGAAAGTGGCGAGATATTTCCACAGTCTAGGGGTGACCTATGTGCTGGTGACACTGGGTGCGAAGGGGGTTTGGTATAGTGCCGCGGACGCGGGGAGCGCCGGGGATCTTGCTGGTGGAGGGAGGGCTACGAATGAGGTTCCTGCGGCGAAGGTGAGCAGGGTGCTTGATACGACGGCAGCGGGAGATACGTTTGTGGGAGCCTATGCGGTTAAAGTTGCGCGGTGGCGTGAGAAACGGCGCGCAGAGGGGAAGGCTGGGGAGGACTTGACGGCGGAAGAGAAGGGTGTGCGGTATGGGAAGGTTATGGACGAGGCAATGGAGGTTGCTACGAGGGCATCAGCCCGGTGTGTGGAAAGACAGGGTGCTATGGACAGTATTCCTTGGGAGGATGAGATCTGAGGGCGCGGGTGAACTTTGTGCAGGGCTAATGCAGTTGTATGATACGGGCCGTGTTTGAAAAATAGAATAGAAAGCTAGATCAAGATATTCCACCACTGCCAGGCGTGCTGGCAGGTTAGATATTCCCTGGCATGCTAGACGTTTCATCAGCACGAAGGAAGGTGGTCAGGAATAGCAACGCTGCGAGAACAGCATCCTCCGCAAGCGCTTGAGAACTTAGACGAAGGAAATGCGAATGCTGCAAGCACATGCAACCATTGGGCACCCACGATACACATCAGAAAGTAAAGCGCTTCGGAGTCTGTACATCCAACATCCAAGACGGCAAGTCCAGAAGAGAGTTCGCACCACAGGTGCAACTGCAACCACGACCTCGGGCAGGGACGTGTATCCTCCTATAATTATCCGTGTAAGCAGAAGCGGATGGAGGGGCAGACGACGTAATTAGCTTGAATTACTCTTAAATTAGCATGACATCGCAGTGCATCGCAGGGAATCGGCATGGGCATTGGCCCCAGCTTCCCAGTTTCAGCTGCGCGCGGGCACCATGAAACACGAGCTACAGGCCAGGAAGCGCCGGGGGTCAGACCGCTGGGTTGCGTGCACGGGGCAACTCTAATGGAATGAGCCGGTTCTTCGCCTTAGGACTTGAATTTCTTGTGCCGTTTTTGCAAGATAGACAGTCGATCACGATCCGCGGCGGGGCATTGCCATTGGGCTTGGGAAACTGAACCAGGAGGGTTCGTCCTTCAGTGAGATGAGATCAGGGTTGAAGACGCGAGGCAGATACGTGGTTCGACGGGAACAGCGCTGGCGATGCATGGCTAATCAAGCATAATTAAGTTGAAGACGCGACGAGGCTTGAGCTTGACATGTGCAGGGACGCGTTGTAGGGTGAAGCACAAGAGGAGCAGCTCAGTATAGCGACGATGGTGTCGTGGAATGTCACGCACCGTAAATACCCGCGGGATGTGGCGAAGTGGCGGGTATTCTCGCATATCTTACGGTATCCGCGTGTAAGATAGAATACCTGGACGCGCCGCGCAGCCCTCCAAGTGAGGGGAACGGCCTCACTCTTGCCGATTATTGGATCATTGCCCATGCGATGCCTTGCAGATTCAGGATCTGAAGATGTCGTCGCTGCTCGAGTCAGCCGGAGCCGTCCTGTCCTCCAAAGGCACCTAATTAAGAGCATTGCGAGAGACACGAACCCGACGCGCCCTCCATCCCGTCTCCATTCCCGCTCAGCTGTCGACTACTTATACCAGGCATTCCAGGCTCCCCGGCTGACTCTCTTAAACCTCACGTCTGCATGTTTCGCCTCTGAGACTCTGAAGCCAGAATCCAGTCCTGGATCGACAACCCTCCATTACCTGTGCAGGAATTCTCCATAGCGTGTCCAGCCCTTGCTCCCCTCCCTCGCGCCCTGCCCTCTATAATAACTGCGCTGGCTCGCCTTCCTCGAGTTTCACTCACGAGCAGCACTTTCTCTCCTTCACTCCTTTACTTGCTTGCTAGACTCTCGGTGTTTTCGGTATATAATCCAGGGCAAGTCGTGCCTGTCTTCCTTCCTTCACCAGGTCTATAAACAGACCGCCAATCAGACCCCGACCCCACTCTCGCTCTCTGCCGCGCGACCAAAACAAACCAATCCCATCAACACCGGCTGTTGCTGCTTCACTCGCTCTCGTGCAGGCTCTTGTATCTCTCTATCGCTCTAATAATACTATTGTTCGCCATGGCTGCTCTCACCATGACTCCTCCGGCCGTACGACAGCCCTTTGCCCCTCTGGATGCCTCCCGTATGCGTTCCTTAATGCGTTCTAAGATGAACGCGCTGAACAAGCAGAACGGTATGACAACTCCCAACTTACGCGTCTTATACCACGAGTAATATTCATGCTAATATTTCTCTAAAGGCACAATACTCTCCGGAAAGCGTCAGCCCCTCGCTGAATCAGATTCGGAGAATATCGACCCAACAGCATGCAAGTCAACGAAGCGAAAGCGTGCTGCCGACGACGATGACCACGAACCCGTCAAACCTGTCAAGAGCCCTATGAAGCCCATGAAGTCTTCTCGCATGGCATTTAGCATCCTCGAGGACCCCGTTGCACCAACCACTCCCACAAAGACCACCAAGACCACTCCCAAATCTGCACCACTTAAGCCCGCTGGGCGCTCTCCCCAGATGAAGGCGTCTAAGCCTTTTGCTCGCCGTGCAACAGTCTCAAAGGGTCGTCCAGAGTCTGCCCGAAAGGGTGTCAGCCGTCCCTTCTCGATCTCAGCTGCACTGTCCAATGGCAAATCCAAGAGTCAGTCAGCTCCCGCTACCAAGCTGCCGGCATCCTGGTCCTTTGAGATCTATGTCGACTCGGAGCAGGAGGAGATGACCAACATGATGCAGCACTCGACATGTGTCTTGGATATCAGCGATGATGAGGGAAAGCAGGAGGAAAAGTCCGATCACCGTGGAAAGGAGAACATCCCTCCCGCTGACTTGGGGCTCTCCCTGCCCCGCTCTCGTCAACAAGAGTCCCCTGCTGCGGCGGCTCGCAAGTCTGACATGGTAGATGAGCCTCGCTCCCCATTGGGTGAGCTTAATGCCGCCGACTACTACGGTGATGACTGCCACGCTTTCTCATACGCTGTCGTCAACGAGGATGACGAAACGGATGCGGTCGCTGAGAAGAAGCCTGCCGTTTCGTTCACCCGTCCTGCCCATCCAAGCCGGAGTAAGCTTTCGAGCATGTCATCTATTGAGTCCGTGCTTGAAGCTGCCAGCCCAGTGAAACCCACAGTCGACGCCAAACCCGAATCTTCAGGTAATATTGAGATTTGGGAGAGCGAAAGCGCTGGTGAGGAAGCTACTGAGGAATCCTCAGTGCCTACCACCGCGTAGATAAAAAAAAGTCATCATTCTTTTTCACCATTGCTCACGGCGTTACTTGGGTCTGGCGTTGGAACTTTGCTTCCCGGATTTTGGATACCCAAATTTTCATTAAGTCTTTTCTCTCGTTTGTTTTACGAATTTCGTGTTTGTCCTATTCCTCGGTTACCATCTGTCAGAGTACCATTATTCCTTCAGCATCGCATCTCCGTCCTTTTATTCTTATCCTTACCTACACTACACTACACTGCATGGATTTCAGCATGTACTACCTAATGAGCTCAAATGTGTCACGTCTACGACGCCGTTCACGATGTAAATATTTCATTAATAAAACATTACTACAATAACTCTTTCCACTCTCCGTAATACTAACTCATCCTTCCATTTCATCATCCACATCATCGTCATCATTATTGCCTTCCTCTTCTTTCCGCTTCGCAGCTGACTCCACAGCCTCAGCCGCCGCTTCCATCATTTCCTCCTGCTCAATTGCCTCTTCCTCACCTTCACTTTCTTCCTCTTCTACTCCTTCTCCCTCTCCTTCGTCTTCTTCGTTCACTCCAACCTGCTCTTTGTTCTCATCACCAGCCCTCCCCTGTTTTCCCCTGACCATTTCCTTCCATGTCAATGCTCCTTTAATTGTACTCCTAATCTCCGTCGCAAGCATCATAGCCGTAACCGACGAACTCCCAGGATCAAGACCAAACCCACCAAGCCCCGTTGCAGGGCTCGCATGGTCCGGCAGTCTCAGGAGCGGCGCGTACTCGGAATCATCGGTCGTTCGCCCTTCATATAAAGCCAAGATCTTGTGCCGCATTATGGCTTTTAGCTTCGCCGTCGTGCCATTGCCGTACCACCCATCGACTGTGGTGTCGCAGGTTTTGCGGAGGAAGTTTGCCGGTTCGGGGGAGGGGAAGAGGATGGATTGGAGGAGCGGGTCTGTGATGTCGCAAAACATCCACATTCGACCATCTAGGGGTAGTGGGGGTTGACCAGTGAAGAGGTGAGATGTTTCGGATGTTGCGGCTTCGGGGTTGGTGAGGTCGTTGGGGCGCGGGAGGAGGGTGTGCCGGCGGCCGCCGGAGGTATCTCTGCTTTCTCTATTGTCGCGGGCTGTCTCGGAGGTTCCGGGGAGGATGCGGAACATGGTTGTTTGATAGATTCGGGAGGATGGGTCGGAGCGGGGATCGTGGCCGAAGCGAATGATAGCGTCGCGCCAGGGCCCAGAGCGGAAGATGTACCCTGCGTAAGGAACTGCATGGCGAAGGGCATAGCGTTGTTCGATTGTGCTGAGGGAATTGCGAAGGGCGCGGCGGGACCAAGCCGGGCGGGACTCGAAGCGGGAGAGGACGATAGAGATTGTTTCGCGGAGGACAGGTTCGAGGGATTCAATTGGAGGGCAGTTGGGGCGTGGAGATGAGGGGACTGTGGTGGCATCGAAGGGGACGAGGTGGGTGAGGACTTTGGCAGCTTGTTGGGTGTTGACTGTCGTGATGTTGCCGGAAGTATCGAGAGTTTGACGAACAGTTGGGTTTTGGCGATAAAAGTAGTTAAAGGGGATGTCTCCGTGGCTGAAAGAGGGAGGAGGGATGAGGTCGACGTTTGAGGTGGCTCCTTTACTCATGTCTAGGTCGAACTCTTTCATCTTTTCGAAGTCGAATGGTAATATCGTCTCACGGAACCGATTGACGAACGGGCTTTTGGTGGTTGAGAAGACAAAGTCCGGCATTCCTAGTATGCTTAGCTACTAGACATGACGAGTAACAGGAAGAAAACATACCTCGAAACACATGTGTGCGTTCAACAGACCCAACAGGCTCAACCTGGTACTTCCCTACGTTATCACGCAGGCTCTGCATAAACTGGCGCGCAGTAGGCCGTGGCGGCCCATCATAAGTCTCAGTAGCTGGAACACCGGTAAAAGGATCATTCGAACCCCTCTTTCGCTTTCTACCCGTCCGCTTGGGGACGGTCACTTGGAGAAGGATATTATTCGACGCCGAGCTTATAGACTGCATTGGTCTTGACATTGCGTCCTCTGGCCGAAGCACAAGGTTTGCCGGGGTATCCGCCTTGGGCGGGTCGAGAGCCTAGTATCGAGTCAGATTGGTCTCTAGACGAGGTTGGAGAACATACCTTGATAATGCCCGTCTTTCCTTGAAGCGTATCAATGGCCTTGTCCACGTTCTTGATAATAGCAGGGTGCTCGATGGAGACGATACGACGGGAGGGCACGCTGTAAAACGGCGCGGTCCTCGAGGTGTTATTTTCCGCCATGGTATCTAAGCTCAGGGTGCACTGCCTATGCACTGCCCGGGGCTGGGTTATCGATGAAGATATCTATCTCATCGAAGTGGACGATATACTTGGCGCTGCCGTCGAAGTGCGATTGTATCAAAAGAATACCACCGGCAATAGCTTGATATAAAGCACCGCTACCTTCGGGCTGTTTAACACATTGAACTATAGACTGCGATATTGCTTTCTCTTGATGATTTGGTGCATGTATTCGAGAATGTCGGAAGCAAACAGGACAAACGAGATAAAGATAGCAATGACAGAGGCAGAAAAGGCGGCAGCTGCTGGCAGAATTGACCCCCAGGCATTTCCCCTTTCGGCCAGCTCTTCTCTGTCCGTCTTGCTCTGCAGGTCCCGTCCACGCACGAAACTTCCTGTGTTGCATCTGTACAACTTTACCTGCAAAGTTCCTTGTATTCCGAAGACCCTGTGGCATTTCCCCTGCCAATTACCGAATGTAGGCCAATAGTTCGAAACTCTCGGTGACCGACATAGATGGCCGATGTTTCAATACCGACCACCATGCGCTCTATTGGGCTTGAGAGCAATCACCTTGCAAGACGGGGTAACCTCAGATAGCCTTTGTGATATAATCTAGCTTCCAATGCAAAATAAGTGCTCTGCTGCTGACAAGCAACGCATATCATGCCCGATTACCCCCGATTACCCCAGTCATTGAGGGACTTATCTATAAGTATGGAAACCATCGGCCTTTTGAAGACAAACAAAGCGCCTTGTCAGAATATCGGGCTTGCTCTGTCTATGCTGATATCAAGGGTTCAATACCGATGTTTCCCCTCGTGCAGTCAAAAAAAGCAATACTTTGCCCCTGGCTAGATGATTGATGTGATCTGGATGCATCCACCCTAACATGACTGGCTATTCAACCCGAGAATTACTGAATTTTTTGTCAACTCAGCCCATCGCTTATTTTCGAGTTCGATCACACAAAGTCCCCGAGATGACCGAGCTTGGACAATGTCAGGCTGGGCGGGCTGATGCGCCATTCGTGGGCACATTCTTTGTTCTCCTGTCCGGCCTATCACACAGCATACCCGAAACCTTTAAACAGCCCAGGCCGCGCTCTTCGTTTCTACTGGGAATCCCACGGCCAACAGACTGCTCTCGGGGTCTTCTTTTGACAAAAGAATGGTCAGTCGATCTGCTTTGCTGCTTTTCAGCGGCCTTTTACTCTGTGAAGCTCTCACGGTTCCGCGGCATGCCACTCTAGTATCTGAGCGAGATGTTGACTCGCAGGAATACGATTTTATCATTGCTGGAGGTGGCGTCGCTGGACTGACTGTGGCCGATCGTCTTACCGAAATTCCAGATGGTAAAGTAAAGAGCCCAGAGAGGCTCAATAATGGAAGCTGATTGCCGCAGTGAGCGTTCTCGTCATCGAATCTGGTGCTGTCGACCACGGAGAGGACTTCGTTTATATCCCAGGGTCCTATGACCTTGTGCCGTACAGCTGGCCTGGCTTAACGAACGAGCCATCTAGGGAATTAAACGATCGTGTCTTCGACTCGGTGGTTGCGAGGGTTGCTGGGGGTGGCAGCATTGTAAATGCTATGATTTTCCTGAGGTATGCAGTAGTCGATACCATTACTAGGGATCATGTCTAATCTGAAGCGCAGAGGCACTTCGTTGGATTTTGATGGCTGGGAGTCGCTTGGGAACGAGGGTTGGGGTTGGGAGGGTATGCTACCCTATTTCATCAAGGTGAGTGCTCCTAAACAAACTTAGGTTTGCTTCTTACAGTTAATCTCCCCCAATATAGAGCGAAAACTTCACCGAGCCAACCCCGGAGCTTGCCCGGGAAGGAAATCTTACATGGGATGATTCCGTCCGTGGGCATGATGGGCCTGTACAATACACATACCCAAACTATATATACCCTGGACTTGGTTAGTCTTCCATCGCGTCAACTCCATATTACACAGTCCATGTCGCTTTGCTACGTCTCCCAGAAACTTCCCTAACTTTTGATAGGCGTAATTTACGATGCTGCCCTGCATATCGGCTTGCAACCAAGGCTCGACCCTAACGCCGGAGAAAACACCGGTGTTTTTAACCAGCCATTCGCTATCGATGCAACTACTTGGACCAGAAGCTCTGCAAAGCGAAACCACTACGATCCAGCTGTTAACCGTCCCAACTACCACTTTCTTTCGAACACAACTGTGGCACGGGTCCTTTTTGACGGAACTCAAGCCGTTGGCGTTGAGTATCTCCCCAGTGCAGGCGGCCAAATATCCCGTGCGTACGCTTCCAGAGAGGTACTTGTTGCCGCTGGTGCTCTTCATACACCTCAAATTCTTCAGCTCTCGGGGGTTGGCCCCCGTCGTCTGCTTGAGTCACTTGATATTCCAGTGGTGTCGGACCTGCCCGGGGTTGGATCTAACCTGCAGGACCAAACGACTCTCCCATTCGTGTATACTTGTTAGTATTCAACTCAATCTATCTTGCTCTTTCGTGTACTAACCCACTACTTATTAGGGGCGAACAGTCTCACTCCTAATGCGACCACTTTCCTGACAAATATTACCTTCGCTGAAGAACAGCGCGCGTTGTACGACGAAGGTCTCCCAAGTGCCTGGACTGTCACCAGAAGACTTGCACCCAAGTTTGCCTTTATGTCCTACGAGGAAGCAACCATAGACACAGCATACGAACGGATTCTCGCCGACGCCGAAGCCCGCGATCCCGCGGAATCACTGCCTCCTGACGTCGACCCCACAGTTCTCGCCGGCTATGCAGCCCAGAGACAGCTGATGTTTGATGAGTTCCGTGACCCAGGCCTATCTGTCGGGGGCGTATCCTGGAATACCGATGCAAATGTCCAAGTCTTTAACGTAAAGCCTTTCAGCCGGGGCCATGTCTACATCAACCAAACGGACCCGCTTGCAAACCCGGTCATCGACTTCCGCACAGCAAGCGACCCAACCGACTTTGAATTGCACATTGCCCTATTCCACAAGCAGCGCGAGCTGTTCAGCGCGCCTTCTTTTGCAGCCCTTGGCCCCACTGAACTGGTTCCTGGTCTCGAGGTGCAAACCGACGAGCAGGTTCTCGAGACAATGAGAGAGATCCTGGAACCTTCTAACGGACACCAATGCTGTTCGGCGCCTATGATGCCCCGGGAGCTCGGTGGAGCACTTTCCTCGGAGATGAAAGTGTACGGTACCACTAGGTTACGAGTTATTGACATTAGCCATTGGCCAAAGGAGCTTGCTGGCCCGCCGATGGCGTCCATATATGCTGCTGGAGAGAAGGTTTGTTTCCCGGGCTTTTTTTCAAACGTATTTTGCTGATATAGTATAGGTTGCGGATATGATCAAGGCTGAATATGGCTGGCTTGAGTGAGTCGGTGGTTTAGAGTCTTTAAGACAGGTGTTATTATAGACTTTGGTGTAATTTACTAGGGACAAAGCAATTCGTGTATTATTATGTATGAATGCATTGTCCGACCAAAAAAGCATGTGCAACAGTAGAGCCGCGTATACTAATCTGATAACCTGGCTTACCTGCCTTTCTCTCTCTACAATTCACCCCGTCAGTCAAAGAGCTCTTGGTATGTTCGTATTCATCGCACCCCAGCCCTCCACCCTGTCAGCCACCCAGCCCTCCCTGAACCTGGAAAGCAATCATCAAAAGTGAGAGGCCCATTACGTGGATACGTTTCAGTCTAACTTGGCCTCCAGGTTCAGTCAATGAAATTCTTATTCGGATACGATGAAAGCGAAGCCCCGTGGAGAGTGTTACAGCCAGGCCGAAGCAGGCCACTCAGTAAGTGCAGGGATTAAATACCGCTCAGTTTCCCTCTTCTGTCTGTCTGTCAGTCCAGCCACTCCAGTTCTACACTCCTCGCCACGTTCTGTCAAAGCACTAATGTTCCGATATGGATATGCTCGAATTGGGTGTCCGTCCTGATCTGGTAGATATCGTTTACTAATGGATGGCGTTCGGGCTCCGAAGGTTAGCCAGCTTCAACGCCATATTCTAAAGTCAACGAATTGTTGGTAAATGAAACGGGCTATCCTCAGGCAGGTCATCAAAACTGACCGTGATGCATATCACGTCGGACAAATATTTGCTTCGTGTCGAGGCTTCGGGGTTCAACACACCACTCATCGAGAAGCGTACACGGGGTAAGACGCCACTCGCAGATTCCATGGCAAATTAAGCCATTTCTCTTCAAGTCTCTAGCATGGTGTAGCGTCGGATTCCGTACGAGACCGTGAAAATCGTCGCACTTTCCTGGCTTTCCGGTAGTTTACAAAGTCCAGATATTTGTCTCCAGCCCTAGGAACACTTTTGGAATTCAGGGAGCTTTCAACAACTGCTATAGGTTTTTTCTTTTTCGACAATGACAGCTACCAACGCGATTCCTTCTCACAAAAGATCGTTGTCAGATGGAGGCTATTCCCCCCAGGCGTGGAAGGTTCTATCTCAGACTCTGCCCTCCCGTGGGCCAGATACCGATGCCTGGTGGCGGCTCACCGGAAGACATCTCGCGGTTCTCCTCGATGCTGCTGCATATCCTATAGAGAAGCAGTATGAGAGCCTTCTATACCATTACCACTACGCTGTGTGTTTTCCCTGTGCCCTAACCATACTTCGCCGCTAACTAGAAGCCGTGACTAGTCACCTTACCTAGGGCCAGCACCCCGCGACGGCTCCTCTCCAACACAATGGAAGTCGATGCTTCAGCTCGATGGCACGCCATTTGAATTTTCGTGGAAATGGAATGCCCCAGACGGAGAGCCAGATGTTCGCATCGGCATGGAGCCTATAGGGCCTATGGCAGGAACAACCTTGGACCCTTTGAACCACTCAGCAACACGAGAGGTCCTTCATAAAGTCTCCTCTGCAGTACCAGGTGCTGATCTCACCTGGACACATCACTTCCTTGCCACTTTGTTCGACCATGATTACGCTAAATATGCCGAGGAGGCGGCGAACGGTGCTCTCATCGGCACTAGTTTGATATTCTCACTTGAGTTTCTACGCGACTCGACCGGAGTCAAGACATATTTCCAACCGCGCATGCTCAATCAGCGTGGATTCCTCGATATCCCTCGCTGGGAAGCGTCCTTCCAGAAGCTACATCCAGACGCCCCGTCCCGTATAGCTCTACACGACTTCATGTCTGCCAACGAGGAAGGTAAACTTTTGAAACCATTCTGCCTCAGCGTCGACAACTGTGATCCCACCAAAGCCCGCATAAAATGGTACTTCAACAGCCCACACACAAAATTCACTTCCATTCGTGAAATCATGTCCCTCGGAGGCCGCATCGCAAGCACCGACACTCGAGAGAAACAATTCAGCGAGCTCTTCGACCTCCTCAAAACACTAACCGAGCAACCTGCCGGTTTTCTAGAGGATTCCGAGTTCCCATTTGCAACAAACAACAACTCGACTATCGACACCTTCGCTGAAATGCCAGATATGCTGAAGGGAATCGTATACTTCTTCGATATCGCCCCGGGCAAATCCTTACCCGCCATCAAAATCTACTTCCCCGTGCGCAACCACTGCCGCAACGACCTGGCCGCTACTCAGAATCTCAACAAGTGGCTCGATTCGCGAGGGCGCGGAACGTACGGCCCTGCCTTTTTACGAGCGCTTGAGGCTATTGCGGATTATAGGCGGCTGGATGAGGATAGCGGGTTGCAGAGTTTCGTCAGTTGTCAGTTTAAGAGTGATGGAAGCCTGGACCTCACGTCGTACTTTAATCCTCAGGCGTTTCATTCTGCGAGACTTACGCATCGGCGGTCGACGAGGAGAAAGGGGGACGATGAAAGGTGGTAGGTGGTTTGTTGCTAGGCAGGAGGGTAGATACCTTTCTTGCCATGCTTCTGTTTCTGTGTAATAGCAGCCTCAACACAACAATGGTCAAGGCAGAGCATGTAACATTTTGTCCATTCCTCTGTATTCTAAAAGTGGTAATGGATACAGATACATTTCTGTATAGTGTAAATATAGGCAATTCATTCAACCAGGCAACCTAGTACGTACTACGTAGTACTCCCAATGTCCACTGGTAATTACTATGGACAACCCTGCACAAGAGAGGCTGGAAAGAAGGATGCGCCGGCCACCACTGACTAAACTGTATTCGGTATAAGGTCACGTGAAACGCTAGTCCGTTTTAGGTTGTGCTTTTTTTTTTGAGGCCCATGATTTTATCTGTTGGTCTTCACCAAGGCTGTATATATTGATTTTCTGAAGGTGATTTAAACGAAAATACAATCCGATACACAAATATATATCTGAAGTCTCCCTGTTTACATACTCTGGGTAGGGTGGCATTTTGATTCGATCGGTTGTAAAATATTGAAGCGGGCGGAAGTATATATAGTGCTCTACCTGAACTACACTTACAACACTGTATGCTGCGGAGTGGTGTACCTTTGCTTGGAAACTATTTACGGTCTCCAGGCTGTCGCTATACTCCAGTTTTTTGTTTTTCAGAATCCAATATTCCAATATACATAATTCTGTCTAAATAATCATCTTGCCAGGGAACAACTTTGTGTGGTCGGCCAGGTCACATGACCAAAACCCGCACACCAACAATAAACATGAAGCACCCCAACACTTACTGAAAATTGATCAGTAGACTGGTAAAAGCAGGCTGGGTTCCTGATCCTTAATGAATGCCAGACTTGTTTGCGTCATAAAAATTAGCCGAATGATACGAAGTGCCCTGGAATCCTTGTACGCGGCTGAAGCAGCGTTGGGACCCCTTACAGTGGCCTGATAATGCCAGCCATCGGCTGTTGGAAGTGGACGTAGAAATAATTTTTAGTTGAGCCGCTCTCGATATCCTCACTTGCCCGTCCAGATCAGATCTCGCAGCAGTTGCAGGCCGTAGTTGAGCGCGGCGCTTCCCCAGGCAGGAGTTCAGCCAGTTCCAGTTCCACGAGCCCACACTTACCTTTCCGTCCGAGCGCGCTTCAGCCACAGCCCCGTCACCACCATCTCCTCTCGTGATAGCCTGTCCATTTTCGACGCCGGAATCATCATCAATGCCCTTGTTCTTCCTGCGCACCCAGTCTTTCTCAGCATAGCCATCCCCGAGTGTTTATTTGTGGCTTTCCGATCGGTGCTTCGCGAGTTCCAATTCAGTCGCTGGGGCTCTTGCACCCCGCCTTCTCTCATAAGCGACACGGAAGTCGATCCTCTCCAGGCCTGACCGTCTCGCGAGCTCCTCCTATACCGCTGCGAACGCGCCAGTAACTGAGCGTGAGCGTCCGACCGACTCCCAGCCCTGTTTCTACCAATCGTCTGTCCCCAAAGCCCCTCGAGGTGAGCTCCCCTCTTATACACCCTATACTTTCCTGTCCCTCTCGCGTGCCGGGGGACGTCCGTGTTTCCCCCCTGTTACTACCCTCCTTGGGCTTGACCTCCTCCGCAACCAAACCTCGTGCTGCGCTGGTTGCGAGCAATGTTCCAGCTTCTCTCCACCATCAATCTCATTTTGTCTGCCTTTCTCGATAATTCACCGCCTTGAATTACCGCCAATGTTCCTCTGCCCGCAGATGCTCATGTGTTCACTTTCAGGCCGACAGAAACAAATCCCCCTCTAAGAGTTGTCCGATCCGCCAGACCGCATCCGCCCCTCCCCCCTCCTGCTAGCGTGTGGCATCTTGCTGCACTGGCATCGAGAACCAGGTCCGAGTACATGTGGCTGTTCGATTAGTGATTACAATGAAGGGTTTCAGACAGAGAGTGGTGAGTTTGTTGTCGTTTTGCGGGTCACACAGTCCTCGCTTGGCTGCGCTTGACCACCTCCGCCGGGCGCTGAACTAAACTAAATGTCCTAGCACGAGCAGTTGTCGAGAGCGAAAGATAATAAGTCGTCGAAAAAGAAGGATTCATCGCAAGCTTCCTCGCAAAATGCGGCCAACTTGGGCATCCACCAAGGCCAACAATCCGCCTCCCCCAACCAGGTCACCCCGACGTCGTCTACCACATCCGTGAATGATATTAGAGGAAAGGCCCCTGAAGATGCTTCGCAAGCGGGAGCGTACCCTCCGGGTCAGTATTATGCCGCGCAGGATGAAGGTGCCGTTAGTCAACCTAACGGAGAACCAGGTACTCCCACAAAGCAAGGACAACCAATGGCTCCTAGTGTGGTGATCAGCCCCAGCGCACCGGTAAGCACTCAATTATAATATAATTCCCTTCTCGTTTGCGTTCTGGTTCGTCATTGTCCTTATTCTTCTTGCTGACCGTGGATCGCTCTGCTTGTAGCATGCCCCCCCTCCCGGTGCCGCCGAGACAATGCCAGGAGATTTGGCTCCTCCTAGGAAGTCTCATGTCTTTGATCGCCTTCAGACGACCCCGAAGGACATGTCGGAGGGTATCCGGACTCCCAAGCGCCAACATTCCTCTCGATTCGATATCTCCGACCAACGCCAGAGGGAATTAGAGAAGCTCCCCGGCTTCCACGAAGTGCCCCCGAACCGTCGCCAAGAACTCTTCATGCAGAAGATCGATCAATGCAATATCATATTCGATTTCAATGACCCTACGGCGGACATGAAGTCCAAGGAGATCAAGAGACTGGCTCTCCACGAGCTCCTGGATTATATTGCCAACAACCGTTCGGTCATCACAGAGCCCATGTATCCTCGCGTGGTTGAGATGTTCGCAAAGAACCTGTTTCGACCTATTCCACCCCCAATCACGCCCCAGGGCGAGGCATTCGACCCGGAGGAGGACGAACCGGTTTTGGAAGTCGCTTGGCCCCATATTCAGGTCGTTTACGAGTTTTTCTTGCGGTTTATCGAAAGTCAGGACTTCAATACAAACATCGCAAAGGCTTACATCGACCATCATTTTGTGCTTCAGGTACTATTCTATCCCCTGGCTGATTTTATGCAAGTGTACTGACTATTCATCAGTTGCTAGAGCTGTTTGACTCCGAAGACCCGCGGGAGCGCGATTTCTTGAAGACCACCCTTCATCGCATTTACGGAAAGTTCTTAAATTTACGCTCATATATTCGACGATCTATCAACAACGTCTTTTTCCAATTCACCTACGAGACCGAGCGATTCAACGGTATTGCCGAGTTGTTGGAAATCCTGGGTTCCATTATCAACGGCTTTGCTCTCCCGCTGAAGGAAGAGCACAAATTGTTCTTGACTCGAGTTTTGCTTCCGATGCACAAAGTCAAGAGCCTCAGCATGTATCACCCACAGCTGGCTTACTGTATTGTCCAGTTCCTCGAAAAGGACTCAACGTTAACAGAAGATGTGAGTTGCCTTTTTTTTTTTTTAGGATATTCCTTCGTACCATTTTCTAACCGCTTTCAGGTGGTCCTCGGTTTGCTGCGATACTGGCCTAAGACAAACAGCACCAAGGAGGTCATGTACCTCAACGAAGTGGAAGACATCTTTGAGGTGATGGACCCGGCTGAATTCGCTAAAGTTCAAGAGCCGCTCTTCCAACAACTGGCCAAGTCGGTTGCAAGCCCTCATTTCCAGGTGCGTACTTATAGTTATTGCTGAGTAATTGCTCAGGAAACTCATCGTTTTTATTCTAGGTCGCCGAGCGTGCGCTCTACTTCTGGAACAATGAATATTTCTGCAACTTGGTCAGCGATAATGTTGAGGTCATTCTGCCAATCATGTTCCCTCCTTTGTTCGAGAATTCCAAGGGCCACTGGAATAGGTACGTGCTTGCTTCTGAATGTGTATGGGCCTACTAACTCTCTGTAGGACCATCCATAGCATGGTTTATAACGCGATGAAGATGTTCATGGAGATTAACCCTCAACTCTTTGACGAGTGCTCGCACGAATACAACGAAAGGCAGAATAGCGCCGACCTGCGCGAAAAGGCCCGACAGAGCCGATGGGAGAAGGTTGCTGAGCGAGCTGCAGCACGCCAGAACGGCGCCCCCTTGCCACCCTCCACGTCGACGGCTGAAATTCCCCTGCAGCTGGACGACATTGATGCTCTCACTCAGGAAAGCCAGAATAAACTACATTCTCTGAAACTGGATGAGCCTAGTCCTGCAAAGGATCGAAGGCCTCGAGAGGGCTCTATCACTTCGGTAAGTGCTGAGCATGTTTAATCGCGGGCTAAGTCATGACGATGAGATCTGCATCCCCTACGCGGAAAATTTTGAATTGTTTTCCTTTTTTGTTATTATCTGCTAAGCGTTTTTCGTTTTATGCACAGAAAGCGTGATTCTAACCTTGGAACGTCCTCTATTCCAGAGACGACGCCGTGGCTCCCTTGAAGGCGGTGGACGGCGACGAAGCAACAGTGGCGGTGGCAGCGAGATTCGAGCTCGGCGTCGAGCAGTTGGGTCTGCGGCGGTAACAGGTTTGTCGCGAAGCAACTCGACGAAATGATTGCTAGTTGGATACTAGTGTCCTCGACGCTGATGAATCTCCCGTGTGTTTATCTCGATGCCCCGCTGTCAATGTTTGCACCACCCATAGCCTTGCATGCTCTCGTCGCCCCATCTTTCCCATCTCTTTTCCTTATTTCAAATTCTTCTTTTGTGTACATGGCTTTTGATATTCTTCTTCTCCGCAAGGCTGGTCAGACCACCGAGCCAGCGGAGATTCTAGTTGGACTATTAGAACTGTGTTCGGGTCTGGAAAACGGGTGCTAATGGCGTTTCTCCTAATCGACATTGATGTCGATGACCTCTTTTTTGATGTTTATAACATGAATACTCAAGGCCTAGCCTGATATTGACGTTCATACCCTTTTTAATTGTAGTCCACACTGGTGAATTTCGCGTTGTACCTGGCACGTGCCCTGAACGTACCTTATAATGTTACTGGCTGTCTAGACGCGACCGCCTTCACTAGCGCGGTGTTCCACGGGGAGGAGAATCATTGATCCGGAAATTACCTGATTAGGCCTAGTGTTTCGTTCGGGGTCTCTGGCCCTGCCCGCGTCCTGTTCACTGCTCTCAGTTCTGGCTTTTGTAGGCGTGGATTTGCGCGATCTTGACTTTGCATTTGAGCTTTCCTTAACCCGCTCAACACCTCTACTCCTACACTCATTTCCTCTAGCCCTCCTTCTTACATCTCCGCTCTCTATATTCAGCTCCGACTTAATTTTTAATGACGTGACGATTCCGCTGCCCTGATCCCGTACTTTCATATGCGACACTTGCCCGTTCCGTGCGAAGATTAGAGCTCGCCTGCAGGTATCGCTCTCCCGCCTATGCCTACCACGCACGTTCGTACGAGCGCGGGCTATTAATTGGAGCCGGCCTGACGGCCTGGCAACTTCTTTTCGTCTTGTTGAACTTGCTGTGAACCCCTCTGGCGAGGGCCAGCCGCAGTAGCCATGGAGCGGAATATTGACATCTATGCCAGCAAGCTGGGGGATGACAAGCTGGGTATGTATATGACCAAAACAAAGCTTGCTGATTGGAAGGGATAGCAAGCAATTCCGCAATATTGCTATAAGCCGGTGCTGACCATACTGTCCTTAAGATGTGAAAATCCGAGCCAATGTTGCTGTCGAATTGCGCGATAGCATCGAGCCCCTCTGCTCGGGTGCAAGCTACCCGATCTTTCTTTCTAAACTATGGCCGGTGTTCAAGAACATCCTGAGCGGTGAACCGGTGTTTACGAATCTGTCTCTGGAACAGGTGAGTTGCGACTGCTTCGTCTGTACCTGCTGGACCGTGTCCCTGGATTGAGACTGACGACTGGGGAATGGGATAGAAATTACGAAATTGCGTCCTCGAAACCTTACACCGACTACCTACGATGTCTCCCGATGTCGAACCGTATGCCTCCGATATGGTTGATCTGTTAATGGACCTGGTGCGGATTGAAAATGAAGAGAATGCGGTTCTGTGTATGAAGACTATAATGGATTTGGAGCGGAATCAGGCGAAGGCGACAGCCGCACAAGTACAACCATTTCTCGAATTGATCCAGGAGATGTTCCAGACGATGGAGCAGGTTGTCCGTGATACATTTGACACGCCGAGTCAAGCGACACCGTCGGGTATGCCCTCGACTCCTGGTACCTCCGCCCCGAATTTCCAGTCCCCTCGACCCAGCTCGCCTGCTACTTCCGTTCCCGACCTCGGCGCCGAACAACAGACATCGAACAATGTCCTGCTCAAAGGCATGCACTCTTTCAAAGTACTTGCGGAGTGCCCGATTATAGTTGTCTCCATCTTCCAGACTCACCGGAACTCCGTATCAACTAATGTCAAGCTCTTTGTGCCATTAATAAAAAGTATTTTGCTTCTTCAAGCAAAGCCGCAAGAGAAGGCCCATGCGGAGGCTGCGGATCAGAAGACCATTTTCACTGGTGTCTGCAAGGAAATCAAGAATCGCGCCGCCTTTGGAGAGTTTATTACACTCCAGGTCAAGACAATGAGCTTCCTCGCATACCTCCTCCGACTCCAGCCGCATCAGTTGCAGGATTTCCTCCCTACCTTACCTTCAGTGGTCGTACGCCTTCTCCAGGACTGCCCACGAGAAAAATCGAGCGCCAGAAAGGAGCTTTTGGTTGCAATTCGACATATTATCAACTGTACCTACCGAAATATTTTCCTCGATAAAATCGACGAGCTTTTGGATGAGCGAACCCTGATTGGTGATGGCCTGACCGTGTATGAGACAATGAGACCTCTGGCCTACAGCATGCTGGCAGATCTCATCCACCATGTTCGGGAACATCTGAGTCGCGATCAGATTAAGCGGACCATCGAGGTGTACACCAAAAATCTTCACGATGATCTGCCTGGGACGAGCTTCCAAACAATGAGTGCCAAGCTGCTCTTGAACATGGCGGAGAAGATATCGAAATTGGAAGACAAGCGAGAAGCCCGCTACTTCCTGTTGATGATCCTTGATGCAATTGGTGACAAATTAGCAGCCATGAACTACCAATTCCCCAACGTTGTGAAGCTGCACAAGCTATACCAAGCCACCAAGAAGGAAGAGCCGGGGCCAGAGAAGTACCTGGCCGACAAGGATCAACCTCCTGATTGGGATGAGATTGATATCTTTTCGGCATCCCCTCTCAAGACGTCAAATCCGCGAGATCGTGGGGCTGATCCGATAGCTGAGAACATCTTCCTTTTCAAGAACTTGATCAACGGCTTGAAGAACATTTTCCACCAGCTCAAGAATTGTAACCCTGACAATGTTCAAATCGACCCTGCGAATGTTCCGATTAATTGGTCTGAAGTGTCATATGGTTACAATGCGGAGGAGGTACGGGTTATCAAGAAGCTTTTCCACGAGGGAGCTCGAGTGTTCAGATATTATGGCGTTGACCAGCCAGAACCAGAGGCTAACTTCTCGTCGCCTTTCGATTTCCTCACTAGCCAGTACACGGCTCCTATGCCACGCGAGGAGAAGGAACTTCTCGAAAGCTTTGGAACAGTCTTCCACTGTATCGACACCGCAACATTTCACGAAGTTTTCCACACCGAGATTCCATACCTTTTCGATCTTATGCTTGAGCATGGGGCTCTACTACACCTACCTCAGTTCTTCTTCGCCAGCGAAGCAACTTCTCCTGCGTTTTCGGGAATGGTCTTGCAATATCTCATGGATCGGATTCACGACGTCGGAACTCCTGATATGGCTAAAGCTAGGATCCTTCTCCGGATGTTCAAGCTGTCTTTCATGGCAGTGACCCTCTTCTCCGCACAGAATGAGCAGGTGCTACATCCCCATGTGTCGAAAATTGTCACCAAGTGTCTGGAACTTTCGGTGACTGCGAGCGAGCCAATGAACTACTTCCTTCTTTTGCGCTCTCTATTCCGCAGCATTGGCGGTGGTCGATTTGAGCTCTTGTACAAGGAAATCCTTCCTCTACTGGAAATGCTTCTCGAGACATTCAACAACCTGCTGCTTGCTGCGAGGAAGCCACAAGAACGGGACCTATACGTTGAGCTCACGCTTACTGTCCCCGCTCGTCTAAGCCATCTCCTTCCGCACCTCAGCTACCTCATGCGCCCCATTGTTGTAGCCTTACGTGCAGAGTCCGACCTTGTGGGACAGGGATTGCGAACACTGGAATTGTGCGTCGACAATCTCACGGCTGATTACTTGGACCCGATAATGGCTCCTATAATGGACGAATTGATGACTGCGCTTTTCGACCATCTCAGACCGCATCCCTATAACCATTTCCACGCGCACACAACCATGCGGATATTGGGAAAGCTTGGTGGGCGCAACAGAAAATTCATGTGCCACCCTCCAGACCTCACTTTCGAACAATATGCAGACGATGCTCCTAGTATTGACGTCAAACTCATCGGCCCTAGTGAAAAGCGGCCTTTCCCCATCGGGATTGGTACAGACCTTGCTGTTGCGAAGTTGATGGAAGTGTCGAAGCACCAGTCGGATGCGTACTATAAGCAGCAGGCGTTCCACCTTATCTCGTCACAGCTCAAACTCTACATCGGATATGAGAATATCCCTGATGACATGGCCTCTCTTCTGCGCCTGCATGCCAATGATTTATTTGAGAGCAAAACTTCTGCAATGGCCGATATCCTTGAAAAATCTGAGCGCTCCAGTTCGATCCCCAAGAAGCTTGGGCAGGAAGGAACATTGAAAAAGCTTCTTAAGGCCTCTATATTTGCGACAACCCTTCCAGACCTTACACAAAGCGCGACTGCATTTGTCGCCGATGTTTGCAAGCACTTCGCCATGGTGGAAGTTGGACGTTCTCTTGCACAGGCTAGACATACCCGCAAGCCCTTTGATGTCTCTTGCGGTGAAGGTGCGGTGTATCTTGACTCTCGGGTTTTCGCTGAAGCCGTCGTCGAATCCCTGTCTTCAGACAATGCCGAGGTTCGCGATGCAGCCAAGGTGGCCCTGCAAGTTCTCAAGGATGCTGCTGTCACCATATTTGGATCCGCTGACAGAGTAACGAAGCTGCCATTCTTCCAGCACCTTGGACGCGTTTTCTGCCATAGCTGCCATAGCGAGGAATGGTTTACCAAAGCCGGCGGTAGCCGCGGTATTCATCTCTACGCCACTGAGCTGGATCTTGGTGACGCTTGGCTTTTTGAGAAGCAGGCAGAATTCGTGCGGGCGTTGACATATGTGGTCAAAGATACACCTCCGGACCTTCCGGCCAGCACTCGTGTACGTGCGCAAGACACACTTGACTTGATTCTCCGAAGATGCTGCAAGAATATGTCCAAGGATGATCTCAAGAACGAGAAAAGCCGTCTCTATTCGCTGTGCGGGTTCTTTGTC